GTCATCATCATAAACCTGAAAGCTAACATATGTTGAATTTAGTTTAGATGGAGTATATTCATGTCATAAACAGCAGCTATCGAATATAGAACAAGTATAATCAAAGGCAGCATAAGGTGATATCTACCTCTGTGTTTGCTATTGAACTAAAATCTACATTTACAATAAGTAAATTTAGCTTAATTATGAAAGCTTAATTTGTATGTTGCTATCAAATGAAAACACCCATCCTAAAGCAGATGCTTGCATTTACTTAAGCCTTGCATTGAAGGCGAAGGTATATAGAATCAGAGCATATATTGCAAATGGTAAGAAATAACTCAAAATCTTTAACTATATTAACTGAGATCAGAGTTCAAACTTCAAACCTAAGTTATTTCATGCTAATGCAAGGAACTCCAAGATCCATATATATAGGATTGATTAGTTTATTGTGGAATACAATTAAACTTATATAGATTAGTACTCAGCATCTCTAAATTTTACAAGGTTAAACAATAAAGTGATTTTATTAGAAATGAAGAATAGGAAATATGGATAACCAAATTTAGCTTAAAAACATGTACTTAATTTCTAAAAGCTTACATTATATTCTAGTATTTACAAGACATTAATTTTAATAATTGTTTAAGTTAAGCAATGATAATGCATCTTCCATCCTTGCTATACATTTATTACAATGCAAACGACTAGAGTATTTTTTTAAGTGAGATTTCAGAATAACGCCAAACTTTTTCTTAATTGTTGTTCAAACGCACCAATAATTGACGTAGCGATGCTAGTTATCAAACCATCAATATTTTAAGTACACAGTAAAAGCATAAGATGAAGTTATTTGCTGATTTCATTCAAGTATTAGCAAGTTGTACAGTAAGTTCCAGTTACTTTAAATATTAACGCTTTATCACTAAATTGATGACAAATAGTAGCTATCCTTTTTTTTCAATGTTCTTAAAACCAACAATCTTGAAAGACAAGTAGCAGTCATAGTGTGTAGTGAGTAATGTGTCAAATGAATCTCCATTAGTATGGCATAGTAATGAGTGCAAGGAGGGATACATTTAGGATTACCAAAATGATAACAAAACTCGATGGAGTCTAATATAATTATAAGAGATATGCTTAAAAACCATACAATATCTACATTCTTAAAATATAGAGGCTTCAATTATTAATAAAGGGGCAAAGTTATAGCATTTTCAGTTGACATTTACTATGTCAATTGCAGTTATAAAACTTAGAAGAACAGAATTAACGTTCAGCATTCCATTACACTCCATCTAATTTATAAAATGGGCAAATTAAGTCTTGGAATATTATGTAGTTTAATCAACCGTTACTTCAGTACGTTTAAAGCCTCTAGAATTGAGCTTTTTGAGTAATTTCATTCTGTTAATGTATGTATTTTTTGAGCTTACTTCTTCTAAGTACTGTCTGATTCATGTGAAAAATATATTTACTATTTTTGCATTTATGTATTTTTTAGTTGTGGAATTTATATGAAGTGATTATGATTAACCTTGGTTAATGACTGTCGATTTGGGCCTAAATTTTCCAATCTTGATTTAATTAGAGTGATTATTGGACATTTTAGATTATAAAATAATAGAATTAAAATCGTTAAATCTGATATGAGATACACAATATTTCTAAAGTAACTAGCAAACTGGTAAAAACAAAGATGAAGTTATCTTTTTAAATAATGCTACATTCGAACAAAATGGACAAAATTTTGATGATCTATTTGATTCAGCGTAACCTGTGCCAATTTTGTACAGGAGAGAGCGTTTGAATACTCTTAACTTCTTTAAAGTAAGCGACATCAGAATATATTCAGGTAATGTGTCTCCAAAAATATGAATACAAATGTCACCGTTAATGAATTTAGTTTGCATTTAGTCTAACTTACATTCTACCAAAATTATTGATGATTTGAATAGAAAAATCCTATATGAAAATATCCAAGAGCATCTACTTTGAAAAAAACATAGTCAATATTTTAGTGAAGGACATAGGTTGTACTATTATAGGGTTTTTAGCGAAAATGGACTGGTAGAATAAGATGATTGAAACTGAGAACATGTGTGACCGGCAATTATAATAGATGTCTCGATGAAAGCTGATAAAACTAGTTGTAAATGCTTGTCATCAGAGTAACATTACGTTGATAGTTGCTAATTTAATTTATATACATTACAATTGACCACAAGATATCAAAATAAAGCTAGGATATTTAAAAAAATAGTAGAACAACAATTCAGGTTTAAAAACTCTTAGATAATCTCTAAACGGTTGTGATAATATCTCTGAGAGGGTGAGAGAGATAGAGAGTAAAGGTGCAGCTGTGTTAGCCCCACCACAAAATTTGAATTAGCTTTACCAAATAACTGGCATCCTAGCATGTGAATACACAGAATACTTTTTTAATTTAGCAAAAATACTTAACTTGAGTTTAGTACAAGAATTAGTTCCAAAACCTGTTGGATTAGTTGAATTAGTAGCATGTCAAGAAAAAACAACCAAACGATAAGGAGCTGAAATAAATAAAAAGGAGTGGCATTGATTATTTCAGACCTAAAAGGTGTGCAAGTAGAATTGAATATCTAGACTTAAAAGTTGTACAAGTAATTTATTATTACTTGGTATTTTAACCAAGTAAGCAAAAGGGCAATAATTTAGGATTTATGGGATAATTAATTTCCTCCATTGATGTAATATTTACACAGAAGCAAGACAGGAAAGTTAAGAACCATAATTTTTTAGAAAATATGAAAGTTGCTTCTTCATATGAATACCAAGTTACATAATTTTTAGCACTTATATTATAATAATCAAAAAATATAGAAAAGCCCTTAAATTAAACGTAACATGTAATAACTGGTATTACTACAATGATAGAATGCGGTTATTATTTGAGCAAGAATTATTCATAAACTTTCTAAGATCTAGCAACAACACGTTAAAAAAGGAAGCAGCAACACCAAATTAAAGAAGGAAGCATTGTACAAGAATTACAATAATCCTGGCTGGCCAAAGACATCAACTTTGTCATCACTTCGAATAAATTTTATTTACGTGATATATTACAAAGCAGTCACCAGCTTAGGATTCAGTGGCGGTTGCACTTCAATTCTTAAGAGTAGTGCGAAGACAAACATCATCATACAATTACAGTTAATTTAACACATTTTGAGTTTTCTTGTGACACAATATCCATATTCAGATACCTGTGTAGTGACATAACTACTCCTCTTTTGGAGGATTTATATAATATAATTTCAATACATACCAATGGTGAATATTTGATAAAATGGGGAGTATAAAATACCTATAATTTACTGATAGAATTAAAAAAGGCAATTACTCAATCAGCATGATCATTAGGTGAATTACACTTCATAATTAGCAAAATATTCGTTATGAAAGCTTCATAAGAATCAATGCTTTGCCATTCTTGACATAAGGCCTTGGATCGTTGCTTATCTTACAATTGATAGCAAATGATAACCATCAGATGATTTTGATTGTTATTTTCAAATGAGAGAAGTAGTCGTTAACCAATTATAATTAGAATTAAGAAATAATTTTGCAAAATAATTAGGAAGGAAAACTCATTACTTTGCATAAAAACAAAATAATGTTATACAAAAATGCCGAAATAGATATTCGAAGAAACACTGATAAAAACCAAAATAGTAAATCAGTAATTTGAAAATGTTACTTGTATGGATTTTGACAATGATTATCAATAAATTAAAAGTATGAGATAATTCATCATTAATAAAACTGATCATATTTGGAAAATAATTTATATGACGTTATATAAGGAAGTAAATAACATTTTAAACTAAATAATTGATGAAATTAGGAAAATATTTATGTGAATAGGATCCATTAATAATATCAGAGTATAAAAATAATTTTTCCGTTTAGAGAAAATGGTAATTGCCTTTGTAGGTTCATAACAAGATTTCTTTTTTAGAATTCACACAGTACCATTCAGTGACTTTGCACACAAAATTATACTTAAATTCACATTTTAAATTTAAGCGCCTCCATTTTAATATTGTTTGGTGAATCAAAACAAGATCTTAAAGTAGAGAGTTTTATATTTTAGATTTTATCTTTTCTTGAAGTCAGATCACCTCTTAACAAATTTAGGAATGCTAACAGCTCACAAGTCTTACAAGGACAATTATAGTAAGCACTATTAGGAGAAAGAATGCTTTAGAACAATCCCAAATTCTAATATAGTTTTATTAGAGTGACTAATGCTGCAGAACATTTAAGAAACTGTTAAAATCATTCTAGGAGTGGTAATTTTCAATATAAGCACCTTGAGAAAGGGGATGTGTAGGAATAAAAAGTTGTAGAGATGTCTTAAATAAGGATGTGAACTAGATCAAAGATAATAGCCTCAAACACAAGCTATAAGTATTGTTTTTTAATTATATTTTGAACATTTGATGGAATAAGTAAGATTTCACATAAGATTGATGGACACAAAAAGAAATTAATCATGATCTTATACATCAATCCCATCGCCAATTTCAGAAAAAATTATAGAATGATTATAACCATTATAAGTGGTTGGAAGCAACAAATGAACCTTCAAGTATTTTCAAATAAAAATAAACAATTATCTGCATCTCCAGAATAATAGCCATAAATTTGAGCTTGCTTAAAATTTATAAATTAACTGATTTAATACTAACGACTATAAATTCAATTTTTTTATTTTTTTCATATTTGGTCATATTTATATATAAATTTGTCTCAATTTTGATATATTTAGTAATAAAAGAAATTTTAATAAAATTTCATATTTATATCTTATTTTAAACATAATGAGAAATAAGAGCCTACTATTGTAGTTTTTTTGTAACAACATTATTAAATGCGCTCTTAATCATGAACTAAAAGGGATTGCAAGTCACCTTAATTAAATAATTAATCAGAACCTTTCACTTGAAAGAAATTATGTAATAGACAAAATCTTATAAAGTAATTTCTTTATAGTTAATAAAGTTAAATGTAATATTTTCATTCTTCTTTGAGGTTCATTAATCTTCCATAATTGCTTTCCTTATAATATCAATACATTTGTGTTCTGTTTCAAATGCATTAAATATTGCTAGTGCCTTAGTTAAAGAGATAAATTACATCTAAATAGTGTGTAACGCCATTTAAGGATTTAATCGAACTTGATTCAATTAGATCATCTAAAATGAATTATGCATCTTCAGGTTTGAACTTTTTTTCAATCTGTTATTTTTAATGTTTACCAATCTATGAGAAAACATAGTTTGCCAAATAAGCAGTGATATTTTTTAATAAATTAGAATGATAATAATCAAAGGCCTTTAGAAGTTATTTCTCCTTATAAATTAACCCTTAAACTATTAAGACAATTTCAAATTTATCAAACTCTCTTAAACAAAGAATTTCTTGGACACATATTAAAAATTGATTATAAAGCCACCTATCCTAGCTTCCTTAATAAAAAAAAAATAATCCTTTCAAAGGATGTTTATTAGTATCAAACCAGCCTTTCAAGCCAATTTCTGCTAAATCAAGCATTGTTTAAGCTTTCAAAATTTGGTTTAATTTTTGGTAAGACTCACATTATATTAAATACATGATTGAAACATATGGATGTAAAATATTACTATTTATTGATATTACTTTAGAATATCCATCTATAGTATTCTAAGCACACAAAATAGTCCAAGTTATAATTAACTTTTAACTAAGCCCATTTTTTGTTCCCTATAAAATACCTAATTAAAAATCGAGCACTTTTAATTTTTGATCAATTACTGTTATATCTGATAACAGATTCATTTTCAAAGAAAAATATACTTGTTATTTTGTTTCCTCATTCTTAATTCTATATTTTATTTTCTCTATTTAATTTGATTAATCTGTTAACAGTGATTGAGGCTATGAATTGTGATTATTCTAAAGAAAGTTAAAGTACATAGCATAAATCATTTATAAATAACTTGTATGATTTTTATTTTCTAGTTATAATTGCAAAGAGAAAAGAAAATTAATGTTTGGCAAATTCTATTCAATATTTATTATTATCCTTAAATGATTAAGGATTGCCTCATTTATTAGATCTTTATTAAATAGATGAATATAATCTTAATCCATCGTTTCATCACAAAGAAACTCGTAATCCGTTATCTTCAATTCATCAAGTTAAGAGATTGTCTTATATTCTGAAATCTAAGATTAAATAATATATACTAGTTAATTGTTAAACAAAGACACTATTGTTTTTTCTTATTTCATATATGTGTTGATATACTGAAGTATTATCTCAGAATATTTTAAAGCATTTTCGTAATCAATCAAATTCATGTAATATTTACATTACAAATGAGCTAGGAGAGCGTGCATTAAAGTACCTTCAGCATAATCATTTAATCTAAAGCTTAACAATTGAATGAAAGTTATACATATATTATTATTTTGGTTCTTCATATCCGATCATTGCGTTTACTGCATCCAACAATGATTCAAACAAATGCATGATGCGAATTAATTAAGGCTATTTTTTCAATTACAAAATACTTTCTTTTATAATTTCTTAGATTAATAAATAATCTTAATTCATCATAAGGTTAAACAATAAATACTAAGAATTAAATTTGACATCCTCAAAATACAAAAAGGTATTTGTATACTCAAAAAGATATTTAGAGGGAGCAGGCAGATAATTACTAGTATCTTTGAAGATGCATTCTACAATCATCATATCTTCTTCAAATCCTTAATGAATTTTATGAAAAATAAATGCCTGAGATTAAAGCAATCTTTATATCAACTAATACATTAAATCAACAACATCGTATTGTTGAATGTATAGAAATGAATGCAACAAACCAAGTACTAAGATCGAAGAATAACAATCTTCATTTAGGTTTTCCTAAATTTATTCATATGAGTTTCTAAGCTTTTAATAAAATTTAACATTACAATTTAAAAACTAACAAAACAACTAATATTATTGAAATTTACCCAAAGACGCATCAAACACTAAATTATCTACACATTCATTGTTAATCTAAGCAAATTTTAAGGCTTAGCAATAAAATTTTGGATTTGGTTCAAATTATTTAATTCCAAGTTTTGCCTTATCAAATAATGAATTATCTTGTGTATGAAAATTTTCAATGTGCTTGGGAGAAAATGAAAAACAAATTGATAGATAATAAAATACTTAGAGCTCCTCTAAACCTGGATGATAAAACCAGTGTTCATCTTTTATTTGAAGGCTCATATGAAACTCTTTTAGTAATTCAATTTAGGTTTACTTTTTAGTTTACCTAAAATGTTTGTAAGAACTGTGTTTGGGTAAAGTATGAGTAACAGGTTGGAGGTTATCAAGATGAAACATTTATTAAATAAGTCTGATTTAGTATATGCAGAAATATGTATCAACATTTTTGTAATTCACATTATCAATTTCATTTTAAATTATTAATCTATTTTCTAAAGTAATTTTTAAATTTGAAAACATCATAATTTAAAATTTAATAAAGTCCTCATCATCAGTTTAAATTAGTTAGAGCTATTTTTTTCTTCCAATATCATTCCATCTTAATTGCATAATTACTAAATATTTGCCAACATCACATTTCATTTCCTATTGTTACTCATTTTTAGAGATCTTCTCTTAATTTAATAGTCGTAATTGATTTAAATAAAATGTATAAATTGATTCATACACACCCTCTACTTATTAAAATTCTTTATAATAATCCTGAAAGCGTTCATTTTTACTGTCATATAAATTAATCATCTATAAGAACTTAAAATAGATCAGCTAGGTCAGATATAATTTATCTCCTTCCGTCAATACTTCAATCTTGGTATCAAGATCTTCACTTATAAAATGATCATCATCAATTGGGGATGACTGTTCAAGATTAATTAAACCAGGACTGTGATCAAGAGGAATATCTAAAAGGTTTGGAGTTGGGTCACGAGAGATTAGAAGTTCTTAATTTTATATGATATCTGAGAAATGAATACCAGCAAGAAGAAAGTTTTTGTTGAAATATTATTAAATAGCCTATATAGCTTGGAATTGATTTAAATACCTTTGCAATTATGTTTGATATTATATTAATATTAGGATATAATCTTGATTCTTTCTCAAAGTATTTATTAAATTTAATCTTTCAAAGGAGCTAATCGATGATTGTCCATCATTTTTTTGTTTTATTCTTCTCTTTAAAATGATATGTTATTCTATTTCGGATAAATTTTCAAGCTTTACATTTAAGCTTAATTATCGAAACATGATTCTTATCTAAGCACTACTTTTTTTTAAACCTTCAATTAACTTTAAAATTTCAGGTTAAAAATCTTTTTTTAAAGCAAACAAAGCAGAAATTTTAAAATAATATATTAACAAAATGTCTAGTATTCTTTTAATTTCATTTGATTTTAAAATGTAACTATTTAAATTTTTGGAAAATTAGTTTATAAAATGTGTTAACAAATCAGAAGATATGTTGTAATGATGTGTTTTTATAAAAGTTTCAACTTCATTAATTAGAACTATCACTCTATGAAATTATTTCATTCTTAGATGAAAATTAATTTAATGCTTCATATTTTCCATATATAATGAATAAGAATGTTCTTTAGATGTTGGAGCCAATTAAAAATCAATTTCAATAAATTGTTTTTAAATAGTAATTTATTCAAAAATTAGTTAAGGATTTTATTCATTTTATAATATTTCCAAAAGAAAATATCGTAGCGGATGATCTAACTACCCAATCTCCTCTTACAAATTTTCAATAGGCTTAAGAAGAATCATCTCAATCACCATCTAAACTAAAGATAAAACTTAATTTTTTTTTTCTTTGATTGAGTTCAAGATCATATATTAGTTTTTAATCAAAATGTAATTATAAATTGAAACATTTTATATTTATTTCTTCATCATCAAAGTAATGTTTGCAAAAAGGAATTATTGAAGTTCCTCATTAGTGTATTAGAGTGAGTATTTCTTTCTAAATTGTAAAACTTAAAAGAGGCTTTTACAATCTTTAGCCTAATATAATGAAACGCAATATCCTTTTATGAAAAAGTCATCGATTTAATCTAGAATATTAAGTAATTTTATATAATTCTTGCTCTCAGCTAAAAATACGCCTAAGTTATCATCATGAAATTATTAAAAAGTTAATTTTTAACCATGCCGTACCTAAAAAAACTACATCAAATATTCTTCATCTTCAATTTAGACAATCCAAAGAATATCATGTAGATGTTTCTTTAATTAAATTTTTGGAATTTAGTTCCATTCATCTATGCAGTATTAAAGAATATATTCCTCTAATTTTGTTGAATATTATTCAAATATATATGTATCTTTTGATTTATCAATAACATTTTTGTAAATTTCAGATTTTAAAGGCTGCAGATAATAATATTTTTGCTTTATTGTGCCATTAATAGAAGGGAATTCAAATATCCTCTTTTACCTAGTCAAAAATAAAAATATATTTTTACTCATATTCCAACATTACAAACAATTCTAGAAATGAATTTAAAGTGTATTAATTAATTGATGAATAGTGGACTAATGTAGTAAATCGTTTATGAATATCTGATTCAAATTTAACTTCTTCTAATTTTTTCATGGCTTCATAATACTCTAAAGCAAATTTGATTGAGGGTTTTTTAATAATTTATTTTCGAAATCCTCTAAAGAATAATCCTTTATATCTAAAGATCTGAACCTTTCTGCAACTCAACCAAGATTTCTTTTCAACATAATTACGATATTTTATCAGTATTTCTTCATACTCCTTTTCTTCTTCTGGGGTTAATGACTTTCCAAACTATTTTAATTGCCTTCTAAACTTCAAAGTTGCTTTATTCTTATAAAATTCAAGTTAACTATTAAAGCTTTAGCTTAATATTTTAAATCTTTTGTAATCTAAATTTTAAAATATTTTTTTTTTTCTTTAAATGTAAGATTAGCAAAGAAAAAATCTGTAATCACTCCAAATTAACTTGTATGAGGATAATAAGATCAAACGAAAAAAAAATCTCCAAATTCTGGTTCTATCTCCTTTTAATTGTTTTTCTGAAACATTGCTATACTATATTTAAAAAGCATAATTTGTAGTTCTTTTAGAGAAATAATTTAAAAAAAATTTATAATCTAGTTATTCCACTTAGTTTATTTTCTTAATTAATTCTTTAATTTTAAATTAATATTTTTTTTTTATATATGTTTCTTGTCTGTTCATATTCTCCTTATAGCAAGAAAAAATTGTCCTACTTATTTATTCAGAAACTTCCGTTTGTATTTTTCTTTAAGTATTATTAGGAGTATAAAGTTGATTTTGAGCTTCACTTTTTTACGTTAACTCATTTAACTTTTATTAAAGTTCATCCTCTTCTTTTAGAATCTTTTTTGAAATGGCTTCACTGTTTTTTAATTAATAATCTGTAATTTCATTATCTGAGCTAATGGTTTCGAAATTATCTGAACTCTATGTTCCGATGGAACCAAAAATTTTATATAACGGGCAACGTTACAATTAATTTCTATTATTTTCTTCTAACGCCCTGCTTAAACTAGTTGTAATTTATACATTATTTTTAAACAAATAATGGCATCTTCTCATTATTTATTCTAAAATTGTAGGAGTCCCTCCAAAAAGTGACATTGTTATATATTTCACAAAAAAGTTATAAAATAATAAAGGCAAAAACAGCAATACTACTTAATCTTGCAATTTACCATAATAGTAAATACAAATTAATCCTGAATTGCATAAAAGGGTAACAAAATTTATTAATTAATTAATTTCCTACCAAATTCCAAGTGAACCATCTCCTTTAGGCCACGGTCTTTGAATTTGATATAATAATCTATACTTTTAAATCTGAAATTAAATAATTATCCAAATCCAAAACAGCGCTATGCTAAATGGAAACAAACATCCGAATAAATTAATAAGCGCCAAAAGCAAAAAGAATTCCATATATTCATTTATAATACCGTATTTTTCTTAACTATTCTAAAAAGGAGTTTTTTATTCCTGCTCTTAAATGAATTAAATTAAACTTAGATTTAAAGATTATTGTTTGTTAGATTCATAATTTTTTTTTTCTTAAAAGAATAATTTAACAAATTTTATCACTTAAGCACAAAATATCCAACAAATAGTTGTTCCGAACAAGTATTAAACCTATTATTTGCAATTCTCCTCTTAACAATATAAACTTAATGGACTGTGAAGAAAACACACTATCATCAATGGAAACAATTAAGAAAACCAATATAAAGTGTACTTTTTCATGATATAGCTGGTTTCATATTGTAGAGAGGTTTGATAATTTTCAAAATCTGTCAGAATTGTGGCTATTTATTCGTAATATGAATCTATTAAATATTAAATTCCATAATTCAAGGACCCTGAAATTATTACTTCCAAACATTAAAATTCATTGCCTGCTTGATCTAATATAGTTTTCAAAAAAAGATTAAAAAAGTAAAGACCAATAATAATTCCTATGTCTGAACCAATCAAAAATATTAAAACAGAGACTGAAATAATTATTCTTTTAATAATCTCAGAATGAATAGCCTCCTAAGAATTTAATTGATCATTTCCAACTGATCTTATGTGCTTACCTTTGAAAGCTGTTCGGGTAAAGCTTTCTTTTGCATTTTTATTTTATCCATATTTGATATTAAATGTTAACTGCATTTGATTCCAATAATCAGTTACAAATGAGCTCCAATGAATTAATAAAATTGAAAAAGAAGATACAATTCCTGTAAATACATCTTCATCATAAAATTTTGATAAATATGTAAATATGGTATAGATTATCCCAATAAGGGATAATAACCCATAATATTTAATATAATAAGCTGAGAACTCGAAATAAAGACCTATTTTTTCTCCAAAATAAGAACAAATTTATTCAATAGGCAAATTCCAAGGGGTTCTAAAATTGAAAATCCATTCTCCAGCAAGATCAAATGGCTTTTTCTTATAACAATCTTTATCTTCGCTTAAAGCCTCTTAGAGACTGTTACAATGGCCGAATAATTCATAATGATCGTGTAAACAAAATAAACTGTTAACTAGCTTCAAATTTATCAAAGTATTTAAATTTAAAGAAGAACTTATAAGTGACTATGATAGTTTTAATCGTTCATGAGAAGGAAACAAAGTTATTTAATTTTTCTCATTTTTAATATACCTACACCATTTTATTTGAAATTTTGCCTATTGCTTTAATGATGAATTATTAAAATGAACTTTGAAAGGAATAAAAAGCTCAAATGGAGTATAATTGTTCCTATCCCATATAGATTTCAAATATTGTTTTGGGGTATTCGCTACTTTTAATGCTTCTTTAAATATATTTAAATAATTGTGAGCTAGCTATTACTACAGAAGCAGCTTAATTTTTTTAATTTTTGGAATCTTAGAAAATATTGGTAAAGCTTTGTATTGAGATGAAAGTTCCCTTATTTAATCATAGATTTTTTGGATTTTTTCTTATTCCTCTGGGTTAGATTAAATAAATTATTTAAATTTTTAATGATTTCTAATTGCATAGATTTATTCAGCGGTTTTTTGCTCATTTATTACTAAAGCAATATCATTATTTATTTAAAACTTTTGTCTCTGAATTTAAACATTATTATTTAGATGCACTAGATATTTATAAAAAGCAGTCCACTCTTCATCTGAAGGGCCTTATTCATCTCCATAAATTTCTGATTTTTCATACTCAAATAATTCTGTATTTAATCCACTTTGTCCGGCTTCTCTTGCTAACTTTTTGAAATTAATTCTCTAAATCTAATCAATAATCAATGGTCTTAAATATATCAAATAAGGTGAGAGATTATATTCATCAGGTCTCCATAATCTGCCATTTAATCTCAGAGGTCTAAACTCGCTATCCACTGGTTCCAAGGAAAGTAAATCAGTGAAGCAAAAGCTTAATTTTTTTTACAAACCAAAATTTTCTGCTGCCACTTCTAAGGATTTTTCTGGAATATACAACAGAAGGTAAATTTTTGAACCATCCTTTGACAAAACAGGTTTAACGTTGTATCCCTTTCTTGAAAATTAAACTATAAGAATATTCCGTGTCAAGGTTAAAAGATCTTATGTATCATTATTCGTTCTGTACCAAACTTTTCCTTGGGTTTTTAGGTATTCACCCTAACTGTAGGCCTTTTTAGAAATATAAAACAAGCCTTAAAGATCAACCTATACCAAATCAATAATATTGGCTAACCCTTAATTTTTGCTGGCATGATCTTTGAGAAAATTTCGAAATTTTCTAACTAACTTATTGACAGAATCAGCCTTCTCATAAATTGGGAAAACTTCTGTCTTATTTTCCTAATTATGATTATCATCCAAAATGATAGATCTGGGAGATCGATCTGGAGATCTTTGAAATAATTATTAACCTGTCCCGCAACCAATGAGGGTATTTCTATTCTAATTAGGTTATGTTTCTACACCTCTGGTTCTTAGTTCAAATAAAGAGTAGAATTTGCGATCTGATAAATTAGCGAAAACATTTTCAATAGCTTTTAAGAACAATTTGTCATGTATAGATTTTTCATCAATTATTAAAGACTTGACAATTTGTTCAAAGTATTCTACCTATTTAAGAGGATATTCAAAGTCATCAGGTATTATGTCTGGGTTTATGAGGCTAAAAATAATTAATTACGATGAAATTTTACCTTATTACTGTCTCTGGTAAATCAAATTCTTCATAGGCATCTTCATCTTATTAGAATAATTACACCCTTTGGTTGGTTTGTCTCTCATCTTAAAAAGTTATTTCTTGTCCAAAAAGCATTTTAAGATATTGTTCATATATTTAAACGAAACCTTCAATTGAATCTTATAATCTTTATTTTTTAGTTTTGGTCTTTTAATTAGGAACCAGTGGTTGAAAATACGATTAAGAGAATTTGGATGCAGTAAATGGGGATTACTTTAATCGACTTTTCCTAAAATTCATTTCAATAATGGTTGTTTAAAGTTTTTAATTTATTATAAACAATTTAGGAAATATTATATATATATTTATTAACCCTAAATATATGTAAAATTCTGAATATAAGATTACAATTAGGGACTATATATTAGAAAATTATAAATAGTATAAATTTCATTTAATTCACAAACAAATCAATCCAATAATCCCTAAAATAACTCGTTGTGTAATTTAATTTAACCTCTAGATATTCTTAGAAGTTAAGTTTATTAATTTTATGATTCTTAATCTGCAAGATTTTGTAATTCCGTTTCATCGTTTCCTTTTTTATTCAAGACATGAATTGATCCTCTTTCCCCTGCTTGAATTTAATGTCTCCAAGGATTTAATAAAACTTGATCATAAAAATCACCATTCCACATCACTTTAATTTCATTTCTCTGAAATGCAATAATAGCACTAATTCCTATTGTTGGAAATAGAGTAAATGATGAAACAGGCAAAGGTATAGAATAAAGAGATGAAAATGTAAACCATAAGGTCAATCCAACTTGTAAACCTATATATGATATTAATCTATAAATTATAGAATCCTTATATCGATCAACTCTATGGGCATAAGCAAGGAAAAATGCAGGAAACAAAATAGAAGTGATGGACAACCAGCCGCATTTTTTTTTATAAATAGGATAGAAGTATGGAAACTAAGCAGTAAGAGGTGTATTAAAGTATTTCATAACAAGACTATCCCACTCATAGCGAACAAAAAAGCTACCATATATTGAAAAAAGGATGTCCATTATTATGCAGGGAATAAAAAAGTGCAATCCATTTTTTAAGCTTGTTATTTTGAATAACTTGATTGAAGTCCCAACCAAATAGATCGTTAATAAATTGCTAATCTATAATATTTAATAATTTTAATACAATCCAAGGTTCATTAAGATCTACATACAAATGTAAAGTTATAATAGTTACAAGTAATCCAATGATATCGCAAGCCCTTAGGATGGAAACGATTCGTATTTTTAAAAATTTCATTTTGTAACAAAGCTAAATTAAATAGAAAAGCTCACTTCACTAATTAAAATAAATCCAAATATTAAGCAAAAGCATCGAACTATATTTTCTTCTAATTCTTCTACTGCTTTTTCAAATACATATGCTGCAATTACACCTACAGCAAATATAGTATTATATATAATAGCCCCTTTCAAACCTAAATGAAATCCTTAAAACACAACAACATTTTTATTATTCAATTTATCATAATAGGTGATTTTAAATGCACTTAATTTTTATTACCTCGCTAGAAAGAGGACAAAAGTTGACATTGTTACAATTAAAATCAAATAGCTCCAATCAAATCTTTTTGGATGGAAATTAGGATCGCAAATATACTAATATGAAAATTTCAGAGATTGATTGGATATTTTGAGGGTAATATCAATTACAGCCCAATAGTTTTCCTTTGCTAATTTCTTCTCACAAAAATATTGGATATTTATGATCTCAACTCCCTTTTTCTGGACTACAATATTATTAGTATTATCTAAAAAATTAAATAAAATTTACTTAGTGCTATCTTCATAGTCTAGCCTTTTTAAGTTGTAAGACTCAAAGAATCTATAATTAAATCTTTATCACCAGTGTTTATTATATTTAAGGGAGTATATGCAACTTGTTAATTCACATTAGATTTAATGTATAATAAATCCAATGGAGAACAATTGCTCCAACGAGTCTCCTTTAAGCTAAATTATTAATTAAGTTGCTCATCCTAATAAATTACATAGGTAATAGACTATTAAGTTAAAGGACCCAATGTTATGGCTAAGTTTCTTATAGCTTAAAATTAATCAATAGAGATTATAATTAAAAAAAAAATCATATAATAATTTGTTTTTGTATATTTAATAATAATTCAGCAAGATTTATATTTTACGACTTAGAGATAAATGAATTGATGGTAATATATAATTCAATGCATAAATAATAAACAATAATCAAAGTGTTTTTTATTATAAAACTGTAATAAATTCTAAATACGAAATTTATCCCTCCTAGTCTGCATTGCACTCAAGGAGTATTTATTCCCAAACTTCATCTTCTAAATGACCCATGATTGCTTCAAGATCCTATTTAGAAATAAATCCATCACCATTCTAGGAATTAATTTATTCTTATTTACTTAATCAAAAATCTTAAATGCTTACTCAATTCTTTAAACTGAAAATAATTTTTCTTAGTTCATGGCAGCCATACAGAACTCTGAAAAATCTATCATACCTGATCTATTCACATCAATCAAATCAATAATTCTCTCTACTTCATCTTCAACAAGTTTTGAATCAAATTTCAATTACGAATAACCCTTCATAAACTCTTCTTTTGAAAGTATTCCATCATGATTTAAATCTAGTTTAGTAAACTCATTTTAAATCTCTTGGATTTCTTTTTAATTTGACATTTAAGTGATCATATATGACATTAATGCTTATTTCAGAAGTGTTTACGCCTTAATAGTTAATATTTTAATCTACTTGAAATTATCTAATGTTCTCTAACACCCTTAAATTTAGTTATGTTGCAGGATTGTGCTTTACTAACCAAGGATCATCTAATGCTTCCTTAGCTGACAATCGCCTTTTAGGATCAACCCTTAAGAGTTTTTATATAAATAATTTAGCTTCTTTGGAAATGTCCTCCCAATCTCTACCTATTATGATATAAATTTAATAATTATAATACTTTCAAAAACAAAGACACCTTATTTCACTCTCTCCAAAACTTGATGAACTGTCCTCCCTGTAAAAGGGGGATATCCACATAATAAAACATAGAGAATGATCCCGCAAGACCACAAATCACATTTTTCATCATATTGATGGTTCAATACTTCTGGGGCAACATAAAAAGGCTAGGAATATGGATAATTTTACAGTTCCAATATCTTTGCTCATGGATTTATTTTTATCAAATTTTCGAGATGTACCAAAATCTATAACCTTTAATTATGAATTAGGGTCTTGATTAACAAAAATAACATTTTCTGGCTTTAGATCTCGATGAACTATATTTTTCTCATGACAATATAATGTAGCCAATAGTATTTATCTAATATAATTAGCTGCAACATTTTCAGTAAAGCATGTCATTATCTTTATTCTCTCCAAGAGTTCTCCTCCAGATAAATATCTAAATTTAATAACTGTTGATACTCAGTGACTAAATAATAATTATTTGTATCTTGATAAAGTTCAAATAATTTTAAAATGTTAGGATGATCAAGATTTTTTAAAATATTCATCTCCGAAAACATTCTTTATTTCTCTTCCTTTAATATTGAGCTCTTTTTTATCTATTTAATTGCTCTAACGAGGTTGGTAATTTTATGAGTGACTTTCCACACCTTTCCAAAACCTCCTTAACCTAATACCTTATCGAATTTATAATGTGAATTTATTGATCCTTCTTTCAAGTGAATGAAAATATCCTATCCAAGCTTGATTCTAGTAGCCGTCCCTATTTAACTTAGACTATTCATTCGACTTTATTACGTAGCTAATAATTCAGAATGGATTTACTTTCAACTACTATAGTCTTAGACAATTACTACATTTCTTATAAAACCTCAAGATTATGTCTATGCTCTATTTCCGTATTTAGAACTTCTTATTAGTTTGCAATCTCTTTGTGAGTTTTACTCCTCTCTAAAGAGCAAGGGGATACTGAATTTTCTATTCCTATTAGGTAGAGTAGCCTTACTCTTTTTTGTGCCCTTTTATGAAATTGAGGCTTTGGAAAGAGGTTATGGTGTGAAGTTCGATATTTCATCTAAGTCCAAATCTAATTCATCTGAAGATAGGATATAAAAGAACCTTGACGAATAAAGTGATCAATTTTGCAACAATGAGATCCCATTTAAATAATTATGTAAACTTATTATTTATTAAAATCAACATCAGTTTTTTAATTTATCAAATGAATTGGCAGTCTCATTATTTAAAATATAAATTATATTTAACCAATTTTAATAAAATATTCAATTTAGCTCTATAAAGGATACTCTAACCTCCTTAATTTGCACAATCCTTATGGTTAAATGCAAATTCTGATTAGTTGAGTAAAGAAGAGAATCAACTAATGTTTTAGGTTATTGATTATCATAATTAATCGAAAATATTTTTTATTTTTGAATTATTTAAATTATACTTATATTAAGTAATTTATTTTTAATTAGCGATGCTTAATGAATTTAGAACGTAGTTGCCGATATTCTAATTTAGAGAAAAAATCATCAAATCAATAAGAGATAGTAATAGCATTTTACTATTTATTAGATTAGGTGATAATTATAGCAGGTGAAACAGGTTGTGGTAAAACAACACAGATCCCTTAATATATTTATGAAAATGATCCAAATGTAAAAATAGCAGTCACTCAACCTCGAAGGTGTCATTTGAACATTAATTTTTAGAGTAGCAGCTATGACTCTGGCAGAAAGATGTTCATTAGAAAAATAGACCAAATTAGGATAATTAATTGGATATAATGTCAGATTTGATGATTGCACAAGTAAAGAAACATAAATTACATTTTTGACTGATGGTATGCTCATCAGAGAATTCATAATTGGTATTTTTGTGGATTATAAAGATCAATAATTAAAACGATATGATGTTATTATAATCGATGAGGCTCATGAAAGGACTGTATAATCAGATTTGTTATTGGGTTTGTTAAAAAACTTATGCAGAAGAAGAAAATAATTGAAAGTAATTTTGATGTCTGCAACTATGTAAATTGAGAAGTTTGCAAATTACTTAGAAACAGAAGCAGTAATACTTTTGATTTACCATTTTAGATTCACATAATTGAAGCAAGAACTCATACAGTTGATGTATTCAATGTTCCAATAAGGCAATAGGATTATGTGGTAAAGAATTTCATAATTTAGGAATCCATGGTCAACACAATATTATAATTACATTTTACTTAACCTGAAGGAGATATTCTGGCATTTTTAACAGGTTAAGAAGATATTGAAGACGTTAAAGAAATTCTTATAGAGAGAATGAAAATATCAAATCAAGAAAAATAATTAGATGTTAAAATGCTATATTCAGCTTTGCCTCCTGAAGTATAACTTGAAGCATTTCAAAAATCTGTTCATAGAAAAGTAGTCTTGGCTACCAATATAGCTGAAACTTCAATAACAATCGATGGTATTGTCTATGTTGTTGATTGTGGTTATGTGAAGATTAGATCCTTTCAAATAGGGAAAGCTATTGATACCTTATTATTGGCTCCAGTTTCAAAGGCTTAAGCAGAATAAAGGGCAGGAAGGGCAGGGAGATAGAGATAGGGACAATGCTATCGTCTTTATACTCAATAAACTTATGAAAGATTAGCAAAATACATGTTACCTGTATGAATATTAAACAAATCAAAATAGGAAATCTTGAGAGTGAATCTATTATCAGTAATACTTTAAATGAAGGCAATTGGAATTTAAAATGTATTAACCTTTGACTTAATTGACAGACCTGACATGGAATTAATGCTTGCCAATCTAAATCAATTAGTAAAATTGAAGGCCTTGGATTCTGAGTTTAATTTGACAGAGCATGGAAAAAACATGTCTAGCTTGCCTTTGGAACCTTAATTTTCTCATTTTTTAATAAAAGCATATGAATGTGGCATATTCGATTTGGCATTAAATTCAATTTCGATATTGCAAGTGGAAAATTTGTTCTACTTTTAGAGGGGGACCAAAGAGAGCATGTAGAAAATCTTAGCTAAATTTAAAATTGCAAATTCTGATCATTTGACGAAAGCCAATATATTAAGGAAGTACGAAGAGACTTAAAATAAAAAAAGCTTTTGCAAAGAGAATTGTCTAAATCATAAGACTTTGCAAAAGGCAATGAGTGTTAAGCAACAATTAAAGGACTATATGAAAAGAATCATTAAGAAAGAATTTGAAAAAGAGGATTATGACAAATTTAAATAAGTGCTCTCTGAGGCTTTAATGTTTAAACATGCAGTATATTCTCCTTCTGATTAAGCCTACAAATTAAAAGTATGAATTTAAATAATGAAAAGCAAACAAATTAATTAGCTTATATTCATCCAGAATCTGTATTATTCAATTAAAAACCTAAATATGTCATTTACAATGAAGTCATCTTAACTAAGAAAGTATATTTAAGAGATGTTACTGAGATTGATGAATTATGATTTTATTATTGTATATTTTATTATTATAATCGTTAATTTTATTTTAAACGATCATATTTCACAATTTTCTATGAAATAAAGATATAGCATATCTGAACCTCCTATTAATAAATTGGAGCAATTAAGATAAAAATTTCAAAAATAACTCACTAAAGTCAACACAAAAGGATATGTAGATTGTGGGTTGGGTAAATTAATATAAAATGATGTTGGATCAAGAATTTCAGTCATAAAAAATTCATTCTTAGAGAAATTATAATCAATCAATTCATCTGAAGAAGACGAGAGAAATCTACTAAAGTCAATTTAATTCGATGTCAAACATGCAATCTAAAGATATTAGCAAAGAATAGAATCTATTGCATAACTATAAGTTTAAAGAAATTCAATGAGATCATGCTCTAAAGAATTGGTCTAATACTTTACAACTCCTTAATAAGATAAGTACCTTTAATTTGATGCATAAGAATAATCAATGAGATCCTAATATGAAAGTCATAAACCTAATGAAATAATCAGCATTAGCAAGGATCAAATAAAGTAGAAGAAGGACATATTAACGAATAAAAAATCGGATAAAACTTTTAAAATTATTTAAGCTAAAAAGAAATAGGTAGGACCTGTTAAAAAAAAATAAAACGATTAATCTCTAACAGGAATTAGTATATTAAAAAATCAATCATTAAATAAAGACAGAACAATTAGTTAAAAGTCTACCAGACAACCAAGTGTTAAAGAAATATCCTTAAATTTAGAGTAACGAAGATCAACCGATAGATTATCAAAACACTATAATACTTCAAGATAAAGAAATTCTGTATTATCCAGTCACTATAATCAAAATATTAAACCATTATAATGATTCAATCAAATTTTTATTATGATTGATTTACAATAGATATTCAAAATCTACTTTTTTTTGAATGAGATGTATGTCTGGTATGACTTGGGGAGGGTAATGTTAATACTCTTGCAGTGTTGTATCCACTTGCTGGATATGAGTACATGGATGTTTAATTTGCTGTGTTTTCTCTTATTGAGGCAAAACTTAAGCATTTTGCATTCTTCTATCTTTTTATTGAATCTAGGATTGGAGCCAATTCAATAGGTTCAAAGTAGTTTTATATTGCAAATTATTAATTGTATCTAAGAATTAAGTATTAGAAATGTAATACTTCTTAACATCAGCTTGTTTGATCTGTTCAATTGATATCTTTTTTATCTATTTGAAATTGTCAGCATCTAAATCAGTAAAAAATGGATTTCTAAAAGTAATCTAATTTTAGATAATGTTTGATCTTAACTTCCTACACCTCTCCTATTGTTTTCCATTAGATTTTATTGTTCTTTATTTTTTTGGATTTTATTTATTCTATTCATCAAGTTCTCTAATACTAATTTCAAAAAATCATAAAATATAATTACTTATTTCAGGCTAGTAAACCAATTATAAACTTTATATTTTAGGTTCTCTTCTGCAAGTCTATTCGGCTGCCTGTAAAGCTTTCTTACTATAATCGTCTCCAAGTTATTCAAAAGATTCGCAAGTAAATTTGTACACCGTAACCTTTTAAGTTAGGCAGATGGCTTAGTTATCATATGGTTAATTCTTTAGCACATTTTATACACCAAAAAGACTGCCCGGAGTTAAAACCATAATTGGTATATATATTTAAGTAGAATTTTTGGAAATTTATTCTAATTTGACTTCTCCATCTGAAAGAATGTAGAACCCAGAAGCAATTTCTCCCTGCTTATAAATGCAATGGTTTTTGGGGAAGATTTGAATCTACAAAAGATAAGCAAGACGAATCAAAGAATTTATAGATAATTTCGGAAATAAAGTAGCCAAAGCATTTGTCTTCAAATTCAATTCTCTTTACATGTACTATGCTAGAAATAAATAAATTACATTAGTCATTTTAGCATAATTGTCCTTACTGAGACTACAAAGGATAACTGTTGATTGTGCTTTAATAGTAGCAAAACGAGGCTTATTTAATGAGAGAGCCAATTCACCAAAAGTTTCACCTTCTTTTAGGTGACCGATCTTTACATTTTAGTCCATAAAAATCTATTCTGACAACACAGAATTCGGTTCATAATTCGAATTGACATTTTTTCTGTATACACTAACATTGCCTTGAAGTATAATATAAAATCTAAATGATAACAAAATAATTTACTTGTCTCCTTTATCACCCTCTCGACAAATTATTTCTCCACTTTTGAAACTTTCTAAGGATAAATAATTGGAAAATTCTAAAAGTAAATGACGAGCATTTTGTTTGATTTTTTCGCCCCTTAAGAATTCAGCGAAAAACTTTATTTGCTCTAAAGCCTCAGAAATTTAAGCTTTAATTTCATTAGGTCTCTTTTAAGGGTCAGGATAATGAGATAAAGCATGAATTAATACTTACATTAAATTATCTAATATAGATATATATCAAATAAATTGATCCTTTATTCCTTATTAGATAATTTAATTTGTTTTCTTACTCATGAAATTATGAAATCTTATCAGATTAATTCAACATACTACCAATAGTATATGAGAGAAGAAAAACACTTGCATTCAGATATCTCTAAACCCCATTCCATAGAAATAACAAATATCCTCAATAATTTAAAAGAATCATACTTTAAAATAAATAATTCATATACTTCTATGTTTTGATTATAAAATCGATAAATTATATAATTAAATCAATTTTGTCTCAATTATGAAATCACTTACATTCAATAGAGTGCTAAAAATTGCAATATCTTGGTTTATTACTGTATTAGCAGAAGAAGAAGCTGTCCTTGTGTTGACCACAAAATACTACAACATTCATCTTGATACATTCTTGATACATGGAAGTCTTTTTTTTTTTAATTTGTTGGCCCTTGGTGTGAACAATGTTAAGAGTTTTAACTTATAAAATAGCAAGGATTTTCAACTTGTATTTTCTGGAGCAGAAATCGAAGAGAGAGATGAATCAAAAGTGTAAAGGACTTAGTGAAATTCAGAAAAATTGAAGATCTCGAGTCCTTAATGGAGTTGCTTATAACTACTAAGATTGGTAAATTTCAAATTTACCATTTTAAATTGAATTTAACTTTCTCTACACCAAATCATGGTTCCTAATCATTCAAACAATATGAAAGATTTCTTTAGGATTAATACTGTTACAAATATCATGATATGGTATGTAATTTATAAAAGGCTCATTTTAACTATGGTTTATGGTTTGACAGAATTAGATCATTTTAAGGAAATTTTACAAGACTTAGATAAATTAAAGAAATACTTGAGATCTGGTGATATTCCTTTACATAATAATGAAAATGTGAAGACAGTTGTCAACATAACTTCGAATTGAGTCAAAAAGATATTTGGTTCTAACCAATTTCTTTGATACAATTTATGTAAAGAAATTGCTCCATTAATTATGCCATGGCTATAATAGATTCGAAATATAAAAATCGTTAAATATGACTAATCTGTTAACAAAGTATTTTTTAATTAAAACTAGATTCAAGCATTTAATTTAGACATTTTCCAAAAAATTCACTCTCGAATATGGAGAAAAGCAAAGTATTTGGAGACATACTGTTGATAAATTCTTGTTTTTCTTAAAAAAAGTACTCCTCTTATTAGGATTGTTAAAAAGAAGGCGTCAAGAATGTATGAGTCTATTTTCAGTTTATATACATATCATAAATCCAATATGTATTTTAATTCAAAAAATACTTGTTATTATTATTTTCCCAATACAACAATTATATGGGAAGCGCATAGTGCTGCACCAAATAGTAATTAGAAGAAAAGGAAACTGAAATTTAAATAAAATAAGATGCTATTATGAAATAATCAGGAACCTAATAAGAGTATTTAGTATTTGTTAATCATATTAATTATAGCAATCCATTACCCAAAAAGAAATTATCATCTCGAAAAAGTAGTCCAGATGAACCAGGAACCCCAGGGTTTGCAGATCTCAGATCTCAATAGAGCAAAAAGTCTGAGCAACATCAATCTCATTCATAAAAAGAAATATAATTAATTGGGTAGTTGGAAAAACACGATAGTCCTTTTAAATCATAAACTTCTATTGGAAAAAGAAAGAACGATTCCCCTGTTTGCAATTTTGAAGCTACTAATAAATTAAAATCCTTAGACAGTAATCGTTTAAAGAAAATACAAACATTTGAGGAAAAATTGAATAGCAGAGATCTATCGCCAATAGAAGATGATGGAATGTTGGATAGCTAGAGAAGCAAATAGGCAGATGAAAAGTCTGTGAAGAGCATATTGAAATAAGAATTAAAGTACAGTAAGTTTAGAAAACAGGACACAACCTTTGATGCTGGGTAACGAAAAGTTTAATTTTGCATTGAATGAATTGAAATTGATGATAAAATATACAATGCTATAATGTATTCTCTATCAGAAATTATTTTTAATCTAATTTATGAAAAAGAACACTAAACAACAGAATCTAAAAACAATTATTTTTAGATTAATTTAATATTATATATGAAATAAATCATTGCGCTGTTTGTCTCATTTGATCTAATTCTGACAATGTGTTTTTACTTAACATTTATTCATGTTTAAGCATTTCATCAATAATGCCTTTTTTTGCTTAAGATTTTTCTTTCATTTATTCAAGTAATGTATCCTAATATTCCTTGTAGATTTTCTTTTTCTCAATATCTCTTTCCTTTTCAAATTAAAAATAATTAGTAGTATCTTCTTTCCATAAGGTAGCCTAGCTTTTAAATACGCAATTACTTATTCTTAATCCTTTAATTTTTCTCTTTGCTTTTAAACGTCTCTTTCCTCCATTTATTTATTCAAATACTCTCTTGTTTTTAACTTAGTTTCCCACTTCTTTCTTTCTGCTTCCTTTTCTAATTCTTGCAACCTTCTCTCTTTTCTTTGTTCATATTTATCAGCCCTTTTTTCTAATTGCCCAATTTTTTCTTATTATAGAAATATCTATAGTACTTTCTAATTCCTTCTCTTGCATTTCCATAGCCTTTTCCTAATATTATTTAATTTTTTCATCCCTTTCTTTCATTGCTTTCTATCTTTCCTCCTCCTATTTATCTAGTAATTTGCAATACGCATCCATTAATCTAATATTCTCCTATCTTTCATCTTCCTTTTCTTTCTCTTAGATCTTTTTCTTCTCTTCATTTTCGGACATTAATTTTTACATGACCTAATATTGATGTTCCTTTTTAAATTGAAGAAACTTTTATTCATCATCCAATTCTTCCCTTACTTTCTATATCATATAGCTGTCTAATGCCTTTTCTTATTTCTCTTCAACTCTTCTATTTTTTTTGATTTCCTTAACTTATTAATCTCTAGCTTACTTCTCAATCATTTTAATATATTTAGCCTAAAAATACAGAACATATTTACTCTTTCTGCTTTTTCTTATTCTTTCTAATCAAATAATGTACATTGATACATCTAATTTTCATAGAATGCATTTTCTTCCTTTTTACTCAACACTTTTTTTGATTATTTTTCAATGACTTATTTATCCAACTCTTCCTTAATCTTTTTCTTTCTCTCTACTTCTCTTTGTTTTTTAATATCAGTTTCCTTATCATAGAGATATTTATTGTATTTGTATATTGCACCCCATTAATTTTCTTCATTCAGAAATGCCAGGTCGTTCTCTATCTTCTTTGTATGTAATCCAGTCATTTTCTAGCTCTTCTTTTCTTCTGTGTTTTTTTCAGTTTTGTGAGTGTATTAATCTACCATATCAAAATTCGATGCTCCTGACATTTTTGAAACAACTGATTTTTAATCATCTTCATCTTTTTACTTAACTTGATTTGAAGATTATTATTATTATAATTAAGGCAAAGCCTTTTAACGACTGATTTCTTATTCCAAATTTTATATCCTAGATTTATAATAAACTCAAATACCCTTCGGCAGTTATAGTTTAATTTTGATTAAGATAGCTATTTACTTTTGCATGTATTTATTCCGTCAAATCCAAACCATACTTCTTAGATAATCTATCAGCTATTTGTCTTTTGATTTCTTCCCTTTATTCTGAAGTATAGTTTTTACGAGACAAAGTCGACTACCCTGCAGATTATAGTTTATTTTTTGGATAAATCATTTATTATATATAAATAAATATAAATTATTAATAAAGAGACAACTATTTAAAAAACTCTTGATCCTTCATTTGACAAGGTCCTTTCAACAAATTGAAAATGTATAATTGGATAGGATAACCAAAGAGTTAGGAACTTTGTCTTAATATTATTAGGAAGTGTCTTTTTGAGTTCTTACGAGTTTGTTAAAAACCATATAACTTAAAAATTTTATTTATTGAACAATCAAATAATTATTTCTGCAAAATAACCGAATATTATCAAAGTATTAGGGCTACACATCAAACTTTGATATTTAATATCTAAAAACTCCATTTTATTTACTCGAATCACTAGAAGAAGCAGCTAAATTTTGTAACCGACTTAGCTTAAACCATTTGATTCTAATCTTTATCCCAATCCTCCCTTTTATGAGTTAATAATTTCTGTATTAAATAAGCGTATGTATTTAAGTTTGAGGAGAGGAGTTTTTCAATTGAATGTTCATACTTTTTTCACGATTTTTTTTGAATGAATTAATTCTAAATTGGTCTAAACATTTTGCCAATTATTAAACTTTGTTAATCTATGATTACTTTTTCTAAATTATTTATAATTTGAAACTATTTAATATTATAGTAATTTGTCCTCTTTATTATTGCTTTGAATTTCTAAATTTTCATTTTACTATTAATTATCCATCGAGGAGATTGGATATAAAGCAAGTAATTTCTGGAATGATTATATTAGCAATATAGAAGCTAACTAATTTAAATAAATAAAATATTCATCATTTCTACTTTTTAATTAAAAAATAATATATAAGCTGATTAACAGTGTTGTCTTCAATATTAGCTTGGTAATCATGCAAATAATATGTTTTCTAAAACTTTAAGTATTATGTAGTCATAGGATATTATGTTTACTCCATTTGGAGACATTCTTCAGATTTTTTTACTTCACCTTGCTAGCCCTTCAATTTTGAAAGCAATTCTAGAATATATTGGATGATTTACGAAAATATTGCATATTCAATTGATCTAATGCATTTTCAGATAGTTTGTACAATTATTAGTTTTATTTAAAGTTATACAAATTAGTGATGGCTTCGATTTATTGATTCATTTCCTAGTGTGCCTTCAAATATTATAGATTATTCTATTAAAATTTTGAATATTTGATCAATAGGCCTAAAGATTTAGTGATGTAATTTAAGATAATTAAAAACAGTAGAATAATTCCAATTGCAAGTAAAGCTAAAATTTGCATATTTCTCTGAATCTCCCAAGCAAATAACTCATATATGTCCTAATTGAGTAAATCTACTTATTGGTAAAGTTCAGTTATGTTCTTGAATCTTAAATAATGGAATTAATTACATGATGACAATATGTGGAGGATAAGGAGGATACTCAAGCTATTTTGCAATTAAAAGGACTTCTTAGCGATACAGTGAATTATATCTACATAAATAATTTGAGACATCTAAAGAGCAATTATTGAGAGATTTGAAATCAACTTTATTCGATTTGCCATCAATTAATGTGGATATCGATTCCCAATCAATTTGATTGAACCCAGTAATTGAGTCATTAAAAAAAAATACAGGTTTGGTAGTATTCTCAGGGTAATTAAATTATCCTATGATAATCTAACCTTTATTATTAGCTAAGATGTAATCAGCATTAAAGTTTTTTTTAAAGACTCCGAAATCCATCAAATTAAAGACAACACCTTCAAAATTATTGTGTTTATTAGTAATGTTTTGAGATATTGCAATGGTGTATGAGCCAAGAATGGTAGTAAATAAATCACTAAAGAGGTATTATTTACCATTTCCCATTTGTTTTAAGTGACTTAAATACCAAGATCGCTAATGAGCATTATATGATAAAGTTGAATTCAAGGCTGGCCAAGTGCCTAAAATAGGAACCTGATCATTTGTTGTATAAGCTATACCAGTTGCTATGAATTGAGATTGGTCAAACATTGGTAGGGTTTCATGAAATATCGAAATGACCTAAAATTACTTTTTGATTTCAGTTTATAGATTTGTATAATTAGTTAAATCATATTAATATGCCATGAGGCAAAAGAAAGATTTAGATTCTGCTTATGAAATGTTAGGAGGACAATAAAATGGAGTTTAAGTTTGAATTATCTGTTCATTAACATCAACAAATAAATATATGTTTTAGAACATCCTTTGTTTTCTGAAAACTAATGAATTATTTAAAAATATACTCTGATTAATTATTGTTTTCAATCTCTGATCATATAAGGCGGATTGACTAGTTAATTAAATGTTAGTTTCCTTTATTAGTACATTCATTGAATCAGACAAAAAAGCATCTTTCATGTAATTAAAAAGAGTTAAATTGCTTAAAATAACGATCGTCAACACAATGATGACAATAATAATAAACAGCACAATAATTTATGTTCGTATTCGAAAATTCGATAAATCCATTCTTGACCCAAATATTATTTAAAATATGAGATAATTTTCATTACTAATAATTTATATTAAGTCATTAAGACAAATGAAAATAAAAAATTAATCAAAGATGATAACAAAATGATAAATATCATTTAATGTATTGAAGTCATATTACGTTCTGGTAATTGAATATTTTAACTATTCCATCGGCTCCACCAGTCGCAACAAATTAATTATTACTTGCAATCGTATAGATCCCTTCATCATACTTCTACTTATGGGCCTAAATACAATCAAATCATCAAATTACTGGTATTTCGTGTAAACATTAGAATTTTCGAATATCCCATGTCCTCATACTTCCATCATGACTTACACTTGCCAATTGATATACATTCTTTGAGAATAAACATAAATCAGTGACAGCATCTGTATGGCCAATAAGAGTCTTACAGACTTTGCTTGAATTCAAATCAAAAAATCTAATTTTGTGATCATCATGACCAGAAACGATGTATTTGAGCTCATTATTAAATAGAATCCTGTTAGGTTAAGCATTGTTGTTGAACTAATTGTCAAGATCAAATCTAATTTATTAAATAGCTTTAACAGTAGTAACATCATAAACTATAAAGGTTAAAGTGTCACTATATCCACAAATGATATTTTCATTAAACCCCTTACATACCCATTCGATAGCTGTTGGTATGGATAACCCAGTCATTGATTTCTTGAATGTGAAGTTGGCCAAAGGATTCTGCAACATCTCTAAATTTAAATTCCCCTTCCTATTTAGATCATATTGATAACAAACTCCCAGAGATTTCCACATTTTCACAGATCCATCTGCAGAAGATGATAGCAATCTCTAATCATGAGGATGATGTTTCAATGACCAAATAACATCCGTATGGGCTCTCCAGGAAAAACATTGATTTGTTGTTGCTATGTAGGTTCGTATAGTCCCATCAACTCCAGCAGAATACAAATGTATTTGAGGAGCCTTAAAGTACGAAGTCATTGTGAATATCGGTCGATCATGTTCTATTTAATATTGAGATATTGATGTACATCTAATTGTTTAGATAGGTTCTAAATGAGTCTACGCATTCATTTATTGCACATCATTAATATCCCACAATTTGATAGTGCAATCTTCAGAAGCAGTGACTATGTAATTATTTTGAAATAAGATTGATCTTACTCCATCCAGATGACTCCTCAATTACCCTTTAGTTTAGAAGATCTCTTTCCCAACAATTATTTCTCTCTCTGTCATACTCATACTGTTTAACTCATTTTGACTAGTTTCCAGAGTTTGCTTCTTCCTTTGTAATGCAAAGTTGAGTAATTCTGAAGCTCCATTGCTGTTGCTTCTTTGATGATGATGCTTTTATCTGGCTGAACAGGTATTATAAGTATTCTAATTTATCAAAATTTAATTTATTTTTGCACTTTACAGTAGCTATAAATTTATAGGCGAATGAATTTATATCTAATTTTAAACTTAATCCTCTTGAATGTCTTCATTCTTCAATTCTTTAAGAAAGCTAAATTTATTAGATTCATTACTTTTGTAGAAGGGGTTTCTTATCCTTTTACAATATCTTCTCGATGTTTGGTTGAGTTATTAACTTTTAATCATTCATTTCGCTCTTTAAAAATGTGCCATTGTCACTTTTTACTCGATGATGAAATTTTTTTTTATTTTACAGCTTTATATTATCTGTAATTGGTTTTAAAGAAACCTTAAATTACTCCAATTTTTCAAGCCTCTCAATTAGTTGTTTGTTCAGATTCCTCTATTCCTCCAATTATCCCTTCAATTCAATGATTGCAGTCTGTTTCATATCATCATAATCATACTTAATATTCTTGTCTTTCTCTTTTCCACTCCTCCTCTCTATCCAATACTTCTCCCTTTAGATAATCAATGACATTGTTAAAGTTCTACATTTTCTTATTACGAGGATGCTAAAAATGCTTATATAAATATATAATTAATAACAATATTTAATAGGTAATTCATTATCAATATAAATTGTGAAAACAAAACATCTATTATAGTATCAAATCACAAACTATATTCAATTCTCGCATTTTATTGAAAATATTCCTTATTCATGTTAAATTATTCCATTTATTTTACCATAGATATGGAATATTACACACAGGCAACCGAATTGATTGACAGATATGAATAAAATATCAAGAGAAAGAGAAATCAAAAGTTTAGAATTGTATGATTATTAGTAATTAATTCTGAGAATTACATAATAATTTTTAGTAAATAAAAAAATATTCGTTAATGAGCTAATTTACCTTTATGAAGAAATACTTATAAAAATAAACATCTGAAACTAAAATACACTGCGAACCTTTAATAACTCTGACGATTGAACTGGATGATAATAAATACAGTCAAATTAACATATATGAGGATTCTAATCCAGAAATATTGGCATCTAACTTTGTTACAGATAACTACTTAAGTATGGCTTACATTGAACCACTCAAATAAAACATCATATAATAAATGCTGATGTATGACTAAATGAAAGTAAGTATTGTCATTTACAATATAGAAATAAGAAAAGGAGAAGTAACCTCTTTCGCAATGGGAAACTGTTAAAAAATAATAACAAAACAAGGAAAATCAGCAAGCTACACCAACTCGAAATTTGCAAACTAAACGATGCACTCCAGAAAAGTCTTTATAGGCTAATTTAAAATCAGAAAGAAATCTATCAAGAAATAAAAGATTCCAAACCGATGATATGAACATTCATGAAAGACTTTATTAATAAGCTAAACAAATTAACAATTTCAAATAATAAAAAAGAGAATATGATTAATTATAAAAGTAAAAAGATCCGAATCTCACATTTAAACCAAAAATTAATAACAATTATTCAACTAATAAGAGTAAGAGTCCACAATAAAATTAAAATTAATTTTACGTTTAGCCAACTCAATAAAAGCAAGTCTAATTAAAAAGTCCAAGACTCAATTAATTGTATTAAAATAAATCATTTGAGTTTTTAATACCAAAAAAGGAAGTGAAGATTTCTATTTTGGAGAATGAAGAGAGTGTAACTTAGTTACCAAAAACATAAGATTCTCCAAATGTATCATTTTCTGAAGAGAGTTAGTTTAAGAATGATAGTCCTTACACTTCAACCTAAGAGGAAAATTCATTATATTAAGCAACAAAAGATTTGGATGAAAGAGTAGTAGCCAAATTATTTACATTAATTGAATCAAATAATCTTGCTGATGCACGCAATATTCCATATGAAAAGTTCAATTATTAACTGATTGTCGAACTGAGATTACATTTCCAGAAAAACGATTTCAAAATAATGAATTTTGAAGATTTCTGTTAAAGTGTATTGAAAAATGCAAAACTAATCAAAGTATTTATTTAGTAATGTTATAGCTTGCTGCTGATTTTTTTAAGTTCGAGAATGTTCAATACTAAAATACTTGTTATCGTCATTGAATGAGATATTACTATCCAATAATATTTATTTTTTTATTTAAACCCTAAGTTTTGCTTAATATCACTTTCATAATTTAATTTTTATTACACATGTCTCGTATAATCAGCAAATTAGTATAAATTAATGCTATTTAGTTTTCTGACTCTTCTGCTTCAGAAAAAGATCTACCTTAAGGATTTGCTGAACAGATATTGTAACATGACATCAATTTTGTGTTGAGCAATTTTACTAATCTAGATGCTTTGAACCATTTGGTTTAATTGTATATGGTAAAGTAGTTATAGAAAAATATTTAGAAAGGAGTTGAATACTATGAATCATTATAGGATCGAAAATAGGAATATTTTAAATATAAACTACATTGGTTGATGAGTCATCCCAACCTATTATAAGAAAAATCAAAAAAAGTAGAAATGCATTACCCATCTATTCAAGAAAAATTACTCTAAAAAATAGAGCCTGACGGAAAAAACTAAGTCCAATAATTAATAACAAACATTCAATAGGACAAATAAAATCATTTGAAGTTATAAAAAGTACATTGTAATAATTCTATTTCAGCTTATATCTAATGAAATAAACGATCAATAATAAAGGATCAATAACAGATTAAGATAGAGATCAACTTCAAAAAATGAGAGAGATATAAAATAGCAACCTTAAACTTATTATAATCATGTTTACTAAAATTAAATTCATAGCCTTTAATAACCGCAAATAAAAGAAGCTAAACCAGAAGATGAACAGTCATATGTTATATCTAAAAATATATCACCCCATAAATGAAGTATTCTGTAAAAGAATGTATTATAACTTATACATAAATTAATCAGATAACTACTACAAAAATAAACACGAATATTTCAAAAAATAATATTATTAATAGTTTCCATGAACTGGAATTATCTAAAAAATAATTCATTTTATTTTTCAATCTATTCATTGCTTAATTAGCAGAATCAGTCTAATTTTAAATAAAATATTACTTCTTCGTGTAATTAATCTATCATTCCATTTTATTCCTTTATTTACTTACTTAAATTTTATGATGAATATTTGATATTAAGGACTTTATCATTAATTTTTGATAAATATTCATCCTATCTTTCAGTTATTTCTCCATGCATCTTAAGAGCATCTATTTACCCAAAGTTTTCGTAATTATTTTTCTTTTCTTAAATTACAACTTAAATATACATTTGTTTTGAATCAACTATTGCTATAAATGGGCCATGTGATTTAATTCAATTCGTTTTTTTATATCTTATCGTTTTTAAGCTAATTCATTATATAAGTTTCTCCTTTTCTAAATTTCCTTTGCTAACAGATTGCAATTCTAATTAGCCGTGTATCCTTTAATTTCTTGATCCAGTTAATCCAATTCATTATCTAGATCAAGATCTGATACTAACCTAAATATTTCAAAGTTGAATTTATCTCTGCATCTATAAGACCTGTCGATTTGCTTGATTATTTAAGTTTTTCCCTTGTCTGTAAATCCATCTATATTTAATTTATTCGCTTAGAAGCGTTATATGCAAGTTCTGTAAACATTTCCTCTAAAGCTCTAAAGGAATATATTAAATTAATTAATTGAGAAAAATCTTAATATAAGCCAATACGATTTATTTCAAATGAAATTGATGTTTAATATGAAAAAATAAATGAGTATTGGCATTTTACATTTTTATGAATCAAACTTATTTCGACAGGTTTTCATCATCCTTATCTAATTTATTATTAATATATAATAAAATGTATAATAATTTTGGAGATGAATAATACAAGCTATAATAAGTTCGGATCGTCTGACATTTATCCACGATTAAAAGATTGCATAGTTCTTTAATAAACATCTATTAAAGCATAACACAATTAAGGACTATTATTACAATTTTATTAATGTCCTGTCAATAATAATAATTAGGTTCATTTTAAGAACTAATGATAACAAAATACCTGTTTTTTGCCTTATTTTAGTGATAATGCATTTACTGTTAACAATCAAATAAAAATTGCGTAAAGTTTAAATTCTGTTAAATCACCTAATTGATGTGATTGTTTTGATTTCTATGTAACACTTCAATAGAGAAAATGATAATGAGTTCATTATAAGACTCGCATTGTAGATAGGAATTTAAACTTCAAAATCTATGCTGTTTTAGTATGATTAGTTTAGCATGATTTTTTAGAATATTTTAAAAATTTCATCAATAACAATCATCAGATGGTACATAATCAAGGATTATAAGTAATTTTTTATATTATTGTAGTACTTTTAAAATTATAGTATTACTGACCTCCATGATATTTTATTAAATAATACAACTTCTGATTGTTACTTCCTATTCTTATGCTTATAAAAATATTTGGATCAATAATGAAAAGATGAAAAAGAATAACTAAATGATCGAAAAACTGCTCTATGAATTACCAATAGGAATTATCTTATTCAATTCAAATGGTGAAGTGTAATTTTAAAACTCAATTTCATATAAATATTTACCAAAATCAATTGATTTAGTATCAAAAAAATATAATTTGGAATCTGTTTAAAAGTATAGTGATTTAATTCTAATGGAGGGGGACTAAGCAAAATTCTAGAAGGTTTTCGAGGAAACTTTAGAATCCACAGATCCAATAATAGTCTCATTTGCATTTTAAGGTCATCCTATACCAATCTGTTGCCATTTGCGAAAATAGGTTTTCAATAAAAACTCTATTGTGGAAGCAATATTTATTGAGAAATCAGACGATTAATCCTTGATTTACGACAAAATATCTTAGAGTTTATAAATAATGAAGATCTAATAGATTTCTGAGATTCTATCGAAATAACCAGAAAGAATGAAGTAGTAATTACTGTAGTCTCTATTTCCCATGCTAAACAATACAGATTACTAAAAGTCTGATTAGATTGTATGCAATTTAAAAAATTACTTTAAATTTTTTGCTGATTGTTTACAAATAATCTACAAAACAGATCCTAATGTAAAAATAGAGAATGATGTTCCTGACCAAGCATTTATAGATATAGTAAAGTTGCACAGTATTTTAACCTAATTGATTTCTTATATCTATCAAGAACATAATCGAAAGTAGATGATGTAAGGATTTCCATCTTAGAGGTAATTGGTCCAATAAAGTGAAAAGTAAGTACAACGAGAGGTGAATAATTTCTCTTTGATTTCATTTACAATATCTAAAGGCAATGAATTGCAGGTGACAATATAGATAGATTATCATAATCAAATCCAAGAATTAGAAATGTTGTTTCAGAGATTCGACTTTGAAGGACTAAAAAGCTATGACTTTAGGTTGTAGCAATTACAAGAAGAAGACTTATCATACACTTCATTTATCCATATTTTGCATTAGATTTACTAGATAGAAGGTCAAATAGAAGTATGTGAGAGATTGGATAATATTAAGATTCAAATGAATATTCCAATGCGATTGACAAATGAATATTAGTCAGTTCTCTTAGATCATTATATCAGCATGGGTAAGTTGGATACTCAATCCAAAATCTATTCAATAAATAACGAGATATTTTAGGCTTTCAGAATTAAATCCACAAAGAAGATCTCCTCTACATAAAGGATAGCTCCCCAGCCAGCCTCAAGGGTTAATGAGGAAACCGTAAAGGTTCAAACTTCTCTAAGTGAATAGAAGCCATTTTAAATTTGCAAATGTTTTGAATTTACTTATCGACCTAATGTTGTAAGTGAAGAGGAGAAATTGGAATCCAATAAAATAGTAAGTCCTAACTTGTCGCCTATTAATAAACCATCATCTTTGAACTAAGCGGATGTTGCTACTTTTGATATCGAAGATAGGATCAATACTTAAATGCATTCAGTAGAAAAGGCTGTATCCAAGGTCTTAGAGTAAGTTTTATCGGAAATCATGACTTTTAAAGGGAAAAGAATCAATGTTCAATTTAGAAATTCGAAGCATAAACAAAAGTCATTTGAAACATCTCCCAGCAGTATTTGTTCAATAATTATTATTAGATTCATCGGCCTAACAATAAAATTAAAGAAATACAAGTGTACCAAATTTATAATAATTTCGAACTACCATCCCTGAAAAGAGAGAAACCAATACTAATTAATAACAATAGTAGTAACCATCATAACATCCTAATCAATCTTTGTTTAAGTAGATTGCTATTAAACAAATGCCTCTATAAACATCATAGAATTTTGGATCATAACCTTCATCAACAACTTAATCATAATAAATGAACTCCGTCTAACAAACCAAAAGATAATAAGGAACATAATTATTAAGAAATCTTAGAGAGAATGATTCAAAAGTACAACAACTAGAATAAAGCGATTAATTCAAGCCTGATGAGATTACTGATGATCTCAAGAATTCTATGAAATATATTCCTTCTAACTAAGAGGATCCTATATTACAAAAATCCTAAACTTCCTTTGGAGTTATTGTTCAACCAGTTTAAACTCAAGGATCTGAGAAATCCCCTTGCTTCAAAGTGTAAAAGTCGGTAACAATAAATGAGATTGAAAACCAATCAGAGGAAATCAAACAGTAGGAAACTATTGATTTAAAATAATATTACAAGGAGAACTTAACATATTTATTAGTGGATGATTCAACAGATGGTTTAGATTTCAAAGTTAAATAAACTCATTAGTTTGATTAAAGTATAACATGCTCAGATGCTTCTCAAAAGATTAAGTCTATGTTTGAAAAAAATAAAATTTATCATTTTATTATTGTTAGAATTAATCTACCAAAAAAGAATGGAATCTAAGTAATCTATAATCAAATATTTTAAGTTCATTTAAGAAATAAGATAGCTAGAAAATTAACATATCCTACCTAAACAGTATTTTGTTGGTATTGAAAGCAATATATCCTAAACTCTTAAGCAATCATGCATACAAGCTGGTTTTGATGAAGTTTAAGAAAAACCTTTAAAACCACAATATTTAGCTTAGTTAATTGAAAGCCGTCTAAATCCCCCTCCTGGAATAATTTGGAAACCAATTACTAAGAGTTGCTCAATTATGGATTAATAAGAGAAAATAAATTAAATTCATAAAGAACTAGACTAAATTGCTATACCTCAGAAAATTTCTTCGTTCTAAGACATCCCAGTAGCTTCCAAATAGCCTCAGTTTAGAAAAGCATTCTACTATCCTATTGTCACTATATACATATTAGATGATTCAAGTGTATAGCTTAGTGCATTATCATCCATGAAATTCAATTTCAAAGTTAAAGTTGAATTCGATAGAACAGTTGATGCTGGACTTAAACGTTTTGATAAATCATTTGAAGAAAAGAAAATTTATCATATAGTCTTAGTTAAAATGAATTTTACATAAAAAAATGGATTAGAGGTTAGTATTTGAATTATTTTAGATTTTACAATAAATTAGAGAAATGGAAAAGAAATATTTAGTTCCAAAATAATTTATAGTAGCTATAGATAGTGACTTTACTGAAGATAAAAAGACGGACTTAATCAAGCAAGGATTTGATGATGCTTTGACGAAACTTATTGATAAAAGATTATTAGAAGGAATACTATAAAAAAGATTAGAAGATGATTGAATTTTATGTATTTGAAAGTTTGAGATTATTTTACTTTTATTGTTGATAAGTAATCAATACATTTCACATACATATTCTATTCACTGCTTTTTATTTTTCTTTTGATTTCTTTTACCTATCATCCTTTAAGCAACAAGACCAAATAATACTATTGCACAAAAGCCTATAACTTCTTATCGATGTGAGCAAAACTATTCCTAAATTTGATATTTGTATTATTTTCCAGATGTCTCATCCTTACATGTAGTAAGAGTCACAAAAAATATAAACAAAACTGTAAAACTTATGATTTCCCTAACCTTTAGCTTTACTTTTCTAGAATGATATTGATTAAATACTCTAATAAATTGAAGTTTGGTCCTTTTTTCTGGAAAGCAATTAATTTGTATTATGAATTCTTTTTATCAAATTAGTATTCTAAATATCTCTCATTGGTTTTTGAATCTACCATTGTGGTGATTCTTTTAGCACAAAATATATGCCAAAACCCTGTTTGAAATAATTAATGCAATTTGCCCTTTGCAGCAACCACTAAATCAGTTTCCCAATTCTCATAATCTAATATGATAATGTCATTTATGCATTGCTTCACCTTTTACAAACTCTCCATTTCTTCTTCTGATATATTCTTTTATGAAACCAATATTGATTCTGAAACGTTGTTTTCCTTTGCTATGCCTTGCAACTTATTCTATATTTGTTTTATTTGACTAAATTGAAAATAATCAACGGGTTTTGCTTGATAGATGAATATTGTTATATCTTCAATTTTAATCATTAAATATCTATTTTTTTTGTGCGATAAATTATATGCTGGTTTAACAGCTATAATGATGATGTACTCAGATTAATATGTATTACTTATAAATTATTGGAGTTTTTCCTCTAAACAATATTTTTATTAATACTAATTTTGTCAACTTTTTTTGTGGTAATCCATTCATTTATTATATTATTTTAAATAATGCTCGTAAAATATCGAAATTATTCGATTGGCATATCCATTTTTAATTAAACTGAATTTCCCTTGAGATTCACAAGATCTTTGCTCATCAATGTGAATAATAGTTATTAATTTATAATTAATTAATGGAGATGAAAATAAATAATTTCATTAATCGTAAATAGTTATTAATATATCAAAAATAAAAATTAGCAAATTTTATTCAATTTATTTTTCTAAATTCTAATTTAATATTAATTAACCAATAAAAATCATTATTTTATCAGGATGGAAGATGACTATTTCTAAGAGCTGTTTAAGCTATTTCGAGAATCATAATCTGTTCAGCCACCTAAAAAACCTATTGGTGCATATGATAGGTTTGTCGGAAATTATGAACAAGCATGCAAAGAAAAAAATCTAATTCACAATTCTGAGTAAGCAAAAAAATAATGGGAAAATTTAGAAAAGGAACTTAGAGAGGGTACAATTATAGTAGATTTTAGAATATTATCGATTGTCAAAGTAGGATTAAGAGCTGTATGAAAAATTATTCAGTTCATATCATTCCATTTCAATCCTCATAAAAAAAAAGAAAGCAGATGGATCAGTACTATTTTTTTAAGAGAAAGGAGCCGATGGAAGTTTAACTAATCTTCAATAATTATGGGATGAACTAAATGCTGAAGACAAGTAAATATATGGTTAAAGGGCATAATAAAATTAGGAGGACACCATTAAGGTATTTTATATTTCTTACTTAGGCCGCAATAGAAGAATATATAACTGAATACTAAAATTACTTGAATCAATAAAATGAAAAGCCATAAGATTTATAATTTGTTCAAAAAATGGAGGATGAATAGGATGAAATAGATTAAATTGATATCATAATAGGAATAAAGCGAACTAATGGAAAGAAAGAATATTTGGTAAGGTTTAAGGGCAAAACAGGTAAAGATGCAAAATGGTTCCCTAAAAAGAAACTCAGAAAAGTGAAAGAAATTGTTAAGGAATTTGAAGAAACTTATTTTAAATAATCATTTTAGGATGTTGAATCAAGTAGTGGCTTTGATTCAACTCCTCCTCAACAAATGTAATAAGAAGATGAGAAGGGAAATCAAGGAAAAGAAATAAAATAATCATAAAAATAAGAAAATGAGGAAGTGAAAGAAGAAAAGAAATAGAAATAGAAATAGTAATAGAAAGCTAAGCCCAAAGATGTTTCAACAAAAAGAACCTAAATAACATAATAAAAGAATGCATAATAATAAAAATCTGCTACATCTTCAAAAGGAAATACTTCTACTCCAAAAATTTCTGAAGTTGAAATTAAAACAAGTTAATCCAGAAGAAATTAAAAAATACCAGAAAAAGCAAATCCAACCGAACCTAAATTAAATCAGGAAAAATCAAACAAAAAATAAGATTAAGAGATAAAGAACTAGAAATAGTAAGATAAATCACAAGATGACAGAAAACAGAGAAACAAACAAATCTCAGTCGAAAAACCTACTAGATCTTTAAGGGAAACAAAGGGATCTAAAGAAGATCTATCAAAGAGATCTAACAAAATAACTCAAGAAGAGCCAGTTGGTAAAAGAGTAAAGAAATAAATCAACGATTTGTCTGTAGAAAAATCCAAGGTTAAAACAATTTAGAAATCCAATTCACGAGAAGAAAGATAAATCCAATAATAAAAAGAATAGATCAAAGAAGTTGTTATCCCAAAAAGATCAGGTAGAAGTAGAGATTATTCAACTACTAAAGCATAATAAGTACCATCTGTAAAGAATGACAAACAAGAAAAAAAGGAAAATAAATTATCTACTAAAGGAAAATAAGTTGTGCAAAAATAAAGTTTGAATACTTCTAATCTTTAATAATCAAACAAGAGAAACATCAACAATTAAGAAAGTTAATAAAAATAATCTAAAAATTAATAATAATAAAGTGCAGTATCAAAAACAAGAACTACAAGTGTCAAGTCAAATAAACAATAAAATAATTAAAAATAAGAAAAAGAACAAATTACAAACAACAATCGTTCTCGATCAGCAGATGTAATCAAAAATATTATTCCTAAAAGTAAGGCTATCAATAATGTACGTAAAAGTTCAATAATAAGTAGAAGTCCAAAGAAAACCTCAGCAAATACATAAAAGAATGAATCATTGAATAAAGGCCAATAAAAATAATAATAGCAAAGTAACTAAACTTTAGCTAAATAAACAAAGCAATAGGTTGAAGTAAAAAATAAAAGTTCTATAAATACTTAAAAATCTAGCTCAGATGCAATCTCAAAAAAAAGGGAATTACGTGGAAAAACAATAACCAAGAATCCTGTGAAAATCAACAAAAAAATATCAAAAAACAAAACAAATAATAAAGGGAAATAAAAAAATAAAATAAGTGAGTAATAAAGAAATAAGGAAAAAGAAAGCTAAAAAAATAGTAATGCCATTTCTATGGTTACTGCCAGATAAACTAGAAGCAAAAAATCTAAGGATGTAGGAAAAAGAAAGCACTGAATGCTGAAAATCTTTTGAATTATTAAATATACATTAAATAATATTTTCATTTTAAATGCAGAAGGGTATAAGTGAAAACTTTACAACAAATCATAATTTCAGTATAGATGACGTGAAATTTTATGTTTTACCACCACAAGGAGAAATTAATTTTAAAGGGAATGCAAATGAAGAAGTATTTATGTTTTTTGATATTAGGAATTATCATAAAATGATCATATCTAATAACCATTAAAAAGTATTGCGAATGAACTTATAGAAAAAACAATCCCTATTAGATAAAGCTGGGTTCTATCGAAACAGGCACATCAATTTAATTTGCCACCCTCTTATTTTAAATAAAAAGTTGTTATTCAAAGAAATAATGATAAGCATCTAATTTAAAAGGAAATAAACTAAAATGATTTTGTTCCTTATTTAGATTTTGATAATCATCAATTACATCAAATAAGACAGGAGGGAGTCTTCGATGTCTATTCAAAGAATAATCCAAATATAAAATACCGATGGATTCTTTCAAGGTGGGTTGTAAAAGGAACCAAGAATATAAGAAATACTTTTTATAAAGATATGTTAAAAGCTTAAGATTGTTTAACTGGCCTAGGGGATTTTATATATACCAAAGAAAACTTTGATAGTTTATGGAACTATTCAATTGTCCACGGACTATATACGATTATTAAGGTAAATAGTAACTATATAACTTAGAAAACATTATTGATTCCATCACTTTTTATTGGATATAGAGAGATGATTTTGAAATATTCTGAAAAATAAGCACAAATTTAAGTGGAAAGCAAAAGGTAATTATCTTTAAGAAATAAGAATTTGAATTTTTCAATATATTAATATCTCTACCATACTCCAGCAACTCAATCTGCAACTTAATTCAAGGTTGATGATTTAAAGAATCAATTAAAATAGTTTGAATAAGACTGTTGGAAAATAGTAGCATTATTGAGTGACAAATATATCAATCGATAGAATCAAAATATTTATGAACAGAGAAATTTGGAAGAAAAATATCACATTATTTATGATTAAAATAAGGACATTGAGGAACTCATAAACGAATAGCTTAATAATGCTCAAAGAAGATTTGTGCAATAAAATAGCTTGGATATGCCTGAAGGTGCTCTGAAATAGATTTTAGACATTGCTGAATGTTAATAATTGCAAAGATATTATAAAGATTTATTGAAGGTATCTTTTTGTTTAATAATAGAATTCACTTGCGGACTATGAAAATTAAGTCACAGAATAATACGAAAAATAGTTTTTCTTCTTAAATAAACCAGCGCATCGAAAATAATACATTAATGAAAAGTTAAAGATTCGAAAGAAGAATTTAAAAGGCCAATATTATAATTAAATGATCTAAGAATTAGCCTAATAGAATATTCTTGATAGAAATATTTTTATAGAATTTACTGAGAATAAGAAAAAGTATAAGCAAAAAGTAAAAGAATTTGTAAAATAGAAAAAATAAAGTCCAAACATTACCTATCTTATGTTTATATTTTGAAATAATTTTAGAACTCGTTTTGCTTTGCCTCCTTATCCAATAATTTATGAAGAGAATAAATTTGAACTTGTTAAAGAAGTGAGTTATAAGGTAACCTCGAAATATTTCGGTTGGAAATTAAATAGTTTATGCATAATATACTATATGTTAATCTCTGATAGCTACTACTGGTTTTATCAATTTGGAATAATGGGATCTTTTGGACTTAATTCTTTATTTTCAATAAAACCATTTTACAATGATAAAAAAATAAATGAGTTAACTGGGGAAGTAATAGAAGTTGAATTAGTTTAAACTATTTGCTCGACATTAAATTAAGTATACAAAGGTATGAGATAATCAAGGAAGGAATTTGAAGAATTAGAGAGTTCTGGACTATTTGGTAAAGGTTGTTAAAGAATTTATAATTTGCTTGAAGTCTATGTATTTCGATTCTTATTTGTTGGAGTGTTTTACACATTGATTTTGTAACCAATTCTAATCCTCTTCTTCTCAGCGTTTTTATTCTTTCTTTTCATTACTTCATTCATTTGGGCCTTTTTTCTTGCAGTATTAAGGTAGTTTCTATTTAAATAATAATAGATTGATGGTGTGTATATTGATATATGATTTTGAGACAGCATTTAGAATAGAATTCAAGGAATTGAATAATATTCATTCTATATTGCCATTATTTAGAGTTTTCGTTGATATAATGATAGGAATGTTGGAAGTACTAGCATGCTTGATATGCTTGTTGATTTTGCCTTTATTTGCTATGATAGTAATATTATTTGGAATTATACGATATATGATTCGTTCTATGTATGATTGTTTCATGATGACAGTAAATATTTAAATAATTGTAAATAGTTTGTGTATTGTTGCGGGAGAGTTCCTCGTCGTTCTGGATGTTTAGTATGGAGACTTGAAGGAGACAACGGGTAGAAAAAGATAGTTTATAATTATCATAAAGTAATACGACAACTTAAATTATCTATTAGTTATCAAGTGAAGAATTCTAGATTTTGGCTGCTAGAGAAATAGAAAAGTACATTATCCAAGAATACCAGAATCGTTTAATAATAAATATCTAAAAACCAGAAAAAGAAATAAATAGATATTTGTAACCATTTTTCAAATTTTTCAATGCCACTTATTAAATAGAGGATAAAAATTCAAAACTTCTTCAAGAATAACTGGCTGCAAAAATTGCCAATCTTAATTAAAATCAACCTGTACTGGATAAAGAAACTAAAAAATACATTAAATTCTCTGAAAATGAACTTTCAGAGATAAAACATTTCTTGAAGATTTTTGTAATTGAATAACTCAATCTAAAAAATATGCATTCCTATATTTGGAAATAGACAGGCTTATAGATTGGTTAATTTTCAGAATTGGTAGATATTATTTTAAAATAAATATTTGGAAATGAAATTTTAATACCAAATAAAGAACTGATTCAAGAAGCTTAGTTTGTAATTATTTTATTAATTCAAATTAGAAAGTAGAGAAAGAAAAAGGATTTGGTCAATAAATAGAAAGAGCAATGAATGGAGAAGTAAACTTAAACAAGCCAGTAAAATATATCTTAGAAAAAAAATAAGATATAAAGTTGCAAATTACAAAGAAGGTTTATAAAATATTTATCCCTATTTCTGAAGTACAAAATATATTTTTATATTTAGATGCTTGATAAAATATGGGCTGCTTAGTAAACTTAATAAGAATGGAGTTCTTTAAGCAGAAAGGATTTAAGATTTTTATTAAATTATTCCTTAATAAATGAATGATTTATATAGAATCTACTTGTATTATTAGTATTTCTTAAAAAATAAATAATACTATTTATATATTTGTTAAAATCTTATTATTATTATTATTATTATCTTATTTTATGATAAATATGAATTTAATAATCTAAATTACATAGAACATGTCAAATAATTAATAATCATAAATAATGTTATTATCATTAAAATTTAATTCAAATGATTATTGAGTCTCGAGACTGTACTTTAGAAGGCAATACCTATCCAAATCTAATTACTTTGTTGGATGTGGTAGAAATCTTTTTCTATTATAGATTACTTCGTAGCTGCATCATTCTCAATTTATTTTTAACTCTTTTAAATTTATTTCCTTTTTCAATGATTGCTTGATTCATTCTGTTTCTTCTCAATTTCAAGTATTTCAAGATATAATTAAATGGAAAAAGCATAAACTTTTACATTTTTTCAATTGTCTCCTTCTGCCAATGATGGATATTTTTGTTGGCTAAATCTATAGTTTTTTCAGCATTAAATTATGAATAAAAAAAATCGTAATTCTGTATGACTTCAAAATCATCAATCATTTTTTGATTCAATTTCCAAAATAATGGTTCTATTTAAGTAATCGCCTTTTTGATAATAGGATCTTCTAGATCTTGTTTAATTAATTTATTGTAAACATGAACAATGTTGTCATTATGTGAATTTTAAAATGTGAGTATTTATAAGGAGTCATCCCAATCTTCATCTTGAACCTATTTAATAGTGAACGTATTAGTTGGACTCTTTTTAATTTATTTAGTATTATTAGAGGGGAACATGGTCGTTTTTCTGATCAATCTTCCTTGATTTAATTGTTGTCTCAATTCTCCTTTGATATCAATTTCAGGTTCTTTAATTGATTTTGGTTCCATTCTAACACTACTTAATAAATCGTTCTATTTATTTAGAGCTTCAGTGGAATATTAAGGGAGTAAAGAAGAAACTCGAAATATGTCCACTGAGGCTGAAGGATCAATAATATTACAATCAATCTAGTCTTATTCGTAATAATAGGTTATTTTGAGTTACTAATTTATCGATTGTTGATTATCACTGGAGTACACTTTAGCAAATTCTGCCACTAAATCTTTTTCAGATAAAGCAAGATACACATTTTTCTTTCTCTTTCTTTAAAATCTAGTTCTCTACTAAGTTTTAGAATGTTGATGCCTTTTAATAGTAACTTCGAAATTCGGTTTATGTTAAATGTATGGACATTTAGTTAAAGTGTGTTCAAACTACTGACATGCAGGACAGTAGACACTTTTTTATAGAATTGTTTAATCAAAATTCATCACTATAGAGTCTTTTAATTAGCAATACTTTTAGAAATCATCTGGGTAATCTTTAAGAATGGTTAGGAAATCTTATTTGGATAGTACTAACAAACTCACATACCCAACAGCTTTGAATAATTCCATATCAGGATCTTCAACTATGAATTCCTTGACGCATAAGAATTCACCTAGACCAATTATAGTGTTCATTTTGGACCTCTATTTCTCATCCTTATGTTAATAGAGCAGATGTCCCTATTCTATAAAGCATAGATGGTGTTGTCCATTGAAATCGATATAGAAGGTATTTTCAGGAGGGATAACTTCAAGATATTATATTACAATCATACTTTTTCTCTTTATACTTTTAAATAAAGCATTTCTAAACTCTTCACTAAAAAACTTCTGCAGTAAGATAGACTTCTCAATGAAAACTTTGTGAGCCTGCCTGTCTAATTCTTCCTTTAATTCATCAGATAATTGATCTAATAATGTTTGTTCTATCTCCAGATCTACTTCATCGTCTTCCTTCCATCGATATGTCAGGTACTCTTTGATTCTGAAGAACATATTAATATTATTAATTACTGATGTTGCAAAGCGAATGGGATATTTCTCTTGTTCATATATTTATTGATGACTCTCATCTTCTAATTCCTTTCAACCTGATTCTATGTAATGTCATTCATGATTCCACCGATAAAATTTATACTGTAAGAAAACCACAAACAGGCACCCAAAATGAAGATAATCGTCACTATCTTTTCAGTTGAATTCTTAGGCACATTATCTCCATAGCCTATGGTCAACATGGTCACAATTGCAAAATACAAGGCTTCCAGATATTGAACCTGCCAGGGCTTGTTTGTTAAGTCTTTAAAGTCAATCCAAGAGTCTTCTATTTGCAAACTTGAAATCCAAAACCAAAAACAACCGAACAGATGCAAAATATAAAAAAGAGTAGCCATAAACTTTAGCAATCCCAGGATACCTCTTTGAGGTCTTGTGAAGTAGGAGTATTATTCACTTTTGGAGAGTATTTCATACACATAGGAATATTAGGTGAGAGTTACTAAGGTAAACAAATTGTATTTTGGATTTTGAGGTATCAATGATAGAAAGATCACTAAGATGGTTATAGTGAGGAAGTCGATGAACATAGACTTTTTAACTTGAATCATTATTAGTTTCCATCGATCTCTAATAGCTTAGCCATTCAGATATTGTTGTGTGTTGATCCTAATAAAAAAGTCCATTATTAGTACTATACAAATTATTACAGTTAAGGGTGTACTGTCTTGGAACAAGATCTGAGTGTGGAATCCTACTTCTAAGGGTATTAAGATAACTAAAATAATCCTGAAGACAACTGCAAATAAATCCCAATACACTTTGAAAAGGGATTCCGGCTATATTAAGGGAATTAGATTGATGATGGTTTAACAAATTTTAATTATCTGTTTTTTAATATTCTCGTAGTGTTGCTTCAGGTTTTCCAATTTAGTCTCCTCAATTTGGGACTCCATTTCGAATAGTTTTTTCATAGCCTAGAGTGTGAACCCAGCTCGTTATATTGATTTCGAATATTGAAGCACTACATTACTATAATTATTCTTGTATTTACTTATCAGCGGCTTTGTCTCCTATTAGGCTTAGATGGGTGTAATTCAGGGTTTCCAGCATTCTCCGTTTGATTTGGAGCTTCTCCAAAAACCTTTTGAGTAAAAAGAAAGCCATCATGCTTGATCCTGTAGAATGCTATTTGTAGGAAGGAACATGAATGGGACTCCTGCTCGTCTCAGGGGGACTTTTCTGAACTTTCTTTAGAGCCACATTCTCAAGCTTCTTCACATTGTATTAATCGAATCCTTCGATACTTTTCACACTCTACGTTTAACTGTAGAGATGAGGATAGTTGATTGACGTCTCTCTTCTAGTTGATCGCAAACAGAAACCCAAATATTATTACTCGAAGTCTTCGTTTTATTCCGCCTACAGTTCTTAATCCAAGTCAACATTGAATCTGGGTGATTCAAATTACATAAATATTAAATTATTTAAGGGTTGTCGTATTTTAAAAATTATTAGATTTACAAACATATATTTTAAATTTTCAAATCAACTTAACTACATCCTTTTGGATTTTTTTATAAAATTGAGATACCATTTTCAACGAAAGAGATCCTCGAATTTCAGTGCCAGTTTCATATATCTCAAAAAAAACAACAGATTTTTAATTCAACTTCATAAATGTATTATTGTACCAACTACTTTATCAATCACTAAATAAAGAAATTTAAATATAATTTTTGGGATTTAGAACAGTAATAAAAATTGAATCTACACATTCCATAATACATATCTTAATCAATCGAATATAAATCTCTTCTTTCCCACGTTGGCCTGACAAGAAGGACAAAAGTGAACGGCGTCTTTACAATCTTAAATGAAGCACGGTATTAAACAGCAACTTTCATTTTTAAATTTATACATACCCTAACCACAATCCAACAGCGGCCACTATCCCTCCAACCAAGTAGGTTCCAGTGCCTGCTTCATAATTCACAACCGTTTGCACCTGTCTTTAGCAGTACACACAAGTTATTATGCTTGGGTATTTGGAATATATGGGTTAAACTAAAATATACAACTATCTTACCTATTTGAATTGGTTGTGGGTTATAAATTGGCTAATCAGCCGAAGAATAGGGCGATTGCTAATAAGGACCTGGGTGCATCATCTATTGAGCTGGAATTACTTATGAAATTGGCTATCCGATTTGGATCTATTGATTCTGTATTGATGGATAAACCACCTAAGAAATTGATCCCTCGTTTGGAGTGGGAGTCATTTCTTGTTGAAGTTACACATGTTGATTATTTTACATTGGTATAGTTTTTTATAATTTTATTAATATCAAGAGTTTCTTGATACAGTTTATAAAGAATGAATGAATAATAATATATAATTCGTTAAATGGATTATGAAAACTTGCTTCAAAAATATCCCACTTCTTCTTATGCAAAAACGCAAAGGTCCTCTAGTGTCAATCAAAACTCTCAAAAGCAGGAAAGCACTCAGCAAATCAAACCTTAAGCATTATTAAAAAAATTGGAAGAAATCCTCCAATAGAGACAATAATAACTCAACCAAGAGAAATCTAAAAAGAAAAAGAATACACAACATAAGGGTGAGTACACCGAAAGGATATCCGATAAAAAGAATGTTTAAAAATTATTAGATAATTAAAAATGGAAGGCCGATTTACAAAATTTTGTATCTCTTTCAAAATAACGCTTATATAGGTTACTGAGAAAAAGGAAAGAAAAAGCGCTTATCCTAACTTGATGTCATTATAGCCATCCACTTAAAATTTATTTGATATTTTCTCGCAAGACAGTAATAGCAGAAATCCCACAACGACAGCTAGAAGTAAAAAGGGTGAAGGTTCTCCAAAAAAAGGAAGAGCTAATGTATTTTTATTCTCTTAAATCATTATAGTCTATTATGGAAGGATACAATCTCAATGAAAGAGATAAAGGAACCTTGATTAAATTGAATCAGCAATTATAAATTTAGAATAACCATCTAAATGAATAGCTTAAGTTTGAACAAAGCTAAAACACTAAGCTAAGTTTATAGATGATCAGTATGAATGATTAAATCACATTATTAACGAAGTATTATTTATATTTGTTTAGGGTAATTAAAAGAGAGTTAGAAACAAGTAGAGTATCGAGATAAGGAGAATGAGGAGATCACGAGATCGTTAAAGAGTCAATTAGACATGATTAGACCTGAATATTATAAGCAATCAGAATAAATTGCCAATTTGGAGAAGTAATTAACTGGATATCAAAATATTGAGAAGGACATGAGGGAGTTGGAACAGATGCTACCACAAATTTCCACTTTCACAACCTTGTTTGTTGAACAGAATGCTCAGATATTAGAGTTGCAAGACTTGATAACTCTACAAAATAACATTATTGACAAAGTGCTAAATAGGAAGGATTTCCCGTTAAATAATTTAATTTTGGGGAGAGAACCAAAAAAGACGAAACAATATACTAATGATTTACCTTTTGAATCATCTTAATATCTTGACAATCTAATTAAGTAGACGAGATAGTAAGTAAATGGTTTAACGGAGAGATTTATTCATGAATTATTAGTATGAAAACAACTATTAAATAGAATATAACAATATTTCTGTTATCAGAATTCGATTAATTCTTAAATTTTAAATTGTTATTATTAATACATAAATTTATATGGAACAATTTATTAATATCTTTAAGTAATTACTTTCATTCATTTTTGTTAATTATGAGCGAATCATTCGATCTTTGTGGTGGTTTCTATAGCTATGATATCTATTAGAACGAAGGGGATATTTATATTTCAGATTACCTTTCAGAACAGCAATGTAATCAGTAAAAATTCTATTCTATTAAAAGCTAAGTTGAACATTAAAGTTAAAATGACAGTCTTCATCGAGTAAAGAAAAAAATAAGAAGATCCAACCCTTAATGCAGTAGACCTGGAGAGACTAAAAATATACCTAAGAATTTTGCTAGTGTATTGAAAAAGGGTTTCTAGAAAATGCTATCAAATACTTAGGATGAAGGTTTAAGATCCTTCGAAAAGTGCAGAGATTGGATTAAATTCAAGCATATTCCCCATAGCAAAATTCTAAAAGCTAAAATAGAAGAGTTTGTACAGACACCTGTTGGAAGATTGATTGGCAAATAGTTCTTTGGAAATTGTCTTTGGGCTCCTTACTTTATCTAGGAAAATAAAACTGATGTAGCCCTTCTATTTTAAATACAATATAAATTATTTTGAAGCAATTTTTCAAAAATCGAAAAAATAAGATAAAAAAAAAAAACAATTAGAAAAACAACAATGATGTATATTTTAAATTTATTATTTTAAATATGGAAGAATAGCAAATATTAATATAAGTAACTAAAGACATCAATTTTCAGTCAACTTAAGATGTTTTTGTTTTTCCTGATGCATTAGTGTTTAATTTAGATTATATTCTTTTACCTTTAATCCACTTTCCTCTAATTGAAGTTCCATTAGGTTTAATCACCTACCCGTTGCCATGGAATAACCCTTGTTTCCACAATCCCTGGTATTTTTAGCCATTCGGCCAATGGAGAATACCATATCCTTCTCTTTCGTCATTGATGTAATAACCATCATACTTGGATCCATCAGGCCATTGGAATATTCCTTTTCCATGTTTGACTCCGTTCTTCCAATCCCCTGTGTAGATTCTGCCATCCTAGAATCTGAGAGTGCCTATACCTGAAGGCACATCTCTCTCAAAAGATCCTTCATAGATGGAACCATCTGGAAAACTTAGGAGTCCTTACCCATTCTTGATTCCATTTAGAAAACTTCCTTCCTTAGATATATAGCATTGATACCTTAATATCTCCAGCCATTGGAGTAGGTTTGGATTCCAATGCCATTTGGTAAATCGTTCTTCCATTCCCCTTCATAAAAAGTGCCATCAGCAAATGTATATTTACCTTGTCCTTCAACCACATTTTCAATCCAATGACCCATGAAAAAATCCCCATCTGTCAATTAAAATGTCCCAATACACGTAGGCTTTATTATTGACCCACTCTCCGACATAGGATGAGGAATCCATCATGATGTATTTACCAAATCCATGTGCTTTACCATTCTACCATTATCCCTCATAGTAGGCTCCATTTATCATTTGTATAATTGGTAGTTTAATCTATGTTTGGGATATGATTAAAATTTAATCGTTTTTGCTTTTTGGGACAAAGCAAAGACTTGTCATGTCGAAAGAGAATTATCTTTTTAAACTTGATGGATGACTGAATTCTGAAACCTGACTTTGATTATCTGGAGTGTCTTTGTTGCATTTTGATTAACTTAATTAATTGATTTCGCCAGATTTTTTATTAGTCTCATCTATTTCCTCTTGAGGTTTGTCTTTAATCATGTTTTTCTTCATGATGAGAGACTGCGGTTGATTTGGAGTTTCATTGACATTGCTGAGAGTGTCAAATCCTAAAATGTCTCTATTTATAATTGGTGAACTGTGTTTTTGTTATGTCGATAGGAGGGATAGTTGTCTAATAAATAGTTTTTCATGAAAATAGTACTTTCGAGTCAAGTATCCTTTGAAGACAGCTTGAATTTTTATTACTCCCTCTACATTTCTGGGAGTAAATTTATTTACAAAATTCAGTGTATGCTTGGATTTTGTTAATTTGGTTTTAATTTCTGCTGTCTGATTTTGTTAGGCAAAATTGGTGCATTGTTGGCAATTTCCCATAGTGGAATTGAAATATTTCAAATTAAAATTATATACTAAGACATAATCATTTCTTAATGTTTTTGATAGTGATAATTTATTAGATAATTATTATTTATATAATACGCTTTCTAAATGCATTAATTCGAGAATGAGACTAATATAGTTTTTGGGAGGAATTAAAAAATGGATCCAGCAACATTCTAGTAATTATCTCTCTATCTTCTAGGTAGCAATAAGAGTCAGACCTCTGAATTAGAAGGAAAGAAGTGTTTCAGAGTTTGAAACCATTCGAATACTCGATGGCAAGATGATAGTGTTGATGGATCCAGAATCAGAAAGAGAAGATGAAGTATTGACATTATATAGAATAGTTATTAAGGAAAAATAGGTTGAAGGAAACTAATTTTGCATTTGATTTTGTTTTTGATCAATGGGCTCCTCAATAAAAGATCTACGAAAACACCACCGAGTTTTTATTGGAGGGAGTATTGGAAGGATTCAATACCACTGTATTTTGCTATGGTGCAACAGGTTCTGGCAAGACATTTACGTACATTTAATATCATTAACAATAGAATGATAGGAACCCAATAAGAAGTAGGTTTAATGCCAAGAGCTTTGCAGTCCCTTTTTAATTTTTCACAATCTGACAGATTCAAAGAGACCTAATTTAAGGTCTCCTACGTCGAAATCTATAATGAGAACATACGAGATTTGCTGACATCAGAAGACAAAAATTTAGAAATCAGAGAAGACAAAAATAACGGAATATAAATAGCCGGTGTCATTGAAATTGAAGTTAAAACAGTCACTGAAGTGCTCTCCCTTTTGAAGGTTGGTAATAGAAATCGATCCAAAGAAGCAACTGATGCAAACAAAGAATCATCTAGATCTCATGCTATCCTACAAGTTCAAGTAGAATGCAAAGACAAAGCTGCTGGATTACAGGAATAAATCATTTAAAGCAAATTTAGTTTGGTAGATCTGGCAGGTAGTGAACGAGCAGCCAATACAAATAATAGAGGTTAAAGAATGGTAGAGGGAGCAAACATCAACAAATCATTGTTGGTCCTAGGCAATTGTATTCAATCACTATCAGAAGCTAATGAAAAAGGAATCAAAAATCCATTCATACCATTTAGAAATTCTAAATTAACCAGATTGTTGAAAGATTCCTTAGGTGGTAATTGCAGAACCGTTATGATTTCCAATGTAACTCCATCTGTTAGTAGTTTTGAAGAAACCTACAATACATTAGTCTATGCGAATAGAGCCAAGAACATTAAAACAGTTGCCAATAGAAATGTCTTAGTGGCCTAAAATCATATTAGCAATTATGCACTGCTCATTCAAAATTTGCGACAGGAAAATGAAGAACTAAAATTATTGATACAATAATAATAGTTTAATTCCATCACTCCTCAAAAAAGTAGCAAGTAAATTTATAAAGTAGGATTGCCTTCCATTAATTAGAAAACTGTTCCTGTCCCCTAATTAAATTTGAAATAATAGGTCAATGAATTGGAATCAATTATCAATCAAAATATTTTTGATATCATAGAAGCGAAAAATAAATTATTTGATATGGAACAATAGCAGAATCAATATCAATAGAATATTGGTTTCTTGTAATATCAAAAAGGTCGCTCTTAAGATAAGTTCGAATAAATGAAATTATTGGAAAAAATCGATAATGCTAAAACACAAAAAGCCATACTCAAATAGAGCGAAGATGATATGAAATAGCAGTTACTTGAATATGATATCAAAAAGGTCGATATATAGAAGTCGGTTTAATAAATTCCAGATTTAAATCATAAAACTTATTTGCAAGGTATCATCAAGTAGGGTGAACTTAAAATAGTAATAATTGTTATAAATATAATAATAGGAAAATGTTGAACTTCAAATTTAGGAAAAAAGAAGGAGATATCAGGAATCAGTATAAGATGAACAAGTAAGATAATTAAGAACTTAAATTCATTAACAACAATAAACAAAACATATTTAAAGTGCAAAATCTAAGTCCAGTTAATAGAATGGACCCAAAAAAGGTTATACATACATTTCATATTTTAGTTCCTAGTTTACCTGGAGTAGATTCGCCTTATTATTCTATATCTGGAGGATAAACTTATGCTGTACAAAGGTATTTCAATCATATATATATATCAGGCATTAAAAACAAAAATCTCATCTTAAATTACCACCTGTTCTATAGATGGCTTAATTGCAAAAATCTCCTAAAACTTAAAATTCAAGTTTAAACAGTAAGAATTATAATCTAGTAGGTAATCCTCTAAAATATCGAATGGCTCAAAGATACACAACTAGATTGAACAGACCTCCCTCCTACCGTCCTCCTAGTTCCTCCAGAAAATCTGCCCTTGGAAAATATGTTAACAGATCATTAGATCTAGGAAGTGGAAGAGAAAGTGTAAATAAAAGTTCAGGAGATTTATAAAATTCTGTTAGTCTGAGGAAACTTAAAAAGCTTCATTAAGAATATCAATAATAGAGATTTGAGAGAGTCGTGAGTGGCAAAAAAAATTAAAAATCTATGCCATATTTTGGTAATAAGATTCTTTTGCCAGGCATGGTTCACAAATCGCCTTATGTTAAGAATTTTTAAAACAATCAAGAGCCTATTGAATTGAAAAAAGAGAGATTGAAAATGCTCAATATTAATCTTAAAGCTTAATATGGCGATAAATTTTCGCTGCAAAATTGAATATAAATCATAAGTTAAAGTACTACTTTAAATAAATTAATTCAAAACTTATTCATCTATACTTAACTAAACGATTTTGATTTAAATCTCTAATCGACAGCTAACTTTTCTTGTTATTCAAATTATCTTTTAACTTTTTAGAGTCTAAATTTTATTTTTTTATGTTGCTTGTATTCTTATAACTTCTATTTAAAATCAATCTAACTTTGTTAGTCTAATATCCTTTTGCATAAATTTATATTTTCATCCAATATTTTGAATGTATGCTCCTTTGTCTGTGATGATTTTATTGAAACTTAAAAGTTCTACAGTTTTTGAGGGATTTAAAATGAACGTGCGTGTATTCTCTTTAAATTTGTAGCCAATAATTAATTTTAATGGAATATTTCAGCTTACACCATTTCATCTTTAATATTTGTAGATTTTGGTAACTTAATTGATTTACTTCTATGATATCCAATAGCACTTTTTGACCGTTTTATTTCTTCTAATTTTTATTGATGTATCAGAAAATCTCTATAATGATGTTTGATATTTATTTTTACCTATCTCTGCGTAGGAGTTCATTTGAATCATTTGTATAATATAAATGATTAGATTTATTCATTTACAAATAATAATAAATAATACAATAAATTTAATGTAATTAATTATTTATTATATTATGGTAGTTATTCTTACATAAGTAGATCATTCAGATGCAGAGATTTATGATAAATGTTATAAAATTTAGAGTGTAATAATATCTAAAAACTTAAGTTTAACAAATATTTAATAATAATTTCAAATATTATTTTTATAATTATCTATATTTTATAATTAATTAAAAAGTTCCTAATGATTAATCAAACAATCATAAAAATTCTGAATACAAACAATGTAAATCTTGCTGAAAGTGCTCTATAATTGGAAAAGGCAGGTTAATTAATTTTTAAAATCTTATAGGTATTCAAAACGTCTTTAATTACTTATCGAAATCGGATGTCACAAAAATAGTGTTCCCAGAGTAGGTAATAAAATTACTGTGTGTATTTCACTTCATGATACAAAAAAAAACTTTGGATGTACAAGTTTTTTAAGAATGTAATATTTATTGGATTACAAATGTCTTGAATAATAGTTTTATAATGGAGAGGTTATCTACGGAAATGAGTTCCTCTAGCACCTTTGCAAGGAGTAGTTAATTTTCATCTATGAGATCTTCTTAGTAATAGACAGATAGGAATCTTCCGAATTTTTAAACAGAGACAAAATCATAAAAAGTGCACACTAAGAGAATGGATTGTTTTTAGAGTTACTCAGAGAAATAATAGACAGAGAGACACATCATTAGGGAACCTCTATCATATTAATCAATGTTGCAGTTGTACTACACATATTTAAAACGAGTATGCCATTATTCATCAAGTGGGATACCGATAATAGAATTGTACGTAATATAAAACATCTGTTCAATGGGATTGCGTATAATTGAGGGCTAGAAATGTCCAAAGTTGGATTTCTGCTTTCAACTTATCTTGAAAGATCTTGAATAATTCTAAAGTCAGCAGATTGATTACCTGAAAGAATTGATAATCGATTTAAAAGATAAAAACAAAGAATAGATGTTTGATTTATTCGAGATCTACAAATTGTTATGTTTGAATGGAAAGCAAATTAAATTTTTTGGAGTGTTGAATAAACTAACCATAAATCAATAAAAACTAAAGGGTTTTAAAAAGGAATGTAAAGAATTTGTGATAGAATGTAAATAACACTTAAGAAAAGTGAAACTCTAGCAAAATCAGGACAGATTGAGTGTTTCCGAATTTAAAACAGATAACTTCTTTGAATATGAAAGAAAATAGGTGTACCACAATTATTGATTTATTTAATATATATTCATAAATCTCATCATCATCATAAGATTTATACATTTTCCCCAACTCTTTAAGTGGCTCTGAATAATGCTGCCAACACCTAATGAGTAGTCAAACTTTTGTGATGCCAAGAATGATCAGTCTTCTTCGATTGAATGATATTAGCAAATGTATCTATCATTTTTACTGTGTGATTGCAAGCATCGACCTTGACAACTTCTTCTTTTCCCTAAACATCATCTACAAAGAACCTCTCACTTCCAACATAGTTTTCAAAATAGGCATTGAAATTTCCTGTTCTACCAAATCCTCCAACTAAATCATCTATTCTGATTTGTCCATTTTCACAAACAATGTCAACAAAAGATCTATGAGGAAAAGTGGCTCCACAATCGAAATATGCATATCTTTCATCTGAAAATTCTAAGAATCCAGAAAATTCTATTATTGTATCAACTTTATTTAATTTGTAAGACAGACACTTAACAAACTTAGGTAATTCATAATCGAAAGCAAAAAGGATTGCTCCGACAGGATACCATCCTTAATCACCCAAACAGCCTTAAGGTTCTTGATTTTTATTAGTTCTTCCATTGCCTCCTTGTAGCCACTCTTCATTAGGAGCTTTGAAGGTCATTGCAGCTGTCACTTTGAGTACTTTTCCCAATTCTTATTTCTTTTATTTAGCAACTTAAGTTCTTAGTGAATGTAACCACATGGTTCCATCCAAAAATTGAACTCCATTTTCCTCGCAGCTTTTGATCATGTCTTCCATACATTATGAGGAATCAGCACCTGGCAATGGTTTTTCCACTAATACATGTTTCTTCTTGTTGGCAGCTTTGATTGTCCATTCTTTTTTCAAAGATGTTGGCAATGGGATGTATACTCCATCAACATTTGGGTCATCCAATAATTCTTCGTAAGAACCATAGGCAATCTTTATGTTATGAGCATCAGCCCATTGTCTGGCTTTTTCCAAGGATCGACTGGCTACACAATATACTTCTGCGTATTCAGAGGAATTAATAGCCAAACAGACTTTATGGGCAATTTCAGCTGTTGAAATTATTCCAATGCGAATCTTGCTATTCATTATAATAAATTTTAATATTTGTTATTTTATGAGTAAAAAAGAGGGAGATGGTCTTGATGCTTTGTGTTTCCCTAATGCGGAAGATTATCAAAACGAATTTGATACAGCCAAATAAGTACTTTTGGGATCAGGATCTTATGGCTAAGTTTATAAAATGACATTTAAATCGAACCCTTCATAAAATTGTGCAGTAAAAATAGTTCAGTGTATTAAGTAAGAATGTTTTATAATATAGTAAAAAATCATATGATTCAGCATTAAAGGAGGTTTAATTGAACAGGCAAATTAATATCCATCCCAATATTATATACTTTGACAAAATCTATGCCTGGTCTGAAACCATTCCAGTCTAGAAATATTTTTTAGTGTTTCAAATGAAATTGGCTATGGGTAGTTTGAAGGATCTAAAAGATGATGAAATCAGAGCCAACAGAAAAACTTTTAATGGTATTTTTGCCTTCAAAATTTGTAGAAACAACTTTCTTAAATATTGTCAATCAATTATTATAAGCATTTCTCTTTCTGCAATAGAAGGAACTGTATCATAGAGATATCAAGCCAGAGAACATCCTTTACGAGAAGGAGAACGAAAAAGTTGTAGTTCGAATTGCTGATTTTGGTGTTAGCAAAGCATTAGAACATTTCAAAAACAATGTTAAAAATACTCTTGTCGGAACACCACTGTATTTATCACCAAAATTGTGGGAAGCTTACATTAATGGCTAATATAATGATGTTAAGTATTATTTTTACATTATCCCTCAAGACACAATTTAGAAAAGTCAGATGTATTTTCCTTAGGAGTTACACTCATATAAACGTATTTGTTGTTACAAGATCATGATATAGCAGGTCTCAATGATTAAAAATAAAACAAAATCCCTATTATAATATAAAAGATTTATCATGACAAAATCAAAGAGCTGTTGACAGGAATGCTTAACTATGATGAAAAATCCAGATTCACTTGGCAACAGGCATAGAATTGCCTTAATGGAATTGATAAGATGAATGGGAGCATAGAGCAGAATTAAGGAGGAGGGAGTCTCTAAAATAAAGAAAAAAATTATGTTTTACACATTCCTTATGAAAAGACTATCATGAATAAATCATAATCTATTAAGTTGAGAAAAATAAATTAGATCTACTGTTAAGAATTGAATGAAATCACAAAAGGCTAAATTGCTGATAATTAAAGCATTATCGTTTTCAGTGATAACTATTTTAGTGAAATAAATTTTGAAGGTGCAGCCATTTAAAAAAGACAAATTTAAAGTATCATTTATATTAATCTATTTTTTAAGATCTCAAATGTGTATGTTTGACTGAATAACCAAGAAAGATTATAGGCTTATTTGAAAACAATACAATCTAGATCTTGGATGATGAGATGTGTTAACCATTTAGTTTAGCTTAGACTCCATAAGAAATTAATGTGATATGCTAGATGAGAGATTCCAATGTTCTTTTTGGGTTTAGTAATGGAGAGGTGCAAGTACTGCAACTTCAAGATAAGTCTTTAAAAGTGTTAAATACATTGAAGGATCATACTGCTTAGATTAATTTAATCTATTTTGATAAACTCAATCAGATGTTAATTACATCTGATAGTTCTCGAATATTAAGTGTTAGATTTTTATTTAATAATAAATTGTAGATATTTCATATTACTAATTAGCTCTTATTTAAAATTAGATTATGTAGCACAACATGTGGAATTATTGAGCAATACTTAAATTGTGGTCAATGGATAAAGATTGAACGAAATTTTAATTTTGCATATATCTCATTTTTAAAAGGAACCTGGAATTAAACTAGAAGTTAAATAAACTTTATCTCTATAAACTGGATGTGTATTATCCTTAATTAATTTAAGTGAAAAATGCTTATTTGTATCCACTGAGAAAGAAATAATTATTTATGATTTATAATCAATTCAATAAGACTCAGGGCACCTTTTCAATAATCAAATGCAGTAAACATTTTATTACTGTAATTGGATAAGAGAACGTGGATACTTGATTACTAATGATGGATAGAGAATAATGAAATGGGAAATTGATTATGAAAAAAACTAATTATTTGGGACAAATTTGGTTTAACCTTAAACAAAGAAGTGCTGTTGTTGTAAACGTTGCTCTATTATGTGAAAATATTAATTCATCAGAATTTGATTATTCAACTCTTTGTTTTTATATAAAATTAGACAAAATCAATGCATAACAATTTAACACGTAATATTAAGTTACGAATATTTTCATTCTAATTAACAACGAAGTTAGAAGTTTCAGTTATATTTAAAATTTCAGAATTTTTCAAGTAGAGTGAAATGATAATAATATGAAGTATTTTGTCATTTTAGTATGATGTCAGAGGTATAGAGAATGAATCATTTGATTTACGATGATTTTAATATTGAATTGGTTGAGTCATTATTTTTCAATATATATATATATATTATTTTTATATATTAAATAATGCAGAATGAACATGTGCATCGATAATTGAGTCATCAATTAAAAACATAAATGTAATTATAGATTATTCAATAATTAAAATTACTTATGACTCATCAAAGACCTCCAGTTCCAAAATTCAATGATGAATGCCTAACTCCAAAGATGGAAATGTCTTTATTAGAAGAAGTTCAGCATCTAATTTTTAAAATGAATTTGGATTTTGAGATTGAGAAGAAAGCAATCAGAATAATTTAATCAATTCCACTTTAGAATACTCTGACTTCAGCAAAAGGAGTGATTTTTTATTGTCTCAAAGAATCAAATAGAAAATTGCCTGCATTGGATAAAAAAGTGGAATACGTCATTAAATTCATCGAGCAATAATAAAGTCTAAACTTCTCCAATGTCTGTTAAAAAATGGGTTTCGGTGATTAAGTTTCAAGAGTTTGTGAAACTTTGAAAAAGCAACTTGTTTATTTAATCGGCAAGTTAACGATAAACCTTCAGATTGCTATAACAATAAAAATTGCTGCTGACATTATATTCTACAAACAAGGAGGTTTAAACACCAAGTTTTTAGCATTCCACACAAAAGTAAACGAAGAATAGTTAAAGTGCTCTCTCAATAGAATTAAGCCATTTTCAGAAAAAATAATGACTGATCTCTTCAATCACTACAATGACAACCCTCTTTGATTAAATTCTTGTTTTTATGTTTTAATCTACTGTATTACAAGTTAAATATATAATAAATAACTAGTATTAACCATTGTTTATTTAAGTATTAATATCAACCATAGTACTTAATATATTTGTATAAAAATGATTTAACCAAATTTACTTGTATAAATAATTCTTAAATTTAATTGAAAAATTACATAATTATGGAATCTAACTTCAAAATAGAGTGCTTTAGACATAAAATATTGGGAAATAAGTTATGCATATTGGAAGTTACTTCTGATAAAATTATAATTACAAATGTTTCAGACTCGCCTAATAAGAGAAATGAATTAGACATAAATTATAATTTATTTGTTGATTTTAAAGTCAAGAAAAAATAACTCCATGCAATTGGCTTGACAACAAATAAGCATCATTGGTATTATGCAAACCATGAAAATTTGTTCAATTTAAAATAAATTATAGGAGCAAGAGTGGTCTTTAAAGGAATAAACACTATATATAATCCCTTATAATAGATTGGTCAAGGAACCTTCTCCAATGTTTACTTATTACAAAGTAAAATCAACACCCTTGAATATTATGCTTGCAAATGTTTAGACAAAGCACAAGTGAATGATTAAATTGGCAGAGTAAAATATTTAGTAATCTTGCTAGTAAGGATTGTTTGAAGAAATATAAGCGATGGTGGCATTGAAACACTCAAATATTGCAGAACTTTTGGAAGTATATGAAGGCGATGTTTCATATTACATGGTAATGCAGTATTATGATCTTGAATTTACCGACATTCTAAAAGAACTGAACATTGAAGACATTCACATTATATTCAAGCAATTAGTGACAGCTGTAAATTTCATGCATGAAAAAGGCTACATGCATAGAGATTTAAAACCAGAAAATATTATGTTTTAAGATAGTATATACTAATTGAAACTCATTGATTTTGGACTGACAACTAAAGATTCAGGCAGGTCAAAGTGTGGAACACCTGGTTATGTTGCTCCTGAAATCCTGAATCTTGACACAAAGATTAATGAATATAATGAAAAATGTGACATTTTTTCATTAGGAGTAATATTCTATAAGATGTAAGGCTAATGTTTTTATTGTTAGGTTGGCTTAGCATGACCTATTTAATGGGGCAAATCATGAGGAGATTTTAGAAAACAATGCTAGATGCAACACAAATTTTGAAATTTTAAATGGAAATTAGAAAATTCCAAAATAAGCAATAGACCTATTGAAACTGATGCTTTAGATCGATCCCACATTGAGAATTGATTCAAAATCTATTTTACAGCATTAGTATTTTTCCGTTGAAGAACAAGCTCACAATAATACAATTAATAGCGCTAATCAACTTTCTAGAAAGCATTCATCAGTGTTGAAGATCCTATCCCCCTTATAAAAGAAGAACGGAATTTTTAATTCTCCTTTTTCTGTTCATGAGGAGGATTGCATAGAAAGTGAGGCTTCGATGTAACCAATTCCCACAGTGGTAATGAAAGGAGGGTCGGTGCAAGAAATAGTAAAATCAAGGACACCAGGGAGAATTAGAAAGCTGAGCAAAGAGACGACCAAAAAATATCAGACTACTGATTTTGAGGATATAGTTTTAGAAATTAAATAGAGTAATTATAGGCCACCGAAGCCTAGTTAGTTATCAGAAATGTATAATAAATGAATGATTATAAGTATAAAAAAGTTCATAAAAACAATATTTGTTTTCACACATTTAATTATTTGTAAATATTTATGAAATAGACTCATATTGCTTTTTATACAATTGAATTGAGGATTCCTATAACTGCAAAGACTCCACCAATAATAGCCAGTAGTTGAACAATAAAATGATAGACCGACTTCTTTTAAATAGAATAGACCATATTGACTGGACTGATTTGGTATTTAAAATAGATTGAGTCGATTTCTGTAAAAGTTCTTGGCATTTAAGCTTCATTGATAGAATATTTATAGAGAGTTTAATAGTTTCTTTCGTTCTCATCATAAAACCTCACAGGCAAGGCATCGATATAATACTCATAATCTTATTTCTCTCCTTCAGGGGCTGATTTAACAATTTACTTCCAGGAGTTTTAGAATTTTTGGAGAGATTTCGAATATTTCCTCATTTTGGAGGTGGTGGTGATCTCTCCAAATCTCAATTCATAGATAGAGTGATCCAATTTCATTTTTCTAAAGACTGAAAGATCTCTTTGATGGATTCTCTATAATAAATAATGATGGGCGTGATAACTGACATGGAAGTTGCCTGGGACCTTGTTTACTTAGAAAAATCCCTTCAATTAGCATTATTCTCCTTGATTGATAGCCTCAATTGCATCTAATAATTCTTATTCACTTCCTTCATAGTTAGGTCTTTCGTTACTATCAATCTTAATATGAATATTATTGTTTAATTACTGAGGGCAACACATGTCTATCTTTATCAAGTGAAATCTTCTTCAAGGTGCCAGAAACATCCATTACGTGGACTCCAACCTCATCTTATTAATCCAATGACAACACCATACAGGGTGCCCCAACAATCATGTCTAAGTGAACTTTGATAAATTATTCAGTGTCATTGTCAATCACAGTTTAATAGTTTAATTCTGTGCTAAAGAACAATCTGCATTCATTCATGGTTAAAATGGTCACCAACTATCAAGGAATATGCTGGAATCTTACTGCAAAGGCTATTGTGGTCAAGAATCCTCCCAAGGCTGATGAGGTGTCACCAATATCAGTATTTAATTTTCTAAAAAAATCCAATTATCTCAAACCCATTTAATTTAAAATAATTGTATTATTTTAGGCAATTCAATTACTCAAAGAATAAATACGGAATAATGTTGGCATTCTTGTGTTCGAATAAATTGAAACACCTATAAGACATGGAAATGTGAAAAATATATTTAATATTATATTAATTATAATATGAATCTTAGACCACAAGATAATTAAGAGGTATCCTTGCTATTTCCCATCCATTTTAGGGCAATCAAGCTTAGTACAATAAGAAATATTCCATCTATTATCAAAAGCCTGGAGAGGAGGAACTCAAACAAATAGTGCTTGAGTTGCCCAACATTTTCACAGTTGGGGACTGCATAGATTTTACTATTGAATAGATCAACATCCAAGACCCCAGTATTTATATATAATCTAATTCATTATTAGCTTTTAAATTTAAAGGATCTGCAGATTGTTTTAAATTGAAGGTAGCAAAAAAGAATGGAAAACCAAAGGATGACTTGCCTGGTAATTACATACATATATCTTAGCTTTGGATAATGAACAATAATTGATTGATACTGGTGCAATAGTATTTGCATTAGTTTTAAACCTAAGTTAATAACAATTGGAAAAATAGTTAACATTTGCACCAACCAATTACACCAGCCAGACTCAACAATCCCAAGTCAATTAACAAGAATCCTCCATTAAACAAAGAACTTCTTATAGCAATAGTTTAAGTAACAACAAGAAGGTAATAGATTCCACCATAAGTTTAGAATAAAAATGGAGGAAATGATCAGAAGAATGATGCAAATGGATTTTGCTTCTTTAAGTAATGTGCTTGAAATCAACTCGTACTACTAACTTAATATATCCCATATCATTTAAAAATATCTAATTATAATAATCAAACATATTATTGTTCTCTGTATTCTGTATAAATCATATAAATAAGAAAATTAAAATCACTCCAAACCAAACTAATTGTAATGAAAAAGTGAAAGGCAAAAAGATTTTCTACAATATTTAATCTAAATCTTACCTTAACATACGGAGTGACGGTGTCTCGCAAAGACTTCTCAATAGTTGGATCTATATCAGTGTTAGCGAGTTCAATAAATTTAACCTTCAAACTCAATTGCACTGAGTTGCTGGTGTAACTTGCAGCACTATCAACGATCAAGACATACAATACCTAAGTGGTATATTGGTCACATTGGCTGAGATGATAGTGTTTTAGAGATCTCCCATAAATCCAACCTTCTAGTAAATAATAGTCAATTATTATTCTAGAGGCAAAGCACAAGATGATGTGACATTTTGGATCTCTGTCGAATTAACCTAGAGCCATTCCCCAGATCTGTTGTTATTTGAAGAACCCCATTTTCCAAAATAATAATAGTTCCCAGTGCTGTCTTTAAGACTCTTCATTATTTCATAAGTGACTCCACTAGAGCAGTAAGTTCCTAAATTTACGGTCGATTCAAGTGTACAACTTATAACGAGCTGATATAAATATATATCGTACATCTTCTCCGAAATTGATGACTTTATACAACTTAGAATTATATGAGCTTGTTCCTGGGCTGCAATAACCATTCTCTGACCATGCGTAAACTCGTAATTCTTTATACCAAATGAGATTGGAATTGGCTCCATTGGATTTCCCAACCATCAGAGGTTTCCCTTTGATGTATCCTGGATTACCAGAATAATAGCCTTAGGGTAGTTAAGCTGCAGGATTAATGTATTAGGGATTAGTGGCTAGGGTGAACAGGATGCTCCCAGCACTTACAATATCGAAACTTTTGTAATCCGCTGTTAAAGTTTGAGTATCGTCAATATTGGCATATACACCTGCATAAGGTAATCTTTAGACTGCACTGCACATGATATCATTGATTTAATTGAAATGATATTTGTCATCAAAAACATTAACTAGGTTGACTAGATCACCACATTCAGGGTAAAAGTAATCAGTTTCTGATTTTGAATTCAAACATTTTCCTAAGGTCGTCCATTCTTCTATTAATGCATCTGTGCATCTGGTATCACAACAACATTGCGCATCACATATGTTGATTATCAGATCACATATACATGCTCCTTTGTTTGGATCTAAGATTGAGTTTGATTAATACACCTGAATAAATTCTAGTACTTCTAGTTTAAATGTTTTCAGCAACAGTCTCTGTGGCATTTGCATCAACAACAGGGACTTGAATGGTTTTAGTAAACTGAGAGAGTACGTTGATTGTGAGGGATGCTAATATTAAATACATAAATATTAATATCAAAATTATTTCAATTCCCTCTCCTCAAGTTTAAGATAATGACTCATAATAATCTGTATTTGATTCCAAAAACTCTCCCTTTATCTGATAATTGAATTTCTTCAACACATTTGGATACACAATGGTGAGGTACCAGCATAGAATAAAAATGGCTGGGATTAACTAAAATTAGTTGCAATATTACTATGAGAAAAGTTGTTATATAAATATTATATGTTTAGATCGCCAATAGAGGTAGTGGGATCACCAGAGGTAGATAGAAGAGCACTCTAATCAACTTGAATTTTAGAGGCTTGTCTTTCATAGAATTGGAGTACTCCGCCTCATTAAAACTCCCTTGACCAAAAAAGCATCCTTGGATGAATGAAAATATGAAGGTGAACAGAGTCCCATTTGTGAAACAAGCATTGTATAGCACCTTGGTATGATCTCTGGTGTAATATCCGATCTCCTTATCTTTGCATTCGGTAATCTTCAACAACCATTTGTTAACTTCTTCTTCGTCTTGGTTAAACACTTTTCTGTTCAATTCCAGTAGGGTTAAGTCTATCAAAATAACAAGGATGAACATGGCTGAAATGGAAACAGACAGTCTTTAAAATCGCACATGTTCTTCGCCGTTCAATTGCAATTGATTTTTAATGTACCTAGAATTATCAAGAATTAATACTGCAATAGAAATCGATGACAATAAATCTGATAATTTAACACTATATAAACTCCATATATCCATCCCAAAGTAACCTATCCAATGGTATGCACTCCCAGGAATACTCTTGACAATCCAGTCATAATGATGCAGAAAAAGGCAAAGAGATTGAGGAATATAATTAAGCCTTTTCTAATTTATGGGTCCTGGTCATCACTTTTCCCCTGATTATCGGAGACTTTCTATTTGTTCTTGATGAAAGTGGAAGGATAAAATATGAATAGGTATGAGTAATATATAATGACTGCAGTCTGAGCATGACCAGAGGGTTTGCCAAATTCCATATTGCATCCAATACTGAAAAATCATAATTATTCTATATACCCTTTTATTTCATTTTCCACCCAATATGGTCTAGGTTAATGGTAAGCATTTTTCAATAGACCATTGCTTGTGAATCCGAATATGCATATAAAGATGTATAAAATGGACTCTATCTTTTTGCTGGATAACATTAATTGCAATCCTCCCATTATTATAGGTAGTTGAATTACATAGGAAAAGAATGTAAATATTGATTCCTCCCCTGGAAATGAGTTATTCTGTAGAAATATTGTAAAATCAATGTTCATTCTCCATAGATAATCGTTGAAGATGATATCCAATGTTAGATAGGTAATTAGTGCAAGAGTAGAAATGATTAAAAAATTCATATTAAAAATTTATGGATTACAATCGAAACGATATCATCACTCAAGAGCTGAAGGCCAAGTTCGATCTGGATGTCTAGTACTTCATTCAAACTACTCAATAGAATTAAGGACCCACAGTCACGTCTCTTTCTTAAAGGATATTTTAAATCAGATTCTGAAATACATTCTTCCCGATTTGACAAAGATGACATTATGTTGGCTCTGGGATGCTCGAGTGGATTAGTCTGTGTTTACGATCTCACCAGAAGTATTATTTTATACAATCTGAGGCGAAAAGACAGCATTTTATACATATCTCAGTTCTAAATCAAATATGAAATTGCCATGCACTGCCCTTAGGTTTTAATTTAGACTATACCTAGATGGTTTTCAAGCGAAAAATCTACCAAAATGAGACAAGTCCTGATCTCAGCCAACACTGATGGTAAAATTCATGCTTCTAAATTAGGTACCATAATGTATAAAAATGTGAGAACTGATTCTACCATCTATTAATTTAAAGAGGAAGACGACAATGAGGTTTATTGTATTGATGCCTTAAAAAACCAATTAGCAACTTGCGGCAAGGATTGTAAAGTAATGGTCATTTTAGTAATTTTAGGTTAGAGTGTATGATATTGAGGCTCAAACCTTACAAGCCACCTTAGAAGCCATCTAATGGGTTTAACCTGGCCATAATAATAGATTATTCAGTGTTAAAATTGTACCTTATGATAAAAATTTAGTTATCAGTGGAGGTTGGGACTAGAATATAGTTATATGGGTAGTTTTGTAAATGATATTAAAAGGATCTGAGACAGAAGTCCTAGGCTGGATGCATAGTAGGTCCAAAGGTTGCAGGTGATACCATCGACATAAGAGAAGGCACAATTTTGACAGGGGCAAACAGAATGAGTGAGCAATTGTAATTATGGGATTTGGGTACTTTGAAACTGATAGATAATATCAAGTGGGATGAGAAGGTGGATTCAGCTGGAGCATTCATATACGGATCTTAGTTCGGGAAAGGAAGGGGCTATTGTGTTGGAGGTGTTGCTCATGGAACAAACGAATTCAAGATGTTCGATAGAGTGAAAGGATCATACAAGGAAGCCATGTAATTGGGCGGATTTAAAAAAGGTTCTAATTTTGTATTTATAAAACTCAGGACTCTACACAATGGATTTTGCAAACACATCAAACAAGTGTGTTATAGGAGGTGGAGATGGCTTATGTTTGATGTTAGCGATTGTTCCTAATAAAGATCAATGACGAGTGATTTGATTATTTATTAATCTATATCAAAAGAATTGTTTAAAATAAAAAAATTAATGAATTACAGATCAATTAAGTAATTGACTATCATGCCAAGATTTTATCATCAACAAGAGATATTGAAGCCATCCAAGAAATTTGAAGTGAAACCCAAACCTTATTGTGAGACCTTGCATTTTTAGAGAGAGGTAAGCATATAATTATAGTGTATAGAAAAACAAAAGCAGACTTGAATGGGTATTTGGAACAGTCTTTGCATTATTCTATTTCATGAACATTCATGGGAAAGAATTCATTTACTTCCCCTGGTGTTAGCCATCGAAACCAGAATAATTGTGATTGGAATTTAAACAAAATTAACTATTAATTATTTATATTTCCATAACATGTATTCAATGTTCAAACATTTTAATTCATAAAAACACTTATAGATTAGTGAATTGATTATTTAATCTTAGATTTGCTCTACTCATACTTTAACGAGAAATTGTAGTTCTATGAACATCATTTGATTCAGTCTTTGCTATCGCTTTAACATCGTGACTCAATCTGGGCAATTATCGTGGAGTATGAATGGTAAAGTTATTCATTAATGGATGTCTATTTAATGGTCTGGATGTCAAGATTGGTGACACTGACACACATTCCTATTGTGCAAGACACTTCATATCTAATTTCAATGTGTTCTTCGTCCTTTGAGACTCTCGTTTTTATACATTATTGGTAATGAAAGGATGTTACTTAGCTGAAAGTATTGAAATTCTATTCTCAGGTTACGACTCCAACATCTTTTTCATCAAAGACATCGCCTCTGAACTACACTCAATGTCGTCATAATTGATATCCCCCATCTCATTCAATTTGATTGTTTGTTAATTATTCTTACCCACAAATGGTCTCCTACCAGATAGTAGTATGTATAGCAGAACACCGATGCTGTAGATGTCTACCTTGTAATCATAAGGCTGCCCACGAAGTATCTCAGGAGCCACGTATCCTGGTGTCCCACATCTTCGATATAAGTAGTTTCCATCGTATTTGTAGATGTCTGCAAGTCCAAAATCTCCTATCACTATATCATTTAAATTGTTCTTCTGTCTCAAGATTAGGTTTTCTGGCTTGATATCTCTATGGAGCACTCCTTAGGAATGCATATACTAGACCCCATTCAATAGATTATAGATTATCTGGGAGACCTTGACCTCACTCAATTTCTCGCTTCTCTCCAGGTATTCATGGAGGTCTCCTCCTTTTAATAGTTCCTGGATGAAGTATATATAACTCGAGTTTTCGAAGACTTCGTAGATGGTCAATAATTGGTTATGATTCATTAAACGGAGTATCTACATTTCTTTTATTAAATTCTTCTTATCCTTCTCATTCGAAATTTGTCGCTTTTCAAAACATTTCACTGCATATTCATTCTAAGTGAATTTGCACTCCGCCAAATAAATCTAAAAATAAATAAATTTATTACTGTCGCAAATGTCCCCTTGGCTATCATTTTCTTTATCGTGTATCTCTGAGTGAAATTAAATTGGATGCTTGTCCTCTTCAGTTGGTCAAATATCGATTTAATTTTACCAAAGAACTCAAAAGTATAATTCCCCTTAGTTATTCTAACTCCCTAATCGTTATTGAAGTCACTCGTGATTAATTCCAGGCCTGCATTCTCCACGTTTGTACTATACTATCTCTATGAACTATTTATGTATATTTTACATCGTCCTGCTCCATTATAAGGTTCTTCTTGTTCATTCTCAGATTGCAAGGCATAGTTTCTAAAGGAGTCTAAATATAGTAAAGGTCTTCCATTATATATTTTTAGGTTTTATCGATTTTAGTGTTGTCCCAAAACTAAGTACACTGCTAAGAGAAATAAGATTTAAAGCAATATTTTTGATTCATAGCTAAATTTAATGATTTGATTGTTTGATGATTTTTGTTATATGAAATTTATTTATATCAAAAAATTATTAGTCTGCCCCTATTAGTACACCCACGGTATAATATAACAAATCTCTCATTATCTACCAAAATTTTTAGGTATAACAATATATTTTATTTCGAAGTACAAATTATAAATATTTATATTGCTTTTCAAATTCAAGTAATCCAAATTAATTTTATTTTAAATTATACGATAATATTAAAACGAAAATTGTTGATAGATCAATTATTTTCTCCTTTTAAGAGTATAAACATTAGAACAACAAGCATCCAAGATGATAAGTGTACTTAAAATCCTTGTATGAATCAATTAGAGTTTATGAAAGCATCGTAATTCTTATATAAATTATTTCAAGCATATTTAACTTAATATCCAATTAAGTATTTAATTCTAAGACTTTTGTATAACTCATATGATCATAGAATTTATATTCAATCATTTAAATTCGAATTAAATTTTATTTTATTTCATACAAAAAAGTTATTTATGGTGATTTCGTTGAATCTTCTTTATTTTCTTTATTGAATTCTGTAATTATCATTAAATCTCCAAATACAACATTTTACTATGATATAAATATCTTAAAAGATAAAAATATTATAATAATAAAATGAATTCTTTTTTCTTCGATAGAACGAGAAGCACCAATTTAAATATTGGGTTCTTCTCTTTGATTCATTACAGAATTGTCTAAGAATTAGGAGAAAAAGATATTTATATAAGTATTTTTTTTAATCAAAGATAAATGCATATATTTAATTTAAGTTTACTAAATGCAGACCCCTGACTAAAAGAAAAAAAAACCATAAATTGCTAAAATTAGTCTATAATCAGAACAAGCTCAACCTGTTCTTAATCTGTATTCAGCTTATTTAAAAAAATAGTTCTGAGAATGGATCTCTCATTCTCAAAGAATTTCGTCTAAATGGTTAAGGGCTTAAAGTAACTCACACACATGACCAATGGGACTTTTCACTCTCTGAATCTACTCATAATTTATCGCTTGAAAATTTAGTAACAGTTGGGCATTTAGGTCAGGGTGCATCAGGTCAAGTTGAGAAAGTTTAAGATTAAGTCACAGGACAATATTTCGCAATGAAAGTACCGACAATTAGTATTTAGAAAATTCCCGTCGCCTCCGATCCCCAATATTTGAAACAACTATCAGACGAATTAAAACTTGCTCTAGAATGCAGTTCACCTTATGTTGTCAAATGCTATGGTGCGTTTTACAAATCTGGAACCTTACACATAATTCTTGAGTATATGGATGTCGGATCAATCGATTCTTTGATAAAGAAAGTGAAAAATCTGAATGAACCTGTTATGGCTTTGCTTTTATATCAAATTCTTTTAGGAATTGATTATTTACACAACAAAAAGAAAATCATTCACAGAGACATTAAACCATAAAACATCCTAGTCAACAAGAAGGGCGAGATCAAGATCACCGACTTCGGCATCTCAGGCACAATAGAAACTATGCAATAAAGAAAAACTTATGTTGGAACTGCAGTTTATATGTCAGTATGAATTTATTGGTAACTTAGCCTGAAAGATTGAATGGAGAAATGTATGGAAAGGATTCTGACATATGGTCCATTGGTATTTTGACTGCAGAATGTCTGATGGGCAAACATCCCATATAGAAAACTCAATTTATAGATATGGTTAATGAAATTAGTTCATTTAACATTGAGAATGTTCAAGCAAAGATTTCAGCAGAAATGAAAAACTTCATATCAATGTGGTAATCATATTTATTAATTTCAAGCGTAAAATTGAAACCAGAGGAGAGAGCAACAGTTGATTAATTGTTAAATCATAAAATCATTCTAAGAACTAAAAAAATTGATAAGATGGTTTTCTTATAATGGCTGAATTAAGTGACATAATTATGAATTATAATTAATTTTATGTTATATCCATTATTTTAATACATATATTCTACTTTTATGATAAAAAGTTAATATATTGATGAAATAACATGAAACATTGGTTCATACAAACAATCTACTTTTAGAAGTAATTCTTATAATAATTTATTACAAATTATAAATATAAAATCTATAATTTCAATTAATGATAGCAGCATTTAGATCTTTTATAACAGCTTCCAATTTAGGTCTCTCTTATGGTTTTATACTAACCATTTTAGAAATTATGCTATGCATAGTTTCACTGTAAAAGGCCATGTTTTACTTATCTTTAAGTTTATCAACTAATTTCCATAAATTGGCATTCCTTTTTTCAGCACTTTTTTTATATTAAACATCCTATTATGTTATAAAGTACAAGAAACAAAGTCCCATTTACCAAATATCATAACTTTCTTAATAAGGTTTTCCTTACATATTTTCTGGAGGTATATATTACTTTGTTCCTACAAATTCATCAATTCCTCCTTTTTCTATAACTGATTCAAAATCTATTATTTACCATTGCAGTTTATCAATTTGATTTATATTTTGATCGGTAATTTCGTAGAATCTATCCGTATATGTATCTTTTCCAGTAACCATGATGTTTTCTGGTTTTAAATCCCTATGAATTTTATTTTAATCATGCAACTTTTTTAGTTCATCAGCTAATTTACTACAAATTTTCATTTTTTCCTTCATATTTAGCTTCCCATCAGAATTTTTAGTATAATCTTTTAAAGTCAAACTATATTGTTGTAAAAACAAGAGAGTTGAATCATCTACATCCAAAGTGTAACAAAACAAGTCTATCAAGTTTTTATTATTGAATTGAGTTTATCTTTTCAGGTTCTTATAATTATCAACCTCAGTTAGTCTTTTTTGTTTTTATTCTTTCTGATGAATCCATTTAATAATAATTTAATCATGTTTACTATTAATGTAATATGGCACTTTAACATGATAAATATAGGTTAATCCTTTATTAAATTCTTAAACATGATTAATCTCTAACCCATAAATAATTTATAGACACTATTCTCTCCAATTATCTTTTGATAAATCTATATTTAATTTCTTTAAAATATATAATAGAATTTCTTCAAAATTCTGAGTTTTATGAATATCTAAAGGACTCAACCCAAATTTTATCACTTAAAATACTTAAAAAAAATTACAAATATCTTTCAATTAATTAAGAATGTGTTCTTCATTATTTGGATTGCTTTCCTTTAAAATAATATCGGATGGTATGAAAATATCCAACTTTTCTAATTCTCCAGACTCCCTTGCTATCAAATCTTCTATCTTTAAATTTTGAATAGTATATCCTTCAAAATTAATTGTATTTAAAACTACATTACAACCATTTTTTACTTTGAGTTAACTAATATAGTAATTTTAAAATTATTGTCATAGGCAATAGTTAATTCTATTAAATGATTTGTTTCAAGGGTATCATCTTAATATGGTGGATTTCCTTATGAAATATTCCTTTCTAAAAACTCATAGTATAATTTCTATTAAACTATTGTATAAATATTTAATTTATTTTTAATCATCAGCGTTCTAATACCTGAAATGTAGGCGACAAATTTATTATCTGATTATTAATGGAGAAATGCAATAGCATTGAGGAGTGCATTTTTGAGGTAATAAGATAATATTAAATGAACAATAGAATCAATAACTAAATCTTTTACAAGCAATTTTAATAATTATTAATAAAAGATAATTAGAACAAATTGTAAATCTAATGATTACATAATTTCATAAGAAAAGGACTGATGAATTAAAATAATAAAATATTTATTCCCCAAATGAAGACGATAATTTATAGATATTAATAATATATGCGTAAACCCTCTTAATTTTCATTCCAAATCTCCCCTTCTTTATATGAATTCCAATAACTTCTCTCTTGCCTACTTCTCAGATGTTGCTCTTATTTTTTTATGAACTGCATAAGTATTCTTATCTCTCAAATGATAAAGATTTTACCCGTCAACTGGATCCTCATCAGTCATTACAATTTCAAATTCTGCTTAGTTCTTACCTTTAAAGTATCTAAATAATCGATCTTAAGGGTTCTTAATGATTTGATTTGGGGATGTAAAGTGCTACATAAAAGGCATTAATAATTTGAAAACAACTTATTTGGTTAGATCATAATTAAATGAGGAGTCTACAAAAATAGCACCAACAATAGATTCGAATACGTCACCTAGGATTTTAATAATGGGCTCTGAAGTGTACATCTTACTGATATCATCATAGTATTCATTATACATTTACTTAATCTTATTTAGAGTTTGGTGATTTTCATGAGCCACCTTATGAAGAGTTGGATGCAATAAAAATTGATCCAACTTATAATGGAGGGTTACGAGGGCCAGCGCTTTATTGCAAACTACGCATTACTTTTTTAGAGCCAGATCTTCTACTTTCTCCTTATTAAATTCTTTCACTAACCATTCCACTACAACTGAATCTAGAACTGAATCCCCTAAAAATTCCAATCTTTCATAACTCATATCAATTCTATTTTATTGTTAATTCAACTGGGTTAACAACGATTCATTTATATCATTTTAATTTAAATTCGATATCTAAAGAATATTCTTTGTATTTTAAAACTCAACAAAATTGCATTTGCACTTTCTGTAATTGTAAAAATCTAGCACACTAAGAAAAGACTGATGAGTAATGGCTTAGATTAATATTGATTGATCATTGAATTTATATCCAATAATATTTTCTAATGAGTTCAGATTCTTTTGAAGCAAACCTTTTGCTTACAAGGTAGTTGAGTTTTTCAGTTTGACTTAAGCTAAAGGATATTTTAGCACCCCTATTCGATGTAAGAAAAATTAGCAAGCATTAATGTCCTCGTCATATTAAATCAAAAATGCACCATTCAATGCTTCAACTACATCAGAATGAACTTTTTCTGGAATGGGCTAATAGTTTTTTGGCAATTCAGTTATAACTTCACCGTTCTGTGTATATTAATACTTTGTATTCTCCTTATTTTCCTTTTATTTCTCAGGCTATATTTCTGATAATTCTTAAGTATTTTTATCAAGAAGGAATTCTGGTGGAGAATAATCGAAGTTTGTGCATTTAATGCAATTAAAGAATCTATGAATAATTGAAAACTTCCTTAAATTTTCATTAGAAACAATCCGTGCCCTTTCTAAATGTAACAAATGTTCATTTGCAAAAGGAAATTGAACGAATACTTCAATACTCGACAGCAATTTTAAATTAGCATCTCCTAAGAATTCTAGTACTTAATAATTTGTTTAATCGTCTTAATTGAATTATTGGGATTGGAAACATTTATGCAACAATTCATTGTCTATATCATGGATAGAATATTTAAAATTCCTTTATTTTAATTACTTTTAGTAATCCTAAATTTTATTTCCTACATTTAAATCTATATTTTGATTGAATTGATTCAACAAATCTTAAAATTCAGAAGAATTATCAGCGAAAAAATTAATTACTTCTTACGAGTCTTGAATCATGATATTATCCATTACTTGATAGGTTTATGGCTGGAAACTGTTTAAATCTTACTTCCCAGAATCAAGTAATTTAGAAGTCTAAGATTTAAATGTGTAAGACACAAGAAAATCTCTTAATTATTATAAGATATGTTTAGTTAATATTCTTAACTCCAATGTAGCTGAAATATTTAATGGGAATTGATAAAATTCTCCTGAAAAATATTGATATTTAGGATCTTTCTATGAATTTTTCGTTATTATTTCTCTATTTTAATTAATGTGCTATTTCAAATACTTTCTTAATATAGGGGCTGCATATAAATCTTTTTCATTATCAAAATTAAAATTGATCACTAATTTTAAACTTCTTTGGACATTCTATAAATCTTTTAAAAATTCCTTTTTTTTTTCATTATCAAATCTTTATATTTGTTCTTCAATCTGTCGTTTTGAATCAAAAACTACCTTACTAAAAAAGTATCTATCAGTTATATTCTAACCCACAATTCCCTTAAAATTGGATTCCTTTAATAATTTTATTAGGTCTCCATCGTATTCCAAACTATTCCAAGTTTCAAATCTAATACTCATATCATTCAATCTTTGTCTTTCCTCTTTTATCTATTAATTCATCTTTTTCTTTTGTTTAATCGAGTTCAAAAAACTGAAAACTTTTTTCATCTTTTCAATGTATTTTACAATATTGGCAGAAGCCTCATAATTAATATTGAATTCTTCGAATTCTTAATCTCCTAACAATAAGACTAAAAGAGCATATTATTTTTAATCATCTATTGTGTTGAATTGTTATTTTTTGCCTTGTTAAAATAGAGCAGATTCAGATGAAATTGTTTCTTTTGCAAGGAATGAATAAAATGGCAAATCCCAGTCAAATGAAGTTGCAACCAAGAATTAATGAACTTAGTTTAGTAAATTATATTATTCCAGTGTTATTGTAATCTTTTTAACAAATTCTAATCTTATTTCCTTACCTCCTTAAAATTTGAATCTATTACAGAATTAGGAATTATGTAGAAATCCAATAGCCTATTCTTTACCTTTTTCAATTTTGATTAGTGGTGGCAACTCAAAAAATTTAAATTTGTATAAATATAAAGGTTGCTGAATTGAAATCTCAAAAACATCCATTTTATAAGGGAATAATTTTTGTCTTAAATCTACTAATGGTTCAACCTTCATAACAACACTCTCTTGTATAACTTGACAGTAATTTGGATCCTTCAAATTTGGATCATTTTTTCTGTCAGATACGAAATGATATGCACTTTTTACAGGTCGCAAATCTTCAGTCAACATTTACTTTTATTTCAAAATTAACACTGCTTTAAATGCTGCCGATCTTTTAGCATCTTCTTTAGTTTTCATCAGATCTCCTATAAAGTAACGATCAGAAAAATTCTTTGGAAGTATCAAAACGCACTTCCACCCCAATGATGGAAATTCAGTATATTGATAAAATATTCCTCTTATGTAGTTTTCGTCCTTTCCTCTGTATTCAAAGTTTTTAAATATGTTGGCATAATTAGAAAGAATTTCTACAGCCCAATTCACATTTACTAAAGCTAGACTATCTTTAACCAATCTACAATCGTAATATTCTTCCTTGAACTTTGGAATATTATTAATTTACTTATTCAAACTATTTATACGATTTTTCAAATCAGAATAGTAGTTATTCTTATTCAATTCTTCTATCTTTCTTTCCACACATTCTTTTGTCTTAAATAATACCTTTTCTTTTGCCATCCACATCAATTCTTTTTCTTTTGGTAAAATAAAATAAAATACAGATCCTTCTGCTCTTGCTCTACCTATTTTTTAAATAAACTATTTTAAAGTTGTAATCTCCCCAAATATGAAAACATAATGACAGTTTGGGACATCGAATCCTTCTTCAGTTACATTTGTTGAAACCAAAATATTGCAACTTTCTTTAAATTTTTTAATTGATTCCTTTTGAGCGTTAGAAGTTGTAATAGTCTAATCCAGTTTCTTACCATAATTTTTAACTCCTTCCAAGACTTCTTATAATTAGGATCTTAATTTCATTTTGGTTTAGTTGTCATCATCATCCTCATTATTCAACTCTATATCCTCTTCCTTACCTTCTATATTGAATTATTCATAAATCTTTTCTGCAATCTCCAAAGCATTAATATTAGGAGACAAAGATATGAATTTATTCCTGTCTTTTAAAATTGTCATTTGTAATGCTCCCGATGTCAAATTACCAGTACCCACTACATAGGTAGATTCCAACTAATGCAACTCTAATAACTAATGCAAATATTTGGCTGTTATCTTCTGATCCACGAAAATTAAGAGCTTCTTATTTTCTTTATTGTTCTATGTTATTTCTAACAATTAATTTCTTAAAGCAATAAACTTATTCGACAAATTTTCATCATTTAAAACGTTTAATGGCTATAAAATTTCCAAATAATCATGGAACAATTTTTTGATCTTATCAAGTAGTTTCTAGTCTTTCTCAACTTTATATTTAAATTTAATTTCTTCAAAATTTATAAATAGCTACTTGATAAACTAATAGAATGAAAAAGCACCTAAATCCTTATATAGAATAATTCCATACATAGTAACAAAGTGATATAACTAATCTATCAGTAATTAAATACTATATGAAATCTTATCTTTTTCTTTTTCAAAATATATCTCTTACCATAACCTAAAAAAATCATTTAGGGTTTGATGTTTGGGAGTATATGTAGTCGAAATACCTAAATCCTAATTATAGGTTATAACCTTAGATTGATATTCTTTAATTTACTTTTCTTATGCTTAAACATATTTTGACTGTAAATTTAATGCTAATTGAAGAATATCTACTTCAATTTACAAACTAGGAACAGAACTTATTTTGACTGCCCTTTCTATGTCAACTGATGTAACTGGAGTGGCAGTCAAACCTAAAAATTTCACTTTTTCGCTATGTTATATTTATTTCTTAACTTTTTCACACTCAAGGAATTCTTTGATTATCAATCTGTAGGAATGCCTCTAGGTGCAATGATGACATTCATCAAATATGATTAATGAAAAATATGGCAATTTCAAGTATCCTCTTCTTAAAGCATTCAATAACATCTAACCCATCATTACAAGAACGCATGATTCATTGATGATATCATCCCATCTTTCCTTTTTCCAACCTTGAATATCCATACCTTCATCAATCCCTAGAATAGACTTAGAATGGATTGGAACAATAAATTTTCTTTTGAAAGAATTATCTTTGAATAGCTGAAGATCAAAATGATAGTCTTATGGTGCCAATCCTTTTTTCTCCATTTCTTAAGCAACAGAATATATTTAATCTCTAATTAGCTAACATTATTATTCAACCAATTGAATAGTGTTTGCCAAAAAAACTAATTTTGTATTTTAAAACCCATTCTTTTTGATGTAATAGTAAATGTGCATTAGAGCAATATGAGTCTTACCTCTTCCTGTTTCCAGAAATATTATTGAGTTTTTCTCTTTTGATTTCTGAAACAAATCAATTTGATAGTCTCTAATCTCGAAATCTGTATTTTAATATTATTCATCCTAAGGAATATTATATTGCTATTCTTCTTCTTGTTAATTTTCTTATTAAATGAATAACCCATCTAAATCATCCATTATTTCAATTTAATCTAGGGTTTGTTTTACTTCTTAATTATCATCCGAAATGGACGACTCATCGCCACTAAAAGGATAATCAAAATTCATTATATTTTAATTTTAATGCCAATAATATAAATTACTTTTATCAATCTATCATTCTAAATTAAACTACATTAAATAATATATCAATCTTTACTTTAATCATCCTTAAACATGATGCAAAGATGATTTAATATTAGAATACATATATATTTAATAATTATATTTAATATCCAATTTAAAAAAAATAGAAATTGTTTAGTTAAACTCACCTAAGGGTTTAGTTTTCTTGATTGTACCTTTCTATCTAAGACAAATATAAATTATAAATTACTTTTTCATTAGATACATTTGGTTTCTTTTATTAAAACAATATTGTATATAGTTTATAATCTAACTGAAAAAACTAGACAAAAACAATAACAAAAAGCAATTCCGGTCCAAATATTTATATTCCTGAGCCTATCAATGCTGATAAAATACAGCTACCAAATGTAGCTAGGTTTGCAGAATCTGAGAAAACAATTACAATTACGACCAAATTTGCAATAACATATCCAAAAAAAAACATACTTCTTGATCTAGGATCAGAAAATGCAAATTTTGAGGTTTTTGGATACTTTTTTTCCAATTACTTGAAAATACATTCTTTATAGAAGCTGTAACACATATAATAAAACACTTTTTAAAGCAAAAATCCCCCAAAACAAATTAATGGTATGTAGAGGTACTTATATAAGCTAACTTATAAGTCATCTTTAAAATTTTGTTGTTATTCGAACAATGAATATGCTACTTCTTAATTAGTGAAAATGACAAAGATATTTGCTACTTTCTCAATGCAAATCTAAATATTCTGAGTACTTTACCAAATTGTGGTTCTTTTTTGTTTCTTTAGGCCAAAATACAAATGCTTCTAAAATCTAATCCAGACACGAACTCTGGGTATTTGAATTCTAATCTTAAGTCTTCTAGGCGAACCACTTAGAATTTAATTTCAAAAGATAGAAGACTGCAAATAAATAAAGAAAAACTATAGCACCAAAGTTAATCCCTGCATAATCCAAATCCTCCATTAATTTTATTTATCTAAATATAATAATAAAATTCTAAGAAGGATACATTGATATTCAGGCTAATATTGTTCACTAAAGATGGAGATTAGTCTTCCTGTTTCCAGAATATTTCAGAGTTAAAATAAATCAATAAGGTATATCCATATATATAATAATAAAAGATGAAGATTGTTTTATAGAAAAAAATACTTGCGTGCAGAATATTATAATGGATTTGATAATCGTAATGTAATAATATTAAACAATTGAAATGCTATTATACATCTAAAGTAAATAGAATGGAATTATTTATAATAATCATTTTTAATCAAATTTATGTTTGTGATGATTTGCTTTGACTTATTTTTTTAGTAAGATAGTTAGAAAATATTCGAATATGAGATAGAATTTGAAGCCTAATAAGTCCATTAACATTAATCCTTTAAATTATAGGCGTTTTAAATATTAAAAAGTAATTTTATAATTAATAATTGAAATTCTATTATGAATAAAATAGAAGAGCTAAAGAATTCACCATTTCTCTTGAGAGGAATATTAAAAAAAGATTAACTATGTTTTGAAGTAGAAAGTCTTTAAGAAAGATTAAAGAGGAAACTTTTAAAAGTAGATTATTTACACAAAATAATGTTTCATATTACTATTTGTAAAATATCATTTTTATTTTAGTGGTTTTTGAATGTGCATAAAGAAGAAAGAATTTTCTTAAATCTTTGAGAATTGATCAAATTTATTTGAATAAAGATGAAAAATATTCAAATGTTTTTATTTTTGAAGAAGATCAATTAATTTCTACATAAGAACAATAACCACCTTAAAAATTACTTTTCAATATGTGTATATTTCTTTAAAAACTATTATTTAGTTCAAAGTCTAGGTTTTGATTTACCATACGACTATTTTTAAATTAATAATTATGCTTAAGAAAAATTACTAAATGAGTTATATGCAAATATTTTTGAAGAAAAGAAAAAAGATAGATAAATCATTATTACTGAGACTAAAATATTACAAGTGCTTTATAATATTGAAATCTAAGGGGATCCGGCATATTACACAAGTTTTTCAAAAGTTTTTCATATAAAAACTCCATTCTATATTAATTCATCGGCAGAATCAATTGTTGTTAAATGGGTTAAGTTTAAATGTGAGGAAGAAAGGGCTTATTTAAAGACAGAAATTAAATTATTAGAGTCTCTTAATAATTGTGATAGAATTGCAAAATTGTATTGTTATGACAACTTTGCAGATCAATAATTTTTCTTTATGAAAAATTATGATAAAACTCTAGAATAAATAAATAATGAAGTAGGCGAAAAAGATTTAAATTGGGGAGACTTGATGCATTTAATCAAATAAATGATATTGGCATTAAAGGAACTACATTCCAAAGGCATTTGTCACAGAGACTTAAAACCATAAAATATTATGTTTGAATATTTAGGTGAAGATAAATAAATTTAATAACTGAAATGTGTGTTAATAGATTTCAATAGATCAAAAATGCCTGCTTATTTAGAAAGTTAAATGAGGGAAATAACATATTATGAAGGTACTCCTCAGTATCAACCGCCTGAAGGAACTTAAGAAAATTATGGACCACCCTATGACATATGGCAATTAGGTTATATAATTTAATGCATGATATTAAGAAGGAAAAACAGAGAATTTTCTTCTCAGAGAGACAGACCAATAGAAAAAAATAAATATAATCTTATATTTTAAGAAGATAAAAAAGAAGTTATGAAAAAATACCCAAATCTTTATAGTATAATATTTAAAATGATGGAACTTAATCCTTCAGCTAGACCTTAAGAATTATAAGAAATCGAAGAATTCTTTGAAAAATTGAATAAAGCTTGAATTGTGATTAAACAAACCATAGGATAAAATATAACCATATTAAAGTTTAAGCATTTTTTTATTTTAATTTCAAATCATATGTTAATTTGAATGAATTTTAAAAAAAATAAATTCTTCTTATCAAAAAAAGAGTAGTAAATTGAGTAAATCAAGCTAAAGGTGTATATCTATCTTTAAAATAAATAAAGCGAAAAAAATTATAGAATACTAAGATTTATTTTAACAAAATTAATCTGTCAAGATATAATTTGGAAAATATATAATTTAATCAAATTTTTGAAAAGAACCTTCTCTCTTAATTTATTTTTTCCAAAGATGATTTGTAACCAACTGCTTTTTATGACTATTATTTTTGATTCAAAATTTAGCGAGATCTAGGGTTATTCTTGACAGATTAAACTAAAGGGACTATGTCCTGGGATTTAGTTGATCTTAAAATATAGAAAAACAAGTTATTACCTTCCTTAACTATGATAAGATGCCATACAAGGAGTATTTGGCTATAAATTAGTGTGTGCAATCCACTCTTTGTAGACTGATTTTATTTAAGTCTCTTAGGGAGATTCATAATAAAATGACGACCCAAAAATAGCAGGTAAATTAGCACCTTTATTCGAAGCAATCATTTTCCTAAAATCTTATTCTCCTTTTTATGATTCCTTCTCATCCAAATTCATTTTTAAAGGATCAGGGCGAAATGGAGGTTTAACCTTTTTAAGTGTTAGTAATTTAAAGTCGATTTAAGCAAAAAAGGAATGTTGAAGGATCTCTTATATTCCTCCAGAAGCTCCTAATCTTTGGCTTGGGTTTTTATCTAACAATTGCATCAATAGACTTTTCGCATCCTTTGATAAATTTATCTTGAATTATATGAAACATTTTACATCATTAGGGAAACTTAATTTTGAATAGAGAATATCTTAATATATTTAATTTGTGTCTGTTGAATAGTAAGGCGGTAATCCAGTAAGTAATTCATAAAGTAAAGCACCTAAACAATAAAAATCAACAGTTTATGAGTGCCCTTATTTCAAGAGCATTTCAGGAGCCATATATTCAGGAGATCCACAAAAACTATATGCTTTTTCATCTCTGCTTATTTCTGGTTTACTTAGACCAAAGTCTGCAATTCTAACATGTCCTTCTATGTCCATAAGGATGTTTTCAGGTTTAATATCTCTATATAAAATGTTCATCGAATGAATTTCATGTAGACCCTTAATAATCAATAGGAATACATACCAAACAAATTTCTGCTATGTAGAAGCAGGCTTATTCTTCACTCATTCTTTTGATTTGTTTCAATTAGTAAAATAATTCCCCGCCTTAACAAAACTCTAGAACAAAAACTACGAATTGTCTTGATTCGAATGCATATGATAAATGTAGTAAGAATGGACTGTTAAGTAAAGTCATGATATTTCGTTCATTCAATACAATTTACTGCTTTTTCTTAGCTATGATGAATTCCTTATCAATGAGTTTGAGAGCATAAAATTTGCCAGTGTCTTTTTTTCTAACCAAATAAACTAAAGAGAAACCTCCTACACCGATGTTCTTCAAAAAAATGAAATCCTTCAAACTAACCTTAGGTTCGGATTATGCTTGTAGAAAGAAGGCCTCCAACTTTAAACCAGAATTCATGAAGACATTGAATTGTAATTCTGGTTGAGCTACATAATAGTCAATTGGTATTGAATGTTATTAGGAGACAAAGCTAACAATTTAATTGACTGATGGCTTGTCCTTAAGATTGGCATAGCATTCTTGGGGATTGGCAAATGTACTGTCATACAATCTTTACAAAATTTAAAACCAAACAGATTTCATATTGGCACTAATTTAATAGCTTTTAAATATTACTGAGCTTCAAAATAAAAGTAATAGTCTTGGTTGCCAAATTTCACAACTACATTATGATGCTTAACTTATTGCATTTATTCATCCTGACCTAAGCTTTTTGCTTTGTTTAATAATGATGCAGGGTTTCCCATGTCTGTTTTTATGGTTCTTTTGACTGATTCAATGGCTTCAATAGTAACAGATTGTCCAGAACGCTTTTGCTAACCACCTTAATTACTAACGAAATTGGCATTAATAAAGAATTAATTGGTTTAGGCGATGGAGTTCTGAGACGATCGTTAACTTTATTTGCTCAATTATTGTTTCATTCTCACATCACTCTTTTTTTGCTTATACAAATAAAATTTTTCTAATGCATTGTCTGGAATCTGATCAATCGATAGAGGCTTGGTTTATGAAGTTTTGCGATGGCTGGGAGTAGTATGAAATTAATTAAATTGATTTTTTCTTGAAAAAGAATCTTAAGTTCCGACCCTTAACATACCTTAATTTGACATCCAATATGAAGTTTAATTAATATAATTATAAATAATCTCAATTATAATCTATAATTGTTTTTTTGTTTTAATTATATCATCCTATATAATAATTGGATATTTCAACAGAAATGAAATGAATTTGTAATTATTTGCAATGAAATCGAGTGTCTATTAAATAGATCAATTATTAAATGCTACTTTTATTTCCCATCGAGAAATGGATGAAAATTAAAAGATATTTGTTACAGAATAATTAATCCATTTGTTATGTGTTTTAGAATGAAAAACGATTATTTATTTGAAGTGAAAGATGACAATTTTATTTCTAAAAATCTTTAAATTAGATTTGAAAATAACGAAACCTTATGCCAAATAGAAAGAGTTGTTACTCAAATAAATAACTATTTTAAAGAATTATTGTATTTATTTAAAATAATGAGATTTATACAATTAAAAGAGTAAACCATTTGGAAAACTTCAATTTAAAGTATATTAATTTTGTTTAATAACCATAATAATGTTCATGAATCAATCTTAGGCAGGAATATCTTATTAAAATATATATTATAACAATTCAGCAATCAGAAATCTATTAATTATGAAGTTAGGATGACAAGCTTTAGACAGATCTATTCGTGGAACTTTTGGCTGAATATTCATCAGCCATTTTTCTCCAATATTTCGTCGATTCTATCACTACTCTGTCTACTATTGAACTTTATTTCTTTTTTAACAAGATGTTCGGTTATGGTTATGATGAATTGTTTAGTCTTTGTTGCCAAAAGTTAAGCGAGTTCTCTATAATATTGTCCATGGAGTGCAATGATTTATAATTTTTATATTATTTTTATTAATATATAAAGCATAAATAATGTATTATTAATAAATACAATTTGTAAATAACTTAATCGTTAAAATAAAATGGGTTAATCCATTAACTGAATAAACTGTATTAGTTTAAGTAAATTTATTTTTTTTTATAATTATATTTAATCAAAATCACAAAAAGATTATCAAATACTGTCTGAATAATAAAATAAAAATGAATAAAATTTGAAGACCAATATATCTATCTAAAGAGAATACGACATTAAATTTTATATATTTTAATTAACTTATGGAATAGTAACCACTCAGTAATTAAAGAGTAGATTCATTTATCTAATTTATAGTAGAACTTTAATGACGACTAACTAACACAGAGGAGGGAGTTGACTGCATATGAATCTTGTTTAGATTGCTTTGGTTGTTTTTCAGGATTTTTGAGAGTATCTATATTAATATAGAATTTCAAGGCATGGCTTCCATGTGTATTTTGTTGCTGTGAAAATCCATTCTTCGCAGTTCAATAAAGCTCATTGGGTTTAGTGGAGAAGTTCGGAAAATATAATAGGAGTCTGCCACCTGGCTTAAATCAGATCAATCCATGCACAGTAATATCATATTCCGAATTAAGGATACAGTCATACAAGTGGATTTGAGAACAAGAGTATTAGATTTAGATAGATAAATTATATTGACAAAAGACAACATTTAGGTTAACATTGATACTTGCATGTATTTTAGAATTATAGGTATATAATTGAATTTAATTCTCTCTTTTTTTCATTCAGATCCTGTCAGAGCTACCTACAGAGTTTCAAGATTGACTTAATCTGTTAAGGACATGACATATGCAGCCCTAAGACAAGTGTGCGGGGAACATTAGCTCCAGGATTTATTAGAACACAGAGAAATGGTCCAAGATTCGATAGAAGCCTATCTCGATAAATCAACTGAATAATGGGGAATCTACATTGAAGAAGTCTTTATTAAGGATATGGTTCTGACACCTTAAATGCAATCTGATTTAGCTGCTGCGGCTAAAAACAAAAGAATCGCCTAAGCTAAAGTTATATCTGCTCAGGCCGATGTAGAGAGTGCAAAGTTGATGAAGGAGGCTGCCTAAGCTTTGGATAGCAAAGCGGCTATGCAGATTAGATTTCTAGAAACACTTCAACTATTAGCCAAAGGACCTTCTTAGAAACTAATGTTTTTGCCATTAAGTCCAGAATCTCAAGGTGCTCATAATGGATGAAAAAGTCTTGCTTTATTAATATAGATTTAATTTAAATATTACAAGGATTGTATAATTTAATAAACTATCAGAGAGAGAGAGAGAGTTATCATTATTATAAAAATTAATTGTGATCACATAAAATGGTAACTCATAACTCATTAATCATTTTTCGTACATCTGCATGAGTTAGTTTTCTTGAACTTATTAGAAGTTTGGCTAGTTCCATTACATTTTAATAATGTGTGAATGAAAAGTCAGGACTTTTGTTTTTTACAAATTTGTTGGCCCAAGAATCGAATAATGATAGGACATCTTTAATTGAATTTGCCATCACGAAAGTTTTAGCATACAAATTTCTATTTTTAGGTTCTCCAGGGAATGCTATAACAAGATGTAATAAAATGATTCCGATGGCATAAAATTCATCTGCCATTTCATAATGAGAATCCTTAGTATAATTTGCAGTTTAGTAGCCTATGGTTCCAGTGGTGATTGTATTTTAACTCTTAATGGAATTTAATTCCTCTTCTGGCAGTCTTTCATCAGTGATAATGGATAGTTTTTCTTCTCTGACATCTTTTCCTTAATCAAAATCTGCCAATGCAACCTAGCCAGTTAATTTTAAACATTAATTACTTATAAGTCTCCCTTGATATTAATTGTCACAAAGATGTTCTCAGGCTTCAAATCTCTATGGATTATGCCTCTTTGATGAATGTACTCCAATCCATCTAGAATTTGATTCAGAATAGATTTAATTTTATTGATTTTTTCTTGATTCTACATTACATTTAAATAATAATATGAAAATGTAAGCAAATCTGTAGGCTGATATTTGTACCCAGGAAATGAGCAATATTCAAGTTGCATATACAGAAAATATCCATCATTAGTAGATTCTATCCACCAGGCAAAGAGTCTGGAGGATTAGGTTTAAAGAATTACCTAAGAATATTTGGATGAGTCAATTTTGATAGTATTTTGGCTTCTCTGATTTTTCTGATGTCTGGTGTTATGGGAGTGTTTGAAGCAGTTGTGGAGAAAACGGAGAAGAAATCAAGATGAGTTGCTTGCAATTTACTCTAAATTATTAATGAAACTTACTCTTTTGAGAGCGTAGATTTGATCATCTTCTGGTCGATAGACAAAAAATATGGATACGCCACTTCTTAATTCATCTTGATTGGTTTGGGATAGGATTAAGTAGTCATTAAAGAACTTATTATTTCTGATGAAGGCTGTTCTTGGGTCATATTGTTTGTGAACGGGATTGATCTGTTGCAATGAGTCGATAGCGAAAAATGTTAAGGTTATTTTTAAGGGAATCTTTTTAAATTGCAAGTTGATTTTCTTTCTATTTATTAATTCGATAATTGATTTGGATATAAATGCATAGGCAGTAGATTTGATTTATCCTGTCGATGTTATAAAGCCAATATTAATATCTTAATAAAATATCTTTATTAATTTATCACAGGCATCTTTAAATTGTTATTTGTCATCTATTTTCTATAATTGGAGAAGAATGTTTCTAATAGCCTTCTTAATTGCTTTTTCAACATTCATTAAATGTTTAAGAAATGGATCATCGTTTGTGAAGTCCATTCGAATTTATGAGATGATGAGCATTTAAGAATATTCTTTGCCCTCCGCACTCTATATAAATTCTTGTCTCTTCTACAAACTGTCATCCTAAAATAAATTAATGAGAATTCATTGTACAAGCATCTTTTAAATTAAGGTTTGATCGGGCTATTGAACAATGAGTTCAAATTGACGTTCCTCCTCTGGCAATTCCTCAATAACCTTCGATCCATAAAATTAATTGATAATCTAATCAATCTTGTCTTTATCACTTTTCATTATAATTTTGTGATAATAATTAATTATATTGAATGGATTCATCCCAAAGTGTAAATGACATCGCTCACGTATTCAAAATTATATTACTTGGTAAGCCCATCATTTATCTTAGGAAGCACTGCTGTGGGAAAATCGTAGATTTTACTCAGATTTACTAAAGACTAATTTAATCTATCGTCTAACACCACAATCGGTGTAGAATTTAGTGCAAAAGTCTTAGAAATTGATAACAAAAAAATTAGAGTCCAAGTTTGGGATACAGCAGGACAAGAGAAATATAGGGCCATTGCAAAAGCCTATTACAAAGGAGCAGTTGGTGCTTTTCTAGTCTACGACATCACTAAAAAAAATTCATTCTTGGAAGTGGACAGATGGTTGCAAGAAATCAGAGATTATTCTGATTAATAAAACCTAGTTCTGATGCTGATCGGAAACAAGGTAACACTGTAATACAACAATCCTAGAACGACTTAGAAGCCCAAAGATAGGTGAGCAAAGAGGAAGCCATCAAGTATGCTTAATCTAAAAAGATGGGATTCCTAGAAACTTCAGCCCAAACTGGACATAATATAGAATTCGCATTTAAATAAATAGCTGAAGGTCTGATTTCCTAATATAATAGAAATATTGAGAGATATCAGTGAGACCCAAGATGACGACGAATTTGAACAAACAAAAGCCTAGTATAGCAAGAATAAAGGCCAAACTTCTAATGCTTCGGTCTTGAAAGCAGCAGATCACCAAGTGAAAAAAAAAAATAATAATAATTCTGGAACTTGTTGTTGATTAAAAATATGGAAATTTATATAATATAAACATGATCTAAAATCAAGATTTGTTTCCATTCATTTTTTAATTCTCAAAATTGAATATCAGAAATCAGTAGATTTTTACTTTTAAATTTTTAATATAAAGAACACGATTAAAGTTTATATTTGTTTTTATAAATCAATCCTCTAATATATTAAAATCATCATCTCTGTTTTATTTTGTCTGTGTTTTTGACTTATTTGTAAGTTCAACATCTTAATCAGAACTATTTACGAATCCTTAATTTTAATTTGAGCAAAGCGATAAGATTTATTCTTTGAAGTAAAAGGCCCCATAAATTACAGCAATTATGAAAACTAGAGCAAGTAATGGGAACATATTGTTTTCTTTATAACATTTCGTTTCCTTAGAAGAATAACCAAGCATGCAAGTTTTACATTGATCTTACTCTTCATTTTAATCATATTCGCAAACCAAACATTATGGGTCTGAACATTTTTTGCATACTTGATCCAGAAGGTAAAAACCTTACTGACATACATCGCAAACATTATTAGTGCATTCCTTGCAATTCTTAGGTTCACATTATTCGCATTGACCATTTGAATTGATAAAATATCCCATTTTACACTTTTTGCATTTCCCATCCTTGGCTTCATCTTCACAATGAGATTCTACACATTCATTTTACTTTAAATAATATTTTGATTTACACTTCGTACATTATTATTTTGAATCTAACAAAGTGCATGTTTCGCAATTACCCTTACAAGTACATTTTTTTTCTTCTGGATAATAGATGGAATCTTCGCATTGATCACATGAATCATCAGATTAACATATCTCACATTTTTTAATTTTACATTATTTTTTCTCACATAGACCCTTACTATTTGCAACATAGGAGGTTGAACACCTCTTGCACTTATCTTTTGTTTCACACACTTCGCAATTGTGAACACAGATTTAACACTTATTGTTCTTAAAATATTCATTTGCATTTTCACATCCACACAACTATGTCTCTAGAGATAATTTAAATCCTTCTTTGCATTCATTACAAGTATTTGGAGTTGCACATTACTTACAATTTGATGGACATTTCTTACAATTTCCATCTTCATCACTAAGTGTATAATTTGGAGAACAATTAAAACATTTGATCTGATTTAATTCATTATTTCGATCACAACTAACGCAACCTTCATGGCATTGTACACAAGATCCTTTTTCCACAAAATAATTTGGATCACATCTTTCACAAATCTATTTGTCTTTACACACTTTACAATTTTCGATTTCACATTTATTAACTCTGTTCGAACTACTATCAACATAATATCCTTCAATTGCCTCAGTACAGATTTTATCATTCTAACATTTTGCACAAACATTCTTATCTTAATTCAAAAATTCACACTTTTTACATTGAAATTGATGTAAATAATAGCCATCAATACAATTTATACATTTATCATTAGAATCACATCTGAGACAAGTCGAAGGACACTTCTTGCATTTATTATCTTATAAATAAAATCCGTCTTTGCAACTTGTGCATTTGATTTACCTATCTACACAAGTTTTACAACTAGAATCACATTGATTGCATTGTAATAATCTATAATTCAAAAAATATCCATTTTCACATTCACAAATCTCTTTGTTAGATTCAAATTTGGATTTCTAAATCACTTATTCCATGTTCAAACAATTATAGCATTAATCCTATTTTATACAAAGCAATTATTCATTTGATAACATTTTCAGACATTCATTTTAATGTAAATAATAGCCATAATTACATTACAAACATTCATTTCCATTCTAATAAGCACAGAGTTTATTTATATTATTATAACATTATTCATTTTTGTCCTGTTTACATTAACATTTTCCATCCTTTAACTCAAAGTTCTCATTACATTTTTTACAACTTTATTGATTTTCGCATTCTTCACAATTCTGTATATCACATAATTCACAATATCCATCTTTATTTAAATAAGTTTAAATATCGCATTCTGTATTTTCTTCTGAACCTGAAATTAATCTTACTTCTCTAATTTTGATTGGTTAATTCTCATAAAAGCATTTACCATTATCTAATTTCATCCCACTAACGCATTATTTGCATTACACTTTAGACCATTTTTCAGTGGTTTAAAAAGTACATGTCTTGCAATTAGAAGGACATTAATAGAATAGATTAAAGTATTTATCAACTACTTAATTGACGTGACTTTCTTATATTTTTTATTCTTCTAAACTCCCTTATAAACCGCACTTCATCAATAAGAAATAATAACTATTTGAAATGACGTTCTTGATTTCGATCATCAGAATTAAATTCTATTTTTCATTATTGTCTTTAGTTTGACTTAATCCTTAAATATAATTTATCTCAAAAATTGTCTCGTTAAAATCCCTTAACATAGGCCTAGATTTAATCTTCTATAGAAGGATTTTTTCGAATATCACCTTTTCCTTTGTTTGTATATAAGCAATAGAACTTTAGTTGTTCAATTCTGTAAAGTTCAATTATAATGAGGCAGTAGCATTATTTACTTTTAACTTATAAAGGTGACTTGTTTCAGCATACTCTTCAACAGGTAAGCAGAAATCAAATTTGAGACTCTCAAACTCTTTTGATTCAATCTAATATTTTAGATGTTCCAGATTTAAATCATTATTCTCTAAAATGATATTTATTTATACTATTAATGCAGGTTTCCATTTGCGATGAATAGATATACCCCTTTTTACAAGCGCATTAATTTTGAGGGTCAGCATTATCACCAAAACATTCTTCGCATTAATTTAATTGAAATGGCTTACACCTTTTGCAATTAGGCAAGCAAGCTAGTTAATTATAATTGATTTGAGTACAATAGCATTTATTCACTTTATTGTCTGAAATATAACCATCCAAACACTTACACGTCCCTTGATCTAATTTCGAATTCGCTATACACTTTTTGCAATCTGATGTTTGATCTGTTTCTTCTGCACAAAGATGAGAGGCCTATACTTAAAAAGAAAATATTAAGACTAGGTAGATAAGTGTTGAAATATTCATAAATAAAAAATTTATATCAATCTAATTATTAAATTTGCATGATATATTTAGAATTGTGTTGTCGATCTGGCCTGAGAAGAATTTACTATTTTTTTAAATCACAGTCAATTATTGCCAATTTTTAGGATTTCATTATAATTCTATTTTCTATTCCTAATTTCATTCTTCTGGTACCTTCAGATTGATTATTTTTAAATCCGAACAAAATCAAATTCCTACTTTTACATGATTGCTTCTTTTGTAATAAATCAGAGGGTATTTTTATTAATAATTTTGAATTGGTTGCAAAATAGTATTCCATTTCATGTGTGTTACAAATTCTAAAAATTATGGTTTCTTAAATAATAACTTATTAAATACAAAATAGGTTTTACTTTTTAAATATTCGTATAAATTATTTAATTTTAATGGGGTAAGTCTATGCTTCAGATTATGTTGAATTGTACTCAATAAATCCAAACAACCAATCTTTGCATTAATCGGTTGAGAAATCTAAAATAAATGAATCCTTAGTATTACTGATTGTTATTCAATTTAAGCATCATGCAGTACCTCCAATATAGCCTAAACCAAAACCAAGTTAAATCAAGAGTGCCAACATAGATCAGATAAAAGGACTAAGGATCTATATATCTTAAGAGATGTTCTTTGTTATTAATACTATCTAGTACTAATGAATTCCCTGACTTAGATCCTACTTCTTATGAAAGACATGATATAGTCGATGGAGAATATTATGGGAGATTGCGTGGTTCCAATAGAGAAGGGGATGGCGTCTTATCTATCAGAAGGAAGCCAATGTAGAAGGGTATGTTTTTTGAATTAAGATCAGGATAGTAAGAATAAGAAGAAGTCTACAAGTTTTTTGGAACATATCGAGACGGTTAAGCTGCTGGCAATGGATATGCTATTTTTAATTAAGATTACTCTTATTGGGGAGAGGTCCAAAAAAATGAAATTAAGGGAAGAGGGATCCTTAAAACCAAAGACAATTCAACTTATTAAGGGATCTGGGATGAAAGGAAATTGAAATATGGCATTCTTTAAACGTTACTAATACTTATATTCTAATAGATAACTCTATAAATATGTGGGATAATTTAAAGATGGTTTAAGAGATGGATTAGGAGAATGTCATTATTCTGATGGAACAGTCATTAAAGGGAATTGGAAATAAGACAATCTATCTGATTTATGTCAAATCCAATATCCTGATAATATTGTGTATAGCGGATATTTCTATGAAGGAATGAAACATGGATTTGGGCATTTGAAAGAAGAAAATTATGAATATTTTGGTGAGTTTGATCGCGATGTTAAAAATGGTCTAGGTCTATTGATTTAGCCAGAATAAAATTAGATAAATTAATCTCAGCATAAACAAAAATATAGTAAATAAGATATTTAGTGAATAAATAGCTGAATTAATGTATTTTGAAGGAGTTCAAAAAGGATTATTTTGTGAATACAAAGATAAGCAAAAGAAATAATGGTTTGAAATTAATGATGATGGTACAATTGAAAATTTAGATTTAATCACTGAAAAGAGATGCTTAGCTGAACTTTTAGGGTAGGAAAAGAGTTTAGATCAGTAAAAAGTATTAATGCTATTCTAAATAAAGGCTTAATTAGAGAAGAACATTTAAGAAATGATATGGAATTTAAATGATATCTAAAACAATTAGAATCACTTAATGTCATTAGAAAAACAAATGGATTCACAAACAATTAAATTAGGCCAACTTGCTTTATATTAAGATTGGATTGAACAAAATAAATAGTGAATTTCAAAATATTTCATTCAACAAATATTAATAGTAACTTTTTTATCTAAATTATTTCCTAATTTTGTATATGGTAATTATTCTTAAATATTAATTATTAATTTATTATTGATGTTAAAATTAAAACTATTTTATAAACTTTAGTATTATAAAGGAATGTTAGCAGTATACAAACAATTTTGTAACTAAAGTTATTGTAATGCCATCTTCGTATAGTGGTTAGTACTTAGCGTTGTGGCCGCTAAAGCCCAGGTTCAATTCCTGGAGGTGGCACTTTTTTTTATTTTTCACTCTAAAGAATAAAATAAATTCATCATTTTAAATAAAAATTGTTATTTACTATTATCTCTGCTTTGATTCTAGTTCTATAAATATGCTTTTTAGAACCCAAGAACCAAGCAAGCAATAATTAGATCAAAACATAGAAAATTAAGGATAGGATGTAGAAAATAACTAAATTACTTTAAAGGTCCATTTAACTACAAAGTCATTATTTATTGCATTGTTCTTTATTTCAAACTGATGATTATATTGATTATAGTAGTAGACCTTGAGTTGATGATCTCTAAAATATTTGATTACTGGTAATATTTTATGAACTAATCCAATTTCGATGATCCTCATTTTGATTAGATATTTGATTCACAGACATCATGAATATAGAGAGTTTATTAACCAACTTGATAAATTGTTTTTCTTCTGGAAATTGAATGGCTCTATTTAATAGGAAGAAATAAACATAATTTATCTCAAGATGCATTTTAAATATTCATCTATAATATTTTATTGTGTGGGTGTAATTAGACAAAGAATAAGATCTGAATTTTCTTATTTTATGAATATGAACTAATATTAATATGATATTGAAATTGTAAATACATAAATTATTTTTCCAAACTTTAGGAGGCTGGATATGTTGGACCTGTTGTTTGAAAATTAACATACTTAGTATAATGCTCCTCCTAAAATCAGGAAAAAGAGGTATCAATTGAAAATTTAATAGATTTTTGGCAACACCTTCTCATTTAACATTAATAACATTAAATTTGAGTGATAATTGCGAAAGTTTAAATGAGGAAGTTAAGCATCAGAGTAGAATGAAGCTTCAACCTATTTTAATTATCAGATTTTTAGAACAAAAACTTGAAGAACTATTCTGAAATTATAATGTGAATAATAAATTAGAAAGAACAATTGATTAGTCAATTTAGATTAAATTTCGAGTTAGGTTTTATTAATTTCTTAATTTCCTTCTTTTATTTGAACACTATTGGTAAGGGTATAGAGTTTTAATTTAATTACTATAAGGTTATACACGATGTAAGAGGCTACACTTCAGGTTTCTAATTGTTGTGTAAAATTTTATCATAAAATAATTGTTAGTAATATTTTCTTTGTTAATTTTGCAATCTCTGATTCACTATCTTCTTTCTCTATTAAATTTCTTATTAGGGCTGAGCATATATGCTATTCAACAAGAAATGATCCTATATTTGATGCATTGTATTCAATCGTTATCTACATAAATTGTTGAAGCCATTTTATTTGGCAAGACTCAGTGTTCTAGTTCTTCTCCTATTTTCTTTTATTTGCAATTCTAATTTTTTCATTACGTCTTCTACATTATGTTTGAATTCAGACATAAATAATTAATTTTCATGAAATATTTGCAATTGATTTTAATATTAGGTCTTACTTTAGCATTAACAACAACAGAATAATCAGAAATTCTAGATCCAAATGATATTTTGTTTACATAAGAAGGTTATCAATCTTCAATCAATGTTAAAGCATAATCAATTGAAACAAAAGATCAATAGTGGGTAGTCTAAGAACTTATTCAAGACAGCGTAAGCTTTTGACTTAAGTTAGATTTCTAATGAGGTCATGACTGAGTTTGAATTATAGCATGCATTAATAACAAAGGATGATTTAAGTGACATACCTGATATTTAGATGGGAACCTAAAACGCACTTTTTTTACAAAGAAGAAAAAATTGATTTAGTATCATAATACATTTACCATCATTTTTACTCCACAATTCTTCATTTCAACTAAAACAGAAACGCAGTATTGAATCTTATTGAGATCACAGGATTGATATAAATTTGAAATATAAATATTATTTATCACTAACCATAATAAGTTGATTAATGACTCATATGGCTTTATTTGAACTCATACCCTAGTATAAACTAGTTTTGTTATTTTTCTGATTTATTTTAAAATTTGAGTTTTTTTATTTTATTTATAATTTAGCACTATTTGCACCTGAATTTGATTAGTTTGGAGATGAAAATAATTTTCTTTCGTGGCTCCTAAGTCTGAGCGGAATCGAATGGAGATTTTTGAAACCCACATATTTATATGAAGGACTTATAGGGATGGGAGGGGAAGCCTAATTTGTTGGGCTTTGGTAAATTGAGGTACTTCTTGGACTATAACTAGAGACTGTATGTTCCTACTAGATCCTCTTTCTTTTAATAATTATGGTTTGTCGATTGAACTTCTTGAAAATCATATTAGATCTAGCTTCTTAGAGAGTGCATCTCTTAAAGGGATCTGGGTCCAACATTTGTTTCAAAAGATTCATTACAGCAGGAGAGGATTGAACAATTGAGAAATCTATCAACCCTTATTCATTTCTTTGGAGTGTTTCTTAATAGTCTTCAACAATAAATGGGGATTGCCCTTGAGTTAGCATTTAAAAAAATATGATCCCAACACTATAGCAATCAGCTTTATAACCATAAGAAAGATCTTTTAAAATTTCTGGGGCCATATTGCCTGCAGTCCCACAGCGATGATATTTATAAAGGCCTTCTTCGTTGTGATATTCAGCTAATCCAAAATCAGATATGACTATTTCTTCAAGGTTAGGTTTTCTAAATAAAATATTTTCAGGTTTAATATCTCTATGTATTACTCCTTTTGAATGGATATATGTCAGGGCATCAATGATTTTGAAGATACCTTTAATAGCGTCGTCTTCGGACAGTGCTGTTTTAGTAAGGACATCATCTAAATTTCCACTAATTAATATTTCGGTGACTATGAATATGTATTTCTACGATTCAAAAGTCTCTAAAACTGTAATCACATTTGGATGATCCATTTTTCTCAGTATTTCCAGTTCCTTTAGGACACATTCGGAATCAAATTTATTAGATAATTTCTCATAAATTTTTACAGCAAATTCTTTTTCGTCACTCTTCCTTATGAGTCTATGGACCTATTAAATTATCAATCAACTATGATACATCTGCATAGTTCCCGCAACCTAATTTATTGCTGATTATGAATTGATTTTTTATCTGTTTTTGAATACAGAATTTCTTTAATTCCTTGAACCAACCATCAACGTACCCGAAGAACTCTAAGGAGTATGAATTTTTGCTTATCCTCAATCCCTGACCTACATGTTGGATCTCAAATATCTCGATTATCGCATTGGTAACATCACACCATAATTCTAATCCCTTTTTACATCTAAATAATTATACATTTTTTTTCAGTTTTTTTATAATCGTACCATGCCTTTTCAAAGCTTTATTTTTGTATGTTTTTTTAGTATTAGAGTAGAAGAGAAAATAATCTTCTTTAAATTCCTAATCCCGTATTTAAATTTACTCATTTCTCCAAAACTTAGAATCTGTTTGGAGAAATATCGTATCTGTAGAGAATTTAGATTTCATTAATTAAATAAATATACATTGGTTTATGAATTATTTAATTTATATATCAAGTAAATTCATGGGTATTGTTTCAACATTTAATTTTTTTACTGATATCAAGAAATTGAATGAAATGAACATTATGATAAAGAAATCCAAGCATAAATAAAATATGCTAGCAAACTCATATAACTAATCTTTTAGGCACTTTTAAATTTTTGTATCTGTATCAACAAACTTATACACAAACATATTTTATTTTAATTGCTTACAATATATTTCTTATTTAAAAAAAGTCGAATTCAGAAGAGGAGTTGATCTCTACTAATATCAATTTTGTTATATTGAACCAGTCTAAATTTAAGTAATCATATTACATAATCCATAGAGAATAGTCAATTCCTCCCAAAATTTGAACTATATTGCTATAAATTCTAAACATAATTTGTAGTTCTTTTGAATTAAAAATGGAAATAATAATAAATAATTCAGTATTCACAAGATAAACTAAAATTTGGATGATGAAAAATTTTAAGGATATATTGTTTATATGCTTATCTTAATAATGAAATAATTCCTACATTTAATGATTGTTGGGAAGAAGTGAAGAAAATCAAAGAATACATTAATTAAGTATAATTTTTATACTAAATATTATCTGTCATATTTAAAATAATGGATTAACAGCGTTCATCACTTTGTGTCAGTTTGCATAACGTAGAGTTTGCAAAGGATTATCATTACTTCATTACTGTATAATTAAATGTAGATGGGGAGAAGGTAGAATGAAAAAAGATTTTATAATAGAAAAGAACCGACGTGAGTGCCTAAGTAGCAGCACCAGTATTTGCAGCGAGTACTTTTATAATACCACTTTCGAATTTTAAATTGGACATTAACGATTACTTGCACGTAAAAATACTATTTTATGCATGAAAGTTCGAAGCATATGTTGTAACCGATCGTGAATAAGGACGTGGACCTGAACTAGACAATTAGGGTTAAGCAAGGTTATTAGGGGAGTGTATATTGAAGTTGGGTGATTTCACAGGTCCATTGACAGACATAAGTGGAACAGGGGTGAGATAACACTTGAAATTTGTTCGTCGAAATGATAAGTAAGTGACAGTGGGAAGATTCATTGTAAATCTTAAATTAGTAGGAGAACAAATAATCCCAATAAATGATGAGAAACCATTAGAATCAGATGAGATATTCCAACCTCTCCCAGCATCAGATCCATTCATGAGTTTTACATGGAGATTAAGAGTAGATATTAGGGCTTGTATGGATATGCCTTTACATCGTGATTCTCAGTCTGGACTACCTAGGGGCTTTGTGAAATTGGGCTGGTCATAATATGATAATCAACCTCCATCTGAACATCATATGCATTTAACAAAAATAAGAGATTAAAATAGACATCCGATTTGGAACTAGCAATTTTTGATCCCAAATCCATAAACAGTGACAACTCTGGATGGGTATTTATATCTTAGTTTGGTGGATGATATTGGATAGAGAGAAATCGAGAGTGTTTATTTTCCAATCTCGTAAATGAGACCCTTCTAACCAATGAACTTTGAATTACAATTTAAATATGCAGAATATGAGGCTAGACCTAGATTGTATATGTCAATCACTTTGGAAATGGCTGATAAACAGAAGTTCTTAGATGAATTAATCGACATCATCGTAAAGATGGTTCATTATGATCCATTGCCATATGCAAGTAGGACTAACTTGATTATGACTCTAAACCAAACCAAAATTAAAGAAGTGCCGTATTCAGTAATAGATTTGAAGGGTGCCCCAACTTTGGCTCAAGCCTTAAGTAATGCTCAATCCGATGTGTTTATATCTTCGATAATGAAGATTCCACCACATAAGGCTGATAAAGTGTATAATGCAGTAGCAGTCTTTACACTGCCCAAATCTTAATTTGGAAGTATTCTTTATGTTGATCTTAATAGAGTGGAATTGCATTCTATTTAGCCACTAGAGATGACACTATCTAATCTATGCATTCAATGCCAAATGGAATAGTCGGATATTCAGAAATAATTGATGATTGGCTCCGAAAGTTATATTATTCCAAGGAGAAGAAGCAAGCATTTTTCCCGATCACTTGGTCTGATGAATCCAAACAAAGGCCGTTATTCATGAATAGTAGATGTCAAGTAGAATTGACTTGTATGGAAGCTGGAGACAATCCTGCAATAAGTAGGGTCTCATCATCAAAGAAATCTACACGATTAGTACCCAGAACACCAGATATGAAAGCTTTGGCTGAAAATGTTTCAGGAGCAGATAGATCAAAGTGGGATATCTTGTCAAAGGAACTTTCGCAAAAATAAGAAATGATTCATAGATTAATGAAGGAAGTAGATGATAAAACAGAGAGTCTTAAAATTACAGGAACTGAAATTGTCGATTTAAGAAGACAAGTTAAATTATTATAGAGTGAAAATTCTATTCTACGAAAGCGTTTAGCCCATGAGGAGTCTCTTGAAATCTAATCTATTATAACCAAGGAGATTGCTGTTATGTCTATGGAAGAATTAAGACAAAAGATAATTAAAGTTGCTCAAGCTTATCGAAATGAAAGAGTAAGAAATGAAGAATTTGAAAAAGCTTTGAAAACTGCTTAAAAAGACATTGCTTCAGCAAGACAACTTGAAGTAGAATTGGAGTCTTTATAAAGAGTTCATTAAGAGAATGCCAAGAAAATGTTGGTCATGCAATAAGAAATCTAAAAGGTTGGTGTTTATAAAGAGGCTGTAAAGAAATAAGAAACTGTGATATCAAAATTAGAAAAATTAATGGAAACTTCACTAAAAGATGCTTAAAAAGCAAGATAAGCACAATTAGAGGTTGAATAACTCAAGAGCGAAAATCTCAACTTACAGAAATAATTAAAAGGTATTGTATATGGAGAGGACATTGGAGAGTTAGAACGTTATAAATAAGAATGTTAGAGGTTAGAGAAAATTGTTGCCAATATGAAGGAAGAGTTGAGAAATAAGAGACCTGTAAGTAATAGTGGAGCTGATTGGGAATAAGATAAAATGGAATTGGAAGTCAAATTGCATAAAGCCAATGCTAGAATAGAGGCTTTGCAAGATGAAATGACTTATAATGCAAAGAATTATGCTAAGGAAATAGCATAATTGAAATTAATAATTGCAGAGAAACAAGCATTGTTAGACTCTTTGACGATGGGTGGATAATGAATAGATATAAAATATATTATTTATCTTATAGCAATTTAATATGTATATTAATAAGAATGCTATTATTTTATGTCTTTATGATATGTTTAAATTGGTGTCAATCATTTGAGATTGTTTCTCTTGGTTGTTAAATCAGAATAATAGTATTAAAGCCAATTAGCTTAATCTTAAGCTCCCCATTCATTATAATAGAATGTAATCACACTGCCTCCCAAAAGAATAGCAAGAGCAATAAGATTGTCCTTCTTCAACTCCTTTTAGATCAAAGGGGAATGCTTGATTCCATAAAACCTAGGTATTAAATAACTTCTTTTACCTGCCATACATTTCCTCCATAGTATATCCGTGAATCATAGATTGTCTTTCAATTCCAAATTTGAAGGGTTCATACTCAAATGTTTTGACATCCAATTTTTGGGCCTTGAAAAGTTCAGGTTTTGTAGATGTGAATTATCTTGCAATAATCTGAATGTTTTTTCTCATTTATTAAAATAATTAATATCATAATCTAGCTTTGATTTTTGTGCCCATCAAGTCATTCACAGCTTAAGGTACTCCTTTGATATTAACTGAATTCTCTTTTGTGGCCCAATCATAAATGTATTCATACGGTTTTCCATCATGGCAGCCAATGCAAGTTCTCAAAGCATTATCAGAGAAATTGAAAGCCTCAACTAAACCCAAGGCTTATGGCTTCAGTTTATTGAGTAATTCAATTTTGGTTTCATTAAATTGCTTGAATTACTCAACTGTTATCCTACCTGATTCAATAAGGGTGTTTGGATTATCCAAAATTACTTACAGTGAATATAAATCACACATTTGTTACAATACTTCCTTAACTGATGGATTAGCACTGGAAATGTATTCCTAAAATACTAAATATGTGAAATATTCAGCATATCTTTAAGCCACAGATAATAATTGAACTCCTACAACTTCATTCCAAATTTATTAGAAATTCTTGCCTGTACTCATATTATCCTTAATCTTCTTAGCAACACTTATTAATTAAAGGGTAAGAGTCAATTTGAGCAATTATCCTAAATCTGTACTTTGATTGGCCAATGTTTCTTTAATGTGTAACACAAAGTTGAAATAAAATGGAACCTTTTCTGGATTTTTTTCTACGTATTGTAATACTTTAAGCAAGTATCTTGCGACTTAAAGATACATAACTTGATTCTCTCCTTCCAATGTAACATTTGGAGCAGTGTCAAAATAGATGGCTGGAATTCCTGAATAGTGTGCATAACCATGTCCACCACATGATAATCTACACCATTCAGCTGTATCAACAACCCATTATGAAGACCAAGCTTTTAGAGCACTAGAGATAACATCTTCATTTCAAATACCTCAAAATAGCATGTGATTATTATAATGTACTGAAATCTTTCTTTAACACTCGATGGAAGTTATCATCAACCAATTCCATGATTCTTAAGCCAGCAAAGATCATTCCGTAACATGTGGCCAATCTTGGCAATAATTTATCTTATTATGTTTAATATTCAAGGACTGAGTTCTCTTCTCTTTTATCATTTGTGAATTGTTATCTCGTTATTGAATATCTAATTGCCACTGTCAAGCTTTAAGCTGCCATTCTTGGATAAATGAAAATTATTAATTATCTAGATACCATCATTGATGCATAAGATATCTAGTATGTAAAAAATCAATACCTTTTCATTCCCGTGTCTAGAAAATTGTCCATTCTCAATTCTAACATACCTTGCTAATAAACTATTGAGTGGAATCCTGTAATTCTCAAATGCCAAGAATCCATTATCTTTTGTGGAATATCCTAATTTAGGTCCTATGTCTCCAACTACAACACCTTTCAATGGCTTATGAGTTGAGATATCTCTTATTTAGACCATAAAAGGATGAACTCCCTTATTCTTACCATTGAATATCAACTTTGCATAGACAAGTGCGTAATTTGATAAAAATCCTAGTTCTCCTGGCCAAACTAATTCATATTAATACATGATTACATTTAACAGCTTGAACTGAAGGTGTATGCAAAACAAAATCATTAGTCTATGAATCATAAGTTGCAGTGGTTTCCAAATTCTATACATCACTTCCGTGACCAATTTCCGTCTAGGCATAAGCAGCTACAATTTCCATCGTTAGAAACTTAGGACCCCAGAGATTGAATTATTCATCAGTACCAAGGAATCTCAAAGCTGGAACAGTCATTCCAAATGATACAGCTGAAGGAGTTGTACCTTAGAATAAACTCAACATAGGTGCCCAATGAGCTGAATTTGCAAGATTTAAATGCTAATGCATGATTCTTAGTTTTTCATATGATTTGATAATCTATTCTTTGCGTCCCCAATTGTGATAATCAGGATGATTTCTGATACTTGGCTCACTAGCGATAACCTTTTAGGCTTTCATAAATGTTTCATAAATCTCTTCATTCCCATAGAGTAATTTGGTTAGCTCTTGAGTAGGAAATGTTACTCTGTCTCTGGCTTCTTAAAGCAATTATGTTGTAGGATGCATATTTAGTGCGTAATTTAAATTAATTTAATATTTGTGAAATTAAAAATAATTAATAATACTACACATCTTAACAAGAAGGAGAATGAAGAAAAGAATTAGAAATAATATGAGAAATCTTTCTAAATTAAAGACTTTAGGGCATTCAATGGTTTTGACTTGAAATTACAAATATATACCTAAATCTGTCTAAAAATAATATGCCACAAATGTTGATAACAAGAAGTGGCAAGAATATTTTAGTTAGGGCAAGCAATCTATGCATTAAATGGTATGGTAGTGATTTAAGCAATTTCGCAAATCTTACTTTTCAATTATGATTTAACTCTTAAAATCTAAGAAAATTTTAAGTTCAATCTTTTATTGTTGATGAGGCGTCTTAAAAGGTAAGGAAAATCTTTGATTTTACTCAATTTTAATTGTTATCATCTTTAATTACTTAAGTGTCATAATTTAGTGGACATAATTTCATATGAAATGAAACTAAAAAAGTTGAATAATATAATATCTTATTTTCTTCACCATACATTTATATATAAAGAAAACTCACAATCCATCTCTCAAAAAGCATCTGTTAGTTTTAAATGCACTTTGATCATCTAAGAAGTAATTTCTTACTTCTATTGGTTGATTGATTATTTTCCTTATTATTATAATGCGAGGCGAAAGTATTTAAACCTTCGCCCCGCTCAACCTCACCCACGTTTACCATTATTCTTATTTATGCCTAGCTGTTCACATGTTTTCACTTTGGCACCAAATTACAAATCATTGGCTTTTGAATCCTTCTCTTTCACTAAACTTCTCTCTTATCTATCATATTTCATTTATTATTAAATTTTCTCCTTTTCTTTTATCTCTTTTTCGTATTATCTCTAAGCTTCTTGCTATTATCTAACTCTAGTAAATATTAGAATACAAAATTATACATTTCTTAAGCTCGTTGATATTGTTGAGGTCCCTCTACTCTTCCTTAAGCTAAAATATGCTACCACTTAATTGTATTGAAATTCTCTAATAATGTTGCATATTCTTCATCAGGGAGATAAAATTCTTATTCTAACTATATTATATAAAGATGATTGATTACTTAAATGAAACCTAAACATGTGAGTAATTATGCCATTTCTCTTATATTAAATAGACGAGTGGCTAATGCTTTAACTGTCATCTTTATATGTTTAAATTTATCTTCGTTGGGGTTGTTTATTATACTAATTCATATTTGCTGTGAGTACTTGGTGATTAGCTTTTCTAAAAGGCCTAAAGCATCTGCAAAAGCGGATGGATCTTCATTCTTCTCCATGCTTTCAAGTAATGATTTCGTTTAGTTACTAGAAATCATTTTAATTAATAATTTTTCTATAAATATTAATTTATTCATGCTTGCTTTTATAGTGATTCTACTAACCTCATGATATCTTCCTTGGTTCCTTCCAATTATTCATTCATTAGAGTAGAGTGACGACGTAGTAAGGTTTTGCGTTTTTGAAGGATTGGATCTAAATCAAAGTTTTCTGATGGTTTTTTTACTAGCTATTTTAAAGAGTTAGAGATTAGTTTATAATTTTAAACCAGATTTGAAACATTTTAATGAGTAAAAATTTGCTTCAAGTTAATAATCTTCTTTTGATTGAACTTTGAAAAAATATTTTCCTTAGAATTCAGCAGTTGTCTAGTTTTCATTCTTGATTCTTCATCATAAAAATGCAATACTATCTATTGATTTTCCTTCTATTCTACTTACTCACTGTGCTTTTCTTTGAATAATTCCTGAAATTTCCGATACTTTATCATCCAAGGGTATAAATCAATGGTGGCTGGATTGGAAAAGTTTTTTAGATTTTTCTCAATTTCTTTATCCAAACATGAATTAATCAATTTATGAAAATCTAATTCATTTTTTTGCCCTTAAACTTTCATGTATTCTACATAAGATACAATCATGGGATCAACTTATTTACTTAAAGAGTAATAATCGTCAACCTATTCGATAAATGTGCTGAAAGTCATTGTATTCTTTGCAATTACTGAAATAAACTCTTATTCAGGATGGTTCTTAATATACCCTTATAAGTCAAAACATTATTTTAGAGTTTGAGTAAATTATTAGGGTTCTCTATCATTCAAGGACTTTATAAAAGGTAGAACATTTTGCACAATTTATAATATAAAGTTAAAAAATGCTTTCTTGGTCTTTAGAATGGCCTCCATCCATTAATAAATTTTTTATTTTGGTGAGTATTTTAATTAAGTAGTAATTTGATTCAATTTGTTTTTAAGTTCAATTAACCATTTCTCTGGTATTTTTAACTAAAATTGAATGAATTGATTTTAATACATCATCAATAGTATGGCTGTTGTCAATAATTGAATCTTCATCAAGATCAACAATAACTTTTCCTTATAACTAGGTGAGTAACTAAATGTATAATTTTGATGCTATACAAATTATTTATGTTTTTTTTCAAAACCTATGATATAAGGCTACAAGGCTTAGGCATACTCCCATATATCAATATTTGAGCAAGGGATGTATATATTGGACCATTTGAGTGGTTTGATCAAAGAGAGCAAGCCTTCGGTTATTTATGGAATTTCACCTATTATTTTGTTACTAGAGATTACTTATATTAGTAGAGAAAAAGACCATTTGTTTTTCTGAGATGATACACATTACTATTCTCATAATATTGACAAGGGAGAGTCTACTGAAAAGAGGGCGAAAAGTGAAATTAGTCAAAGATAGGATTTCTTAATCGTTGGTTCTGAATCTGAGAATTTCATTGTGAACTTCGCATTTAGTAATTCTAATTTCATGATTTTGATCTTCATCTGTTAATAGGGTTTTCTTGTTGAGAGTGAATAAAACGCTAATATAAAATTCTAAGATGTCTTTATCCATGATATAATCTTATTCAAGTTATTTCAGATGTAATACTTCCTGTTAATTCCATTCTTATTCAGCACCATTTAAGCCATGAGTGAGCACTAATCGCTCAAACTGTTTAAGATGATCTTCACATAAGCCTATGGAATTCAATCCACGATCAATGATATAGCTATTGTAGAAGAAAACAAGAAATTGTCTTTGCAAATCGAATGAGGGAGAATGAGAGACCAGAGTAATTGTTTTAGGAGCATATATCAATTGCGTGTCTTCATCCAAAATCAAGGGATTCTTGATGATTTGCTTGATTGCTATTTTGGGGAATGTTTTGGATAGCTTCTAATAATGTTTGTGTTTGTTCTTCACATACACTTTTTCCTTAGACTAGATAGGTATAATACATAGTAGAGTAGGGATGTGCAGAACTTCTATTGCCCCTTTTCATCAGTGAGCACAAAGTGACTCAATTGATCTTAACTTCGAATGTCTTCGGTTATTGTTTATTCTGATTTATTATCCAAATCTATTCTTTTTAAATCTTGGTTGTAATATTGCACTCCATTGGGGAAACACCACTAAATAATCGATAATAGTGTGAACCATTTTGATATTCTCAATGTAATCTGGAGCAGGCTAATCCATGGGATGCATGATGATCATTTCTGGCTCCTGTTTCTTGTTGAGTATATTAGTTAACGATATTTCTAAATGTACTGCAATAGTATACCATTTGATTTTGTTTATAATCCTATAACTAAAAAATAATCGATTAACATATTAATAAAAATGGCCAATAAATATGATGTGCAAAGGTTTCTCGAGAAAAAGTATGCACACAGTCAATCCTACTATTACTCCAAGACTCTAAATGATTTTGTGAGTTCTGCCAGAACCTCCGATGTGATTGGGTTCTATTAAGTTATGGCCTATCGAGAGGAATTAGAATATCTGAAGCGATTCTATTGCTTAAGTAAGTATGCATAATCTATAATCCTCATTAGGTGAGGTGTTCCAAAAGCTTCGTCTCTTTACTGAGTACTACAAGTATCACAATGAGATACCTAGGTTCTTCATGCCACATTTATGTCATATTATGAGCAAGTATTTTATTCATAGACATAGATCAGCTATCATGATAAGAGGAGAAGGATTGAATATTATAGGATCAAGAGAATTATCGAGGAGGAAAATAGAAATAACCCCAATAAACCTAAAAAGGCCATTGTTGGAGACTCGCCCAAAGAAGCTGTTCCCACCTCCCCTAAACCATAGCATGCATACAGCAAGATCCTATCTGGCATTTAGGATGCTTCAACAACTATTGAAACCATTAATAATAAATTGAATGCATTATAAATTAATGTTGGCGAGTTAAATCTTTAGCCATCTAATCGAGAATAAGAATAGTTACAAAATTTCATTCAATTTATGGTAGACAAACAAAAACTCAAGACTATCACTCAACATGTATAACTGAACTCCCCTAAAACTTATAATAAACTCCCAATAGGAGTGAGTCAATAGACCATTAAACAAATAATATCAAGAACTTAGAAAAATTAATAGACCTTCCACTTATCCCCAAAAATGGGAACAGATGCCCAACCCTAAATTGGCCCCTATACTTAAAGAATACTCAAAGGTCCTCTATAGAAAATGCTCACTCCTGCACAAATCTACACCATGAATTCCCCGTCTAATCACACTCACAATAACACTGCCATCCCATAGAAATCGAAGTACATATGAATTTTAAGTTAGAATATCATCATCGAAAAACCATTAACAAAGTCTCTCGTTGTCAAAGCAATTTAAAATTAATGATGCAATGCGTATACCTTTACGAATGCACCAACATACTAGATCTGATGTTCGCGTTTACAGGAAATGAAAGTTGTATTATTTATTTATTACTCAAATTTCAGAGAATTCTATATTCTAAGGATTCATATCCTAAGAGATCATGATTTAAATGGGGATTAATATATATTCCTCATTCAAGACTTTTTCCTCAATTTTCATTCTTTTTGTCTACTTTCTCAATCCTCGTTTACATTTATTTTAGAATCTAGGATCTTTATGATTAGCCTTTATGAAATTTGATATCTCTATGTTTTAATATCTTTTTGAAAAAGATACAATATAAATTATAATAACATAACTGTGCTATCATTTAAATACATTAAATTTGACTCACATATTATTGCCAATAGTTAGTATAATTCATATAAATAGTGATAACAATATGAGTATTAAGAAGATAATTCAATCTTTCACATTAAAGTATTATATTCTTATTTATAATAATTAAATCTCAATCCTCTTCAAATGTCTAGTATTTCATTTTGAAATCATTTTAGAATGCAGCATCATCATTCTAAGGTAATTTGTTGGAGGCAATAATTTTGGCTCCCTACTCTAATTAAAAGTCTAATTTATATTTTGTATTTCTGTATCTATGTATAAATAAATGATTTTATTTACCGTTTAATGTAATAACACAGCCAAAGAGTCAATAATGCTATTAACAAAATCATGCCAACTATTAAGAAAGTAAAGAATGTTCTATTATGATTTAAGAATTTTGCAAAATAATTTGGTACTGGTACTTGGATGGTTCTATAAAATACTTTAATTTAAGAAGTGGAACTAATATTAAAATAAAGGAGTACTTCATGAAATTATCAACAGTAGCAAAAACTCCAACTGATGCATATTCATACGTAACTAAATTTGGAAATTCAATTTCATATACAATACTGCCATTGTGATCAGCTAGGCGATATGATTGAATAGTCTTTTTGAAGATTTTTTCATCATCTGCCTTGTGGGTTTCGAATTATTCATTACCACAATAACCCAACATTTGTAGTTTCTTTTCATCTTGAGCAATAAAGATGTGATAATTAATTTAGACTCCCTCCAAATTGCATTTATTACAAGTGGCATGTTCAAATTCTATTTATATTGAATCAGATTTTTATTTATCTAAATGCCACTTAATATGGCCATCGTTGCCAGCCAATATTTTACCAAAAGGTATTTCTTTTTTATTTTAATAGAAATGATTGGTAATATGATAATAGGCTGGAGTGGTAGAGATTCCTTTGACGGCAACCCAGAGAGTTCCCTTGTCCACTGAGATCATTTCAACATGATAATCCTTTTCTGGAATATCGACAGATTCGTCATAATCTTCATCAACGAAAGATTTAAAATTGGTTTTTGAGAAGCTAAAGTTGATATCAGATGAGCATGAGTAAATTTCAACAGCCAAATACCCTTCAGCTGGAGAATAAGTCTCAAAGTAATCGATATCATTTGGTTGGATATAACCACTGTGATGTCTTTAGATGGGTAAGATTCTAATGTCATTGGTGGAGACACTTATTTCAATGAATAAAGTAGGATTGGTTTCTTTTCCATTTTCAATATACTTCTTATTTATCAGGATAATTTCATAGATCCCATTATCTTTAGGCAATTCATAGCTGCTGGAGAGAGGATGTATTAATCTAGTTTTGATGGGTATATCTTATAAATATTCATAGTGGAAATCATCGAATGATTGCTTTTTAATATAAAGGACTTTTATTTCAATATCTTATAGAGATGTTTAATTAAGGGGAGATAGATTGAGTACTGAAACCTATTCGTTATAATTTTCATACAAAAATGTAATATTCTGTTCAATAATGGCAAAATGTATTCTACCATCTTGCAATTTTCCATTAACATAATCACTTGTATAGTAAATTGTATAGTTGCAGGGTTCATTGGATTCTGTGGAAACTCTGACATATAATTCATCATGAATAAAATGAGATGGTAATAGGCTAATTTCATTTTCATCATCATTATCCTTTTTTTTATCATTGTTTATATTGTACAAGTGTTCAGCAATTTATTCAAGTTCATCCAATACTTTTTGACTGGGAACAGTAAGGTGAATGTATTTGTTATTTGGTTATGCCTTTACAATTTTGCTGGATTTCAGAGTATCTTAGCTATATGAATATTGGACAATAGGATCTCCTGTAAATATTTAGATAAATATTTCAATTTTGCTATCCTAAGTATAGGAAATGGAGAATTAGGATGATCTCTTGTTTTCTACATAATCACTGTATTAAACACCAGCTGGCAATTTAACGAAGTCATTATCCAACACCACAGTTAATTAGCCTTGTAATTCGCTATCAGAAGATTCAATTTTGATGATGTATGTGCAATAAACACAGAATTTATCTTTATCGTTAGCTTAAATCAAGATTTATGAATTCTCATTTCCAGCAGCCAAAACTGTATCAAGATATTTGAATTCTGCATCATTGCTGTCTTTTACACATTCAGCAATGTTACTTTACTGATTGCAAATGAAAACAGACATGTTTCCATATCCTATGAATCTATGTAATTTAAAGAAGATATCTTATTTAAGATAATTATAAAATTAAACAATAGTGGGTTGATGTAGTTTGGCATGGATTGTATTAGGTTGACTATGCATAATTTGAATGTAATCCATGTTCATGTACGAAATTGTGAATTCCAATTTAACAGATTATTGGATGGGATTATAATAACTTTGTAATCCTGCAACTGAGATAATCAAATAGGCATCCTGAATCGAAATCTGTTTCTCCTTTAGCTTCTCATTCAATTTATCTTTAGACAATTGAAAGTAGGATCCGTCTGCATGGAAATCAAAATTTCCATATAAATTGGGATACTCAAACTTATCTCCTCCGTTTACACTGATTGTGAAGAAACCATTACCAATGATTTACAATAATGAGAATGTCAAATAAGCATCATCTCTAAACTTTTACAAATTCTTAAATGTGAAGTAAACAGTCTATTCGCTCTTGATTGATACTTCGTACTTTTAACCTTCTATAGCATCCTACATTCCCTGATTAATCATAATATGAAATTGGTCATTATAATTAAAATTGTACCCATTGTTTTTTGGAGTTTCCTATTCACTTTAAACAGATATCAATAACACACAATCAGGCCAGCATTAATCTAATGCAGATGATTTAATGGTTCTGTGTATTTGATTTGTTGATCCACTTGAGATATCTGAATCATCCTCTGTATCAATAAATGGCCAATCAGATTTGTGTTTGACATTGTCTTATTTCCAAATGTTTATATGCAAAACAAATTTGCCATAAAAAGTAGATGCAAATAAATTCACATCAGCAGACTTAGAATTAGGTTGATAATAGAAATGCATGAATTCCTCAATGTGTTACAAATTGTATGATTGCTGTAATCCATCAGTCAATTGGATAGCCAAATCTTATTTATGAATCGTTAATGTATATCTGACTGGACTCTTAGATATACTTTTGACAACAACAAATATTTCACAAAGATGAGTGATTCGACTATGATCAACACTGACTGAGCCATCCTCATCGATATCACACAATTTCTTCATTTTTTCAGTTGAGAGTGAATATGTGCTGACTTCATTATCAAAGAACTTGTATTCGTATTAATCCAAATTCTCATACAACATATTACCTAATGTACACTTATAAGTCCTTATTGACATCTCCACTTGATAGAATGTTTTTAGTGATATAAACAACATCCTCATCGAAATAACTCAAAAATGAGAATCTTTACTATTCTGTAAATGCTACTTATCCATAGTAGGCTGAGTTGAATTCTAAATTAATGACAGATTAAGCATCGTACAAAATGAGTGAAAATTTGATGTCATTATATTCAGTTATATTTTTAACATCTTAATTATACTGATCTTAGATTTCAACACAAGCTAGGAATTTATCACTAACTAATTGCAAGGCTGAATTTCCAGTTATTACATCGTTATCACCCTTGGTTGGAATTTCTTCATCAGTGTCAATATTAGCATAACTAACTAGTTTCTGATTGGGTCCATGGACTAAAAGAGTTAAAACTCCTTTAGTAGTCTGTTCATATTTAAAACATTATTTCTTTTAATTAGAATTGATTGATGATTTATAAATCGACCCTTTTTTGATATTGACAACATTGATCTTGTCCTTAGGATGAGTTTCTATGATCAACCCATACTTTGCTAATTCCATTCCTTCAATTGTGATTGAATATTGACCATCTTTTATTTGAGAATCACTCAAACTTATTGGTTAGTCACTGGTTCCACTATACTCATAACATTTCCAATTAACCAATTAACACTTAGATGATCTACTTACGAGAATTTAAACATTTTCAGAAGTGACTCTAAAAATGATTGAACTATAATTTTATGAATTTGCTAAGTTGAAATTTGAAATGATGTTTCTCCTCTTCATCGATCTCAGAATTAAAGGATTTGATTCTCATTATAAAATTTTGGCTTCATTATTGTCATTGATGTCAAGAGTATAAATGCCATAAGTTTCCACAGCAATCACATACCAACAATAATTGTCCTTATCTGGATTATCACAATTTTATGGTACAGATTGAAAGGATTCTCCATTCTTAATTTTCTCAATAGCTTCACATTTGCTGCCTTTACATGGCTTCACCTAAACTGAAATATCATCTGAACTATCTGCTGATACTGTGAAATGATTGTCTTCTATTTCAAGTAGTTTCAACTTGTAATTAACAATTCCATATTACTGTCCAATGGCTAAATCATTACTTTCAACAGAGATAATATCAGTTTGTTCTATAACTTCTATTTAGTAACCTATTTTATTGCTGGAACTTAATTCTAAACTCGAGAAATCTTCATTCCACAATAAATTATAATTTTTATGTTAAAATGTATTAAGAGTCTGATCTATGATGATGTCTCCATCTTGATTTCTCACCTTAATTTTCAAGATGTCATGAGTATAAGATTTAAGTTTAACTACTTTTACACCTTAAATTAGATATTCATTCTTTTTTGATTTTTCAATTGCATCGACCATCACTTAATTCACATTCAAATTCTGTTATTTCACGTATTCAAATCTTTCAATTTCAAATTCCTGTTCCCCAATTAAAATCATGGTTGTTTCACTCTCTATGCCATCGTAAAATGCCGCTATGAATCTTGTGTCACTTTGCATAATAGTTGGTTCGTCCCCATAAAACCAGAGATCTGCATCAACAATTTTCATGACACAATTGTTACATTTAATTGAATAGACTACCCTATAATTAGAACTCGATGCTATTTTTAATAATTTTAATTTAGATTTTTATTGTTTTCCAATCTGCAATTACTTAGGTTCTTCTTGCATAACAATCACATTGAATTTGCATGGTCCCTTTGTGCATTTCAGGTCGACTTCTAATCTATCCTTACCTTTTTCAAAATAACAAACTCTCTGTCCTTGTTTTAATTTACACTATCCTAAACCAACTTCCTCTAAATTTTATTAAACACTACAAATACCGTATATGAATATATTTTCATCCTCTTCATCCTCGTCTTTGTTACTCTTTCCCTTTTTCTTTTTTTTCTTGGAACCTTCATCTTCGTATTTAACTAATTAAACTATGGTTGGCAGATTGGTATTCACCTTAAAACATAATTCTTATTTCTTTCCATTCTCTAAATTTATAGATTCCGATTCGCTTATTGATCTATGTTATTCCTATTTTATTACTTGCAAGCTATTGCTATCGAAATAAGCAATGAAAATATGAGCATTATTTATTAAATTTAAATTTAACACAAAACATAATTCCATTCGCATTTATATCGAATTTAATAATTTAATTTAAACTAATTATGGATTTTTCACCTGACATTTCAGAACGAATTGATACCCTCAGCAAAAAATGTTTAGAGAAAAAGAAAGTCATCCAAGACTTCATTAGTCTGCTCTAAGCTCGAGCGGAACTCGAAGAGTATTATTCAAGAAGTCTTGAAAAAATTGGTAATTATTAAAGCAAATAGCTAGGTGAATCACTTACTAAATTGATACATGGCAAGGATAGTTTAAAAGATTTATTCATTATATTAAGAAGCTACTTTCACATACAATCAGAATAAACTAGAACCTTTGCAAGATAAATCAAAAATGATGTTATTTAAGAGTTGGAATAACATCTCATAAAAGAGGATGGGTGGTAGAAAGAAATGCAATTTCTCAAATAAAAGCACTCCAAAGAAATTCGAAGAAATATTGAAAGTTTAAATTCATTGAGAGATGAATATATTTAAGCAATTAATGAGGAGAAGAAATACTAAGTCAATAAGTCCATTCAAAAAAAATTCAGTTGCAAACAAAGCGAAATCAAACTGCAAAATTTCATTGCATATTACAACCAATATATTGAATCTTATTTTTAGGATATCGCTATTGTTTAAGATAAGTTTTCAAATATAGAATTAGAAAGAAGAAAAACCATTTAGGATTCTGGTATCAAATTCTTTATGTTTGAAATTTCTGTTGTTCGCAATCTACAATATGACCTAAGTGGAATAACTCAAAAAATTGAACAATACAATCCCAAAAATGAATTAAATGAACTCTTTAAAGATTAACCATCTGACAAACCACTCCTAAGTAAATTAAATTTTGAGAACTATAAATCCTTCATCCATTCTCAATTGAACTTTAAACCAGACAATCAAATGGCTACTAAGAAAAAGAAGCCCATCTTCGATTAAGCTACGATTCCTGAAAATCAAAGTGATTCCGCTTAGTAATTTAAAGAGACCAACCAAATCTATATGAAAATGTTCTAAAGTGCCATGTTTAACAACATCATTACAGACGAAACTGTAACCAAATTAAATGAACTCCTTCAACAAACCTAACCAGCTGTCTATGTTCAATCTTTGGATAGGATTCTAAAATTAAGGCTGAATCAGGAGGATGGTCTATAAAATACTGCAGATTTCTAAGTTAGTCCAGAAGGCTATGTTTCACTACACAAACTAATTATTACTTGTTTGGATTATTGCAATAAGAAGAATGATTTTGCATCCATCATTATTGATGCTTACCAATTAACCCGATCAATTTATAAATTAATATAGTTGCCGAATGACAATCAAGAGATTAAGATGAGTGTCTTTGGTATGAACATTTAATTAATTTAAAATTTTAGAGGGATTAACAAACCATCCAGTGCTCCATAATTCTTAGATCTGGATCAATTATGCCATTCAGTTATAAACTATGCTTGCCAATAACACTAGTGTTTTTGCTGAAAATAGTAATCATTTTATGTGTAAGCATCTTAGATGTCACTAAAGAATAGACACAAAAATAGATGGATGACTACATCGAGTCTCTGCAGAGCATTGGATGTGATTAACAAATTGTTGAAGCAGTCAAATTGTAATTAAATTATAATGTCATACAGGAAAGTCCCATTTAATGATTATAAGATATTTAAATTAAATACTATTCATAATCCACTCTTTTTAACAGATTGATTGATACGAATTATAGCATTTATTAAGTCAATAAATAAATAACATTTATATACTATACGATGAATTACTTCAAGTCTTTCAAGCAAAGGTGCAAGACGAATTAACAAGCAAACGAAGAACCTTCTCAATTACTAATTCTCTGCATGAATTGTCAAGAATACATAAGATATGATTAAACCAATAAACATACTTTGGTTTGCACTCAAGTTACAAAGAACATTGATCATATTGATAAAACCTTTTCATTGTTAGAGGAGAATCACTTTAAATTACAAAAAATTAGAATGAGTTTGATGGAAAAATAGAATAACATATTAGCGCTTAGACTCATTAGAATAATTGAACTTGTTATTCAAATTTCAACCATAGGCAATGTCGAAATCTCTTGCTGTTAATCTTACTTGGCTGAAATAAATTAAATAAAATACATCCCAAAATCCTCATTAAATCTAAGTCTGTATATTGAAAGAATTCAAGTATTAATAGAACAAAAAATATAAATCTTAAGAGGCAATCTAGATATCAAACAAGAACAAGATAACCAATTGAGTTCCCAGAGTAAATTCAAGAATGTAATCGCTTAAGACAGTCAATCAAATCAATACAGTAATAAAGTGTATTGTTTGAGTGCTGATCAACAAGATACCAACAGTGTATCAAAAGATCAATTGTTGGAATAAATAAACAAGAAAATATAGGAATGCAACACTTTAAAGAGGGAATAGTAACATTATAATAATCTTATTAATCAAAATTTATAAAAGAGTAAAAGTCCTAAATGGATGAATATTGAACCCACCCAAGTATTTATCCCTCGGTAATTGCATAAAAAGATGCAGACCTAACAAGTTCCACTTAAAATGAATGCCAAAAGTGAAATACTCACGAATATCTCAACCAATGATTATGGGTTTTTAGAAGAGTAATCAAGGAAATGCGATTCTCAAAGCCAAAGATTATTTTATTCAAAATTGTTAAAACTAAAATTATAGTCATCCAAATTGTCTTAAGCCTAACAACTATCAGCTGTGATCTTATGGGATGAAGCCTAGAAATTGAAGTTAGGCTAGTAAGATTTTGATGCGTTTTTGAAGGCAGCCATTCAGAATCCAAACAAATACTTAAACAACTAATTTTGAAAATCTATTGAAATTTATATTATTAGAATAAAATAATAAAAATTATACAAATATGAACCAAAGTACAACCGGAACAACTCCACATGGATTAGCATTTTCAGGAGCATTTACCTTTGGAGAATCCCAAAGATTACCATGGGTTAAGAAAGATGACTTGATTTCTAGTAAGCTGGAAGTTGAGGGATGCAAGAAATTCGATGATTAACTCAGGAGGACTGAATCCAGACTTTCTAGTAAAATATCCAGAAGAAAATCGAATTTACCATAAGATGAAAAATTAAAACCTGTGAAAGCACCTAATCCACCTGTTGGAGCTTACAATATTCATAATGTTTAGGTTATAGATGAGGAATAACTTAAAGTTCTTTTAGAGAAAAATCCAACTAAGGAATAATAAGATAAAATCAAGTAAATGTATACCATTTAAACATCTATGGGGAAAAGATTATCTGGAGGTGAATTAGATCTTCATTAGACTTGGGCAATTCATAAACCTGAAGTCGTCAAAGAACATCCTATTGGGTAGCAACTTTAAATATCATAGTCCTGGTTCTTATAACCCATCTCTCACCAATCAACATTCATAGCCAGTTTTTGGATTTGGTTACAAGTAAGAAACTAGATGGGCAAAAGAAGGGCCTTCACCAGACTAATACTATAACTCTGAAAGTTTCAGCTAATTCAAAACAGCCACAAGTTGGGCTACCAATAAAGGAAAGAAGACAGGATTTGGAACTGCAAAAAAATTATAATTGCCAAAATCAATTGATGTTGGACCTGGAGATTATAGGGAAAGTACTTAAGATTTAGCACCCAAATATTCCATCCCAAAAGCAGAAAGAGAACTGCCTTCTCATAAAGTTGTTCCAAGTCCTGATACTTATTCTCCAGCAATGAACTAGTTGAAAAAAGCTTTTAGTTTTGGTCATAAATATATTCCTATTTTGACTACTGATTATTTCGATCCAGGACCAGGAGGTAATTACAATAAACTAAAAATAGCTCATGATCCAAAATTACCTCATCCTTCCACTGCCAAAGAAATTAAAATGCTAAAATAAAACAGATCCCAACTTGTTTCAAAAGAATCATCATTGAAACCAGGACCTGGTACTCATGATCCTTAAATGGCTCCCACTCGAATTTCACATAGCAAATCTTAATTATCTATGGGAACTGGTGAAAGATACAATCCCAATACTGACTTTAGACTATCAAGAGATAGAGTGCCTTCTCCAGGAAAATATGATGTCAATTCAAGTTTACAAGGTCCTAATTATTCAATTCGGCTCAAGTATGAACAAAGAAATCATAATATTACACCTGGGCCAGGATAATACGATCCAGATTCTCAACTTGTTACAGATTCATTTACTAAACCTCTTGAACATTACACTAAGGCCTAAACAGCACATGCCAGTCTAACAAAAGGTTTTAGATCTGATCCAGTGCTTTCGAAATACAAAAACATTGGACCTGGTAGCTATTCACTGCCATTTAATACAGGTCCAAGACCAAGGTTCAAGTTTGTATTACTCTTAGTCTCGGAAAGGCGGCTAGATTCCCTCCCAAGGAAAAAGAAGAAATAGGCCCAGGGTCCTACTACATCACAGGAACAATTGGAATCATACCGAAATATCATTTTGAAAGAAACAGAGATAAAATGCAATCCTCATTTTCTTAATTTGATAAATTTAGCAGATGATTATTATTTTTATACCCATATTGTTAGTATATATAATCATACAATAGTTCTACTCATATCATTTATTGCTATTCTTTAGGCCTGTGTCAAATAGTCGGCTACCAATTGAATCAAGGTTTCTATCTTCGATTGCACATCTGTTAAAGAACCAATCTAAATCTGTTATATTTTAGTTGTCATGTCATGTAAATCAATGAAATGCAATTGTTATTGGCGATCCTATTTCAAATGGTCATCAAGAGGGTTAGGAAGTAGCAAATCAAGTTATGGAGAGCTTTGCATTTGTATGTGAGTGATGATTCGGGTATATTTTTGAACCAAAGTGATTAAAGTATTCAAGGAGTTCGATAATTAAGCAAATTTAATATTAATGTTAATTGAGAATTCGTATTATTAATGTAAAAGTTCAGCGTAATTTGCATTTTATTCTTTAATTTATTTAAGTTGATTATTCAAAATGCAAGTATCGTCTGACTTATCCTAAAAAGACAAAGTTTGACTCTATTTAAAAAGGTTTTCATTAGCAAATTAAATTAATGAATGTTGTAACTCTGTTGAACATCTTTTTTAATCTAGTTTTGCTTTTTCAATCTCCTATATCAACAACTTTATTGTCTATTCTTCCTTTTTTTATATAACATCTTTCTCTATCTACAATATGTCTATCTATTTCTAACATTCCAAAATTTATGCTTTCAATTCCTTAATTATCAATTGTTGTTATTAACAACTTTAACAATTAAATGAATCACTATAATCTGTTCTTAATTGAAAGTGATCATCACCAAATTTGCTTTCATTCTCTTTAAATTTAATCGTTGTTTTTTGTCTTATCTTAGATAGGCGAGCATCAAGCATATAATTCAAATAGCTAGTTTATGACTTTTTATGTAGTTAAGAATTCTTTATATTCATCTTTAATTTATTTTAAATAATTTACTGTTTATGTTAATAATAAAAAGTAAAAAATATTATTTGTATCTAAAAATAGGAGCATTCATCGATGGCTTAATAGCAAACACCTCTCCAGATTTATATTTAACTATGGAATAATTCGAATTTCCTATTTAAATTTATTACTCTTTCCTCAGTGTAATAAATATTCATATTTAGCTGTGAATCTATAAATATAATTATTGAAAATCTATGAAATCTTTATAATTGTTCAAGAAAAAATAACGAATATTTTACTATGGCCTACATAATTATTCTGTTAACTTAATTATTTATTATATTTTTAGAAATAAATTATTTAAAATGATAACAAATACAAATGGTGTAGCATACAATATATATCACTTTTTATGGTTTAAGGATGAATCGTTATTAAAAGAGTCCTTTCAAATAAGAATACCAGACACATTAATTTATAAAAATGGAGTCCCTCAAGTAATCATAATCTACAATTAGGTTTGGTATTTTACCAGTAAGGAAGGTGAGATTATGACAAAGAAATCTGAGGCCAGAAAGTCTGAAAATCTGATTAAGCATTTTTGCTCAGGTGATAAGCCGAATGGATAAGTTATAGCCTACTATATATATCCTCAAAAATATAATCATTCAGATCCTAAAGAAGAGAAAACCTTTCCAAGTCAATCAAAAAAGGCTAAGCCTCTCTTAGACTTTGATGAAAAGATCTGCATATATTATTTAACGAAACAAATGTTTCCTGATTTCGTTAATTCACCAAACAAACCACCTTCAGGGATTCTATAAAAGTTTATAGAACCACTAGGAAATCACGAGTCCTTGATCCAAGCAATTTGGAGTCCCTCAGTGTGCATACTTTCAAAGAAATAAAACAACCGAGATTTATATGATATGGCTTATGATCCTTATGGTAAAGATATTCATCTATCACAGAAAGATGTACAACTTTTGATGGAGGAGAAGCCTATTCCAGAGTGATTCCTTTAAGGGGCAAGGAGATTTCATAGGAAATAAGAAAACAATGCCAAATGATCGTTTAAAAGATAACAAATTTGAGCTATGGACAGACGAACTTATCCCGAATTGTGTTTTATTTTAAGGCCGACTAAGTATTTAATGGTGTCTATATTTCTATAGAATAATAAAGTGTGGTTTTTATATTCATCCTCAATAAGAATATAAGGAGAAGCCTAGTCACAAATAAAGTTATATCAGCCTCTATGGGGTAATGTTAATGTGAAAAAGAATAATACTCCAATTCCATTTAATACTAATTTCCAGAAACCGTATTCAATAAAGAATATGCTGACTGTAAACACAATGCACCCAGTAGCTTTGATTAAGGATATAGAATGTTTTGAGTGTGGAGTTTTATGTTAATAAAAAGGTGAATATTCAAAACATATTTAGATCTATACCATTTGACTTATGAATATATCATCAAGCATTTTGACTAAGATGTAAATTAACACCCTCTTGTGAATAACATAGAAATAATTAAGCCTAAATCCTTTTTGTAATGTGAGGGTCATCTAAGAGATATTCATTCACATATCCCACCTCTTATTTTAAAACTATATCCCCATTTGACAGTGCAAATATTTGAATAATTAAAAGTGAATGATGCCTTTTTAATCAAATCAGTTCTCATTTGCGAGAGTTGTTTTTTGAAATACAGTGAATCAGATCCAGGAATCTCTGGAGCCAAACTAAGAGTCTCTAAATAATTAAGGAGAATTGTTAAATAATAACCTTCTAAAAGCATTCTAAATAGAAGGCCGGATTTGAAAGAATTTTTAATTGAAACTAATTTAGAACTTTTAAAATACAAAAATGCTCATTCAATTAGCCAACCAAAGGAAGTGTAATCTAGCAGTCATGCCACAACTTCATTCTTACACTCGTTTCAGAATGTCACTCAAAGTACGAATATGGGGAGAAGTCCTTCCTTAAAGCAATTCAGAAATCCGACAGAGCCAGGATATATTAGATTACATACTGCAAAATGAAATTGTTATATAGTTTATATACTAAATTTATTATCATAAGAAGATGTAAATGATTATTCCAATTAAAAGGGCTCCAAATATTCCAATGGCTAAGTAAGCAGCCCAATTTTATTTTGTGTTAACTGCTGTTGCCCCTTTTTGAAATTGATTTGCCATTTGAGATACTTCTGCACTCTTGTGATGAATAACATGAAGCTGTTCCTAATTAATTTAGAACTTCCTTATATTTTCCTCCATTTAATCCTTGGATAGAATCAACTGACTTACAAGTTATTTCAATTTTATCGTCCGTAAAAGGATCTCTATCGTATTGTGTTAATAGCTATTAGTTATGCAAAAGTGTACTTGTCTCAAGTTTGGTTCTATGGGTTGAAATTCATATTTCCCACTTTATATTTATCTCTTTAACAATTCTTCGATTTATTTTAACAATCGCATAGCGCTTGGCATTGGATAAGAGGATGTAACTAATAGACTTATGACTATATTGTTCTTTAATGAGCAATACCAAGCTCCTGATTATGAGTAGATCTTTTAAACGGGTAAGGAGGGGACGTTTTATGAATCCTATTAATTCAAAATTTGCTAATATAATAATTAAGCTTCTTATTGCAAATCATTTATGAACACTGGGTTTTCAGCTACCAATGACAGGATTCCATGTTTTGCTTAATGTACTCAAATTAATCACGCAAGCACATTTCACTCTACAATTTAAATCCATTAATTAAGTATAAATTATTTATTATAGAAATTATTTATTTATACATATAATATTCTAAAAAATAACTAAGTTCAATGAAATAACAATGTGAAAAGGATGAATAGTTTGATCTCATTATTGATGAAAAACTATCATGTTAGGAATAATCCACATCAACACAATCTAAACAAAGCAATGCTAATCTTGCTATGTTGCAAGACAATTCTAAAAATTTTAAATTAAAAAGAACTCAAAGTAATTATAACTATATTTTTAAAGAAAGCTTACTTTAACTCGATCGCATTCCTCCACAAAGAAGAGGTTCTCAATCCTGTGTAGAGCCAATTTCAATCATTCAAGAAGAGGTAATCATTCATTTCATATGATTATCAGTGTCAATATTTTTGGAAACAAAAACTATACAATGTGTATTGGTACGACGAAAATATCGATAACAAATATGAAATCATCGTATCAGCAACTCAAGACACTTTGATCTCTGATTTTATTACGTTAGTTATAAAAGAATTCAACTTGTAACATGATTACATTCATTTCCCATTTACACAAGATGGATCACTCCTCTATGAATTGTACATCCCAAAAAAAAAAAATGGAAAACCAAATGAAGATTTTCCAGGTAAATCTATTTTAATATTCTACAAGCTATTTCTGAAAAAACTTAATTAGGCAAAACAAATATTACTTCATTTGCTTTCAAAGTGACCAAATTAGAGTCTCATTATGTTAGTTCAATTGTCTAATAAAGTGTTTAGTTATCAACAACAAAGATTAAAGACCAAAATGTCGTGGATGAGAAGTCCTTCTGGTAAAAACTATTCTTTTGCTGTAATTTTGATATTTGATTATATTTTGTAATGATAATTATTTTTATCATAATATAATTTTATATTTTTACTTCTAATGAATATGTTTTGATATAATATAATTACATGAAACAATTTCTTTTATAATTTTGATATGAATTTCTGTTTGAAAAATGAAACAGTAATATAACTATTTGATTAATAAATTAATGATGAAGTAGATACCTAAAAAAAATGGTTAACAGCAAAATGCTATTTAAAACCAAATAAATGTTCAAACTTAGAATAAGCAAGGTCTAAAATAATTTAAGAATGGCAATTAATAAAAATAGTAAGGTTTTGCCAAATAACAAGCTCTTAAATATTTTAATAAATCAACGTTTTGCAATATTGTTTTGTTTTTGAAAGCAAATGAGATCATGGAATTCAGATTAGTGAATAGGCTATTTAATAAATTGTTTATTGAATGTGCTCCTGTATTATTGGAGAATTTGGAGAAGAAAGAGGATGATTATTTCTAAAAATAACACAATAATCCCTAGAAATTAGAACTTCCAAAATTAATGTAAGTGGATCTAAAAGAGTTAAAACAAAATTTAGAGAATAGAGGAATGTATGCTTGTGTTGACAAATTACATGGGGATAATCTTTTCAGTGTGGAATTAATATATTTGATATGATAACTTTAAGAATTACCACCATGGAGAAAAAGCAAAATTCACATTTCCTCTAAAAGTAAAAACAATATTAGAAAAATACGATTTTCAATATTTATAATTTAAATGATTAGCAAATACAAATGATTAACCAAAGGAAGAATTATAATCTGGTAGAATTCGTATTATACAATGAAGACTTCCATAATCTAATCTAATATGTGAAAAATCTAAAGACGGTGGCAGCATTTTAGGATTACAAGTATTTTTGTGACTGGTACGAAATTGAAAAAGAAAATACAGAAATGTAGATATTGATAGGAGTGCTTAGAAGGAAGAGTTTGCAGTAGAAATGAATGTGATTCCTCAAATGTAAATTTAGATTTGCACACAATTCAACAAATATATACATTAATTATAGTCTAATAAATTTTATTGATGATCTAAATGCAAGACATACAGGAATCAATGATTCTGAATTACATCTCAAGTGATGAGGAGGATGAGTCGGAGAGCCTTCTAATGAATCAGAGTCCGGTAGAAATAAAATAGAAACAACAATTATCCGATATAGACTAGTCAATCTCTTAAATACCGAGTGAGTTGTCATTCAACCGCAATATGGACAGGAGAATCAATGAAACGATAGTTCTTTAGAATCAAGCGGATGAAATCACTTTGAAATCAACTAAGAATGCAAAAGAGGCTTATCAAAGAGAGATAATAAAGGAATTGGTTTCCAAACAGAAGAAGAGATTCAAAGTGGACGGATTCAATTTAGACTTGACATGTAAAGGAATTTTTGATTTAGATATAACCGATAATGTGATTGCAATGGGATTTCCAGCTGAAAGCTTCGAAGCAATATATAGAAATCCAATGCCGGAGGTTTAAAAATTTTTAAATAGTCGTCATCCGAACAATTATATGGTTATTAACTTGTAAGCTTACTACTCCTACCTAGATGTTCAGAGCGTAAGTACAAGCACGAGTCTTTCTATAAAGTGGCCGAGTTTCCTTTTGATGATCATTAGGCCCCTCCATTTAATATGATGCTCGAATTTTGTTAGAAGGTTCATGAGTGGTTAAAAGCGAATTCGAATCACGTGGTGGCAATACATTGTAAGGCTGGCAAAGGAAGAACCGGCGTGATGGTGTGTTGCTATTTGTTGTTTAGTGGGAAATACACTTCAAGTCAAGATGCATTGGCTTATTATGGTTTGGTGAGGACATAGAATAAAAAGGGTGTGACTATTCCTAGTCAAATTAGATATGTCCATTATTTCAGTTATGCTTTGAAAAATGACTTGGTGAAGATGCCATATAGACAAATCGAATTGGTGTCTGTCAGATTGGTTGGTGTGTCTCATGGGACGTTGATCAGAGTCTAAAATAACCGATAGGTAATTGATAGAGAAGGCTTAGATCGTTTCAGAAAAGGAAATACTATTTGCTTTCAATGATATATTTTTATTAGGAGATGTTCTCATTTAAATCTTCCACAAGTCGATAGTTTCGGAATCCAAGATAATGCAGGCTTGGTTCAACACTAATTTTGTATCCCTTTCGCCCAGAGAATAAGTGTTTAAGGCTGAGGAGTTGGATATGTCAAAGAAATCAATGAAGCATTCTGCTTCAATTTAAATGGAATTACTGTTTGATTAAGTAGTTCAAACTAGATAAAGATCTAATTGCTTGTCAAAAGGCAAATGATATATAATTAACTATCAAAAATCTAAATATTAAACTGCTGCCCCGATATCCAACAAGTCGAATGGCTTGGCAATAAAATAATCTGCTCCATTTTTAAAGCATTCCAACTTCTGATTCAAATCCACAAACGTAGCTATTATTATCACATAGCCCTTATCTATCAAGCTACTTCTCATTTGCTCCTTCAGAGATCGCACTAACTCTATCCCCGACAAGATCTAATAACATCTACAAATTTCAATACTGGCAAGTAAAACTCAATAAAAAATAACAGATAAGACTTGTTTCCACAATGACAAGGCTTGACTTGTTTATTTTCTATCAACTTTTGAGCATCGATACCATTGAAGGCCTTATCGCATTTAATGTTGTACTTTTCCAAGACTTTCTACAAAGAAAAAACGCTATAATGATCATTATCCACAATTAAAACTTTGGCACAACAAGTTAGTCTTAATCTGAATTTAATTACTGACGATAGTAATTTCGGAGTCAATTCAGGAGGGTGAATGGATGGATTACTCTAATCAGCTCCAAAATCGAAATTAGAATGTGTTTTCATGGAATCATGTTAGGAATCACTTCTCTCATTTCTGGTCTTCTTGTAAGGTTACTGAATGATATCAGGGAACCCTTGTTTCCAAGTGCCAGAAAAGCTGTTGCTCTATTCCTTCGATTGTCGAGGAACTGATCCAGAATTTTAAACCTATTTTGAATTCGAAGAATCCTATTTAATTCTTGAAATCTATGAGAAATAAGCACTCTACACATCAAATGGATCTCCTAATTTCATTGAAAATTGTTTTGACAACTAAGTCAAAGAAAAATATCTAGAATATAATGTAGTAATTACTTTGATTCATCTCTGTAACCACTGCTGTCTTAAGCCAATAACATAGATAGTGATGTTTCATAGTATTTCCTTTAACCTAATATCTTGATGGGACCTGTGTCTTGACGAGATTGCATTCTTGTTTAATTTGTTTAGGATTCTATTACAAAAGTAAAAGTGCCATATCCCTAACTATCATACAAAAATTCTAGACCTCTTTTGAATGTACCCGACAATTACCAACATAAAATCACACAAATCTATAGTTCCAATGGGTTGTTAAGATCAACATCATAAAATGAATTCAATTTGAGAGTTGAATTGAGATGTCTAACCAAATTAGATATGGCTTTTCTTGTATTATCATCTCTGGCTATCATGCTGTCTTTAAAAGATACCATAATACCACTGACAGTATAACTTTTGATATCTAGTTTTAATTGTGACGCAGAGGTGTATTTTAAACAATAGGTCAATAAACATGCTAAGATTTATTTCAACTAATTTAATAATCACAATATTACCCTATCTAAATCACTGAAGATCACCTGATTGTTATCACTCAAATCTATGGATGTTGTCAAACTCACATCTCTGATTTTTAAGTTATCATCATAAATAAGCAACAATTCCTCGATCAAGTCGTTTAGTTTGAATGCTGAGATTCTCAAAAACAACTAATTTGATATAAAAAAGATATAATCCCTCATACTGTTAACGAATAGAATGTGTCTCAAACTCATCATCCTCATAGGCATATAATAATGATGCTTGAGTGAGATTTTGAGAGTGTTCTCATGCTCGTGTTGAGTGAGCAAAATTAGAGTTAATATACAATTAATATAACTTACAGATTCATGCACAAAAGTTGAAAAGATGTTGATGATCGGTTAAGTGTTGTCATACTTCTTTTGTTGAGGAGGCTACTGTTCAAAAAGGAAGATTAGAAAGGAGGATTCATTGACCTTATTCACAAAAGCCTTAATTTGGATATTCTCAAAATCGAACACATCGCTTCTCAATTTAAACAACGTCACCATGCTTGGCCGCCATCTCTTTTTAATTCCAACTAAACTACTTATCGATCTCGTTTTGCATCAAAATACTCAGATCTCTGATGGTCAGATTCGACTTCATCCGGCATTTATGATAATCATTCACTCTGTTTAGCAAAAAGGAACCACTTGAAATTATTAATGTATTTGATTACTCACTATTCATAGATTAATCATTGTTGTTGCTATTGATTTCCATCAACTCCTTACTCCCAACCAAAATCTGACAATCAAGGAACAACTCTTCGTAGTCTGGCTTTGATTGTTATTGTGTTTATTATTCATCTAAATTCGATTGTCTAAGTAATTTTCCTAAAAATAAATTCTAATAAACTATGTTTAGCTTTTTGTTATAAACTAAAGCAGACTAGTTTTGAATCCAAGCCACATTCTATAATACCAGTTCATCATCATTGCATTCCATTTTTATAGCATTTATCTCTTAGCTCACTGATTATTGTTAATTTGATTTGCTTATCAAATCCCTATTTTTAATTGACTCCTTTACTAAATAGCACATTATAACCAAATACTTACATTCCAACGATTTCATCTTGAACGTGTGATCTACCAATTCATCTTCGGATTTAACTGATTTCCACTTCAGAAACATAAAACAAAACAAAAATAGAACATTAGAGAAATATAATAAATTGAAAGGAATTTCTGTCACATAATTATTCTCCTATTCCTAAATTAGATTGATCAGAAACACTGTGCTCAAAATGAATGTTTGGATGATATCATCCTCAATCAAATGCACAATTATCATGCAAAATTAGCACATTTCAATATTTATTGAAATTTGAATTAGAATGAACACAATCTTTATTATCCAGATCTACCTAATGTGAGTACTCTTCTTGTATTTAAAGTACGTGTAGATTAAAACAATTGTCGAATTTAAGGTGATTGGCAAAATTGAATCGATTCCTTGAGATTAATACAATCCTTCTTTATCAACAATCAATACCTAAAAGGAGAGCCAAAAAGATCAACAATTCTTTGAGAAGATACTATCCTGTGTTCTTTTGTAACATAAATATAATTAATTTTATATTTATCTATAAAGCATTTTCAAAAATTCAAATATAAAAGTTCAAAAAATACATAATGACGAATTTAATAAACATCACCTTAAAATGTGATAGTGAATAATTCATCAATAATTTTCAATAATGCAGCCAAACCCAATTAAGAGTAATTTAAGACCAAAATAATTTTACACCAACTTTTGAAATTAATAAATATATATAAAGCAATCAAATAAATTTGAAGTTCAAACTAATTTCTTCACTCTTCTAATTTTTGATACCACAAAACATCTTATAGAATAGGATGAACTTGGCAAATGTTTCTTCCTGCAAAAATTATTGTAACTCTGCGATTCAATGTATTTTTTATATCTGTTTATTACCTAACTATAATTATTATGCGGATTGTAAATCTTATATTCGCACATTTTTTCGAATTTATTAAATAATACATCATTTAAGTAATACCCTTGGTTCTAATCTTATAAATAAATTGTACCTCAGGACTTGTCAAAGCTTAAAACTATGACATTTGATTAGGAGTGCTCTTAGTACAAGACTTCAAACTCTTGTTATTATTGATTCTATTTTACTCATTAGTGAGAGACTTAGAACTATTCAATTTTCTGGTCCCTGTTTGTTCCATCACTCTATCTTGACTTGATTGCATAGATTATCTTTAAGACCTATTTTATCTAGAATTGGAAGATGGATTGTTTGAAATATCTTTCGAAATTGAATTAGAATAAGTGTTAGATCTATTAGAAGTCTACCTGATAGACTACTTGAGATTTGAAGCTTATTGTTATTAGTAAATTGCCAATGACTGTTGTTGTTATTAAAATGAGTCAGTTTTGATGATATCTTCCCTATGAATTTATTATGATTATTCCTTCTAAAACTGAAAAGTCAATTTGTTTGTATTGTAATTCCTGGAGGTCTGATATAGAATTGTTTTTTCTTTGTTCATTTGATGCTCCAATTGATTTATGATTTCCTTATCATCCTTATCAGCCATTGATAAATTATTCATCATGTTTGGTTCTATAGCAAATCCAGCTGTTTTCAATGTTGCCTTATTTGAATTCTTACGAATACTACTCTTAACCTAATGTTCTTGGAAAGGGATAGTTTACTCATCTTAGATGTCTTGGTCTATATTAAATTATTCACAACTCTCTACATTGCTGTAAGATTGATATTACTCGGGACTCAAGTTCTTCGGACCCATAGAATTACTAACAAAACTCACCGACTAATATGTTTAATCTATGATTATTAAAGATAAGTACTTTCTGAATAAGGCAATTATGAGATTTCTGGTAATTCATCAGAGATCTATTCTTAACTTTGTTTGTTAGCATATTGTTTAGCTTTATCTTAATTTAAACTTAGATCTTACCAGGCAAAATACTTACGCAATTTTCTGTTCCAACTTCTTCTCTGCTACTTCTCTGTATATAAGTGTTTCTCTATGGTGTTTAATCTCTAGGGGAAATACTGAATGTGTTTGCATTCCACAATGTAATGCCCTCTGATTTTGCAATAGTAACATTCGAACATTTTCTGATTGTAGAATGCATTGTCCTTCATGGTGCAAAAGATTTCATTATCAGTAGGATAGTTGGATATTATGGAAGTGAAATCGGATCTCTTCAATTTCATTAAAATAGTTGATCCTGAGCTGAAAATGCTGATATTCGATGGATTTCCAGTAATAAAGGAGTACTGTCCAAATGTCTACCCTTCTGATAAGGTAGTCACTTCTCTCTTACTGGTCCCAAAGGAGGACCCTTAAAATCGCACTTTCACTTATCCTTTCAAGATGTAGAACAATCCTAAATCATCTGCTTAATGTTCCTTTTGTTACTAATAATATTAATACTATTATGATGTTGTCCTCTGGATTAAATTGCACTTATTCTATTTCATATAATAGTTACTATTTAAAATGTGGAGAAAACCTATTCATTAATTCTATTTTTTCGATCATAATAGACCTTAAGGATAGTTCTATTTCATCTTCTAAATCTGGACTCAGCTTTTTTGTTAGTTGATCTTTGGCTTTGTTAAGATCTTCCTTTAAAGTTGAAATAATTCATGTACATCTATTCGAAATTCAAGGTAAGAGTAACACCTCCTAAGGAGATCATCATTCTCACATTTCTATCTAAATCTTTCAACGAATCCTTTAAGCAATTTCTGCTTCTCCTCTTGTATCTCTATGTCTGGTTTCAACCAAATGTAAAATATCATTGAAGTGTAGGCAAGACTTAGATACGATAGAATCATATAAATTGATATTAAGACTGAGTTTTGATTGGAAATCTCGATCGCTAAAAGTGTATAAGTGTAATAATCTTACAAATGTTCGAACAGTGAGTAAGAAAGGAGATTGCCAATACAATACTGTAGGATAAAGGCATGTCTTCATCCAAAATAAAAACTCTAGTTATTCAATCATAATACCTTGGTAAGTGCAGACAAAGGACACTATCACTGTAATCCAGAGTTAACAAATGAAAATGAAGTGATGAGTAGACCGATATATGTTTTCAAAACTTTCATTCTACCTCCACAATGAGAGGAGCATCATTAGTAAAATAGTCAACAATTTTACATTGGGATCTATTTAAAAGAAGTTATTGAATATTAAAAGTAGCATTCGAGTCGTATCTAGTAGTTTTTTTGATTCGTCTGAATAGTTGACCTTGATGATCCCTCGACACATTTTGTAAGGACCTCTTTGAAAAAATAAATCTTATAAAATGGTGATCAAGTTAAATCCAAATATTATTTGAGACAATATTTAAAATAGTAAGGAAATCTCAAAGAATTGTGTTAAGGGAATTAAAATTGAGGCCAGAAGATTCGAAATGGTGGTTGATAGAAAGATGTACATGGTGAAGTAATGATATTTAAAAGGTGACACTAAAGTATTAAAAAGATTTTTACATTCCTAATATTCTTTTGTTAATAAAGGGTCATTATATTTTGAGTAATGTATTAAATTCAACAATTTGACTTTAATTTAGTTTATGATCATTTTTACTTTTTCCTAATTGATTTATTTGCATTTTCTACTTTCCAAAATAGACCTCATCTATAAAATAGATAAATATGATATTTATTACAGAGTTTTACGAAGAGGATATGTTTGAGGTCTCGTAACCATGGTTTAGTTATTAGTGTTTCTTATGATCTGACTTAAAAACTATTTGTTCCGCAGAGAGTATATTGGAAAGGATGGTAGGTGCCAGCAAATCTTCACTTCCTTAACAATCGACTGGTTACTGGGGAAAAGTCCTTAGAAATGTGGGTTTTGAATGGTCATATTGTTTGCTTAGGTATAGTGAGGGCTGATCCTCTTCATCTTGCTATTATTGGTTTTGTTTAAATTGGGTTTATTTTGAGAGTTTGTTGGATAAGTTAGAGTTTACTGTCAAATGATCATTGTTTTAGTGAATTTATTGATTCTGGTATTTCATCATAATTATTCAAAAATATATATTGATTAATAGCTAAACTCTAATATTAATCATTTCTTATATTATAGATCTCGGCATCTGGCTTCTACAACTTCTATGCCAATCCTAAAAGAATTGTAGAATTAGGATAATAATTTGTTTCAAAATGATTAATGAAAATTTGATAATAGTTTCTACATTAAATATAATAAGATACAGAATATTGAGTTTTTTAATTATCTATCGCTCTATAAATAATGCATTCATCCCCTGTAAGATTTGGTAAAATTTACATGTCTTAAGTAACTTTTTTTCCATTCCATACTCATATTTTCAAGATCAAAAGTGATCTGCTTCAAGGTTAAAAACCAAATTCCGAATTAACGTGCATATACCTTAATATTTAAGTCCTTCGGTTAACTTAAATTATATTGTTATCATTTGGAACCATGTCGACAACCTAGTTAAACTTGATGAAATAGAATTCTTTGCAAGGGTATTTCCTCCAGAATCCTTTAACATCAGTTTCCCAATCAAAGTTAAACACGTACTCAGAATGAATCTCCATAGTATAAAAATAGAAACCTAAATTGGAATATAATTCTTAAATAATTATAAATCATATAAATAAATCTCATCAAAAATTCGCTTTTGAAGTGCATACTGGATAGACAAATCGATTCATTAATAAATTCGTAACCAATATATTTGTGCAAATAATTAATCATAATTTAAACTGATCAAGATCTGGGTGTTGTCCTTTTGGTTCAGTCTATGGAGTTTCAAGTGGAGTTTTTACAAAAGTGTAAGATTCAGCTCCTTTCATAGTTGATTTATCCTAATTCATAGTTCCAATTATACATTCAAGCTCTTGCTGTGTTCTTTGAAGAAGAAGGTAAGATTGTTTGGATCCATTTCCAAAGCCACTCTTAGTTTCTCTCCAATCCTTAACTTCTCACTCTCTTTTCTGTCTTTTAACCATATTTCCAATAAATTTCTTCTTTCTCTAATGGACAAAACTACACCAATTACATTGTCATCATCGAATTCTTCTCCTATGCATGCTTTCAATTACTTAATAAATGATACCTAATAACAAGGCTTCCCATTTCCTATTCAATAATTCATTCTCTCTTTTCTTAAAATGAATAATCCAAGTGCCTCCTTCCAAACACTCTTCCCACATTGGTTTATGACCTTTCCTAAACAACATTATTTTGTTATCAATTTCAATCTAATAGTTATTTTCAATGCTTACTTCGCTAGGTCTGCCTAAGAAACAATAGTATGTGTAAAACTCTTCAACTGTATTGAATTCCCCAATTTCTTTTAAATTTACATCATAATGGTCTGAACCTGCAATAGCTTTTCTGCCTCTAGGAGCATACCAAAATACCCAATTTTATGATAGTTTATGAGCCATAAAAATAATAATAAAATTTGATAAAATGAATCAATAACAATGTAATTGATTTTCCATTCTAAAACTAGTTATGAAACAAACAGCCTAAATATTCTGTTAAGATCCAAAAATCAGATAATCTCAGTGCATAGATGAAAGAATGAAACTCTATGATGAAGTGTAAATTAAATCAATAATAATTCAGATTGTGCAAGACTCTTGGTAAGACCTATCCAGCCATTAATCAAACTGTTAATTAAGATTGCCAATTAGAAAAGCTGCCTCAATAAAATACATTGCTCGATTCCTTTATCAAAAATCTCCTTATGAGTGACAAAGGGTTAGTATATATTTACACATAATTAGAGCTATGTTTTGTTACAATCAATACTAACAAAATAGGTAACCCTAAACATAACCTAAACCTCAATTAAATTAAAATCAACAGCAATTTCAAAGATAACCTCCCAATTACAATTACAATTAATAATAAGACCGTTACAATGAATCTCAAATTCCAATTTAACAAAGACATGTAATGATAGACAACTAACATCATTAAGGATATCAAGGATTCTCTCAGCCTTTTAATAGTTCTTAATTTTATAATTCTAGAATCTATAATTCACAAAATGAGCATCAACCTGTTTACACATTTGATATCATTGAAGAATCAAAAAGAAGGAGAATTCAATAGATTCAAAACTATAGATATAAATGACTATTAATATTTAAAATATTCATATGCTCTGAACGCTGTTTCCCTCAAATTCATCTTCCAAATCATCATCATTAAACTAGTTGTCACCATCATCTAAATGCTTAACAAATCAATTATACTTCCTTCTCCATCCTAAATGAAACCCATATCTTCTCTTCTTTGATTTTACTATTATGCATTATCCTCATTCAATTTGTAAGCTTCCTTCAAAAACTAAGGCACATCTTCAATTTCATATAAATCCACCACAATGCAATCCTATTCAAATTATACTCATTTATACTTTCTTTGAATGAATCATCTCTGAACACACTCTGCAACAGGTCACCTTATGTTTCATACAAAAGAAATGTTTCACTCTATCATTATGAAACTCACAAAACTCCAATCCTGAATCTGGATCCACTTAAGGATATGCATTTTATTGTTATTAACGTGCCTTTTGTGATTATAATGCTGATTATTGGAATTGTGTAAATAAATATTATTGTGGATCTATGACTTCTGTTCCCCCATGTTATTTGCTCTTATTGTTTATATCGTCAGCCATTCTAGTGAAAATAGTATGATTAATCTATCATTAATATCAATCTTTTACTGGTAATCTATCAACTGAATCAAGATGCTTAATTAATTTTAAACAGAGCGGACATCTTACTCTTCTATTTCTACAAAAATTATAAAAATTCGTTGGTACCTGTAAAAATTGGTGAGACAAGCTGTGCAAATTGTATGTCCACAATGAATCAATATTCTTGGCAACCTGTCTTTCATATTGTAATCATTCTTGCATAAAATGCATTATCTTTGATTAAGCAATTTGCTGACAAATTCATTGATCTTTGATAAATATTCAGTTGGTGGATTGTTTGATTATTCAAAGAAATATTGTGTTGGATTTTGAACTACTTTCATTAAATAAAATAATTTAATTTGTTAAGAAAAACCTAAATTTGAATTCATTGTTTATTTATTATTAATATACTAATATCTTTATATATATTTAATTATTATTTTAGACGATATATATATATATTTGTATCATATATAAATAACATTTATTATCGTAATTATTTAATTGCAATTATGTTTTAATATACTTAAAATTAGCACTGCCCTTAAATTATATTATATCCAAACAACGAAATGAGATTCAAAAAATATTTTAATTATTTTAAAACCTTTCGGAATAATGAACGGTCACCGCAAATTAACACTTAATGAATACCAAACAAAGTTAAGGCAAATCCAAGAGAATAGAAGTCCCAAGTCGAATAAATTTCACACTCCCTAGCAAAAGGCCAATTTGGCCTCTCCCAAGATATAAGTTGCTGGGAAATAACAATAACACAAACTATTTACAGATAGATCCACTTCTACATATTAAAATATAAATCTTCCTTTCACTTCTAAAATGCCGAAGTTGTCTAAGCTACAGTCCTTGGATGAAGAGTTTAAGCAATGCGAAACAGCCAAATTTAATCCCACGATTGAGTCTAAAAGCCCAAAATAAGAAGGGATAGATAAATTAAGGACATAATTGAACGAACAATTTTTAAAGGAAAGCTCGAGTAATAGAGCAGGTGTTTGTCTCTAATTTCTTGAACCTACTCTGGTTCACAATCTCTGTAATAATATCTAAACAAACTTAGTAAACCTATCTCCCAAAGTCAAGGTAAATTCGGAGCTTCATGCATCGGTTTCTTCAAAAGATTTAAATGGTAACACAGCTCTTCATTTTGCTGCCAGAAATGGTAATACACATCTTGCCCAGGCATTACTGTACAAAGATATACAAATAGATGACTAGAATGAAGATAAAATGACACCCTTGCTAATGAGCGCCTATTAGTATTTAATGAATTTAATAGCATAGTGGGAAGTTGGAGACCTTATAAATATTAGTTAACGTTGGAGCTAACATCAATCATCAAGATATTCATGGCAACTCAGCTTTGCATTATGCTTGTAAGTTTAATTTTAAATCGATTGTGGAATTTCTACTCTAAAAATAACATCTTGTCTTGTAACAAAATCTGGAGTAAAAATATCCAGATTATTACATTGAAGATCAAGACATAGCGTAGATCTACAAAGATTATTAAGAATAAACAAAAAGTACAAATTTTAATTTACGTTTAGAAAAACAAACTAAAGAAGTTATTATACAAACAACATAAACAGAAACAATATTAAAAATGTTTTAAAGGAAAAATATTAAATAACAAAAAAACTTAATTTAAACAAGTAAGTCATAAAACAACTTGGATAAAATACAGGTGCCATCTCCTAAAATCAAATAATTATAAACCAAATTACAATAACTTGAATAATTTAAAACTTAAATGTAAGGATTAAAAAGACAAACGACCTTCTCAACCAATTATTCTGAATCTTGTAAAAACATAAAAGATGAAGAGGAAATTTCTCTCTCTTAATTCTAGATCCTAGGTTTAATTGGTAAAGGTAGTTTTGGTCAAGTTTATCTTGTAAAGAGATAAAATTAATTATATGCCATGAAGGTTTTAGATAAATCCATGATATTAAGTAATGTTTTAGTAAATATAATGTAGAACACAATTTGTTTCGTTATGCTTAGACTGAGAGAAATGTATTATCAATAACTTCACACCCTTTCATTGTGAAGTTAAGATATGCCTTTCAAACTCCAGAAAAACTCGTAATGATTTTAGATTTTTGTCCAGGAGGAGATATGGGGTAACTTTTGGAAGAGAAAAAGAGACTTCCAGAAGCTCAGGCCAAAAATTACATTTGTGAAGTAATCCTTGCTTTGGAAGATCTACATTAAAGAGATATTATATATAGAGATTTAAAGCCAGAAAATATCGTTATTGATGCAGATGGACATGCCATGCTCACTGATTTTGGACTCTCAAAAGAGGGAATATTTGATGCAAGTCAAGGAGCAAGATCATTTTGTGGTTCTGTTGCTTACTTAGCACCTGAAATGCTTAGAAGACAAGGACATGGAAAGGCAGTCGATTGGTATTTACTTGGAGTAGTCATGTATGAACTATTAGTTGGAGTGCCCCCTTATTATGATAATGAAAAGGATTAACTGTTTCACAATATTGAACATGCTATTCTCAAAATCCCCTCTTATATTTCACCTGAAGGTCGAAACCTCATTAAATCAGTATCTTATAATTTTCATTTTTAGCTTCTACAAAGAAATCCAATCAAAAGATTGGGATCAGGAGTAGGGGACTCGAAGGAAATCAAATAACATCCTTATTTTTAAGATGTTGATTGGGACAAGGTAAAAAACAAAGAGTTGGAGCTTCCTAAACCAACGCGAAAGATTCGAATTAATACACAAACTGGTTAGAATCTTTTTTAATAAGAACATTTAGAACCATCATCTCATATTCATGGTTGGTCTTTTGTTCATGCAGAATTTTGAAAATTGTTTATCTTGCTTAACAATTTAATTAATAAAATATATAATATTCTAATTTTATCATCTTTTCATAAAGTTTAAACTACATTTTTTATTTACTCATTAACTAATTTAGGTTATGTTATATAATTTGAATGAAATACTTAGTTTCTTCAATTGATTATCTGAAAATATAAAATAAGATTATAGTCTTTAAGAGTAAAATGATCCAAAAATTATAATTAAATTTTATTTAATAATGTCCATAAAAGTTTCAGAGTTTTTGTAAATGGATAGATTAAAAGATTATTTTTAAAAAATATAAGAGGAGGAAGATAGAAAATAAAAGATTTAGGAACTTACTTCAAAGTTACTAGATAAATCACAAAAGAGACTTAAGTAATGATTAAATAAATTAGATTGTAGAATAGAAAATAACGAGTTGATTAGAGATTTAATGATAAACTAAAAAATATGAAAGAGCTCAATACATTTATTGATGTCAGACAAAAAATTGTTGAATCTAATGTATTGAATGATGTGAAGTTAATCGATTAAATATAAATGGAATTTAATAATACAAAAACGAAGAACGAAGAGGAATGGTTATAGAAACAATTGAATTATGATCCCGCTAAAAAGGCTTAGAAAAGACTCTCCTTCTCAACATATTCAACCAAGAACATCTCATCATTGAGTACCGCTGCTCCAATGAAAAGAGTGCTTGACAATACTTTTCTTACTTAATCCATATAGAACTTCGTAACTGACCCCAAATCTACTGCATCATAATTAGGCAATGGTACATATAATCTTGACACCTTGGTTGAGAATGGCTTACTTTCTAAAAATTAGAATTCAATCAAACTCACAGTCTCTAAATATTATTCAAAATATTAAAATAAGACCAATGAATTCATTAAGAATATGAAATTACACTGTATTGCAAAATATAAGCCAATCTAAGAGTAAATGAACAAAAAAGAAAACAAACTGTCAATTAATCCTCAATATACACCAAATCATCAAAGAGGAAGACCCCAAACCTGTTTCATTAGTGAGACTCTTTAATTAAGATCTTAGAAAAAAGAAATTCAATAGTAATCACATTCAGAAAATTAAAAAACTGTGCTTAAAGAGAATGTGAACAGCAATGCTGAAAGATCTTCCATTGAAAGAACAAAAAAACTATAAACAATGATAAACTTCTATGAAAATTAAAGTGGGTAGGTTGATAAGAGGTTCAAAACCCCGTAGTATCGTAAGAGGATAGGTTAATCTTTTCTTAAGTTTAATAAGTCTTTAACAGAAGTGGAATCGGAACTAAATAAATCTAGTTAGAGTAACAATGACATCTTAAGGAAGATGGAATCTATTGTAACTGATGTTTATGATAGATATTAAACATAATACAGCTCTTATAATTTTTATTGATTACATATTTTAATGATTTATTTGGAAAGATTATTGAAATACTCTTTATAATTTATGATCCAATTTTATATCAATTTTTATATAATATTATATGCATGATAGGGTATTTAGATTTGTATGTAATAAAAGAGTAAATTCTCTAGTTTTATGAGTTATTGGTATAAAATTAATTATCAAAATTTGTTCGATTTTATTTCACATTTCAAACAGAATATTTAACAGGGTTTCACAATAGTAATCTTTATTTAATCCAAAGATATGATTGCATCTCATGATAAACATAGTATTGTTTTTCAATTTCTCCAATTCATAATTATCTTCTTATGATTCCTAATTTTGCAAATGTATTATGGATTGCAATATTCGAAATATTTTTTAACAAAGCTCTAAATCCAATAGTTCTTGAGGTAAATCTGCAACATAAGTAACCAAGCAATCAGTCAATTAGATTTTGGTCAAGTCTTGAATTTAATTTTCATCGGCTTTCGAGAACGCAGCAGTAATACAATAAATCAATTCAGGAATATAGTCTGAGTTAGGAAATCCTAACCTAAACATTGCAGGGATTCTGATAAGAATTCCACATTGTAAAATACTTGTGAGATCATCCACAATTAAGTTTGTCAATAAGGAGTAAATAAGTATTTGAGGTACTGATTTTTCATTTAAATGTACTTATATGACACTCAAAATGCCTTGATCAATCATGCTTGAACCACAGGCTGCTAAACTCAAGTTATTTAGAAACTGATAGATATTGCATACAAGATTGTAATTTTTATCATATTTAAAAAGCAAATCAACAGACCATCTAACATATTAGAATTCTAAGAATTTTTCAAATAATTGAACCTATTGAATAATTTAAGGATCATAATTGGAAGAACAATTAGCAAGAAATTAGAAAAAGTATTCCATAACTTCTACATATTGTGATTATTGAACATTTGAACTGTTCTGTAATTTGTGAAGAATAGGATGGATGAGGTTGTATTCATGATATCCAATTTTAACTAATTTATGCAAAATCATGAGGAGATTCTTAAGATTAAGTAAATCAAAGTTCGTGTTCGTTAGATATTTATTGGTCAACATAGTTGGAAGGTTTTGCTAGAGCAATAGAGCTTAAGCATCTGGGAAATCAAGCAAAATATTGTATAATACTTGGCAAATTCTATCCAAAATTTTGAATTTATTGGTTGCTTTTAATATTTTTAAGAGGAGATCTAGGAGATCATCCATAGAAAAGTCTATTTTGACATAATAAGTGAGTTGATTTAGGTAGAGAAGCATTTCTAAGACAGTGCATTCTGAAATCTCAAGATCATCATCATTGATTTGTCTATTTGATTAATCAATTTCATAGATATATTGGGCTGTTGCTTGTTGAATGTAAGGCAGTGTTTGGAGATGTAATTCTGTAAATTAAGGTAGAAGTAAGGTGAGTTGTTGGAAAAATGTGGTGAGTGAAATTTGATTTTAGGAAATCCCTTAAAGAATGAGTATGGCTTAATTGTTATCGGATATTTGGATGGGAAGCTCTAGTATTCTCTTTTTCGAGAATATGAGTTCCCGCTAATTCCTTCGCATTTAAATGTGAAATGCTTCCCTTTTCTGCTTTACAATCATAAATTTAAATAATTTAAAATGAGCTCTTAAAATAAGTAAGTGTATTTAGTTTATTTTAAGTTCAACAGGGCTTTTTCCGAATGCGCAAGGGTCAGTACCCAACCTATTTGGCTAAAGTGTAGGACAAGGATCATCTCTTTTTAACTAAGTTGGATAAACATAGAATTAAGGCTCAGTCTTCAATTAGCCAGGTAGTTTGGCTGGAGCTCCATAGGCAGCAGCAGCACAATCCACAGCTAATAATATGTTTGGAAATACATAGTCCAACTTAAATTTATTTGGAAGCAATCCGCCAAACAATAACAATTTATTTTCATAGGCATCATCGGCAGCTTAACCTTCATAATAATAACAACCTGCATAAACAACTAATAGCCTTTTTTAAAATCCTGGTAATTTGGCCCCTTAAACAAATCAAACTGGATTAGGCGGTTTAGATTCTCTTTCATAACAACCATAAGGTGGTTAAGCAACATAAACAACAAACAATACCTCTTCTTTATTTGGAGGAATGACTTAAAGTCAAAACCCCTAATCATCTCAACCAAACCCAACTCAACAACATGCATCTAATCCAACAACTTTAGGGAACTTTAATAATGGTGGTGCCACAGCTGGATTTGGAGCATTAACAGGAGGAACAGGAACTGGATTAAGTACCGGATTAGGAACCGGATTAGGTACCGGATTAGGTACTGGATTAGGAACAACACCTGGAGGATTATTTGGATAATAACAAAACAATACTTAGCCAACCTAAAATAACAATACTTTATTAAATCAGCCTAATCAAGCAACAGCCCCTCCTACCACTAATCCTTTAGTATCTACTGCTCAAGTTTCAAATCAAGCATAACCTAGTCAAGCCTAAATTAGTCCTCTTGGAACTTCAAATAATTTGTTTGGAAACACAACTAGCAGCCTTTAAAATCTAACCTAGCCACAATAATAATAATAATAACCAACCCAATCAATCACATCAAATTGGATGAAATAGCCAACTACTTAATAACCAACAACATAATAGCCAACGACCTAATAACCGACAACCTAATAACCAGCAACTTAATAGCCAACAACATAATAACCAACAGCAGTTTAATCTACTCCAAGCATCATTTAAATTGGAACATAACCAAATTAATAATAGCCCTCCCAATAACCATAATAATAATAAACACAACCATTATAACCAACTACATAATAATAAGGCACATAATAACAACAATAATAGAAACCATTAGCACCAACTCAACAACAACCAGCTTCTCAACAGTAACCAGCAAGTTAACCGCAACCTTAATAAAAATTACAATTACCCCTTTCTAAAAATAGAGATTTCTATAAAATTATGGAAATCTTGAACTGCAGAGATGAAATTAAAATTTAGAGTCTATTTAAAGAAGACGATACATTGTATAAAATTATGATACAAGGATCAAATTGGTTTTCCTTTTCAGAAAATAAAGTCTAACTTCAATCTGATACTCCATTTGATTAAGAAATTAGAACCAAATGCTTTGATAACAAAATTAAAAGTGAAGTCTATTATGTCTTAAAAGACAGTTTGTAGGCATCAAGAGTTAAGATATTGCATGATTAGTTTTAGAGAAAATTGAAAGCACCAGAAAAAACTAAATTTTTTGATAATGAAATTAAAAAATTCTAGCATATATTCTTTAATCACTATGCTGAATAAAGATCTTAATTGGTTGCTGGATTAAAATTGATGCTTGTTAACTTAATCAACGAAGAGGAAATTGGAAAGCCATCAAAATAATTAAATGATATGTTTAAGAGAGGTCTCATTGAAGGATTGGCCAATTCCTTTTTAAGTGTTCCTCTTGCATTGAATTTCTATCTAAAATAAGAACAATTCTCAGAAGAATATACTTTTTAAACATTTCAACATTTCGTATCAGAACAAACCTAAATCTTAGAGATATTCACCATCCTATAAAGTTACTTTAAAATTGATAGATTTGAAGAAGTATACATCAAACCAACCTAAAAATTACTAGATAATATGAAAACCACTCAATTCCTAGGATTATTCCATAAAAATGAACATCTAGTATTCTAGGAGTATAGTCCTCTTGCATCTAAACTTTAGGAAGAGTATAAAAAGATAGCATTCATTTTCGTTTTATCTTAATGCATTAGACCTATACACTAATTAAGAGAAAATGATTGTAGAGACTATCTTCCCCCATTATGGATTAGCAAGGAGGAATCTATTAAATAAATGCAGCCAGATTAATTTTAAAAGATCTTTTAGATTGCAATTATCTTGTAGGAAAGGAAGGAAGTATAAAATTAGAATGATTACGAAATCAGTTTGAAATATTTTGTTGAAGTTCTGAGAGTGTTGGAGAACGCATCAATAAATACCCATTTTTGGAGTTGTACATGCAATTGCATATATCAATGGATTTGTCTTTACAAGAATAAGTATTAAGAGGATGATTTTGAGGATGAGGTTGAACTCTTATCAAAGATATTTTCAATTCTTTTATAATTACAAACACTTTGGACTTAGTTCTATGAATCAGTGAAAGAAAATGACTCAGCTGAATAAATTATATTTGACAGGTTAAATAAGTTGAAGGTCTTCCGTAAAATTAATTAGCCTGAGACACTGGATTTAATGTCAGATGATCATAATCAATTTTAAAGCTTACATGATATGATGATAGATTTCTCAGAAGGTAAGTTGACAAATAATCTATACAAATCATCAGATTTTTTAGGTAAAAGTAATAGAGCTTCCATGGATTATTACAATGAATAAAATAAATTAAAAAATAAGACATTGTCAATGGGCATAGATGATCTAGGAAAGAGAGTTTATAAGTTTAAACATGCCATTAAATTTATTAAGGGAGAAGTAAAAAAGTCAGCAAATTCAATTAAAAGAATAGCTTTGTTGTGTAGTTCAAATAACATAAATAGATAGATACTCAAAGTAACATCAGAATGTTCAAGATTGATAGATTTAATTATTGATACTCATAAGGAAGAAGAGAAAGCTATTTAATTAATCAATATTTTATTGACAATAGGCTCAGAAGCTGTCTAAATTATCAACTATGTTTTAGAAGATCCCTTGCTTTAAAAAGAAATGGCTGAGGAAATCAATAAGCTGCCTACCAATGAATAATAAGTGTAGAGACAATAAGGGTTCTCTTATCATCCATTGTTCGAACTATTTCATATAGCCAGAAAGTGTTAAGCTTCTTATTAATTCAAGGTTAAGCAGGTTATCAGAATCCATTTAAATTATGCTTAATTGTGCAGTGCAGTGATGGGGTAAGACAATCCTTTGCAATTATTTGAATAACAAAACAGTAGTCATTATTATCAATCAACATAGCATACATTTGTCAAAAACACTCTTGAAACCTTTTTGAGATTTCAATTGCAAGAATGGAAAATCTTTGAGGAAGATAAGATGGAAGTCACTATTGAATATTAGGCAAGTATGTATCTGGCATTGTAAAAGATCTTGAAGAAATTTTTGTTTTATCATACCAAAGAATATAAGGAAACTTAGTTGCATACTCTGATCAAACAATAATTGAATGAAATCAATAGTTAATTGATTCTTGAATTCTTATTAACAAATTTAGATGTTACTTTAACGGATTCCTTTTTTGAAGACATAGGTTAAAAGCAATTATCGAATAATATCAATATGATTGGAATAAAGAATAAATTATATGAAGAGGTGAGAAATTTAGACAAAATAAAGTATCACGTGGCTTCTTTGTTAGTCAACTTACTTGATTGTTGGAATACTCTTATTGACTTATATTCCATCTATGATGAAACCTTTAGCAATAACCTAAATTTAATTAAGCAATTGCACTAGTTTTTCTAAGAAGAGCAATATTTCTTATAACAAGTAGTCAGTACATATCATTAAGATATTAATGGGTATGTCAATAACAGAGTAAAATTGAATTTTATACATTCGATTTTGGGTCTACTGAATACAATAAGTGAACCTCAAAGTAATTGTTAAGATCCTCCTGAATTCGAAGATTTAGAATAGCAAATGGCCAAGCAAACCTACGAGGCAATGAAATTCTAAAACTATCATCAAATATTAGACAGAAACCTTCCTTAATATAGTACTATATTCACAAGTGCTCTACGTTTATTATCGAAACCTTTGTTGAATCACAATTTGGAATAGAGTATCACAACCATAGAAACAGAAGAGAATTAGTTATTGAATAAGAGAATCCATTATCATCATTTAATATTTTAGAGTCTTCACACAATATTGAATAGATTAGATAAGAAATGCTATTCAATTGAAAAGTAAGAAATCATGGAATTCTTAATAATAAGTTTGGAGAATAATCAGTCTTTTATGTAATACATTCTGAAATCCTAAAATCCCAATCTAAGTTCTGGAATCAAATACATTTTAGAATTATTCCAAAACATATTTTATTATGATGAAGATTTAGAATAGGATTACAAGATTCCCATGTTAGTCTTAGTATTTTTGCATTAAGTGTTATGTGTCAATTAATCGAGATACCAATCATTTGCAAAAGAGTGTAGAACAACTTATGCTTCTTTGATGCTTAAACTCTTTAGAGAAGTCTACATTTGTTTACGTAGAAAATGTGAGAAATTCGTTAAATTTTTATCAGACAAGAATGCCAAAAACTACATTGCAAAAGAAACAGGAACAGCAATTGAATAGTGTGTTTTTGAGAACTGTGTTTTAGATGCTATAGAGGAATTAGTGATGTTAGAGTACTTCTTAAAATTACTCATAAATGAAATGAAATAAGAATCTAAAGAGACAACAAAGGCTTTTGGAGAATAAGTCAAGACGATGTTTTAGAAGAACTTCATTCGAGAATGGTATTTGTTACTGATACAATTCAGTGATCATGTTGAATTTGCTAAATTTTTAAAACGTACTCCTGTTATTAAAAGTAACACAGTCTTCAATTATTTATCCAATTTCATTTACAGTTACGGTCGTGACTTTTAAATCGATAGCAACACTGTGAGTTATGTAGGTGGAAATGCAATTGCAGTATAAAAATCCAATATTATGGCTTCATGGTTCACTTAACTGTTGTCAACGTTTAACCAATTGTCTTAATTTGTGTAATTCTTTTTTTCAATTGGTTTGACAGGTTCTCCTTTTAGCGACAATTATTAAAAAGATACATACGATGATAAGGAACTCGGAGATTCCATTTTCTCTCCTAATAATGGTAAGGATATTATAGAAGGAGGAGTGGTAAAACTGTTTGGTTAGGAAGACAATTAGTTAGGTGAAACTGAATATGCATTCAATGCTGCATTGTATTTCTTACAGAAAGGCAGTTAGAGCATCTATGCACTTGAAACTAATAAAATCCATGAAGAATTAATGATACCCGCCATGGAAGTGTTGAATTAATTATGCTGGTATAGTCAACAAGCGGTATGCAAATATAAAAGTTAAAATATCAATAGAGAAGCAACTCTGATGCCATATGAAAAGCTTAATAATATGAGTAAACATTAGTTTGCCTTCTTTAAACGTGTTCTGGAACTGAAATCGGTTTGCAATAATGAGTACAAAGGGAAATATAAGTAAGTACTTTTTACATGCTTCCATTCAATGTTGTTGATCTTACAAAGTGTAAAGGAGAATCAATTGCAAGAGCCTCAAGAGTTGGTGTAAGTTTTCCATTATTTCATATTGTAAATCGACTTCAATGATCCTAATTGTAAGCAACTCATTGGATAATTGTCCTCGATTCTATCAGTAATATTAAATGTTTACCCAGCAAACCCTGAATTATTAGACAAACCAAATGAAGGATTTTATGATATTGTTAATTTACAATTAGAAGCATTGAAGAACTAAAATAACTCTAAGATTTTCTAATCGATCATTCAATGTTGGATAGACATAATCACATTCAATATTTCGAATAAAGTAGACGTAAGATATTTGAAATCACTCACATTTATTGCTGATGAATAAATATACAATTCTAACGAAAATGGACAATACAATCACAAGCATTCAATGTGGTGTCATGTCCTTGTATTGGTCAGAGAATTACTAGCATACGATCAAACCCAATGTAGATCAATTTTGGAATTCTTTACTTCTCATGAACAAAGGATGCATTCGGCAATTATTCAAATCGACCAAACCTAGTAATATTAATCACTTCGCCAATTCACAGCTGTTACTGGACTTACTCTTAAACACATTCAAACCTATTAGTAGAGTTACATGCTCTTTTTTGAGTTGTCTCAAATCACTTAATTCTTGCTTGAATTGATCTTATGCAAAAATATGAGATTACAGTTCAAATTGCATTTGGACAAGATAATCTACACATTCATGGGGTAATATAGTCAGCAATTAGGATATCATAAAAAATTAAAGTTATTCTTCCAAAGCTTTAAACCCTACACTTTGCTTGAAACCAAACTTAATTAATTGTTTGCCAAAGCTGAAGCAATCAAATCGTCTGATTACTTCTCAATTCCCTAATCTGCTTAGATGATGAGACAAAATTAGACTCCCTCTCCTCATAGAACGAATCAAAGAGATTAAGCATCAAATTTTGATGGAAAATCAACCTAAGGTGGTGGATAAAGATTTAATCTCAAGAGAGACGTTGACAATATTTCACTATTTTAATACATTTGTTTAGTTGAATATTTAAGATTCTGTCGTTTCAGCATTCAAGGTATTGCTGCCTCTATGAATATTTTTGAAGTAGATCGCAATTTCTAATTGGAAGACAATGTTTGGAATAGTTTTGGCAATAACATATAGAATTTCATTCAATTCAATTTTGATGCCTTTGCAAATCTGTCCTAGTCTGAATACATTAATAATTTGATCAAAATGCATTAATGGCTTTTAGGTAATTATGATTTCCAAATCCAATACAATGGACTCCAATAATTATGTGTTTATCCAAGTAATTATCCATAGTTATATTTATAGCCAACAGAGATGAATTATTACAAATGTTTATCCAGAATATCATTTATGGTTTCTGTGCTGAATTGCAATATTTGTAACTCAGAGAAGTGCATAGAAAGATCAACTTTATCAAAGACTCCTACAATATCGAAATCACTTTGACCAAAGAACTAAGTATTATTATTCTTATAATTTTAAGGCAAATATGCTGAGACACTCAAACCCATCCAATTTGTTAAGCAAATGGAAGCATAGGATCTATTAAATGAAGTATTGTCTTTTGGAGAATATCCTATCAATGAAGCCAATGATAGTTACTTCAACAGATGGAAGACTAAATTTGAAGAAAAATTTTCAGAATACAAAAAAACATGATTCACCGATTTAATAGATAATTATTATTATATAAGATAACATTAATTTGAATTATATACTTTTTAAGTCTTCATTTTAGTTTGTATGGATAATGTGATTAAGTGCAATAGAAATTAAAATTCTTTTGTAAAATAATAAATATAAAAGATTGTTCATTTCTTGTCATCAGTATCATTAGTATTTTAAATAGCTTTGACAATAATTTCTTTGAATTCTTTAAATTCGATCTAATTAAAACACAATTTACTTATCCATCTCCATTTTAATCAACTTCTTATATTAGATCCTTCCAGACTTTTTCTGAGACCTAAGAATTTTGTCCAAATATCTGTTTGATTTCATCAATAGATATGGTACCACTTCCATCCTTATCAAACAATTTAAATGCTTATTCCAATCTTTTATCTTCTATCAATTTTACTTTATTAAAAGTAGCCAAAACAAATTCTATATACATAGAAACTATCATAAATTACCAGAATAATCAATGCTACCATTGCCATCTTGATCAATTTGCTTCATTAATTTATCAACTTCAATTTCAGCATCAGTATAGCTCATAACTTTAGAATAACCTATTGGAATATATGATACAAGAAGTACCTATAACTAGTTCTTCCCTACTTAGTCTGCCATCTCCATTCAAATCTAATGCTTAAAATTATGTCAATAATTCCTACTTTTCTTAACTAGTTGCTAAATAATTGACCATAAATGTAAGAGCAGCTTCTTAGAACTTCTTTTCAACATTAAAATTTTTCATGTTATTTAACACTCTAGTCAATTAAGGTAGATCTATTTCTGGTTTCTTCACATAAGTTGTAATCCAATCATCTTATAAGGCCTATTCAGCAGATATCCTTTTTTTGGGATCTCTCTCAAGCATTTTTGATATCAATCTTTTGGCTTCGACTGAAATCAACCTCCATTCTTCTGTGTCGAATGAGTAGAACCCTCTTTTCACGGCCTCCATTATTAGATTATCGTCATCACCATTAAAAGGGGCTGTTCCAGAGAGTAGAATATAAAGTATGACTCCACAGGACCAAATGTCACATTTTTCATCATATTTCCTTTCCAATACTTCAGGTGCAATGTAGTATGGCTAGATTAGGTATAGAATTACAGTTCCAAGTTTTTGATCCATTTTTACATCTGGATCGTAAAAGCGAGATGTCCCAAAATCGACAATTTTGAGTAGGGCATTAGGCTTAGAAGATTCGTATAGAATGTTTTCTGGCTTGATGTCACTTTTAGAAATAAATGCAACCAAATACATACCGATGAACTATTTTGCTTTTATGCAAGTAATTGACAGCACTCAAGATTTGTTTCATAGTTTCTGCTGCTTTGCGTTCTGAAAATGAACTGGATTCTTAGATCTTGTCAAAGAGCTCTCCTCCAGTACACAGTTCTGTCACTATATACATGTTTTTATTATCCTGATAAAATTCATAGATCTTTATAATATTTGGATGATCCTTGTGTGAGACAACTAAACATACCAATCTTTTGAGGATGTCGACTTCTTCCTTTAAACGTTCCATATCAGCCTTTTTGGCCTTTTCTTTGGAGATAATTTTCACAGCTCTAGTTTGATTGGTCAATTTGTGGATGCCCTTTCGAACTTCTCCATAGGCTCCTAGGGAATGGTGGATAATGAGAAATACCTTTTCCTAAGGAAGGTTTGAGAAGATGATAATCCTACGAAATCTGTCCGATCTTTTCAGTTACCAAATTTAGAGATGTCACACGCAATTGAGATTTGTCATTGACTCACATATGGAATTAAGATATTACTGTATTGAGGGTTATTAACATCAGATGGTTTCGCTGAACCGCATCCCATTTTTTAATTAATTTTATAATCAAAGTAAAACTTCTCTGGAGAAATGAGACAAAAATAGAAATTAATTTAGAGAGGAATCCTATATTTAGAGTAATTGGTATATGTTATTTTGGTTTAAAAAGTATATTTATAAAATATCTCTGTATATTAAAAATAATACTCCGAATGGAATTTTTTGAATTATATTAATAGTTAACAGTAAATTTGGAAGTAATATAATAATAATATCAATAGATAGAATGAAAAATGTAAGAGAAAGTAATTCATTTAGTAGATTCAAGACGAGACAAAAGCCTAAAGAAAATGATCAAAATTCTTAGATTCTAAAATTGCAAAGTTAATAGAATGTCAAAAGTAAAACCACAAGTCTATTATGTAGAATTGCCTTCCAAAGTTGAGCAGGGCAGTTTCCATATCTTACCCGAGAGAGACTCGAGACCCAAGACCAAATCCATGGCTTAAAAACTCATACAAGTATACTAAATCCCCATCCTAATATAGAAATCTTCAAAAAAAGTGTTAGGGGACACTCACAATTCCTTATTACCCAAGAACAAACTCATCAAGTAGAGTAGTTTTGGAAAGAATCGCTCTAAAAAAATACATTCCTTTAGTTATAATCATTGTAATTGAAACATACAAATAATTATTTAGATGAGAGCGTTTAAAAAGAGAATGAGGATTGTTATATCCATTTTAACAACATGTCCAACGTATCCTTCAAAGATTATATGGACGCAGAAGGTACAAAATACCAAAATTAATCCATAGCTCGTGCCAATAAAATGCCATCCGATAAATCCTAAGAAATAATTGAAGGCAAGAAACTTTTGAGCTTGGGTCAAACTGAAGAAGCACAAAAACTATTTGAAGACATTCTCCAAGTCAGTAACAATCCAGAAGCAAGATATTTAAATGGTCTCTGTCATTTGAGTAAATCAGAATTCTCAGAAGCAATTGCCGATCTGAGTCTCCTGATTTCACAACAACCACTCTATAAAAGAAATGCCTACATTCTATTAGCAATCGCTTACAAAAAATCCAATTGTCCAAACGATGCCTTAACTACTGTATCATAATTAATTTAAATTCAAGTTAACTCATGCTATTAAACAGTTTAACAAATATTTTGATGCCTATATCTACAGAGGCAAACTTTTGTTGAAAATGAAATAGTATGATCGTGCCTTGAAGGATTTCACTAGTGCAGTAGAAATACAACCAAAAAAGGCAATTGCATATATAGGATAAGCCGATTGTTACCGATACATGAATCAACCAAAATACAGTGTCTAAGCATGCACTCAGGCTATAGAATGCGAGGATTCCGCTTTCAGATAAGCACTAGTCAAAAGAACTTTGCTCTACATTGATTTAAAAGAATATGACTTGGCACTACTAGATATTGAGGCTGTTTTAGAAGAAGATCATTGTGATTCTGAAGCATTATATATAAAAGGTTTCATTTGTACCAAAAGAAGTAAATTATTATATTAAAATTCCCATTAGATTAAATTTCAGAAGCCTTCCTAGCATATGAGTAATCAATCAAACATAACAATTCAAAAAAGGCTGTGTCCAAGTCTCTTTATGAAATTGCTAAAATTAAAATTGAATAAAGGGACTTTTACGAGGCATTTTATCAGTTGAGTCGAGCTGATTATTTAGATGTCGATGAAAAGATCTTAGAAAAATTCAAAATCTTTACCGATGGAGTTACTTTCTTAATGAAACGTAAATTCGATGAAGGTGTTGAGGCTCTGACAACCCTGATCACTAAACATTAGTTTACAGATTTTTTGAAACCTCTCATCTTTTAATATAGAGCTTATGGATACTTTTGTTAATCGCAGTACTAAAAGTCTCTTAATGATCTCAATCAATTGGCTTCACTTGAAAAACCCTCCATTTATAATAAACTAATAGCTGAAGGGATCCTTGCTGCTGTAGCAAACTAATTCGAACAATCTTAAGGATTCTTTTTAAAAGCCTAAAAATTAATGCCCAATAAAATGGAACCTTACTTTTACAAGGCCACAACTTTAGTCAAATTCTATAGTTATCTTATTCCAAAAGATGATGTCGAAAAAAAAAATAAATTTTTGAATGATGCTCTCAAATACATGGACATGGCAGTCAAAATAAATGAGCAATCGAATCTACTGTTTTATAGAGGAATTGTTCTTTTTGCATAGGGAAGATTGGAAGATTCCTTAATGGATTTAGATAAGGCCATAGAAAAGTCGGAAGATCATGTAGCAAAGCATTTTTACGTCCGAGGGATGATATAAGCTTGTAGAAATGCATTTGAACTTGCTCTTAATGATTTAACCATAGCAATTAATCTTGATGAGAAATTCGTTGATGCCTATTTAAATAGAGCGAAAATGTTTCTATATTTGGGAGATAGGAAAAATGCCTATTATGATGCTCAAAAATACAAAGAATTTAAATAGACTGATCCATAGAATGATATTATCATAGGGAATTTGTTCTTTTAGATTGGTGCTTATGAAGATGCTATCCAGTCCTATTCTAATAGTATTAGCTCTGAAAAAAGCTTGCAAGTATTGTACTACAGAGCCAAAACATATATTTTAATTAAGGAACTAAATAGTTCAATGCTTGATCTGCAAAAAATAGTAGAATAATCAAATGAAATCCATGCTATTGTGGATTTAAATATCTTGCAATAGTTAAAGAATACATCAACAGCGAATAGTGATTAGAATCTGTTTTAGGAAGCCCTACAATGTGCTAATCAAATTTTAAAGAAGGGAGCAGAGGGAAAGATATTCAAAAAATCAGACATCCTATTTTATAAGGGAATATTCCTATTCTACTTAAAATAATATGAAGGTGCCCAATAAGCATTAAGAGAATCATATAAAATTAAAGAGGATCAATAGAGGAAGGAGTTAGGTTCTATCAATGATTCAGACTAATATATTTTAGAGTAGTTGAATTAAACTCAGAAGAAGATTGAATGTAGAAGCAAACCTTTGGAAGAATTTGAATTCAGCGATAGAACTTACAATTTATTTGAATACTATTTCAATAGAGCCACTGTACATTTACTCTTAGGATAAACAGAATCGGCACATGATTATTTAGAATAATTGCATGAAAATATAGCATAACCAGAAATCTAAGAACATCTATCATAATTTATTGAATTATTGAAAGAAGATTAGAATCCTAAAAGTGAAATCAATCCTGAGCTTTCAAAGCTGACTGAATTCATCATCTTTCCATAACACAACAGATTATGCTCAATATATCCAATGGTCAAACTGCCTTTAAAGAAATATAAATAGAGCTTATTGTTGAGGTTATCCTTTTGTTTGCCCACAGTTGAGATTCCTGAAATGAACATCAAATTTGACGACAAATTACTTGAAGCAATCAGTGTATAATAAATTATTAACTATTTTAGCCAACTGTTGTTGAAAATAAACCAGAAGCTCCTTGGATTAAACGAACCTCTGAAGGAGTAATTTTCACAGACAATGTTCAGATAGTTGAGGATTTAGATCTGCAATCAACAACGAGGCTTTCAAAGAAATAGACAGAAATCGAAGATCCAGAATTCTAACAATTTGAAGATTAGTTAAATCATGCAATTGAGAAATATGATTATAGTGAAATAGACTAATAAGATGAAATTGTTGAATAACCAACTTAAGCTCTAGACTTACTGTAGCTCAAATAAAATCTAATGCTAGATTCTAAAATTGCAGACAAATTAAATTCAATTCTATAAAAAAAAGCTTAAAATTGACTCATATATATATTTATTTTATTCAGTTACATAATAGAGATTAAATGAAAATAAAAAAAAAAGTCTGATTATCAGTATAGTTTAAACGAATTTTTACGTTTATCTAATACGAACTATTAGTATAAATTCTACTTGTATTTCTCCCAAGACTTTATTTGTTTTCTTATGTGATCTATCTCATAATCATCAAATTCTTTTATAGACCTTAATCCTGCTAAAATTTGGTTTTATAAGCTTTCTGGGAGATTTTAGTATCTTTTTTCATCCAAAAAGAAGACACTACCCTATACACTCTTGACAACTACAGTTAGTCTATATAGATATATATATATAATTGATTACTTTGCACTGCTTGCCTATTTTTAGTCATACTCATTATCATATAAGATTAATAATGATCTACCACAAATCACATCACATTTCTTCAAAGTTTTCAAAACATGCAAATGAGTATAAGCAATTTCGTTCTTGCCTATAATTTACTTATTACAATATTAGTAGCATTTTGAATTTCTTGAATCTTTTGTTTAATCTTTTGTTTTATCTTTTGATTAATCTTTTGGTTTATCTTTTGATTAATCTATTGATTAATCTTATGGTTATTCTTTTGCTTAGTCTTATGGTTAATCTTTTGATTTATCTTTTGGTTTAGCAATAGATTAATCAAAAGATTAATTTAAATATTGATCAAAAGTTTAATCAGCTTAGTCCCTAGGAATGAATGGCCTAGTATTTCTATCTATGGGTTTTTTATGGACAAAGGGTTTTAATTTTTTCTCCAAATAATAGTTTCTTGTTTCTCTCTATAGTTCAATTTCTTCTACAATTTCAAATTCACCTTAAGCAATTATTATCACTCTGTTTAATTGATCTCCCTTTCTCACAACACTATCTCCCTAAAAATAATTTTGAATTCCTAATTCTGCCACTAAATGTAATAATTGAGAAGCAGAAGTATGTTAAAAGAATCTGATTTATGATAGAATGCTCAATTTGAACTCTTTATCTTTTTCTATCGATTGCTTTAAAATCTTTTAGAATTGGTCATTGTCCATTCGCAATAGATAAGTTTTCGATGAGCAAGAAATGTGGCTAGTAATCAATTTAGTTCTTTCATTTTTTACAATATCTCAAATTATTTTAAAGTTGATACCTTTAAATTTAGGATGATCTTTGATTTCCTCCACCATATCTATAAATTTATTTGAAGAATATCCTCTGTTATTGTTTAATTGCAATAAATTGATTTCTGATAAATCTTACCCATCGTTATAAGATTAGACTGTTAAATATTCATATTCTTCCAGTTGTATATCCATCGTCAATGTCTATTAACATGAACCTCTAAGAATAACAAAAAGGTTATTGCTGCAAGCTCCTAATTGTAGAATGACTTTTCCGGCATCTTGAATTTCAATAGAAGCTTTTTCCATAATTCCAATTCTGATTCCTTAGCCAAATCTTTAAAAAAACTTATTCTTTAATAAAGTTTTATCCATTTACAAATAATTTCTTTCATATTCCTCCTTCTCAAATTCTTAGACCAAAAATCTTAAATCATCCAAGCTTAATGCATCAAGCTTTAGTTTCTCAAAATCTCCCTAATAAACCCACTCATCTACTTCGAAAGTTTCTGGTTCCAAATTGTTATTCATAGAGTTGACTTACTCCTTTACTTTTTTTAGATCTTCATATGCATTAATTATTGGCAGTTATGGTTCTTTAATCAAACCTTGTTGAATAACATTTAAGTTTCTAATTATTAACATTCATACTCTTGTATTAATTAGTCATTATTCTCTATTTCTCTTTATCCACATATTAATGATTTACTATGCAATATAGGCCTTTCATGTTTCTCTCTATAAGATGTATTCTTAATATCACATAACAAATCGTACTAGTTTTCTATTTCTTCTGCCGCTTTCTTGAAAAGTTGACCTGATTTTGTTTCCAAAATCATAATCCGTGGTTTTTTAATGCTCTATTGTATGGGTTTATAACTTTTCCCTTTTTGGATCAACTCTAAAGGAGTTTGTAGTTCTATTAATAGAATTTATTGTCGTAGAAATATTGGTTTTATTTTTTGTCACACTCAACGAATAATTGCTTTGAAAATTCAATCAAAATCTTACCTCTACTCACATAAACTTAAACTATTCTACTTCCTATTTACTCGTTCTAATGGGGGTTTATTTAGATTCAACTTGAAGGCTTATTTGGGTCTAAGCATATTATAAGTCAATATTTCTCTTTTATTTATTTTTTATATTATTGCAATATTAAATCAATCAATCCATCTTCCGGTGTATCTAGCATCACCATAACTAAGAGCCTTCTGAATGTCTGATGGCAACTTGGGATAATTGGATGTCCAATATGAGATTTCATTGTCATTCCTGATATCCATTCCAATTTTATTAAAAACAGTTAATCCTACAACTGCAAAAATGCCCTTCATGTAGATCGATGATTAAGCACAATAAATATCACCAATAAATCTGCCAAACTTTAAAATTATTAACAAAATCATTTACGAAAAGACCAACAACTGGTAATCCCCATCTAATTCCTTTAATTTATTAATCTGTAAACTTTTTAGGTAATGCTTGTCCCTCTGCAATAAATAAATAATCATTACCTTCTGATTATTAAAATCTACTCAAAGCCTTTCTAAGTCTGGATTGATTCTCCCAATCAGTATGATCTCTACCAGCATTGAGATTATAAAATGGACTTCCGTAAACTGTAAATCTTGTAAGGAAATACTCCATTGATTTATTATAATTATTATTTTATATATTTACAATAAATGATTAAAACAATTGAAGTAAAACAAATTAGAAGTTGTGAATTCAAAGTGCAAAATTATAAAATAAATGTTATATTGTTTCTGGTGTAGATTTTCTTTTATTCTAAATAATTTTGGGGGCTTTCATTAATTTTCTCTACATTATTTCTTGTGTTTTAATAAAACTACTTTTGCAAACTTGATATTCTTTATTTGGATTCCACTTATACATGAATAGAAAAAATAGTCTAAAACCTAAATGTCAAAACAATGTGATTATTACTATTATTTTTAATTTCAGTAAAGTATTACGAACATTATTTCTAAAAAGAGGAGGTCGATTTTTGTATAAGGTTAAGCAGATTGACACTATTGACAATAGTAGTTTTAAATATTAGAGGATGGGTTTAAATAAAATCCTGTGCATAAAACATAGGAAATTCAAAAGAGGATGACATCTCTTGATGAAGTCAATACTATGGTATGAATTACAATTTTGAAATTTGAGTAGAGAAACCACTGATGTAGGGATTCAAATGGATTTAAATGTAGAGGGTGTATTTTTTAGATCATCGGCATATATTGGTGATAGTAATTTAGTATTATGGATTGAAATGATTTAAATTGAAAGCATCGTTGTAATTATGACTTGGTAAAATTACATAAAGAATTCTAAAATTAATTAATTTTTGTCATAAAATAATAAAAACACATTATTATTTAATCATTAAAATCATTCTTTGTTGTAAATAAATGCAAATTAATCCAAAAAGAAAGGCTAATTAATAAATAAAGTAGTAATACATGTTACAAGGCCTATTTACTTGTTATCCGTTTTGATGGATCAACTTATAATAATTTCTAGAAATTCTAGACTAATACATACATTGATTAAATCAATAAACAAATTATTGAGTTTGGCAAATTGGGAATTGTGTAAAAACCATTCATCTAAAAGGTTACTGTTAAGTTAATACTTCCGTTTATAATATTTTTGATTAGTAAGAGCTGATGGATTTCAGAGGATCCCATGAACAAGGGTTTATTAAGTGCAATTTCTGCTATAATACACCCAAGAGACCACATGTCGATTGCATAATCGTAGGTATTGCAATTTGATAATAATTCTGGGGCACGATACCATAATTAAGTTACTCCTGGAGTCATATTAGGAGAGAGAACTCTTGATAATCCGAAATCGATAAGGACTGGTTCATTATTAGTAATTAGAATATTGTTTGGTTATAAATCCCGATGAATAATTTTTCTATTATGAATGAACTCCACAGCCAATAGTATCTTATAAATTATATTCTTAATTAATTTATAGTGAATATACTTTGAGGTGAGATTCCTCATGATTAAATTTCAAATACTCTGTCAAATCCATATCGTAATAGTTCATAACCAAATGAAGTTTCTTATTTATAATTATTTAAGATATCAACCTAAATTAAACCTCAATTTTTTTACTTTATTATATTTGGATGATTGAGTTAATTTAAAATAGAGATTTCCCTAAGAGCGCAGCTGGGAACACCTTCATTATCCTTTGGAATATATCATCTTCATACACTTAGCTTGAATTTCTTCAGTGCCACTATTTCTTCAGTCTGGACATCTTGCGCTTTGTAAATGATTCCATAGGCACCTTCTCCTATTTTCTAAATCTTAATATATCTCACATTCTCAGAGGCACTCATGTAATAATAAATTATATCTTTGATTTAATACAATATTTTATGAATCACATATAATTCTGTTGCATTCGAATTAATAATCACAATTTACATATTTATAGTTCTTTTTAGTACCCCCCTCATTCTGCTATGCTTTTTTAATTAGTATGAAATTCGTAAATTAAGCAATCAATTTAATTTAAAATAAATATAATAATACGAAAACAACATAAAAAGAATTCAATAGAATAATCGCCATTCTTCTAAACAAAACTAAATCATAAATAATTTAAACATACAAAAATCCAAACCATATTTAAAAATCCCACAAATATCCAAATACCCAACCTCATCGGAACCGAATGTCAACACTCATGCCATATCTTTTAAGAATGCTAATAAAACGCAATTTTATCAAACATAACTTATTTTGATTATATATTATTATTATGAGTTTATAATAATAATTACAATAAGCTTTTTTCGAATAATAAATCTCTGGACATTCTATATTTATTAAACTTAATGATGGCGAATTTGTGGCTAAGTCCTACTCAATAGAAAACAATAATGAATAAAAGTAATTCTGAACGCTAATTAGTTTTTATGAATGGATTCAGCAAATAGACGGATACTAAGAGTTCTTCTCTCAATATAACGGTGTCGTAATCCTAGAGAAAAGCCAGCAACTATCAAATTAGCAAACAATCAACTCTTAATAACAATGGTTAAATTCTCTCATTTCTAAGAGATATAATCCAAATAATACTAGTATACACATTTACTTATATAGAATATTTGTTACTTGAAAACCTGACATAAAATTCATAGAACTTGAGAATTCTGGACTTAAAATTAGGTTACACAGTTCACAAAGAGTCGCATGTATAGCGTTATGAAAATTCAACGTCCTCTAAAATAGGGCTAAGGATTTGCGGAATGAAGATACAAGAAAATAATGAATTAGTAATATTTAAGGATAAGCATTGGGGTAGAACCATTTCTGTAGAAGAATTAGTTGAGTCACTTAAGACATTTTTTAATCTTAAAAATAGAAATAGTAAGTTAAGTTTTAAATTAGAAATCTTGAAAGAAGCCATAGATAAGATAGAATCCCTAAAGCAATTCATTACTAATCATTGTAAATAAGTGATCTCGTGGTAAGGTACAAGTTTGTTGCTGATTTATCGTGATGATAATGATTTTAAAATTAAACTGATTGACTTTTCAAATACTAAGGTGGATCCAGAATCTACTGAGATTAATGCAGAGATCATCAAAGCCTTAAACAGTCTGTAGGATATAATTAAACAAATTTGATATTTGATTGTTATAATAAATTTGCAGTTTTCTATAGGAATTGATAAATATAAAAGAAAATAATCAAATCCATTAAAAGTTTTTATATTTAAAAATATATGTAAGGAGCTCCAGTGATTGTAGTGAATGCTAACACAAAAAGAGAATAGGGTAGAAAAGCTCAATTAGGAAACATCTAGGCAGCCAAAGCTGTATCAGATATAGTATTGACTACTCTTGGACCCAGATCAATGTTAAAAATGTTACTTGATCCAATGGGCGGCATTGTAATGACAAATGATGGTAATGCAATTTTGAGAGAGATTGATGTTTAGCATCCAGCAGCAAAGAGCATGATCGAATTAGCAAGAGTATATTATAATAACTAAGAATTTAAAGGCTCAAGATGAAGAAGTTGGAGATGGAACAACATCCGTCATCATATTGGCAGGTGAAATGATGGTAGCAGCACGACCATTCATTGAAAAGAATATTCATCCAACAGAAATTGTTAATGGGTATTTCAGAGCCTTGGAAGATTCTGTAAATATCTTGGATGAAATTTCATAATAAATAGACACCGACAAAAAGCAAGAAGTTATGAAAGCATTACAATCTTGTATTGGTACTAAATTTGCATTCAGATGGGGGAACATTAATTAGTGATCTCTCTTTATAAGCAACCAGAATAGTTCTTAGAGGAGGAAATATTAATAAATTGAATTTAGAAATTAAGAGGTATGCAAAGGTAGAAAAAATACCAGGAGGAACTCTTGAAGAAAGTTGTGTACTTGAAGGAGTCATGATTAATAAAGATGTTACACATCCAAGAATGAGAAGAGAAATCAAGAACCCAAGAATTATATTATTGGATTGCACATTGGAATACAAGAAAGGTGAATCTATGACTAATATGGAAATGACAAAGGAATCAGATATGACTGATGCACTCTAACAAGAAATTAATGAGGTTGCCCTTATGTGTAATGATATATTGAAACACAAACCTGATATTGTTATTACAGAAAAAGGAGTTTCAGATTTGGCTTAACACTTTTTATTAAAAGGAAATGTCTCCGTCATTAGAAGAGTCAGAAAGACAGACAACACAAGAATTGCCAGAGTTTCAGGTGCCACTATTGTCAATAGACCAGAAGAATTATAGGAAACCGACGTTGGTACATTATGTGGAACATTTGAAGTCAAGAAAATTGGAGATGATTATTTCGCTTTCTTTGTAGATTGCTAAAATCCAACTGCATGCTCTATCATATTGAGAGGTGCATCAAAGGATGTTTTGAATGAAATGGTATTTATTTTAAAATAATATTATTAGGAAAGAAATTTACATGATTGTTTGGCAGTTGCTAAAAATATTTATCAAGATCCAAAACTATTACCAGGAGGAGGAGCAGTTGAAATGGAAGTCAGTGCTAGATTATTGGAAAAAGCAAATAAAGTTGAAGGATTGGGTCAATTGCCCATATAAAGCTGGTATATTTACCAATTATATATTAATTAGTTGCCTATGCTTTGGAAATCATACCAAGAACTCTCTCTGCCAATTGTGGAGCTGATACAGTCAGAATTTTGACAGAGTTAAGAGCCAAACATAGTGAAACTGGAGGATTATTTTTTGGAGTTGATGGAAATACTGGAAAGATTGCAAAGATGAATGATATTAATGTTTGGGAACCTTTGTCTGTAAAAAAGTACATTAATTATTAAATCATTTTAGATAAGTTTTTAAAACTGCCATCGAATCAGCATGTATGTTGTTGAGAATTGATGATGTTGTATCAGGAATCAAGAAGAAGTAATAATAATCAGGACGTCAAGGAGAGGAGGAACCCTAAGAAACATTTGGAGATCAAAGAGATGGTTGATAAATAAATCAATATCAATATAGTATAGATATAGTAATAGAATACATTAATATATATTTTTGAAATACAGAAATGGAATTGATTTACAGGATCAAGGTGATCAAATTTTCTAGCAAATTCTAAAATAGTATTTTTATTTGTGTACTTAAAAATTTAATTCTGATATTTATTTTATTTAAGTTCAATTTGTAGATTCAGAATGGCATCTTAATTCAAGAAATTGGCACCTCTCCTCAACAGAGTTTTAATCCAAAAGTATGAACCTGTAACAAAAACAGCTTCAGGAATCCTTTTATAAAGTTCAGAAGACAAATAGGCTGTCGGAAAAGTCGTCGAAGTAAGAATTTTATTCTAGAAATTTCCAGGCTGGCCCAGGATAAATAGATTCAAAAGGAAATGTCATAGCAACTTTAGTCAAACCTGGTGATGTTGTTTTACTTCCAGATTATGGAGGATAGAAAATCAAGTTGGCAGATTAAGAGTATTTCATATTTAGGGATTCAGACATTATCGGAATTTTACATTAATGATTTCTATTATCATGTATAATAAGACATATTCATTAACATTTCACTTAGTTTTTTATTGATGATTGAGTTCAGTTTTAATACGAATGTTAATTATTTATATGTATATATTTTATTTATTATATAAATCTTGACTTTTGATGAGTACATCTCTAGCAAAACCTAAGAAACTCAAGTTGACAGATTATGAAGTATTTCAAACACTTGGCACAGGTACTTCATCATTAAATAACAATGTTAGGTTCTTTTGGGCGAGTCAAATTAGCAAGGAACAAATAAACAAATAAATATGTTGCCTTAAAAAGTTTAAAGAAAGCGGAAATTATACGTTTAAAGCAAGTTGATCATGTGATTAATGAGAATACCATATTGGGCAACTTGCAGCATCCTTTTATTGTATTCCTTTCTTTTTTTAATTCTTAGGTTAATTTCGAAGGATTCTGCCAAGATCCGAGATATCTATATCTAGTATTAGAATTTGTTTCTGGAGGTGAATTATTTACTTATTTGAGAAGCATAGGAAGACTTGATACATAACATGCAGGGTAACTAAGCAAATTCATTATTTAGTTTTTATGCTTCTTAAGTGGCTTCAATGTTTGAATATCTTCACTCCAAAAATATTATATACAGAGATTTAAAACCGGAAAACTTATTAATAGCAGATGACGGATACTTAAAACTGACAGATTTTGGATTTGCTAAAGTAGTTGAAGGAAGAACCTATACACTCTGCGGAACACCAGAATATTTGGCACCTGAGATTTTGTTGAATAAAGGACATGGTAAAGCAGTAGATTGGTGGACATTGGGCATATTGATATATGAAATGAATGCAGGAATTGATCCCTTTTCTGATGAAGATCCTATGGCTATTTACTAAAAAATTCTTAAAGGAAAGGTTAAGTTTCCAAAATCTTTTGATAAGTATTGAGTAAGAATAACATAGAAATGCTAAATCCTTAGTCAAACATCTCTTAGTTGCAGATTTGTCTAAAAGATATGGAAATCTAAAGAATGGTAATTGATTGGGATTATCTTAATTAGGGGCTGCTGATATTAAAAATCATAGATGGTTTGGAAATCTTGATTGGAATTTGTTATTATAGAAGAAATTGCCAGTTCCTTATAAGCCAGTTGTTAAGTAATTCTTTAAAAAATTGACTTAAGAGCTCCCAATGATACGTCGAATTTCTCGTCATATCCAGAATCCGATACTTAAAGTCCAGCCCTTAAACCTGCAGATGATCCCTTCCTTGAATGGTGAAATATTCATTGTATTGAATAAATATAAATCAAAAGTAAAAATGGAGTTCAATATTAATTTTTTAATCTCATTAAATTTACTGAAACATATGATTTCATTTTATCTTTGATTATTATGCTTTCTAGATAAATTTGATCATAATATATTCAGGTATAAAATTAATTATTTTATATAAAATTAATAATAATTAGAGGTATTAATGATAATAAATTGATGAATTCTATATTTAAATTAAATATCTTTATATGGGTTGTTCTACTTCAAATGTAAAATTATCTAATTATAAAGTAGAGTGCCTACTTAAATAATCCTGGAAATGCACCTAAGGCTGAAGTTATTTTTATTTTGGTATTTTTCCTTTTTTATTATTTTTATATAGGGAGGACCTGGATCAGGTAAGGGTACACAATGTGAGAGGATGGTTAAAGATTATTGCTTTTTGCACATTAGTACTTGAGATTTACTGAGAGCTGAAAGATATAAGGGTAAGATTTATATACTAAATTAGGCGGATCTGAAGCGAAAGAATTGGAAAATATTATGAAAGAAAGTTAATCAAAAAAGTATAAAGTTTTATAATTTGAGGAAATTGAATCTTTGGGGAATACAGGAAGATATATATTGGATGGATTCCCAAGATCATAAGATAATTGGGAAAGTTGGACCAAAATAATTGGGAATTCTGTAGATACAACATTTTTGTTAATGTTTGAATGTTCTGAAGCAGTAATGGAATAAAGGCTTTTAAAGAGAGGGGAAACATCAGGTCGAGCAGATGATAATGCAGAAACAATAAAGAAAAGATTTGCTACTTTTATCAACGAAACCAAACCCATTGTTGCAGATTTTGAGAAGAAGAATAAGGTTGTTAAGGTTAGTGCTGAAGCATCACCAGACGAAGTTTATGAAAATGTCAAAAAGGCATTATCCAATAAAGGTGTTTAACCACAAAAAGACCTGAAGTGTTATTTGTTTTAGTTAAGCACTTTTTAATTTCAAGGGAGGACCAGGTTCAGGCAAAGGAACTTAGTGTGCTCGAATTGCTAAAGACTTTTCATATGGTCATTTATCGACTGGGGATTTATTGAGAGAAGAATAAAAAAAAGAAGGGCCAATTTAAGCAGAATTAAAATCTATTATGGAAGCAGGTAAGCTTGTGCCATCTGATCTTGTTGTTAAATTGATGAAAAAAGTAAAGTAAACATTTAAATCATAAGAATTATTAAGGAGAAAATTTAGAGGGAAATATCTCTTAGATGGTTTTCCTCATAATCAAGAAAATATTGATTCTTGGAATAAAATTTTAGCTACATTAGTGGATGTAAATTGTTTGCTTTACTTTGAATGTTCTGATGCTGAAATGACGAAAAGACTGTTGGAGAGAGCTAAAACATCAGGAAGAGCGGATGACAATGAAGAAACAATCAAAAAAAGACTAGCTACTTTCCATTCTGAAACTAAACCAGTTTTGGGAATATTTAAAGAATAAAGTAAAGTTTGTAATTATATTTAGATAAATTGAAGGTTATCAATTCTGAATAATTAGTTGATGTTTTTTATTCAAATGTTAAGAAAATATTTAAAACTAGTGGATTAACAGTCACACTAAATGGTTAAAGACCTGCTAAAGGAAAATATATTATTGGTTTAGTTGGGGCTCCTGGAACTGGAAAACAAGTTCAATCTTCAAGAATATCAAAAAGATTTGGATTTCAACATTTGTCAATTAAAATAATTATAAGGGATGAAATTAAGAAAAACACATAAGAGGCTTAAACAATAAAAGACTGCTAAAAAAATAACTAACCCATCCCAGGGAAAGTAGTTGTTAAGTTGATTCTTGCTGCCATTAGTTAATCAAAAGCCAGAAATTTCATAGTTGATGGATCCACAAGAAATGAAGACAACTTAAATGCTTGGTATGCTTAAACAAAATCATCCTGTAAAATTAAAATATATTATGTGTTTTGCATGTTCTTAAGAAGTACTTGATAAAAGAATAGCAGCAGATGTTGGTAATAATAATAATTATAATATAGCCAAAAAGGACTAAGCTACTATTTAAAGGAAGGTTGAAACATTGAATTTTCAAACAAACCAGATCATTTAAATGTTTAAGAAGGATGAAAGACTTATTGAGAATAACACAGAACCTTCAATAGATAAAGTATTTGCTGAAATTGAAAGGGTTTTCATAACCAAAAAACTTGATAGATGAGTAAATTAAGCAATATAATATCGAAACATAAATATATTTTGGTTTTTTCAATTAATTAGAATTATAATTATATAAATCAATTATTGTTTATTGCAGCATCAATGAATTAATTCCATTCTATAGCATTATACCTTTGTAGTTCCATTGAAAGAAATTTAATTTTTTGCATAATCTTCTAAATTTAATTTGACTCCACTTCAGAAAACTATTATTACGGAATTCCTAGAAGCAGTTTTTCAATAATATTATAGTATTCATATGATTTTGAATGTTGTCTTCTCCAAGTCTGAAATTCTTGCTTTAGAGTCATAAATGATTAATGCAATTTAGAGGAGGTATCATTTAACATAGGTAAGAAGTAAAGACAAATATTGCGATCTTCATCTTCGAGGTGTTTTAATATGATCAAACATGGTATTGCTACAAAAATATCGCTATCTCTGCATTCTAATTGTTCTTTGAATTGTTGATATTTCTCTGCTGTTGTTTCTATAATATGTGAAAACAACATTAATTGTGTATATCTCTTTGGATCCAATAAATAATTCAAACCTTTTTCCCATTATGTTTCATATTCAATCAATAATTCAACTAATTCTTAATTATTTTTTAATTGTGGATCGACCATTTCAATATTACGTTCATATCTTCTCATCTGTTCTCTGAACTTCGAGAAACTTAACTATTATAACAAGTCTACTTCATTTTGATGCTATCAGCAAGATTTCTAACAGCCTAAGATTACTCTCGAGTGACTCTTCTGGTTATACCTTCTGCTTCAAGTAGGATGTTTACACCGAGATCATCTCTGCCTTTACCTTCAACATTAGCGACCGAATTAATCTGTGCTATCACTTTGCATAACTAGCTTCAGTATGTGAGTTACTTTAGCTTTATAATGTAGATAATTATCAGAGGTCACAAGGATTCTTCCCTTCAATTTCTCGCGCACCTCAATCGAGATCATTTCTTTATCTATTTCTATTGCTTTTAGTATAAACCTCCTTGCTTCTGCTTCTATCTGCATTAACTCCTTGACATAATACTTGATTATAAATTTAAAGTACTTTCTCAAAATTGACCCAAATTATATCGAAGTTCTCTAACAATAATTGAATTTCAGCTTTCAATTTCTAAGAAGAGAAATCGGGACTCTCTTGTCCAGTCCCAGAATACGTGTATCTGATGACATGTTAGACTTTATAGAAAGCCTCCACCAAGCGCACTCCAGATTCCAATACATCAGCCGAAAATGCATATTTTTCTGAATTAACCCACAAATATGGGAAGCCTAGAACTTCAATCACTAACTTTTACCTTCCTAAGCACTATCAAGAATTTCAGTCAAGTAACACAACTCACCTTCAGTGTATAATATTTTGTAAGCTTTTGAAAATGTGTCTCTATAATCCCTTGATACTGCATTCACTTTATACACCTGTGAGTTATTTGATCAAATACTTTACACATATATTCAAGATGGTATAGAAATTTCTTGCAACTATGTTATCCTTCTGGATTGTCTAAATCGTATTTCTGATAGTCTCTCTAAATCAATTGGCTTTGGCTTCTATATGCTTTTTCGAGGGCTTCATATTCTTCTGATCTTCTTACTTCTTAACAAATTTACCTCTTAAATTCCTCCAAATCGGTTAATGGTCTTGGAGGAGCCGTCATGCATCTCTTCTAAATGGACTCCTCAAAAGAGGTAGCATCAGAAACTAAAGAATAATTATACAGGAGACTTACTATCATCGTCAATTTCACAAAAATGCTAATTTAGCATATTTATTTATATATATAATCAAAGTAATTTATTAAAAATAACTAATATAACAATTTTAATAAAAATCAATTTATTTTAGTAAATATAAACTCCGCAATAACTTTTTGAATCTCAAGAAGGAAAGAATCAAAAGTTTTTTCCTACTTTAGCCCTTTTGAAATCTATCTTTCCAAGTTTTGGAATATCTTCTAATTTGTCACCTTTAGAGGTTCCTTTCTGGCATTCATTTATAATTGTCCTTCATTATGAATTCCATCTATCATTTCCACAAATACCTCATAAAGCTGAGGTTTATAGCGATATTACAACCTTTCCTTAAGCCAGTCTACATTATTCTTTTTGTTTTGATCTAGTTTATAATATTGATTGGCATTTTAAAATATCTTTATATAGAATGTTTCCATACCCAATACTTTTGATTGAAATATCTTTCTACTAATAAGCAATCTATCTAACAGGCCTTCTTACATCCAAATGTAGTTAGATTTAGCTTGTATTCAACTTCTTACTCATTCTTATTTAATTCTACTTGATTGTTATTTTTGTGAAAATAATTTGGTTATTCTAACATTTCATACTTCTGTTCACCTGAAAATGATTTAAATCATTACCTAAGATTGGATATATTGGTGTTGAAGGTAAAAACATATATTAACCAATAGGAATTTGGAATTCTGCTTATTTGTGTTCGAATGAATTTGATTCACTTTTGTTATGAAATTCGTTCAAAGGATTTCGATAGCGCTAGAAAGAACTTTCGGCTTCTATTTGATATAGCATAAGAATAAGGCTTTACATTTTAATGTCGGAATTCTTGAATGCATCACATTAAATTCCATAATAAAAATTAATTAATGCAATAAATAAAAGGGCTGTTCACTAATTTGTTAGAAAATTTCGAATAAATGATTTCAAATATCGATGGGTATGACAAAGTATTCATATTAAAGTCTCCAAATAGAGATCATAAAATAGCTGCTCGAAGAGACATTAGAGTAGATGTATGAGATTCACACTCAACTGAAGGAATCAAATAATCCTACACCTGAGAAGAGTTCTGTTCCAAGAGCAACTCAATAGAAAATTTAAGACTAATAAACTGCGTTATAACATTAGGAGAGTGAAATAGGACATCAAAAGTAAGAAATATCACAACTTAAGAATAAAATTATGCTGTTAAATAATTAATTAAAAGATAAAGATATTTGTATATCTAATAAATTCAATATTTAGAATATAATGAACTCCACGAATTAACAAAGAAACAGCAGGATAAAAGTTCCAATGAGAATAAAAACATGAAACAATTCTATCTTGAGATCGCTTAATTAAAATAAACAATTAAGTAGCAAGATGATGAATTGAGAGTGCTTAACTAATAGAATAGCGATTTAGAAGATGGTATTCTAACCATATATTTTAGAAATACAACAAACAAAGGAAAACCTATTAATTTAATTGGAGAATAAAGGTTAAGAATTGGAGATCAATCATCAACAATATTTATCAATGGAGAAGAAATATTAGGCAGAAATCTAGTTCTTAAATTAGAAGAATTCGGAACTGACCCTTTTGGATTAGTAATATAAAGAATAGTTCTCAAAATAATAGGAAGAATTCGAGAGATTTTAAAACCTATTCAAAGAAATTTAAAACAAAAACTAATTTAAATAATAAAGTAATGATTAGTTGATTGAATTGTAAATTGAATTTGAAGAATACTAAACTAAAGCAGAAGAAGAATTGTCAGCACAAAAGTAATTAATTAAAGAAATGAATACAACTATTAACTAAAAAAATTAGGAAATTATCTTGCAGATTTCTCAAATTAAAGATTTATAATAATAAGTTGATAATAAAGATTAGGATTAATTTTAGGCAATCAAAGAAAAAAATTCATATTAGTTAACTTTAAAATAAATGGAATAGCGTTTTAAGAAGTAATTGGAAGATTATTAAGAAGAGTTTGAGAATTTAAAGTAATTGATTGAAGAATAGACAGAAATGAATAAATAAAACTAAATTAGATATTCAGAGTAAGAAGAATTAGTGAATAATCAAAAGCAAATAATCGAAGATTATATCGAATAAATTTAGAATCATTAGTAAGAAAAGAAAAAGTTTAATAGAGAAATCGAAAAATTGAAAATAATAAATGAAGGCTTACAAGATTAAATTGATTAAGTAAATAATTAGAATCTCACAGCCATTGAAACTTCAAACAAAGAATTAAGATATCAGAAAGCCCTTGTTAAGTAATTAGAATAAGAAGTTATCTAATTAACTTCAACAGTTAAAGCACAAGAACTTTAAGTCTAAGATTTATAAGAATAATTAGCCTAAGCAAATATAATATAATAATCAAAGGACTTATAATATAGAGAATTACAATAGGAAAAACAATAGCTAGATAGATAATTGTATTAAAATGAATTTAATCTTTAAGAGGAAATAAAACATCTAGAGTTAAAAATTACCTAATTTTCAGAAAACAAGAGAAGGTTATAATAATAAATTGAAACACAAATTTCTTAAATCAAGTCTCTATAGAATGAAAATTCAGACTTATAAGAATAACTTAATCAATTAAATTAAAATATAGTTTAGATGGAAATACTAGAATAGCAATAACAGCAAAGTATATAATTTTAGCATGAAAAAATTAATCGACTAGAAACCCAAGTGAAAATTTATAAATAATAAGTAAGAAAATGATTATAACTTAGTTATAAAACTCAAAACCCTTATCTCATTCATTTAGAGATTCTTACAAGACTCCTGAGAAGGATATATTAGAAACTTATGAATAAAGATTGTAGATGAAATAAAAAGAGATAGCTAAACTTTAAGATATGTATTAATAAGTAATAGAATAAAACGAATTACTTCAAAGCTACACTGAAAAAAAACAATATAAAAAAAGTGATTAGGAATTTGATAAAGAATTTAGTTCATAAATTGAAAGTATTCTGGAATCAGATGTCATTGAAAATCCAGATTAAGAAAGGGTTAAACTGCAAACTATTATTAAAAATATTCAAAAGAAAACATAGAAAAATTGAAATCATATATATACTATAATTATATATAAAATTTATGAGACTTAAATTAATTATCCAATATCAGAATAATTCAACAGATAATATTCTGCTTTTTAGCAAACCTAATTAGACTATTGAGGACTTATGCAAATATTTATCAAAGACTTGCTGTTTGCAAAATCCATAAATCTTTATCGAGGGCTTTAGAGCATTGAATGATCAACTTGTTGAAAATTTAGTAATTAATAACTAGCCAATTCAGTATTATTGTTAAAATAACGTAGGGTTATTGAAGTGAATGAATCTTCGACGAAAATGATATAAAAAGACACAAAACTAAAGTAGAAGCAAACAAAATAAGTAAATATATAATTTTTAATAATTAGATTTAAGAAAGTACCAGTGAAGAAAATATTAAACAAGTATAAATTAAATAACCCATAATTTAAAATCAAAACTCTAAGGTATAACAAATAAAATCTAATTTAATTGCTAAACCTAATTAAATTTAGGACAACCTCTCATAATAAAATGAAAAATAAATAAATCCAATCATTAGGTAGATAGTTTCAGAATCAGAGTCATCTTCTGAAGATGTACCTATTAAGAAATCATAGCCAGCTAACAAAATATAAATAAATATTTTATCCCCAGAGGAGGAGTTAAAAAGTAAATAATAAGAATGGAAAAAAACTTTTGCTAAAAATGCCTAAAAGCCCACAGGTCTTTAAACTTCTTAATAAACAAAACCAAATTAAAAATAAAACCCTATCTAATAAAAACAACAATAAACTTCTGAAAATTAAAATAAAGAAAAGGTAGCATAATAAACAAGCACACCTTAAACTACTAAAAAGTAAACTGAATATATCAAATTACCTGTATAAACCTTAAATGATGATCCTACTTTAATCGAAAAAAATGATGAAATTCTTTTCAAATAAACCTATCTAGATGATGTAAAATTTGAACCCTCTGTGAGTAATTTGATATCTGGTAAGGTTGAGGAAAACTCTTAATCAGAAAAAAAACTAAGAATTAAAACAAATAAAAATGAAACTCTATAAATTAATTATAGTGAAATTTAAGAATTACAAATTAATGTCGCAACAATTTAATCATAAGCTAGAAAAGCAGCCATAAAAGTTTTATCTCAAGATGTTGATAGTAAATATGAACCATAAGAAACTCAATAATAATTATTATAATCAGATAGTAATACAGCTAAAATCACATAATCATAATAAAAGGAAGTTATAGATCCATTTGGCATCGGCTAATAAATAAATTATTATTATAGTGATAAAAACTATTCAAAAGATGATTTTATTTTATAACACTCTGCTTAAGATCCAGAAAAATGTATTATTTATTTAAACATCTAGACATGCTCATGAAATTATTATTGAACTTTCCAAAAATAAAATCAAAAATTAAAAGTGAAGATGAACTATTTGATATTATTGATTTTTTTTTAAGAAAGACCAAGGAAGATTTAGTGAATTTTTAAATAAAGAAAAATGATGATAACTTATGGACAATTAGAAAGAAGCAGATTGCCTGATAATTTATAGTACAATCATTAATAATAAATAGTTTATCAAATATATCTTCTATATTAACTTTTAAAATTATAGAATTTAAATAATGCTGCTTAAATTAGAATTATTATTGATAATTAACTTAATACTGATATTTACATTATAATATAATTAATACATTATCAGGTAATATCAATCTTTTTCAATTTAATAAATCTATAGATAATTATAAAAATGAAATACATGCAATCCTGAATATAATTTTATATTTGAGTATATTATTAAACTAGATAGCATTATTGATATCATTGAATTAAGCTCATTCTGATTTATTCAAATATAATCAATTTGAATTTCTAGATCAACTAAATTGATATCAGTTTAAGAATTTGAATAATTGTTTCAAAAATCTTATGAAAATTTTAGATATTTTTATATTTGCCCTCTATCCTGGATTCTAAATCTTTATTAATCTAAAGAATTAATTAATAAATTTTATGCTTTCATTTAAAAATTCAAAAACGAGATGCCAATAATCTCTATTTCTAGGATTTTGAAAATTGCAATTTTTTCTATAGTATACATAATCTGTCGAAAATACATTTTATATTGAATATAAAATTAAATTACACTTTCAATTCTTCCTAAATTAATCTCATAAAATCTATGAGTTCGAAATATAATCTTCATTAAATATAATATTCAAGTTTAATCAAAAATTACAAAATAGCTTTTCTGAATTAGTTTACATTAAAAATCAATACAATATATCTTCCTTATTTATTTGCTTGTATTTATTAATCACTAGGGAAATATAATTTAGATGATATTGTCAAAGTATAATAAGGGACTTCTATATCCATCCAAGTAAAACAATACATATTTGATTCAGTTCTAATTAGAAATTCGTTATCTTAAAATCTTTCTTAATTATGACAAAAGTCTTGGACTTATTTATAGACCTCCCAAAATTAAATTACTAAGTTTAAAGAATTAATTTCTGGTGGGGATTCTTAATATAATGAAATAAGTAGATCATGTAATGAATTAGTAAAAAAAATAAATTCTTAGAACTGCTTTTTAATTATAAAAATATACTATAGAATCTTATATTACTAATAAGATTGTTTGTTTAAAATAAATTTCTTGAGGACTTTATAAGTTTCAAATAAATTCATAATTATTTATTTTAATGATCAATAATGCAAGCTCTTTACTAAATAAATTAGATCTATCGTTAGATTATATCATATCCGTACTTTCAATTGGAATAGAAATTTATTTGCAATAAAAATTGGATACATTACAATATTTTAGTATAACTTTATTGGCTTTGGCTGGATTTGCAAAATTGGTGGAAAAAAAAAAACTTTTTGGGATTAAGTAAGGTATTAAATTGGATTATTATGGTTTAGATTATACGCCTATTTTCTTTTGGTCGCTTGCATTAGTGAGGGTAGTGTTCATAAAAAATATCAAAGAAGATTAGGCAATTTTTTGGCTCTATAATCTGGGTTTTAGTAATGGATAGTATATGAGTATTACTCCTACTAAATTTATAAATCACGTAACTTAATTAGTAAAAGCATTTGTATAATTCGGATTGCTGGTTGGCCTATTCATATATTATTTTGAAGATTAATTGGTTTCAAGTATTCTACTCATAATAATGATGCTATTTATTTAATATCAAAATTATCGATAAAATATCAAGTTAATAGAACCGAACAAAGAGGAATAGTATTTCTCGAGTAATGCTAATTTAAATGGATCTCTGAACAAATTTATCCCTAAACAATAAGAGCAACCAAAATCAAAAGTAAAACTGCAAGAAGAAGGATCATTAAGCAGATAAGAAGCATCAATGCATCTGATGCCTGATCAAGTGGACATCTAAGCGCCTACTCAGAAAACTATGTGGTAGCAATTTATAGAATAGAGTGAAGATTACATTAGTAAATTCTATTTCAGCATGAACGATTTAGAAAATAACATAAATTAAGCATCAAATAATTATTCAATGAACAAACTTCTATAAGACAACAAAATCCAATTAGCCTCACTATTTAAATAAATTAAAGTAAGCAATGATTTAAATGTTAAATTATATGAATCAAATAATTTAGATAAGAAATAGGTTAGTTTTTTTGAATGGATTGAGGCTAATGCCAATTCTTTTAAGTTTTCTGATTTAAATTATCAAAGAGGACTAGAAGAAAACTTAGTTATTAGTTAACAAATTAACCAATAATCCATAGAGATGATAGGCGCTTTCATCGACAAATAATTATCTGTCATATCAGCTATTTAGTTAATTTCAGGGTTTCTTGAAGTATCAAATCTAAAAAATAGAAAATTTTTATATGGAAAATATAATGGAACAACTTAGAATTACAATTTTTACATTTAAATTAATTTTTTTGAAGAAGTAATTTTAGTATTTATAAAAGGAAGTAGATGGTGTTTAACGTTAAGTGACTGCGGTTCTCATTCGGGACTTAGAAAAGTAAGTTCAATAAATTAAAACAAATTTGAAAAACATGCAAAAAATCAACTCGACAATAAAATTTTTGAAATAATAAGCTGATTTAATTTAGAGCATTCATAAAAAGATAAATCTCCAAGAGAAAACGATTACTGAAATTTTAAATTAGAAATAAAAAAGTACTAATTTAGTAAAAACGAATTCCATTTATTCATAAAAAGATAGTATTGATGATGCATTATCAGAAATTTCTGAGAAAGCTTAGAAAAATTGTTAAATAACTTAATTCATCAAATAATTATAATTTTAATTTATGAAAATAACGCAGAACAACTTTAACTATTTTGAAGTTTTCTCTTTAAATGAGTTCGTTTAGCTAGAAAAGAACAAAGTAGATATAACTCAGACTATTAATTTGTTAATTAATTAGTTTCATTACGACGAAATAGTTATTGGATAGAAAATTAGTATCACTATGCGGGATTAATTAAAAAATAGATGCATAATAACAGATATAAGGTTTATATATATATATAAATTATATAGACGATTGAAACAATTATTATTTAATATTATCTACAATTCAATTAAATCATACGAAGACGATCTTGAAAATTCAAAGATAAAAAAGCGAGTTAAAATTGTACTTAAGAATTACGATGAGTAAAATATTCGTTTTGAGATAATTGATTATGGATGCGGTTTAACAGATGATAATATAAATTCAAAAAGACTTGATGATTGTAAATTAGGCTTAGCTGCATCCTAGAAACTGATTAAGATATTAGGAGGTAATAATAACCAAATAAAAATATATCGTTCTCAATCAAAAAAAAAGACAAAAGTTATTTTTGAATTACCACAAACATTATTCGTTGATAAGGCAGAAATTATGGGAGGCGACTTTGATTTTGATACCATTTAATTAGTCTTCACTTCTTGAATTGTAATAGAACTTTTCGTATGCTTGCATCATAACATAGTATCTATAATAATTTATAAAATTAAACTTCACTAGTTCTCTAAACATTATGAAGCAAGATATTTCTAAAACAATAAAAAATCCAAATTAAAAAATTATAATTAAATATTACAATTTAGTATCTAAAAAACAAGTTTATAATATAATTTTCATTATTCTTTTAAGAGTGATCTGAGGGCCCGTTCAAAATTTGAATCTAAAATAACTGATTTTGATGGCATTATATAGGTCAATCTTTGGGCTATGTGGAGTTTTTCAATTAATTTATTTTTAATGAGAGTTAGTATTAAGATTCCTAAGAAAAATAAATTGATAAACATAATGATGTTATGCATCTAAAAATAAGATTGAAAATTACATTGGCTAAATTCATAAAATAGGTAGTTTAATCCATTAAATCAATGTTAAATTTATCATTTACGACTTTAATTATATTTGATACTAAAAATGCTCCTTCTAACTCTAGATAACTTGCTTGACTTCTTGAAGTGAACTAATTAATTTCCATATCTGTAGTAATATGATTTATAATATAAATAAGTAATGCCTATAGTCCTCTCCTCATATTTTAATTTAAAACAATCTGACAAATAGTATTAGACTTATTCTTTAATTCATCTGGGATAAAGTCACAAAGGTTGTCGTTCTAGATTTAAAAAAAGAATTCTTTAAATGAATCAGAAACCACATATCTAATCAATTTGAATAATGTACTTATCAAAATTGTAGTCATCTTAAATGAAGGCCTTGGTTCGATTTAATGATTCAACTATTTTCTTCTAATAAACTGTCAGACTCTCTTTAAATTGAAATATGAAATTATAGCCCTTTCTACTATACAGAACATCTCTTTAGGCAAACATGGTTGGCACATCAGTTCCTACATCAGAAACTTCTTTATAAAATTTAGCAGTTTCTGGATATTTTTCTAAATAATTCCAACCCTCGTAATAGGTCAATGAAGCATTTCCTGCTGTAAGCCCAAGAAAAAATATAAAAAATAGGTAATAGTATATATCGTGATAGTTGAGGATACTAGGTCATTTACTAGCTCGCTTTTTTTAATACAGTTTAATGTTGGAAGTATCTAAAAGTGATTCCTTATTTTCTAAACGAAATTAATATCTAAATAATAAATTTTAATTCTAATTCACTCCATCGATTAGTTTTTTTAAATAATTTATCTCGAAATCAATGTATTTAATTTGTATATATTAGACGAGTGAGTAATGTTTAAGCACTACTTTTTATAATAAAATAAAATAAAAAACCGCAAAACCATATTAAATAGTCAAGGCTCCGAAGCAAATAAAAGTAATTATTGACAATTTAGATTAAATTTGAAGTGATCTTTTTAACGTTTAATCTAACACTATGCTATTTAATTCTGAGAATTGTTGTTTTATTGTTAAATAATTCTTATATTGAAAGTAAGCATAAGGACTATCTGAGACTATTCCACCATCTAACTCATAGGCCATTTTGAATGAATATTAAAAGTTCTTCAAAATGCTAATGCTATTTCTAAGGTTGAGATTATAGATTTCTCCTTAGTTAGTTGAGACGTATTCATATATGTCTATGTAGGTTTTTTCCAGAAAATTTTAAAGTGCAGGTCTATTAAATACCTACTTTAAATTTTTATCTAATGAATCATAGCCTAAATTTAAATTAGATAAAGGGAATTGAATCAAATTTTAATATTCTAGATTTGATATTTCTCCAGCGTCGTTCAGTAATTTGTAATTAAATATTGTCCATCTGGTTAATAGGAAGGTTTCTAGTGGTTAAAATACAAAATTCTTTATTTGCAATATATCTATATCAGAAACAAGTTCGTTTAAATTAAAATTCAGCTCAATTATTTACTAAAATTATAAAAATATTTACAATAATTTGAATTATAAATTGAAATAAAACACATAGGATGATTGAAGCAAGGAAGGTTCGATGCAATCTAGAAAAACTATTTAAATCTTTTATTTTTGCCATCAATTCAAATTATCTAAAATACTTTGAATTTCTGACTCCTTATAAACTTGAAACATAAGAGGACTGTACTTCTTATATAATTACTACTTGATCTCCGCTAACAATAATGATTCATCTTTACTTGGAAAGAGAGGATTTATTTTTTTGTTTTGAAAAGAATCTTTACTCGGCTAATAATAATTCATTCTGTTTGGTTGTAGTTTTAATATTAGTGTATTCAAGTGTAGATAACAATTTTGTTTCTTATTTCTTTTAACATTATACAGTTGGAGTATTATCTAAAAAATTAAAGTCTTGTTAATTCAACTAATACATATATTGATTTCTCATCAATTCATTCTCTTGATAAGGAATATGTATTGTGCTTTCATCATTAATGATGGCAAAAGAACCATGATTTTGCTTTTTGATTAATGGGCTTAGAAATGGAACTGACATTGAATTATTTTACCATTAATAGAAAGGAGATCTTTTTATAAAGTCAAAAGATATAACATAATATTTTGTAATATCATTTACAATTCCAAAGTGCAAATTAAAGGTTGTTATGAATACTAAAGGATGACTGGATGTTTATGATTGCTCATCAATTTTTTCAATAAAAATCTCTGTATTTTCAATTTATTGTTTATCAAATAAATATTTTGGGAAATAAGGAATCAGTTTATTGATGGGATAGCCCTAATACTACTTATATTATTATTCTAATCCCAAGTCTTAGATGAGTTATTAACTTAAACACTTTATTAGAAGTTATTCATTTAAAATTAGATTTAGAGTTTGATTGGCAGGAGGTTATAGGAATGCTATGAAATTCAATTCGTCAACAAAATTAATATCAAACAATAATTCTACCGAACTCATACATTCCATCTCATGACTATATAATAGAGATTAATTTAATTATCTCATGTATTTTGATTTTCCAAACCTTAGAAAATCTAAAACTAGATCATCATGGATTTCTGAAACACCTTTAGGAATAAAGTATAATAATTCTAATCCTTTTAACTATTGATTTGATAATTATAAAAATTAAGCCGCATCATTTGAAGGTCTTTTAATAATTAATTTACCATCAAATCTTAAAATTAAATAAATCATTTTGTTAGAAAAAATATCTTAATTTTAAGTGATTTTCTTCATTTTTTCATCTTGCATAGCTAACAGACTAAATAATTAGTTTGCTTAAAGATAATCATTCATTATCTCTCCATAATAAAACCCCAAAATTCCTTAAGTTTTTTCACATGGAAATTCTTTGTATTGCTTTTCCAATTTCTCTTTGAAAAGAATAATTTTTTTTGTAATCTCATGATAGTTCTCATAAGAACTATGAGATGGATTTTATGTAAATAATTCCAGACAATGAATCTTATTTTTAACTATTTCTACAATATCATTCTAAGTTGAATAATTTTGTTCTTCACTATTCAATAATAATTTAATTGTGTGAGCAATGTTATCAATATTATTTGTTCCAAGGATGGTGTGTTAAATATTTTTTATACATTTTTGTAAAATTATTTTTTTTTTAAAACTCTCAATCAAACTTAATTGATCATCTTAAATACTGTTTAGTTCTAAGAATGCTTGATAATTCTTGCTCTAATACATTAAAAATGATGAGTAAATAATTCTATCTCTTGGTTTTTTAGGTTTCGAAACATATAGATTTTAGATTTCTTTAACGTTTTCAAGAAAAGCTAATAGGCTGATTATATGGCATGGTATCTGCTTTAAGTTGTCGTACATAATCTTTTTAAGTTGATTTTAATAGTAGGTGTAGATCATTTTATAAGTTAATGGTATCATTATGATTTAAGCAGACAAATTAATTTAAAGCCAAAACTAGCCAAAAAATAAAGTCATAACTTTTATAGTTAAGAGTATGGATTTAGTAATTAGATTTTTAAAAGATGAAAATAACAATTAATTTATGATTCTCAATATATTTAAAATAATTGCTAGAATCACGATGATCTGTTAAGGAAATTAGTAAGAATATAAAATCATTAGTAAATAATTTAAAATTACTACAATTAAATCTAAATTTGTAAATCTAGTATGCTAAAAGTTTTTGGTTTAGACATTCAATGTTCCAGAAATAATCAAAGTTTCCGAAAATGATATCATAATTAACAGAGTGTGAGTAATTATTGAGATAGATCCTTTGGATATTTCAAAAAAGAAATTTAGCATGCTGCAACGTAATAATTATCCAAATATCCCTATTATATTATTATATGGAATTATTGTTAGTAGTGTAAATATATAAATGACACTTAATATTAGGATGATGTATTATGGGATTTCTGAGTCTATAAATAACTACTAGGGTCTAGCATATAGCGATATCACATAAATATAGTAATTATTGCTTAGCCCATAGATGTATGACAGACTTAAAAAGGCTTGTTGAACTCTGAAGAGCAATATAACATAAGGTGGAAAAACTATTTAGATTTCTTCATTTTTTAAGTATACTCTTATCAAGTAATTTGTCAACTTTTGAAAAACTTCCTTCATTATCACAAATTTTGAAGTATCTAATTTATTATAAATATATGTATAGGAAGTGTTAATTATTATAAAAAATGATTGATTAATTAAGTGCTTAGCATTTCTACAATTAGCAATTAATGTTACATATTATGAAAACTGAGTAGAATAGTTAGAAAATTCTTGACTTCTACTAGAATAGTGTATTAAATTATAAATATATATATAAAACGTATACTATAAATATTAGTTGATTTCTAAAGAATTTTTAATTTTCTTGAATTATTATTATATAAATTAAAATTTATTATTCATTTTTGGATGAGTTATCTTAGATTCCTTTCAAAGCCATCGTTAAATACGACTGTTTTTATCGGCATCAAGTATGGAAGTCTCTAAGCCAAATATAATTTTTAAATTAGCTTATTCTTGATCTTTGTTAATGTAAGCACAACCAAGATGCATAAAAATATGAGAATTGCTAGATTATGCACCTAATTTAATAATCAATAAGTAATTTTACACTGATTTTGTCAATATAAAACTGAGTCTAGGATTGTAAATCAAAGTGAAAGCTAGTATTTATATCTTTGATAATGTAGGAGACCAAAAAGGCACCTTCCAATTCTAAATAGCTTTATTGCAATTTATTTGTAAATTGATTTAGAGCCATATCAGTATTGATGAAATTACTGATATAAATCAACAATCCTAAAAGGCCTCTTTCCAAATTTTAATCCATAATTTAAGGACATAGAGTTTATGATTTCGAACTTATATAATTTGGCAGAAAATTGCAAAGGTTCTCTTTCTAAATCTGATAGTAATAATTTTTGAACTCTGTTGAAATGATTAAACTTAATTATTAGATTTTGATGTACCTGTCTAGATTAAAGTCCAAAGTTATAAATGTATTAGTTCTGTTGAGAGAATCTTTGATTTCTTATAGAAGCCTAGCTTTTTCAGTGGCATTCAAAAAAGGAGCTATTAGCCCAATATTATAGAGAATATCCCTTTAAGCATACATGGTTGGTATATCTGTACCCACATCTGAGATGGCTTTGAAAAATTGAGCAGTTGCTGGATATTTGTTTAAATATTCACCACTTTCTTAAAAAGTTAATAATGCATTCCCAAACATCAACGCTAATACAAAAATAAAATATAAATAATAAGCAAAGTACTATTTCAAATAATAAGGTCTATGTAACACTTTTTTCTTGATGTTCAAATCAAATGATTTATGTTGGAATTCCTTTTCCCTTTACTCGATGTTGATTTAGAATCTAAATAACATGTTTGAACTTTTATTTAAACGACTAGATATAAATTTCAATCTAGTAATTTCTTAATAGGTGTAATCAGCATCCATATTTTAAATGAGACCATAAAATTTATTAATTAATTTCTAAATTTGAATAAAATAATTAAAAGTTATACAAAATTATATAAAAGCAATTCCTACTGCAACTATAAAAATAAACTCTTCTTATGATTATTCTTGCTATGACTTGGTAATCGTACTACTTAAAATTTACTAGTTCAATTGGCTAAATTCTGATTTCATAGTTAAATAATTCTTATAGGAATAGTAGACATAAGGACTATCTGAGACAATTGTTCCTTCAATCTAATATCTCTTCTTAATCTCATATAAATAGTTTAGCAATATTTGAATGCCATTCCTTAACGTTAAATTATAAAGTTCACCTTCGCCTGTAGATACATAAACATAAATATCTAAAGATTTGTTTTCAAAAAAACCAGAAACGCTTATCCTATCCAATACTTGTTTCAAATTAGAATCTAATTAATCATAACCTAGATTGAGATTCGACCTAGGAAACTCCACAAGATAGTTGAATTCTTATTGTGTAATCTCTCCTGCGATCTCCATTTATATATAATTAAATATAGTCCATCTGGTTAATAAAAAGGATTCTAATGGCTAATATACAAGATTCTTTACTTACAGTAAGTCTATATCAGCAGCCAGAAGCTATAAGTTGATATTTAACTTTGCTATTTACTAAAATTAATGAAAAACTTACAATCGATTAAATTATCACTTAACTAATTAAACTCAAAGTAAAAGTAATAATGAACAATTTATGGTATTTCGAATTTCCAACTTGAAATCTAAGTTTCTAGTATAATTCATATTTTTTGTAGAATTCTGATCGTCTCAAGCCTTGTAAACTGGAAATCTAGGAAGATTAACACTCATCTAATTAATGGACCTTGATTTGATCATCATGAACATCGCTTTCATTTTTATGAGAAATCAACACTTTTGATGGATTTTTATTCACATTGGAGTACTTTTATTCCAAGAGTGTCTAATTGCATCTAAGAGTACTTTTGATATTAGTTTATTCATATTTAAATTCATTAATCACATGACTTTGTTCTGAATATTAACCTCCAACATAATTTAATTAGGGATGCTCTCTTTTAACTTCATCTTCAATAGGAATCTCAACAGGGGCTTCTTCGCATATTTCATTAATATTATCCTCATATATATAGTCTAAGACTAAATGGTGACTCGTGTTTACAGAATCGGCTGAACTGGAAACTTAACCAATTGCGTTTTTCTTGAAATACTCAAATTACACATAATAGAATGCTATTCTATCATCTATTTTCTTTGTTCTAATATAATAGGATGTATGATAAGGATGATCTCTTGAAGATGAACTTGATCTTACATCATAATTTTCAAAGTGGGCTTCTGCATTTTCGATAAAATGATTTTCTAGGATGTTATTTCGGAAGGATGGGATTATTTTTTAAATATTCATCCCCAAATAAAATTTGATGCTCTCTTACAAGTCCAATTCTTAGATAAAAGCTTTACTCATGCATACAATTGCCAAATTTATGTCCAAAACAATAGATAGAATCTAACTCATTGTGGGTTGAATAAAAACAATGAAATTGAGTTCTTAAATTAGATTGGTTTCAATTGCAAAATCTATTTCCATCATGTATTGCTAATATTTATAGTACAAAAAGTTAACTTATAATTATCTGAGATATTTCGATTTACCATTTTTTAAGAAATCTATAATCATCTCATCATGATTTTCACTTATTCCTGGTGGAATTAAATCATCTATGATTTTATTAGTAATTGATTCATTCGAAATACCTAAAAATGAATCAGCATCATATGATGAGCATTTTATCTTCATCTTCCCATTAAATTCAGTTAATAAATAAATCATCTTACTATTGAAGACATCTTGATTCAAGGTAATTTTCTTCATTTTTTCATCAGATATAGCCAAAACACTAAACAATTGATTTGCTGCTAAATAGTCATTCAACAATTCAGTATAAAAAAACCCTAGTGCACATTGTGTTCTTTCACATGGAAAGGTTTCATATTACTTTACTAATATTTTCTAAATTTTTATGAGTTTTTCAATGTAGTTTAGTAAATGATCAAATTAAACTATATAGTTTTCTTCCATCAACAACCTCATGCATTCAATTTTATCATGAAGAAGTTCAATAATGTTTAACTAAGTTTCAAAACTTTAATTTTCGTTTTCTATTAATTACTTAGAGATTTATGTGATGCCATTAGCTGGCTTACTGTTATTTTATGTATCATAACTAATTTTCCTCAAACATTGCTATAATATTGGGTTTATTTTTAAGTTCAATAAAATATTGTTATTATGTTTTAGTGATACCAAATCCTTGTATGCTAAGTAATTTAGATTTTTGGCCATTTTAATAGTCGAAAATATAATTTGATGTTCAATACTGTCTGGTGCCTAGACCTATAATTGAGAATAGTTGTCAATATTTTTAATGAAAAATACAATTTAACTGATAGAGGTAGGAAGCCCTTTTATATTTTAATACTTATAATTTCGAAATAAATATTCATAGCCATACAGTGATATTCTATAAATTAACGGAAGCATAATCATTTCTATTTAAGTGTTACTCTTTAAACCAAAACTCTTTATAATGCCAAAGTAAAGAGAAAAAAGATTAATAATTAGAAAAATAGCCTTGTTCTTTATTGAAATGGATGGTTGTCCAATAATTAAATTCATAATCTAGAACAATATTATACAAAAAGCAATGATATCTGTAGCAATTTGCGAGTAAGTATATTTAAAAAGTATCATAATCAAAATATTGAGTACTACTAACAGAGCATCTTTAATTGACAACTGTATTTTTTAAAAATTTTCAATTTTTATATTTAATGTTCCCTCAAGTATGACCGAGTTGATTAATGAGACAAGAATAATTAAAATATGGGGTAGTATTTGAAACTGATCAGATGTAATTTCAAAGAAAAAGTTAAGCATCCCACATTTAAGCAACTAAACAATTATCCCAGTATACTTTAAATTAAGTAAAGGTATAAAGTTTAGCACACATATCAAAGCTATTATAAAAGTGATGCATGAACCAAAAATGGATTAAGGAATGTAAATTTAGGGTCTTGCAAATGCAGTAAAAATGGTTAAATATGAGAATTCCGAAGACCCATAAATATATGACAAAGGCAAGAGTTATTATTATATGTTTAAGACTAGGATTAATTCTTAAGGGAAAATATATTGATTTTTCTCTTATTAATCTATGATTTGTGAAAATACTTTGATTAATTTTTAGAAGCACACATCCATTCTGATTTTTATTTTGAATCTTGGAGTTTTTATAAAAATAATAAAGCATAATAAGATGATTAATTTGGTTATTGAATAGATTTGAAAGAGATTACACAATAAAAATTAAATTAATTTAATCATATATAAGAAGGAGAGACGGCAAACAATAAGAAATAATTGAGAGCTCGCTCAAATCAGTTAAAAATAAACTCAAATCATACCTGATTGCATTCTGAGACAAGAATAAAATATTGAAATGATGAGGCTATCAATTCAGTACAAATTTTATTGCATCATTTCATAAGAAAGATAAATTAATGGAAATTATACGTGTGATCTTGAAATTAAGTATTTCTTATTTTCAATTCTTATATATTTAATAATTTTATTAAAGCAATAAATAATTATTTAACTTTTTGGAAAATGGTACAGTCATACAGATTAATGAGACATGACTATATGATCTAACAGAGTTTCTGAGTATAATTCTGGAGGGAAGGAGATATTAAAGAAACTAAATGGGAGAGATGGCATTAATAGTTTTTTCGAGGCAGGACACCTCTCTAATCAGGGGTTTTTGCAACATTTTTCAAGACTCCCAGTTGTGGAGAAAGCAAAGTTCTGAATCAATATATAATATAATTAATTATTCAATCAAATATGGGTTTGCGAATAAACTTATTGTTGTGCCCTATTTCCTAACTCATTTATTATTTTAAGATTTTGGCCTATGAGCCAATAATTTTTTAAGGAGATTCTTGAAAGTATAATTTTTTTGGTTGGATGATGTGTTGATTATTGTATTTGAGCACTGAAGTAGATTAGGTCTAACAATGATTGAGATTTTATCTGTTTAAATCATACTTGTTTATGATATCTGAAGGAGTACGAATTAGACTGTTTCTCCCCGCTAAATGCTGATATTTTTTTCGAATTTCTAATGGGGAGGTTTCATGACAGGAGTATTGACGATTGATTTGGAATCGTTCTTTGCACCAACAACAGATTTGGTTAATCAACTCGAGAGATCTGGAATCATTGTGTTCTCCTTAGATTTTGATGAGGTCTCTTAAACCATTGTGCTACTAGTATAATCCAATAGTATTTTTGGATTTGATCAATGTATCTTAATCACTACAAATGTAGAGAGTTGGAACACTGGAGTCAGCCCTTTGTATCTTGATATCATCAAACTTAAAATTGCCTTGTGATTCGATTTTCCCTAGGATGATTGAAAATGATCGATACCTTTCAAAAGATATAGAACACTTTTGATGATTAGCTTTGGTAGGGAAGTGGATTTTTACATCATTCTCACACAAGCCTTGTTGAGATCGGTGAAACAAGAATCCAGTACGTAACCACTTACATATGGTTATTTCTTCAATTGGATGGTAGTCGCTCCCAATGATCTTCCCCATAAGATGAATTAATTTTATTAGAATCTTTTCTTGATGTCCAAAATGATACATGTGATGTCATTCTGTTCTAAATAACTATTTAAATGAGTTGTGTTACCCAAAGGTGATGAGATCTCCTTAACTATGGCCACATCCTTGAAAATCAAAGGTGCAAAAGTTTAGATTATATTGAGCAGCAACATGGGCATATTTGACACCTTCTACACGACAACCGTTAAAACCATGGCAATAGATTATGCAACAATCACTAATTGGATTAATCTCAAAAAAAGAGCACTTTAATTGATGACCCTAACGATTTATAATACTAATTTCGTGTTTGAATAGTGTTCCATTTGTAAGTGGGAGTCTTTCAGGACCTTCAATAATTTTGAATCCTTACCCAAATCAAAAATTTGATATTCTAATCTACGAGGTCTCAAAAATTTTCGACATTCTTATTCAAAGTACATTTATATTATATTAAACTTATTTATTTGTTATGTAATTATTTTTTGTCATATCAGATTTCAAACTCTCCAATTAAAAAGATATGGTCAGAAGGGAACAATTCACTAGGTAATCCACTCTCATTTATTTGCACACCCTCTGTTGGACCGACCTGACTCTGTCTCAAATGAACTCCCTTATACAAAATGTAATCCTTTATATTTGTTTCCAATTTCCCTCTATTTTTAGAAGTGGTTGGCACAGTTGTATTGGTGCATTTCATACCTGATATTTCTAGAAAATTAGATACTGCCTCCAATTCAGGTTAAGTGTTGAAATCACCACATAGAATAACCTTGTCCTCTTTGACGCATTTATTTAATTATTCTAATTAATTCCTTCTGATTTTCTCAAAGTCTGTTTTAGCTTTAAGATGAGTGACCACCAATATGAAATCTAGAAAGTCTACTTTAATGAAGAATTAATTGGAAACTTTGTTGTTTTCTAGAAACGGTACAATGTTGACTGATTGTAATTTCAAGTCTTTTCTATAGGCAATCAAAATGCCATCACTGTTATGTTGTTTTTTTTGATAAATAAATAGATGATCTACGAGGACTTATTGAAAGAATTCTGGGTGATCTACTTCTTCAAAACAATAGACATCGCATGGGTGTTGTTTTAAAAATTGAGCTATTAATTATGATCTGTGATTCCACTGTAGAAATTGTTTGTTGATAAGTGGAAAAGCATCTGAAAGAGTGTCAGCTAATGTATTCCATTGGAGTATTTTTAAAGTATTCATAAATATATATATATTAATTATGCACAATTACAACGTCGATCATAAATATAAGTTCTAGACCCGTATTGGAAATTGGTTTGAAGAATGGGAATTGGATGAAACCAAGTGATCATTTGTACATAAATTATATAGGAAGAAGGACTACTTGAAAAATAGATAAAATGGATAACTGGCAAGCATAGTGAAAGACACAAAGACACATTTCAGTTTAAGATTGGCGTCTCTAACATTTCCCCAAGACGAGTACATCCATTTTGGATTCCATTTGATGCTCTAGAATTTGAAGACTTAAGGGTATCTCTCGATAGACATTCAGGAGAAATTGAAATTATAGGAAGAAGCCTACAATATTACAACTGCATAAACCACACAACCCACAGTGAGATCAGTGTTCGTTATACTCCCCTATACTAAAGAACCAAATTACTATGGAGATGATATATTGCATTACGGATAGCATTTCAGAGTAGTGGCAAATCCCAGAATATCTAATAATAAAACATTCTATCTTCATTCACTTCCTTAAACACCAACCAGATGTGCTAAGATATCTAGAAAACAGGAGGTTTGTGCAATCGAGAGTGATGTATTCAATACAGTTTGGAAATTTGAACATGCTGATCCAAAAATCAGATTCGAAATGGAAGGACAACCAATCAGATCGGATGATACTGTATTGATTAAGCATTCCTTCACTTAACATTGGTTAGCCAGTGATGATATAGTGTATCAAAATGATTTTGGAAGAGAAAGAGAAGTCTTTGTGCATTCCTATCAATGTTTGAACAAAACTTAAAACTTGATAGCTGAGAAGGAAGGCAGAACCACCATTGATATCCCTTTAAGAAATCAAGAGTAATAGAATAGTTAATTTTAATAGGCCATAAAACCTATGGAAGTTTTAGGTGGCCAGAAAATAAAACGAGGAATTTGATGAATCTGTGATGGATGACAATAGGAATGTGAAGAATTTAATGATTAGAGTCAAATAACAAATCACTGGCAAAGGAGCTTATGGATTGAGAGGATTGGCTAAAATATTTTTAGAAATGGATTAAAATAATAGTTAGATTTTATGATATATTATTTTAGATGGCGTAGTTGAGTATAACGATTTCAAGTGGGGTTTGAGGAATTTTGGGTTGACTCTATCGGAAGATGAGACCAAAATGATCTTCTAAACATTTGATAAAAATGGCAATGGCAGAATTGAATTCAATGAATTTTTGGATGCCTTCAGAGTATTTCTAGGAATATAATTAGTTATAAATGAGTGATAAAAGACTTTACTATGTATAAAGAGCTTATGCATCTATTGAGTAAAAGGCAGGGAAGGTCACATTAGAGACAATGGGTAGATTGATCAATGTAAAGGAACACCCAGATGTATTGAAAGGATATAAAACTGAAAGACAAGTGTTTTAGGACTTCGTATCTCATTGGAATAAGAGTAATCCTGATAGAGTGATATCGTTCTAAGAATTTGGAGAGTTCTATTAAGTATGACTTCTTGTGTCTATTGATTAGGATGTTTCCTCTTCTGTGTAGCAGGATGAGACTTTCGAGGCTATTTTAAAGAAATCATGGAATTTATGATAATTATTAATAAAAAATAATGAGCATTCGATTATAAGACATGAAGTTATTTCTTGTTAAAGACAATTCACCAATCAAGGTAGAATTGAAACAACAAGATGACATACTCTTCAACCTTGTTACCAAAGCAGGTTTTTATAGCCGCATAGCTTTTAGATCGATCACCAATCAATATTCTGGTTCCAGTAATTGAAGGCAATTAACCTATTACAATTAAGGTAAATGATTACAATGCTGAAATCCTTCCAGACAATCTTGAAATGTAGTCAACATATAAATTGTTACTTGAAAATGGGTAACTTAAATAAGAACCAATTCAACCAGGAGATACCTTTGCATTGTCCTTCAAAGTCAGGAGTGGCAATGCCAACACTCAAGGAGTAACAGGCAATTCAGCTATGAATGGATCAACTTTATCGACTTTGTAGCTATCCCAATTGAGACACAAATTAGTTGAATAAGGCAAAGGAACCTCAATGTATCAATCTGCTTCCTCACTCAGACACAGCATACCTGAAGTGTCCTTTTCAAAAGCTCAGAGGTCAGCACTGTCATTATTTTAGATTCGATAAAAACTTAACTCTCAGAACTGAGTTCAATTACAGCATTCCAGACTCCGTTGGATCCCAAGGCCGATCAACTGGCTTTGGATATGGCGGCAAATTCATTTCTCCCTTATATGTTCAAAGGAATGCTGAATAGAATCCACCTCCTGATGCTTACTTCAAAGAAGAAATCAAATAGCCATCCCAATACCGAAGGACCAATTGGTCCTAAAGCGAGAGATTCAAGATGTCGCATACTGTCCAAGGACCTAGTCCCAACTCATATGAAGTCACCTAGTTGATTGGTGCAAATAAAGTAAATTGAAAATGCATTATTTATAGCCCGCATGCACTATTGGATCAAAGATTAAGCCATTGGCCACTTTCTAAGAGAAGGTTCCTGCCTCGAACACTTATGAAATCAAGACTTAGATCATTGAACCTTCAAGATTTAATAAGATCACCTTAGGATATGGCAAAAAGTCTGACTTCACCAAGAATGATAAGACTCCTGGACCAGGCACATATGAACAGCCTTCAGTTTTTAAAAACATGTCTACTTCCATTTTAAGCAATGGAACATTAAGAACAAATGTAATGAGAAAATGATATTAATAATTCTAATTTAAAGATTTCATTATTATAATTTACATTTATGGAAGCATCTAGTTAAAGCGATCTCTCAATCGCTTCCTTGGCCACTATCGAAGCCATCGATGATGCCATTCAAAAAGATAAGAACCGATATGTACGCAAAGGTTTTACACTTAATTAAAATAAGGTTATGGATTAATCGTGGCCATCTTCATAGCTCTATCCACTTATTTGACAGTTCCTCACATTATGTTATTTGTTCATTCCTATCTAGAAGGTATGGAAGGTAATAAATAAGATTATATTTTTAAGAAATTAAAATATTCCTACTTGTTTAGTTGAGTACAACCAACCTAAGTTATGTAATTGGAAACATTTACATGTACATCATCTACTCTTTGAAATTGCCATTCTTCGAAAGATATAAAGTTGATAATGTAATTTAAAAATATCATAATATTCTTAGAATCCTTGGCCTTGGGAAAAGAGCTAGGAATCATGGAACCAAACCAAAAAGAAAGTTCTTCTTAATTGGATTCTTAATTCCACAATTTCCTCCCTCCTAACTGTTGGCAGTGTTTATGGCGGCCAAAAGTTCAGACATGATTCTTCAAGTATCCCATCCTATTTTGAACTGGCATGGCAAATAGCTTTTTGTATGATTGTAGAAGATGCTTCCTTCTATTGGTTGCATCGAACTTTACACAGTCCAAGATTTTACCACATTCATAAAAAACATCACGAATTCTATAATACCATTAGTTTGGCTGCCGAGTATTAACACCCAATAGAATTTGTACTAACTTCCACAGCCACAGCCCTGGGACCATTACTTTTGGGTTCCCACATGCATGTGTATACTTTGGGATTCTGGTACATTGTGAGAGTATTTGAAACCATCGATGGACATTGTGGCTATGAGTTCTCCTGGTCCCCTTATAGATTATTACCATTCTCTGGTTCATCAGAATATCACCATTATCATCATTCACATAATATTGGAAATTTCTCTAGTTTCTTCTATTATTGGGACACCCTCTGTGGAACCAATAAGGACTACTTCAATTTCAGAAAGGCAAGAAATAATGTATTCAATCATTTTTATTATTAATAGGAAACAAAATTAAATTTGATGAGGAAAGTTTACCATTTGAATTAATAGAAAACCAAAACTTCATGAATATTATCTAAATATTATGATAGAATAAAAATCATATTATTAAAAAATTAATTGCTTTGAAGCTTTCTTGTTCCCACTTATACAATTCTAATTCATTCTTTTTAGAAATTGAAATCCTTCATTGTTTAAAATTAGCAACAAATTCAAAATTTTGTTAAGGAAAAATGAGCTTTGAAACCAAAGCACTGAAATGCCCTTTGGATACCTGCAAATCACTAACAGTTAAGGTCTTCAACGCAAAGGGTATTAGAATGAATTGAAAAATCAAATTGTTTAAATTCAAGAGATTCAATTAATTATTCAATTTGTTTGTTCTAAATTTGTAAGTTATTGATATTAATTGCTCCTTTAAGGTTTTGCATTATTTGAGGAAATAATTCTATAAAAATGGAGTTTAATAGAATTTATGAATAATTTATTAACATTTAAATTTTAGGAAAATTAACGACTCAGATTAAACTTACCTTAATAAATAAAAACAATTATCTATTGTGTAATTATACAATTGTGAAAACAAAATATAAAAGTAATTAAAAAAGGGTTACCAAATATTAACATACTTTTAAAAATAATTAAACATTTTCTTGAATTAGAAACCACTTAAATTGGATAGAATTCTAAATCTATTACAACTGAATAGCATATGAAATTTAAATAAGTTTCGCACTACACAGAAGAGAAATCTAAATATGAGCTGATTTACAAATTTTGATGACCTCGTGATGTAGACTTTTTTAAATATTAAAAGAGGATGGTTGTAGGACTGAATATCTAGAGTTTAAATCTCATTTACACAAAATCTATTTAAGATTTTAAATCATTCTGTTAATGAGGCTCAAAAATAATTAATAAAAATACTATTATTCTGTGGACACACATAAGTTATTGAAATAAATGAACTTCTGTATTTAAATGAATAAATTCTGAATAATAGAATTATATTGCTATAAAGCCACAAAAAAAATTAAAAGATTGAATAAATTAAATCTGAAATAATGTAAGAATAGTAGAATCCTCATTCTATAAAAAAGCAATAAAAGGAAGAAAAGATGAAAAAGTTGCTTATGAAAATGGCTTTAAACATCCTACGCAAGTTTTTTAATAGTAAAGGACTTCCCTATCACCCTTTAATAACTTGTGTAAGTATAAAACCTGGGTGTCCCAACAGGTGTGCCTCTCTCTAGTCTTATCCTAATCAATCCGTATGGAAATCTTTGATAGAGTTGCCCAAAAACATTCAAAAGGAGGTAGCAGACTTTTTAACAAAAGAGTTATAAGATAAATAATAAAAATTCTCCTAAAATTTCTTGGTAGAAGCTTGCATAAGGATTAATAATAGCTTTGACTTTTCCAGTTTCTACAAAGAGCCAACTCTTTCAAATAATTAAACAGATCAGATAGAATAAGATATTTAAGGGGGGGAAGCCAATGAGAACATGGATAATGGAATTAAGATAAAATAAAAGAAGTGGTCAAAAGGGCAAGACTTTGTAAGTGAATCAAAATAGATTTCTACCTAAATGAAATTATGTAATCAACATCCTCCTTTAGTCAAAGTAAATTAAACTCACTATCACAAAATGAGGACTCTGCTCGAAAAGATTAAGGATTAGAAATTTAAATGGTCAAAAGAAATGAAAGTCTTTGTGGAAGAACTTGAAAAGTTCATTTAAAATGATCCATCAAATGAATCTCTAAAACCAAAGAAAAAGATAAAAAAGTCAAATGATAAAAAGGAGTGTTAATAACAGGAGGACGACGAGTCTATTTAAAGATCTAAAACAATCCTAAACGATATCAAATAAGAAGAGAATTCAGCATAAGACTTTCTCGAATAATTCAAATAACAAATTAAATAAATAGAACCTGGGATTGTTATGTACCTTCCAGAATACTCAAAGATAAGTCCACAATACTATTCATATTGTAAGAATCTAGAAGATGATTATTTCAAGGAGCTTTACTACATGGTCAGAGTTGAGGAAATGGTTTTAAATCCATAAAATATATTAAGAACAGTTAAATAATGTCCATGGAATCATAATTCTCTGTACCCATTTAAAGTAGAACATGAAGCTCAAATGAAATGAATTGCTTATATATGATAAATTAAGTTATTTCTACAGAAAATATTTGATAGGCTTTGCAAAAAAATATTATTTTTAATTATTAATTTATTTTATAATCGTTAATTTAAAACATGCTTCCTCCACCAGATCGTATTAATTATGCAGAAATGAGAATCCAAGTAAATATTGTTATCCAATATATTAGAAAGTTCAAATTCCTGTATAGGTACCCATATTCAAACCAATCTATGTGGATTACCCTTATCCGGATTACATTTGGACTTAAGATGCTCAATAAGCCACAATGTTAAGGGCTAAATAAGGAATGTAAACCATATTGGCAAACCCATAAATAAAAAACTATTTGATTAATGATGATTCAAGCGAAGAATCTTCCAACTCAGACTCTGAGGAGGAGTAATAAGTATAAACCTAAGAAAATAAAGCAACACTTTAAAATCAATAATAAGTGGCTAATAAAAATATAAATGCATAAAATTATGTGGTATTTTTATTTAATTAACATAGAATGGTGCCCAATAATTCGTTAATGCTAACTAATAAATAGAAGTCGGTTAGAATTAATAAATAAGACCTCCTATTTAATTAGATTTTCATGATTCTGGCTATCAAAAGAGTTAACTTCAGATCAATAATTCATACACAACTAATAAATACCCTACATCAAACATAGTTTAGGGCAGGTAAATAATTTATAAAATTGTTTAGAAATGATACTACAGTGAGCAAAAATATATCAATGGGTAGATAACATCTTGAAAAGTTTAAAAGTTAATTGAATTAAAGCAATCTCTTAAATTAGAGACAGTAATAAAACCCATAACTCAATACTTTCCTTTAATGATATTTAAAATAAATAACTAATTATTATTAGTATAAATTACTTAAATTCATATTTTTCACAATAATTCGTCGTTTAAGTATTCATACCTTTAGGGTTACTTCTATTTATTTAAATTCTATAAGAATTACCTATTATATTTAAGAGGTGATGGTTTCCTCTCTAATTAATTAAGATAATTTTATGGGACACTTTGTAGATTAAAAAAATGAACCTAATAGAAATTCATATTTTTAACAAAACTAATTAATTTGTAACTATTCACAAATTAGGAAATTTATTGAGAATCTAAATGGCAAGCTATTTATTTTAAACAAATTAGTTTGAAATACTATAGAACTTGCATGATAAATTTTGGAATCAAATTGTTATAATAACAATTACTTAATTAATATAAGTAATGGATTTTTACCGAAGTACCCAGTATATAATATACATGTTAATACATTTACTAAAACACAAATTCGATCCTCTAATAAATTCTTTTTGTAAGAAATATATAAAAATCAAAGAAGGAGTATTACTCAATGTAATCATTTTGGATAGTAATTCATTCGTTGAGATAAAATTTATATATAATATGAGAAATTATATATATTTATTTATATGGCTAGGAAAATTCTTGCTGACGAATGGTTGAAAGGAGATGTAAAGGATGTCGAATTTAAGAAAAAGATTACAGGCAAGAAGGGTTAACTGTTAGTTGAATTGCAAAAATCATATAAAGGAGATAAAAGATTTAAATTGGATGAAAAATTTAATGATGATCTGAATGTTGAAAAATTGAATAAGAAATTCAAGGACTTATAATAAGATTTGATAGAAGAGAGTTCTGATGAAGAATAAGACTTGGAGAAGGAAATCGATGAAAAAGAATTACAAATAAAATCATATTAAGACGAAGTGAATTAATAATTATAGATTCTTGCAAAGTTAATGCCTGATGATGCTGCTTTTATTTCTTATTAAAAGAAGCCTGATAAAAAGAAATATAATTTGATTGTTCCTAAATTCGATCCAAATAATATTGATTAAAGATTGATAAAAAAGAATGAAGAGAAAAAAATAGAGTAGGCGAAGAAATAAATCAAAACAGAAATTGTGAAGGGAATAGATAAAAAAACAATTAAAATTGAAAAAGCTAACAAATTATTATAGAGAGTGAAAGAGAAATAAGAAATAAAGTTAAATATCGATAGGGGAGCTTGGAAAAACATCATCTAGGAAGAGGGTCCAAAAGGATTATTTTCTTGAATTTTATATTATGCTATACATTTTATTTTTGTGATATATTATTTAAGAAAATAAGAATTATAATTAATTTTGGATGGTATTGCAAATCAATTTTTAGTGTGTCAAATATCGGCAAAATTTATAGTCAAATTTTAATTATACATTTAATTTTAGGCGCACATATTATAATTAAAATAGTGCGGTTAATGAGAGAGGGAGAAATAATAAAATTATATGTCCGATTTCTTATTTATATGTGATAGCATCCAACCTACACTTAAGAAGGTGAAATTAGACCTTTTTAACTCATTTGAAGATGAAACAACATCAGCTATCACAAGAAAATAGGATCCATCCTTTATTCCTTTCTTAAGCTTAAGATAAAAATTCGGAGTGCATTAAAAAGGTGGTTTTTATCCACTTCCAAAGAAGTATGCATCTCTTTTGGATTTATGCAACAAGATAGAAATGAATTACTTAAGAAATTAATGTTAAATATAGTTCACAGTCCAGAATAATTTCACAGATATCATATAAGTACTTTAGTTATTAAATTTGGATCCTAAATTATATAAATTGAAAGTGATTTAGGATGGAATAGTGATTTAGCATCCATCGTAAATTAATTCTAACAAGAGTGATAATAAAATAATTGTAAAATCTTCTTAAGAAATTGCACAATTATCTGATTTGATCAATAAAAGAATACAATCATTAAGAGAAAAGCTCGATTAATTAGTTTAAATTAAACACAAACAATATTTATCAACAATTAATTGTGAAGATTTTGAACAATTTGGATCATAGTTTAAAATCTATCATAATGATTTTGATTTGAATGATTGTCCTGATATAAGACCGGTTAAGTTGAAGAAAACAATATTCACAAAAGAATAAATATAGTTACATCTTGATATGTTAAATTTCATGGCCGAACACTACGATAAACGAGGAGTTAGTTTCATGTTTTATGATCATATAGTTACCATACTAAGTGTTCATTTTAATAAAGTTAAAAGTGAGATAGAAAGAGCTCTAAAAAATATAATGAATTTGATTCCAGATAAAATATAGATTCTAATGAATCATATAAATAAACAAAGGTGGATGATTTAGTTAGATAGAGCTTCTCTAACGTAATTAAATAAGTAATGTATATTGAATTCATTTTTGTGTAATTGATATCTATTATAAAAAACTTGATCATTTTTGTTTTCTTAATCCTCATATATTACTTTTTTAAAAGTCTTCAAAGACTAGGTGTTGTTTCTTTATAAGTTTAACATCTAAAAGAGAGTAATGAAAGCAAGGTCAAAAAATAATAAATTACATCAAAAATTATAAATATTCATTTCTTATTCCAATATTGATTCAATTGAGTTTATTCAGCTTAGTTATTTATTTGTCTCAACAATTTATAATTAAGTCCTATATTACAATCAATTTTTTTCAATAGCTAAATAATATGTTTTATATTAAAATTTTCTTTGATTCTGAATTTTATATTGTCTAATCTATGATAAATGTTAATGTGTTGTATTTTTCATTAAGTGAATAAGGAAAAAGATAGAAGACTATTTTTATTAGAGTACAATATTTATTTTAGATAAATATAAAACGGATTAATAATATAATCAAATGAAATTCATAGTTATCCTTCTCTTGATTTTAGTATTAGCGAATGGAGCAAATATTAGAAAACACAAGTCAAATAAAGGAACTAAGCATGCCAAAGATTTGGTTCAAATTGAGTAACAAATTGTATAATTGCAATATAGATCTTAAAATGTTGGAGAGTCTTATGATTTGAGCAATAATATTGGAGTTATTTCCTCTTCAGAAGTCGTTGTCAATGCTTTAACAAACTAGGACAGAATTGAAAAGGCTGAATAAAAAGAAAGAAATGCTATTCATAATGCTTTGAATAAAGCTCATAAGTCATTTGCACAAGTTGCTGACAATGAAAATTAAGTTTTCGTAGAAGAAACATTAGATTAAACCCCTTAAAAGGAAATTAATTTCGCAGATTTATTCACAAATGATGGTTCATCACCTGATATGGGAAAATAAGCTCTTCTTGAAGATTCACCATCCCCTCCTATGGCTCATATTCCATAAGATGAAAATTTAGATTATGTCCGAGCTATTGATAAATTAGATTTGTTAGATGAGAATGGTAAACCACTTTAATTGCTTCCAGAAGAATTATCACTTTTGGAAATGTCTCAATTTGAAAGCAGATTCCAATAGACTGAAACTCCATAGATGGAATAAGCACCAAGCTGGGACTTAGAAGCAGCATATGAAAAGACTCCAGGTTAAAGTGAATTATCACCAGAGGAGTTACAAAGATAAACTGAACAAATGGTTGATAGCTTAAGAGGAGAACTTGACAATGAAGATAATTGACCTAGAAATATAATAAATAATATATGAAGAAGAAACATTTTAACTATAAATTTTTTTTTTACTAAAATTGTACAATGTTATCTACAAAGAGATAATGATGAATATCCATTCAAATTGATTCCAATACGCATTTATTTTAGCCAAGTTTCTTTTGGAATTATTATCTAAAATTTATAACTCTAATAACATCTGAAAACACTTCAAGAGTGAATACGACTATAAAAAAGTTCTTATAAAGACTGAAAAATCTATTTAGGAATTAATTTTAGAACAAATTCAAATTCGGTTATAGGAAGTAATCTAAGATTCAATTCAAGCTAAATTTGGGGTTAATTTGTAATTAAAATGATAAACCATTTATGAATAGCACGTTAAATAAATTCATTACTTTTAACATATAGAATAAATGAAGAATCTAAAATTTTCGTGTTTCTATACTAACTGAATTAATCTCATCAAAAATTGGATAGAATATATATTATATAAAGTTTTCAATAATTGTAGTATTACTCATTACTAATTTATTACTTAATAAAAATATGTATTTTAGCTTATGGATTAAATATTAATATTTATGAGACATTTAACATTTTAAAATTCATTCTACATTAGTCTAACACTCTATTTATTATTATTATTGATATTATGTTTTATTAATAAGCTAATTTGTTTCATTTAAAATGAATCCCCAATATTATGACTCTATTTTAATGCTTTCTAATTCCATCTATTACAAAACCTCCATTATTTCTTTAAATTATTAGTTTTTATCATTTTCATATCTAGTTCGTTCTTTAAGTGCCAATATTTTATTAATCAAAACAATTAATTCTGATAGATATTTTAATTCTTTAACAATATCAGCTATTTCTTATTCAACTTCTTTTTTAGCATCCTCAGGTGATTTCTATTTAATCAAATTTTTAAAGGACACCTTTCCTTAATTCAACTTTTCTAATTGTTTCTCTGATTCTATAATTTTATTTTCTAGGTTTTTAACTTTATTCTCTAAATTAATTTTGTCACTGATTTATTTCAACACAATCTTAATCATAAATAATTAATCCATACTTTACAATCCTTAGATTCTAATCTGATTAAATCTAACAAGATTTCAATGTTATTTTGAGTAAAAACTTATTTTTCTTGATAAGTGTCAACTAATTCCTGCTTAATTCGATTAAAAATTAACAAGGACGCATCTGAGTTTACAAACTAAAAAACAAATGAATTTTCAAAATTTATTAATCTAGTTTTGATGATTTCTTCTAAACAACTGTTGTAATTCCGACCTGATTACACACTATCCTTAATTATCTTTTTTATGTTTTTTAATTTTATACTATAATTTCTTACTTAATCTGCAAAATTGTCAATCTCCTTAAGTGTGCTTGCTTCGATCACGACCTTCACATTAAATCAAATATTAATACATCTAAAATATCAGCAAATATAGTTTAGTATTTTACAAGAAGATCTTGGGTGGATGGAGATTTAATAGATTCCAATTTTTTATAGACTTTCTCATCTTTGGATCTTAAGAATATTTGTGACACCTCTTCAGTTTGGAATAGATGAGGCAATAGACTCAACTTCTAACAGAAAGCATGCAAGAATTTTTTTCTATCATTGATTGTCTTAGCATCATTTCCATTAAAGAGTTTCTTGCCAGGTAAACTTGGGACATAGCATCCTGGCCATTGAATAGCCAGGAGATTTCTTAAAGCGACGAAATCCTTGAATCTACGATGCACTTCGAAATTTCCTTCTTTGTCAGATCCTTTTATTGTGTAATATGTTTGCTTTGAAAATAGGGATTGGGAAGTAGTTTGGAACTCAACTACATCAATCACATTTTATATCATAATAATAATAAATTATATTTAACTAACAAAATATTAGATGAAATAGAAGGTTTCGTAAATATCACCAGATAAATTATATGCTAGTTTATTGAAAAGGAAGAACGAGCAAGAATAACAGGCTCGCTTAAAATCCCCTATAGTGACAGCCAATAAGTAAGGATGTGATTGTTATAAAAATTAGATATTTAGTTTCCAGTAACAGAAATAGCGGGGGAACTTCAAAAATAGAAGCAAAAAAGTCTAGGCCTGCGAGTGGAAAGGATTTCAAAGATGTGAGTAGTGTTTTATTAAAGAAAACCCATGCACGTTAAAATAGCAAATTAATTGAAACTAAGGAGAACTCCTAGAATCTTTCAACAAGTGCTCTCTCTTTGCTACTAAAAATTAAATAAGACAAATGCGAAAATAAACAATCTCAAATTTAATAACCAAAAGATCTTTATAACTAATAAACGATTCAGAAAAAGTATTAAAAATTAATGGAAATGACTAAATAATAACAATAGTTAATACTAAAGCCTAAATTATTTAAGGGACCTCGTTCAATCAGCAATCCAGACATCTCTACAATGCAATTGTAAATAGCGAAAGCACATGGACAAAGTGCTGCAGGTATGCTCTACAATGGATAAACTAAAACAAATTAAGATATTTACAAATTAATTTAAAGATTTTGTAATAGAGAAAATGATTGGTATATTCAAGTTTCTGATGGACATGGCACAAATGGTCATTAAGTAGCCTAGTTTTTAAGAGAAGTACTTCCTCAATTCGTAGAATAGGGAGTAGTCAATTTGACTACATGTTATGAAAGAGATAAGTAAATTAATTTGGTGCTCAAAAATTGTTTTTTGTAAACAAGCGACGAATTGATGGATAGTGGAATTGATATAACATACTCTGGGGCAACAACTGTTATTGTGTTGTCTTTTGATAATGTGTTATATTGTGCAAATATTGGAGATAGTAGAGCCATCATTGGCAGATTCGATAACAAACTATCTGTTATAGAATTATCGAAAGATCATAAGCCAGATTGCTTTTTGGAATAGGCTCGGATTCTTTAAAGAGGAGGGAGAGTATAGGCTTACAGTGACGAAGACGGAAATCCTATAGGACCAGCAAGAGTTTGGAAGTAGGATGAAGATGTGCCTGGGTTAGCTATGTCAAGGAGTTTTGGGGATTATGTTGCCAGTTAAGTTGGAGTAATTTGTGAACCTGAAATTTTTAAGCATTCTCTTTTGCCATGCGACAAGTTTATTGTTGTTGCTTCGGATGGAATTTGGGAGTATATCATTATTGTTATGTTTTAGATTTCTGTCTAATGAATAAGTTGTTGAGACTGTTTATGAATATTACAAAAGGGATGACAGCCAAGGAGCTTGTTAAAAATTGGTTTAGTTAGCAAGGGAGGCTTGGTAAAGAGAGGACGAAGTCATAGACGATATTACAATTGTGATAGCCTTTATTAAATGATCTTTTATTTTTCTCACTAAATAAAACTGGATTAGCTCGGGAATATTAATATTTTATAAATGGATTATGATTCTCTTTATTTACTCTTGCCAAAAGAACCCAAGAAATGGCAAGTGTCTGATGTTGTTATTTGGCTCCAATTTATTGGACTGGGTTAGATGGAGGACAAGTTTGGTATGTTGTTTCCTTGTTCTATCTTAGTGAATTGCTCAATCGATGGCTCCATTCTGGAAGAAATAACGGAGAACGATTTGGAAGAAGAATTGGGAATCAGCTAGAAAATAATCAAAAAAAAGTTAATGAATTGTAACCATTATCTAATCGGTAGGGATATCAACAGGGTTGAAAGAATATAGCATATACTTATGTTAAATTAAGTTAAATACCATAAAAAAATAGCCCAATGAAGAATTCACTCTCTAAAAGAATGTAAATGCTTGTTAAGAAAAATAATGCTAATCAATCATTAATCAATATGATGAGTTATATAGTTCTCAGAACAAAATGACCAATTTAATTGAAAATCAACTCATCTTATAACCTCTAGAGAGTTAATAAAACAATTTCTATTGCGTCAAACAAGCTGGTGCAAAGATTGGAAGACATTCAAGCAATTAAATTCTTATTTTGGAAGAAAATATTAGTAGATTTCATGCTGAGATTACATACTAAGATTCTAAGGTATATCTCTTTGTAATGACTATTTATAGTTTTATATTAGGGATATCGGAAGCACCACAGGAACATATATAAAAATTTAAAAACGAATGAACCTGTTCCTAGGTATGTTAATCGAACTTGGCAGCAATTTATTTCAAGTCTCTCAATTGGAAGAGGTCTCCAATGGCATTCACCTTGGACTCCTTGTTCTTGAAGGACCAAACTGCGAAGAACAAATTAGTTTTCATCTTAATCAAGACAAAACTTCAGTCACCTTTGGTAGAAAGGCTAATGCTGATATTGCATTTCCTGAGGATCATCATCTTTCTAATTTGCATGCTAAATTTTATTTAGTTGATGAAAATGTAACTATTGAAGATCATTCCTCTACTAATGGGTACATATTAATTTATTAATTAATTTAGAACTTGGTTAAGGTTATCTGAAGATGGAAAACCAAGTTAAAATTACCCACTCACCATAGATGATGAAATGACTGTCATCAGGATTGGAACAGTTAACTAATACCTTTGTCAATTAGATAAATTCAGTATAAATTATAATGAAAACAATTTTTGTACACTATGTAATGAAAATGAACGAGATGCACTTTGTCTACCTTGTAAGCACAATTCTACTTGTTTCAAATGTAGTAAAAATTTGTAATTATGTCCAATTTGCAAAATGAAGATCTCATAGCAAATTAGAATTTACAAAAATTGATTAAATATAAATTGTTAATATTGATAGTTTTGTTATAAATCTTCATTTATGAGAAGAGTCAATTACCTAAGTTATCGAATCAGATTGAATTCAAATGCAAGATCTATTTTAATTTCTTATGAAATATTCATCTTGATCATCTACAGCGTAGTTAATATAACTAATATTCACTTAATACATTATGAGCTATGTTTATTTTATTTAGTTCTATTCTTTGCTTTTATATATTATTAAATGGAATCAATCTAATTATGATAAAACTTGATGTAAATACTCTAATTCTAAGTTTTTGTAATTTTAATTTTAATATGAATAATTAATAAAATAATAATCTCCATCCTCTTTACTTAGAACAACAATAATGGCTATCTCAATTTAAATAACCTCTCCCTTAAAATTAGCAATATTACCAAACTCATTAATAATAACATTCGCATGGCACTCCACATTTTGCATAACTTTAAAGTATGGGGTTTTGTGATCATAAAAAAAATTACAGATTATTAAAGAGGTACAATTGGAATGTTGATCAAGTTGTCTAATCATTAAATGATTAAAATGAAGGAAGATAGTAAATTATCGAATAGAATATCATTTAAATCATATCCAATACAAAAATATTATACATAGATTGTAATAATATTAAGTATGCATGTCATTAGTGGAATAAATTTAGAGGCTAACCTAAAAAATAAATCAAAAATGTATTAAAAATCATATTGGTTTGGTTCTAATTGAATGAATAATAACTCGATGAAGTTCACTTAATATGGGATGTTTATAAAATGAATAAAATTGAAAAAATAAGATAAAAATTATCAAAATATGAGCCCTTCAAATATTTTCATGAGTTAAGGTAGTAGGACAAAATAACAACATTTAAAATCCTAAATAATTAAAAATTTATCAATTTTAGCATTTAGTCAGCTTATCCAGAAATAGCAGATGATTTGATAGTTAAATTGTGTCAAGGTTAAAATAATAGCTAAACTACAGTTGTCACAAGTGATAAAGGATTGAGAACAAGACTATAAGAGATAGGAGTAACATAATTTATAGGTAATGGTAGATGGTGGAAATTGAAAGAAGAGTTGGTATAATAAGCATAATAGTAATAGTTCTCGTAATAATAATAATAATTGTTATAGTAATAGTAATAATAATAGCAATAATATTAGTAATAGTAATAATTGTAATAATAATAACAATAATAGTAATAATAGTAATAATAACAATAATGGTAATAATTAACATAATAATAATAATAACAATTATACTAATAGTATTAGTAATAGCAATAATAATAGTAATAACAATAAACCTTCAATAATGACTTTTTACAATGAACAACTTTTGATTATAAATATTTAGAATTTGTATTTTAAAAATAGAATAATAGATTTGTACAACATTAATAACATAATATATATCAATTTTATTTATTGTTGTTTTCTCCTCCTTCTTAGTTTTATTATTATTATTAGTCTCCAGTTTATTCATGAGAGTGCTATTATTATTATTCACTAGCTCCTCCAGTATTTCGATACCTAAAATGTAAATTAAATTATAATACATGGCTTATCCGATCTTCATGGCTGCATTTTTAACTCCCTCAACTGCATCTTTAAGTCTTTGAACATCATTTGAAGTCAGATTTTCAGTTAATAAAACTCTTAAATTTTAAACTGCACTTTCAATTTCTTAAACTTCATTTGGTTACAATTTGCTCTTATGTTCGTTGAGTGATTTTTCAGTATTGAAAATAGCACCATCAGCTTCATTCTTTAAATCAACAAGTTCTCTTCTCTTTTTATCTTCATCCTTGTATTTTTCAGCTTTATTAATCATATCTTGGATTTCTGATTCGCTTAAACCACCTGATGATTAAATAGTGATTGAGTGATCTTTTCCAGTAGCCTTATCTTTGGCAGACACATGAACAATACCATTGGCATCAATGTCAAAAGTAACATCAATTTATGGAACTCCTCTGGGAGCTGGTGGGATACCAGATAAATCGAATTATCCCAATAATTTATTATCAGCAGCCATTTCTCTTTCACCTTAGAACACTCTGATAGATACAACAGTTTGGTTATCACTAGCAGTTGAATAAGTTTGGCTCTTTTTAGTAGGAATAGTAGTGTTTCTGGGAATCATTTTGGTGAACACTCCTCCCAGAGTTTCAATACCTAAAGAGAGTGGAGTGACATCCAATAATAGTAATTCTTTGACATCACCTTTCAAGACACCACCTTGAATGGCAGCTCCAATAGAGACTGCTTCATCTGGATTGACTGATTTATTGGGTGGTTTATTAAAGAGATCTTAAACTAATTTTTAAACTCTTGGCATTCTACTCATACCTCCTACTAAAATAACTTCATCGATTTTGCTTTTATCTATTCCTGAATCTTTGATACAATTTTCAGTTGGTTTAATAGTTTTTTTGAGAAAATCTTCAGTCAGTGATTCTAGTTTAGCTCTTGTGAGTTTGAGATTGCAATGTTTAGGACCTGAAGCATCAGCAGTTAAATAAGGGTAAGTTGATATCAGTTTGAGTAGTGGATGATAATTCAATTTTAGCCTTTTCAGCAGCTTCTCTGACTCTTTGGACTGCCATTTTATCCTTTTAAATATCAACACCAGATTGTGCTTTGAATTCTGAACTAATCCAATTAGAAAGTATTGAATCAACATCTTCACCTCCACAACTTGTATCACCATTGGTAGCTTTGACTTCAAAAACACCTGCATTGATTTCCAATATGGAAATATCGAATGTACCACCTCCCAAATCATAAACTGCAATAATCTTATTGTCTTTCTTTTCTAAACCGAAAGCCAAAGCTGCAGCTGTTGGTTCATTGATGATTCTGAGAACATCTAATCCAGCGATTTTACCAGCATCTTTTGTTGCTTGTCTTTATGAATCATTGAAATAAGCTGGTACTGTTACGACTGCCTTTGATTAAGGTTTTCCAATATAGGCATCTGCAGTCTCCTTCATCTTCATTAAGACGAATGCTCCAATTTATGATGGAGAATAGGTTTGACCACCTTGAGAAATATATTAAGATAATACTCTTCAAGCTAACCCAAGCATCTCCATTTTAAGCTCTGACAACAGAGTAACTCAAATGTTTAATATCCTTTTGAACATTTGGATCATCAAATCTTCTACCGATCAATCTTTTTGTGGCATATACTGTATTTTCTGGATTGGTTACAGCTTGTCTTTTTGCTGGTGCTCCAACTATTCTTTATCCATCAGCAGTAAAGGCAACCACTGAAGGTGTTGTACGCATACCTTCTGCATTTTCAATGACTTTTGGTGTTCCAGCTAATTAAGAATTAGAACCATAGATACCTTCCATTATGGATACACATGAGTTAGTTGTTCCCAAATCTATACCAATGACATATTCTCCTTTGGTTACCTTGCTACTGAATGCATTCAGAGTGTGTTAGTTCACTTTTAATGTTGGTTTGAATAACTTGCTGAGCATTTAATTACCTCAAATTAATTTTTATTTCTAATCAACATAAAACTATGTCTTTTAAACTACAATTAAAATTTATTTCTAGAAATATCTATTAATAATTATTAATGTTATTAATATATTCAATCAGACTTTAATTTTGCTAAAGTCAACACTCTTGACTAAACTGAAAGCTTCCTCAGTCACTTGAATGTCTCTGATCAATTTGTTCTTTAAGTCAGTGTAAATTTAGGTGTCATCAGCATATTGTTCATTCTCCAAATCAAGTAAAGCTTAAGCAGTGTTTCTGTCAGATTATCTTTAGGCTTGGAATGATAAAAATTGTTCAATTTTTTCTATTTTCATTTTATTGATAATTACCTTAAGTAGCATTCAAGTCAATGGTAACTTTAGTAATTTATCTTTAGAATTCAGCATATTCGGCATCCAACTATTCAATTCTGTCTTCGTAGTCTTGAACATCTTAGGCTTCTTAAGCAGTAGCAGCATTGATGGCATCAACGACAGCATTTCTGAATTCATTCAATTTGTCAACGATTTATTTGATGATTCCTTAGTCTGAGAAGTTTTATTCTGAAGCCAAGGTGATCAAAGCTTTGATTAAGGTTTGGTGTTATGAATGTGGTTGGATTCTGGCTTCAATCTTTCTCAAATTGATTTAGAATTTTTGAATCTAAACCAATGATGGGTTGGTCAATGTGCTCAACAAGTTCAAGGCATCATCAGTGGCACCAACTGCATCGTTGAATTCAGCGATTTAAGCTTCGAAAGCATCATGTTCTTATTCTCTGATCAATGTTTCTTCATCGACATTCTTTCTATTGAATTCTTAGTAATCAATCAATTATTAGATCTTGCTCTTGAGTTATTCTCTTCTTGGATAAAGCAAATTCTCCAATGTATCAGCACTTCTTTAGATGTCTTAATTTAAATTTAAATCACATACCAATATCAGCATCTTAAACCTCTTAAGTATATTATAATGATAATGAGTTGTGTTCATTTGTTCTAACTCCGTAATTGTATTCGACTTCATCCAATTCATCTTACATTTATTAAATCATTTCTTCAATTGCTCCTACCAAGTCTTATAAAACTCCTCCTGTGTGAGCATGCAATTCAGCCAATTGCAAGATGGTTTGTCCCCAATTTGTTTTCATTAAGGCATCAACGTGCTTCTAGGCCTATCTATTCAAGTCTGTTGAGACTGCATTGAGTGAAACAGCTAAAATAAGCAATATGGCAATCTTCATTTATTTAATTATTGCTAAACTCCTCTATCAATCAACCTAATCACTTTATATCAACTATCCGTTTTCATATCGAAACGATTTTTTATAACATAATTTATAATGATTAACACAAATAACATTCAATTTCTTATAAATAATCTTTCATAACAACTATTCATGTTCCTCATCCTAGTTTTATTTTATAGGTGAGGCTACTCTTGAGGGGTTTGAGTACAACTCTGAATATATCTTCAATTGTTTCTCT